GGACAAGCCGGTACTTCCTCAACCCCCAATCACTCCGGTCGTCTGTCCAACCATTCTGGCAACGCATCGTTTCCTTCTCCCCAGGAGAACACAACTTCCCCGCAGGAGAGATACTTCCACTCCGGATACAATGGCCGTAGAGACTCGATCAATCGTGTCAGCACAGTCTTGGAAGAAGAGAGTAATGATGGCAGATCCTTCTTGGAGCAGCATGAAACTCACGTTCTCGACAACCAATTCGAAAACAACGAAAGGCTCCTGACCCCGACACAAGAGTCATTCAATCGCAGATCTGGATCTTTCGAATCTACTAAGACCCCCGTGCAACAACGACATAGTCCAATCGGTGCCCAAACTGGGAACAGCACCCCTGAGAAGCAGCGCAAGCAATCCGTGTTCGGGATCCCCAAGGTCTCTCGCTGGTCCAAGACGACGACCTCCTCATATCCCGAGAATTCAGATGTCAACGGGAAACGTCGAAGCCAGTACACCGATGCCTCTAGCAGCGGCGAGAGCTTAAGTTCCAATGGTGTAGGCTACTACGACAACGGCTATGCAGTGCAGTCCGAAGATCGTCTTCGATCGACCCAGTCGCTGGCCAAAGATGAGGCAACAAGAGAATACTTGCCTGACAACAGAAGCGTTCGCAGCGGGCTTAGTGATATGACACGAACCCCATCACCACTCATCCCTTCTGAGACTGGCTCTCAGCTCGACAACATTCCTATCATCCTTCCGGACGATGATGAAGTTGATGACTACGACGATCCCAAATACTCGGCTCATCGTGATTCTTTGCTTCTGCAGCATCCTCAACCTCGACCAGGACCAACGCACCGCCATCAGACAAACCTCGAAAACGAAGCTCGAACATTCAGCGGGCCTGATCATTTCGAGACAGGAACAAGCAGTGACCTTTCTCAGCGCACGGTGGATAGCGATTTTGATCCTTTGCAATGGGGATCGAATCCCTCGCTTTCTCTGGCACGAACCAACAAACTCAGTGGGATCCCTTCCGGAAAGGACAACGGCCCTCTGGTTCCTGAAAGCAAACAAAAGGCCGCACCTAGGGTTGAAGTAGAGCCACCAAAGGAACAGCGACAGCAAGCACCGCAGAAACCTCGCCAGATGTACTATTCAACCCCACTTGGTTCGGGGCACCTACTTGAGCCTATTGAAGAAGTGAGATACTCGTTGGAAACAGACCGTGGACATGTGAGTACTCGATCGAAGTATTGATGTGCCTGGCTGACCCCAATGTTATCANNGCGTTCACCTGAGCCGACAGCTAGTCCTAGGGTAGCCAGCCAGCTTAGTCCAACTCGCAAAATCACCGGACCGAGGCCCATGGGCTCGCGTGCTCCCAGCGGTGCCAATGACGAGAGTCAGCGAGAGCAAGCCTCTGGTACTGTAAGAAGGAAGCCAGTGCCTTCGAGTAAGAGTTATGGTTCGTGATTTTGTTGTCTCTGACCTTTTCCTTCAACTTCACATATTACAAAAAGAAATATCACATTGGCGAGCTGAACGGGGTCTGTTACTGCGTTGCTTCTACAGACTAGACCGGATGTGGGGTTTGGAGAGATGACAGACAACTAGCTCAGATACCCAGGAAGGGACAAAGCGTGGATGGAGCTGATTCGGAGGACAGATTCGTTTGATGATGATAGTGAGATTTTCTGAAGATACAGTAATGCGGAGGAACACGAATACGGAAATATGCGAAAGCAACGACTTTACGATACAGACAGTCATGCGAGCGACAGTACCGCTGCTGGCTAACAATACGGAGAGGACGAGATGTAATGAATTCAACAGTACTTTTGCTTTCGCCTCGTCATACCACCACTGTCTTTCTCTCGACCACTTTCCAAGTGCTTCTAGTCTTCTGTATGGCTCTCCACTCCCCGACTTCTTCCTCACACTTTTCTTTGGCCACTGCTATACATGATTCCCCAGGCTTTTGTTTCGCTCATGCTTGTTCGAGAATCCGCGAATTATGAGATGATATTGTCTGTCGCCACTAGGATGGCTCTCAACATTCAATATCAACGATCATCCCGAACATATGATGCCCACTGAAATCGAAAAACAGGCCCAGATTTGAAGTCGTTCTAAAAGCATCTATCTACGACGTGGTATTTCCGACGATTGCAAAACAGCCGATACTTACCGCTCAACGAGCCCAACGGACACACCTCGCCGCCGTGGTACCTGGTTTCTTCTTCGAAGGGTCCGAGTGCCTCTTACGTATTCTGTGTGTGTACCCCACGATCCGCCAGTACTTAGCAAGATGTAGCTCAGCCACGTGCTCATGTCCGCGGAACAGACACAGAGATGTCTTTTCGCTTGAGGTGCGAAGGTGGTTGTAGCGTCTCCAATCCTATGGAAAATCTGGTGAGTTTGCATGACACTTCACAAAAGAGTCCTCATTTTTTTTTGATTGTCTTCATACGCATAACAAACCAAAATTTGGTTGTATGCTATCTAATGCAGCATACGCATCGCTCAGAGTTGTTACGGGACGATCGCCAGAAGTTGCAAAGCTTTGGGCCATGGAGAAGTTGCAGATCTAACGGCCATGTTAAAGTTATGCCCACGACTCGTGAGCCTTCAGGATTTCTAGGTTATTCACGCCGTTGGCATGATTCGACAGTACTGACATCTGAGTTTTTCTAGATTTGTGCGATGGAATGACATTCAGCTGGAACCGCTTTCTTCGAGGTCCATTGCCAAGTGTCCAAACAACTGTATGAAAGGTCCGCGCCTTTCGCATTGATGACTAGTGTGTCAAAGACTTAGGGTACTCTAGGGTTTGCCTCACTAGCTGTGGACGTGTGGTGCGTACGAGCGAAAGGGGGACATCTTTGCGAAAGCAAATTGTAAGTAGCAGTCAGAAGGAAGGAAGGCGTGGCCAAGGTAAAGTGATAGGATCTAGGTCGTTTGGATTGCGCCTTCCATCATCTTGGTTGTTTCGAATCCTTTGCCCTGCAGAGGAAGCTCGATAGTTGGAAGCATATTTGCTGACGTCGACTGCATGACAAACCTCGTGGCTTGAGTTTAACCCTACGGCGCAGCAATTTTTGACGAAAAACCGTTAAAGCCTAACCCTTCTACCACCGGGCCTACCTGACTCTGAAACGAAGATCTGTCATACCGAGTCATACGCCGAAGAAGTCTCGATCTTCTCCATGACCATGGGATAAGAAGTAGGCGGAAATGGTACAGTGTATATCAACTGCAGGTCCCACCGACGCATCGTACTCCTTCTTCTTTGCCTCGTGTGCGGACCGGACGATCATCCAATATAAAATAGCCATGCAGGGAAAGCAGCTGTCTACCTTTGTTATTGCTCTGGTGAGCTTGCTCGTCACGACCTTTGTCATTGCAGTCAGATGTGTCGTTCGTACATCCATCCGAGGCTTCGGTCTCGATGATTGGTCCATGGTGATCGGTCAGGTATGTGTCTTTTCTATTGATGATCACACGAGTTTGCAGTTGTCTACCAAAGACAGATANCTATTCTTCGGTACCTGCGTTGTCGTCATGTACGGATGTCACACAGGCATTGGCGTGAGAGACATCCACTTGACCGCAGAAGAGCTTGTCAATGCGAGACATGCCATTGTCATGTTCCAATGCTTCTACCTCACCTCTCTCATCTTTGTCAAGAGCAGCATCTGCTTTGCTCTCCTCCGCATTGCTACCAACAAGAGCATCCGCCAGTTCCTTTACTTCATCATCTTTCTCTCCTTCTGCTGTGGTTTCGTCACCATGGTCGCCTGCTTGGCCATCTGTGTTCCCCTTTCGGCTTCCTGGACGGGTATTGGCAAATGTGCTGCACCTTATGTGATCAAGTACGTCGCTGTCTACACCACAGTCTCGAGCTGCATCACAGACTTTTCATGCTCGATCCTTCCCTTTGTCATTCTCTGGAACCTACAAATGGACAAGAAGCTCAAGTTCGGTCTGGCCGCCATTCTGAGTCTCGGTTTCCTGTAAGTATCTATCTTGAAGACTCTTCTTCGACAACCGACTGACAAGACCTCACAGNNTGCAAGTGCCGCTACAGTCGTCCGCGCCTTCTACTTCAACCGCTTCTTGGCTCCCGTCGACTACGTTTGGGGTTTCTCTGACCTCATGATCTGGTCCATTATCGAAGACCTCATCGCCATCACCATCGGCAGTGTCCCCAGCTTGAAACCCCTCTTCGTACGCTTCAAGTGGATGGCATCCGTCTCCGGACGTCGCTCCGGCAAGAGAACCGGCGACTACCAAAACTGCGAATCTTACAACTTGCACTCTCAAAACAAGAGCAAGAACCAGACCAGAGTCATTACCACCACTGCTGCTGAAGAGAGCGACAGCATGAAAGATTTGGTCAGAGAGGAGGGTATTGTCATCAGTCAGGAATTCAGACACGAAGAAGAGTACGAGTACCATGACAGAAAGCCCAGAGTTTCCGTTTAAGGATGACCCTGATATGTGATTGGATGTGTGGATTACAGTACATAGATCGATCGAACTTTCGTTTACGGCCTCGTCGCGTTATGGAAAATGCATTTTGTTTGATTGCTTAGCATCAACAAATTTCACGTCGTTGAAGGACATAGAAATGCGAATAATAGTGATTCAATTACAGTTTGCATCACCAAATAATCTAGTTGACTTCGTCGTCGTAACCACCTCCACCAGTTGAGCCTCCAGGCGCACCTCCAGTGGAATCACGAGATGGACCTCCAAATCGGCCGCTGGCTGGTGGCTTCTCACCCTTACGACCACTACGTTTACCTTTGCCACCTGGACCTCCAATTCTACCTCCAGTGAAGCCATGGCCCTTCCCATAACTCTTGTGGTTGTGATGATTGTCCCGAGGACCCTTTCGTGCTTCATGAGCCTTTGGAGGCGGGCTAGGATGACTGTAACGATCAGTTCTGGGACGTTTGAATGAAGGTTCTTCATCGGTGTCCATAGGCGAGCCAGCAGGAAGGTCTATGATTTGATTAGAAGCCCATGTGTCTATAGCGAGCGAGCCAGTAGGGGGGGTAAGAAGGGGGACCAGTAGGCGGACCACCATGAGGGCCAGAGGATGGATCAGAGTTGTTGTCAGGAGGGGGCTTTGTAGCTTGACTTGAAGCCTGAGCCTGAGCTTGAGCAGCGGACTGTGCACGCTGTAAGTCATACTCGGCGTTGACGAGTGCTGCCTCCTTGTATTCAAGCTTTCGGGACTCATCAAGGAACTTTTTCTGTTCGGCGTCAAAGGCCTGGCGTTGTCTCTCCAACTCCAACATGGCATCATACTCCAGATCGAGATCTCGAGTGGTGATACCAGCCTTGAGTTGAGTGAACTGGTTAAGAATGGGGTTCGAGTGGGCTTGCTGGAGCAGGTAAAGTGATGTCAAGTCTCCTTCCTCGACGCGAGATCGTCTCCATTGGAAAGCAGTGAACTCATGGCAACAGCTGGATGCCAAGAACACAGCATGTTCGGCTTGATCACGAGGGTATCCACTACGAGTGAAGACGTTGACTGGCTGGAACTCGGGCGTTATGATGCGAGCGTTACCTTTGCATCCTTGACAAGCGCAGCAGATGTTGAATCCGGCCTCGAGTCTGTGAATAGCATACGCGATGCGGAAGAAAGTTGCGCCCTCAGCGACATGATACATTCTCATGGCTTTGATGGTTTCTGTAAGATCTTTGCCCCAGAAGTTGCAATCTTCGCCTGGCTGCCACATTGTAATTTTATCCGTCATGTTAAATAACTCAACGGATCTGACAGGGATCACATCCACGGTTGTTTTTTGACAGGTTGCATCCACAAGATTGGCAATGAAATCGTTGCAGGCTTTTTGACTTTGGTCGAGTGCCTCTCTTTTTCTCTTGAATGTCGAAATTGTACTGCTCATGGTATGACTCGGTTCATCCTTCTTGAAGACTGGATCTAACTGGCGTGAAGGGAGAGATGCAAGATACTCGCGCACTCCGGGCTCGTTGCGTCGCACACAGTCAAGATAGCAGTGCCCGGGTCGCAGGCAAAGAGAGCATTTCTCTGCTGGGTAAGGGTTGCAACACATGTTGTTAGCATGTCCCTTGTACGCGCATCTGTCGCAAATGTTGTCTTTGATGTCTGGAAGCCCCTGGTCTTGATCTGAACATCAAAGTTCATACAGCTAGCGGTGCTATGGTGAAGTGAGTTGCACCACTTGCACCACAAGGCTTCAGGTTGTGGTGGAGAGATCTGCCAGGGAGCAGTCATAAGAAATCCGCTCGAAGCTCCAGAGGCCGTCGCCTGTTTCTTGTCTGGGCATTGTGCCTCGTAATGATTGTTTCCACCACAATAGCGACAATGCTTGTTGTTGTTATTGTTGTTATTGTTGCCGTTGTTATTATTAGTCTTGTTGTTCTGGTTCTGGTTCTGGTTCTTGTTCTTTTCGGAGCGCGGGTTGGTCCAGCAGTTCGCCCACCAGTGCCCTTTCCCGCAACCAGTACATTTAGGTTGGGCTGAGCCCTGCTTCTTTTTCCAGACATATCCTGATGTTCTAAAAAGATGTAGAAGAGTTGTTGAAATGTTTATGCTAGAAGTTAGATATCTCGAATAGTAATGGTGCTTACTAGATTTTGTTGTTTTCTGTAAAAGAATCTGCCAGCAGACTCACGAAGGGAAGACGGGGAAGACGAATTGTACAAGAGAACGAAAATTGGTCGTAAAACAGCCCTACGCAAAGTAATTAATATAGGGTATCTAGGAGTCGACATTTCAGCGACAATGAATCTTGTACAAAGAACCTGAACGTCGCATCACGACCTTTCAGCAGCTACCCTGTCAATGATTAAGGAAATTAGATGGCGCGACTCCCGTGACGAGCCGGTCTTCTGTCTTTGTCTGCAGATTGGAAATCTAGTCGTGGCGTTGGACATGTGCTTTGAGGACGCTAGGACAATGTAACAAATGCTCAAGACAGATGATCAAGGTCAAAGACGTTTGAGGGATTGTAGAGACTGGAGGCGGAAGAAAACAAAGTCGGATGTGGTTGATGTCTGATGGCAACTGATGTCAACTGATAGATGCCCAACGCTTTGCACCATCCACCGAGATCGGCCTCCATCGGCGCAAAGAAGACCTCGGGATCTAGTCCTAATGAGGCGCTAGCGTTAATTCTCCAGATTTGCTCCAGGTTTTGGCATTTTTTCTCCAACCTCTTCCGTTATGGCTTCGACTATCGTCTTAAAGTGTTCTTCTATGACTTTCGTTTCGTCTCATATCTTTCTTTAGTGTAGTATCACGCCCTGTCTTTCTACGATCTCTCGCCCTTGGATACTATCGAGATGGAAGTGCCCGAGGCCAGAGTTTTGATCGTCATCACGGGCGGTACGATATGCATGCAACATTCTGAAAATGGACTTGTGCCGGTATGTAATGTTAATTTTGATGGACTGGAATCTTTGAGTAACTTTTCATTGCAGGGAAAAGGATTTCTGAAGAACGGTCTTGCACCCCGACCATCTTTCAACGACGGCTCATACCCCGAACCACTCGAGATTGTGACAGACCAGAAAGGCACCCGCAAAGCTGTGCAAAGTCTGCGCACTCCNCCGAGCACCTACAATCGCCAGGTGCGATACAGTGTCCTGGAATTTGACCAATTGCTTGACAGCAGCAGCATCGATGCCGAAGGTTGGGACCAAATCGCCAGAACCATTGAGCGAAACTACCAGCTCTATGATGGCTTCGTTGTCTTGCACGGTACCGATTCGCTAGCTTATACTAGCAGTGCTCTCAGCTTCATGCTCCAAAATCTAGGAAAGCCTGTCATCCTTACTGGATCGCAAGCGCCAATGATGCAGCTGCAAAATGATGCCCAGGATAACCTCTTAGGTGCTCTGGTCATCGCAGGTCATTTCATGATTCCCGAGGTTTGCTTGTTCTTCAACTTCAAGCTATTTAGAGGCAACCGCGCGACCAAAATCTCGGCCGACGACTTCAATGGATTCGCCAGCCCGAACATGCCACCTCTTGCTACTATCAGCAGTTTGAGAACAAACGTTAGCTGGGATCTTGTCTACAGGCCAAAGATCGTAAACCCCTTCCAAGTGCACTCGAATCTGGATACCGCTCATGTGGCCTGTCTTCGTATCTTTCCCGGTATCAAGCCAGAAATGGTAGATCTATTCCTACGTACAGAAGGACTCAAGGGTTTGGTACTCGAAACATTCGGCGCTGGTAATACCCCTGGAGGGCCAGACTCGCCTATGACTAGAGTTTTGGCCGATGCCGTCAAACGCGGCATTGTCATCGTCAATGTGACACAATGTCTCAGCGGCAGTGTCAGTCCATTGTACGCTCCAGCGACCTATCTCGGACGTGCAGGTGTGGTATTTGGTCAAGACATGACTACAGAAGCCGCTTTGACGAAACTTTCATACCTACTCTCGATTCCTGGATCAACCCCCGAGGACGTGGCCAAACAGATGCATAACTCACTCAGAGGCGAGTTGACAGAGAGGGGACGGACACACTTCCAACACCCCACTAGTGGCACTCTGACGCCTGAAATCTCGAGCTTGACTGCGCTTGGTTATGCTATTCAAGACGGTGACGCTTTGAGCGTAAGAGACGTCGTCAGGGGTGAGAATCGCTGGCTTTTGAACGACGTCGACTACTCTGGAAACACACCTGTGGTAAGTTGTGGTCCCTCACCAAGATCCCAAGTCAGGGGTTGCACAGTGTCTGAAGATTCGACTGACCACATTACANNGCATCTTGCAGCAACCGGGCCTAACGTTGACGTGCTGAAGGAGATGCTCAATCTTGGAGCTAGCGTTCATCTGCGCAATCGCAATGGGCGCACACCTCTNCTTGTCGCTGCGCATGCGGGACTCCCCCACCATGTCGAGGCTCTGAGGGAAGCAGGCGCTCATCTGCACTCTGATGAGCTGGACACAGCCAAGATTTTTGCAAAGTCCGACCCTCACCCAGACGTGTGGAAGCTTGCCGGTGTTGAAGAGCTGTAGACTTCACGGGAGACGTTTTCTTGTCGACAGACTTAAGGAACATACAAGGTTGACCTGATCAATTCCTTGTGCTCACCGAATATATGCTTGGTCCAGCCAATCACTTGAACCAAAAGCTTATCTCGCCTCACATACCCGATGCGTTCTGATGCCACTCAAATCGTGAGCAAGTCACTCTCCAAGCAGGGCCTGCTCCGGTGGTAAGGTGAGATGCGTACGGTCGCAGATCGTGGAGGATGCCGAATCATCCTTGGTCATTGTTTTGGACAGCATGCAATGATCTTGCAATTCAGTATCTTCAGTCAAGAATGCATGTATACTGGGTAAAGGCAGCATCCAGCTCACGCTTTTCCAGATCTAAATATAAAATTGTCGCTAATTAACGGACATAATCAACTTTTTTCCTTAGGACGTCCACTCATGCTATTCTTAGTAGAGGGCACTTCTCATCCGCATAAGCGTAATTAGTCGACATTCTTTGATTGTGTATTTCGAGTTAAGAGCGTGCTGTTGCAGGTCGTCAGATGCGTGCATGTGTGCCGCCCGGCGAAGGATGCAGAACCCCGCTTGTTTGTCAACCTCAACCCTCATCACGACTTCACCTCGCAGAAGTGATCTTGGATTTCTTTCTTCTGGACTGGTGTGGACACAGACTCGAAATCCGACATCGAGCATTCAAGGCACAGCCAGAGTGTTTCCTGTCTAGAAGGCTCGAAGAGATGCGTTCGCTTCACAACAGCAGATGAAAGAAGGAAAAGCCACGACTGATATTAGGCGCCGCCAAATACTGCCAACATATGCACTTAATCTACTAAACCATGGCACACGAGCATCTAGTCCCATCTGGAAGATCTAACGAGCCGCATTAGGGTACTATATCAGCGCTTATGGCTGCTCGGAAGAGATACACCAACATCAAAAAGTGACTTCCAACAAAGTAACCACGGCCAGCAAATTCTCCGATGCCCTATTCCCAGCCTTTGCAATGGCGAGATGGTGTCGCCAAAATCTTCTGTACAGACGCTTGACGCGTAGTGCAATGCATGGCGGCGCCTCGCATACTTCCGCCGTCCTTCCCGTCTTTGACTTGCATGACATTGCATGTATCTGCAGATAGATGTGGTAAGTTTAGCAGCTTCCTTCTTCTTCTCATCTCTCGTACGTACCAAAGCGTCCTTACTTTGACGAGTGAGCGGCAAGTGTTGGAGTATATAACATTGTTCTGTGCTCCCACTTCGGTTCCAATTTATTACCATCGGGCAATCCAAAGATCAATCTCGACTGTTTCTTTATCAAACTGGTGGCAGCACAGCATCGATTGGCTTTTGTCTTTTCTCGTCCTGCATCAATACTACCACACTTCTGGATCTTGTTTCTCAAGTTTCTTGTTCAGCCTATCGATCGATTTTCGCTATAATGTCTTCGAACATTGCTCGATTGCTTTTGACCTTCTTCTTGGCCACAATAGCATTGGCCCTGCCTACCCCCAGCACGCCGTCAAATCAAAACACCGTACCTCTCAATGGGCTTCCAGCACCCGGCGCTCTATCGCTCAAGTACATCACCCTCGGCGTCGGCACTCAGAACTACAGCTGCAGCGCCGCAGGTGCCGCCCCTACTGCCATTGGTGCAGTGGCCGACCTCTACGATGCCAGTTTACTCAAGTCACCTGTAAGGTCCTCGTTGATCCCATCATTCGCCGCTGTGGCCTACAGCACACACACGTGGTTCGATCTACCGACTCTGGGACACCATTGGTTCAGCGCTGCAGGTGTGCCGACATTCAATCTCGAGGGTCGCGCCTTCCTGAGTGCGAAGAAGGTGGCAAATGTACCGGCGCCGGCGGGATGTATCGATGCCAGTGTAGATTGGCTCTTCTTGCAGGATGATGGAAGGGGTGTGAGCAAGAATCTCAAGGCTGTCTACAGGGTCGAGACTGCGGGAGGTAGTCCGCCAGCTACTTGCAGCAGTGCTGGAGTCATCAAAGTTCCTTATGCTGCGGAGTATTGGTTCTATGGTTAAACGTTGGGCTGCAAACCAATGTCGGAGTTGGTGGGCGATGTCGATTGCGGGATTGGTGGCTTGCTTCTTGGTGGTTTCCGTTTTCGTTTTTCTTTTGGCTTTGTGAATACGCGAGTTTCATCAATCGCCAGGTGAGCTATGATACCCTGAGGCGTGGTATAGACCATTCGTTTATAGTTATTTTACATGCAATGGCAGTAATGTCCAATTCTCTACCCTGATCGTTTCTCAAAAACGGCATCAACGACAATCTTGTTTTGGAAATGCATGTTCTATCAGAAGGAACGACGCGGATCCGAGACTAACGCATGGCTCCCTTTGAATCGCGTTTGTCTCAAGCCCGCTCCATTGTTTCTCCGCATCAAATCATCATAATCACTAAATGGAGACATTGAGTATCAAATTATTCATACTATACAAAGGGACGCAAGAGATGCACCGGAAGAGAATATCAGGTGTGGAAGAAAAAAAGATTGATTATTAGATTGATCGATTGAAAAACGACAGTATACTGAACATAGAACCATAGAAAGAAAATTTCAAACCGCACCTACACATTCATCGTTAACCGAGCCCTCTTCAAGTAAAGCTTACCTCTAAAAGATGGGGACACAGAAGTACGGCAGTAAGAGCAGAACCACGATCTGTAGAGGGGGTTCCATTGAAGAGCTCTACCACATTTTCTGCAAATGCTGCCGAAGAGGACGGGGAGGTTGGAGGAGCTGGGGGTGAAGGAATTGATGTGGTTGCACATTTTGGTGTTTTGTGAGTGGGTGGCTTGATTGTGTTGGTGTTTTGTTGTCTTGGTTCAGGTTTTGGGAAGCTGTGTTGGATGTGATTCAGATGTTGACTATGCGGTGGGCTTTATAGACCTTTTGGGCGTCTAGTGACATGGTAGAACAATGTTGAGTAAGACAATAGTCTTGTGAGTTGAACAAAGAAGGCGCAGCACAAGAAGCGTTGTTGTATGGTTCATTCAAAGAACGACAATCTGAAATCATTGTTCTATTCTGACAGTCCATCGAGCCTCAACATGTTTTCTTTGTCTTCTCTTGTCTTGCATTGTCTGATGGAGCAACATGTTGTCTGAAGCCTACAGTCAGACATGGAGGATATCTTTTGTATACTGAATATTTAATCTTTTGGCACTCTCAATCTTGTTGCGACTATCCACCGAATCGCAGACAGTCAAGTCCAACCTCGAAGCTGACGTGATTATCTTCTGTGGTAGGTACTTGAGAGTAACGAAGACTGCAAAAACAGTACGCAGAGATGTCTCACCCTAATGATATTCCGATGCCCGACTACGACAACGACTATGCTCTTTTCCAGGCTGAACTCGTCGGCGGCGACACCGACACTGAGATGGGTGAAGGCTCACCAGCCACCAGCTCCTCTCCTGGCCCACTCGACTCACCCAATCCCTCTGTGCCTCTATACAACAACACTCCTCCCCACAATTTTGATATCCCAATCGCTCACACCATCGACCTCACAAGCGAGCTAACAAGACCAGGTGGTCCTCTCCCAATCTCGGGCCCCTACTTCGACATTGACATTACCAAGACGCTTGATCTGATGCTTGTGAGATACCAGCAGAAAAGTCAACGTTTCTTCCGTTTGAAGTGGGCCATCAATTATCTGTCTCAGGGTTTTGTTCCTGCATGCAAATATCCCGGTTGTACGTCGCGATGCAGAGTGGTGGACCACAACCTCAAAGTCCTGACTTGGAAGAAACTCCAACCTGATGGTGAGGATTATATGCGCTATGTGACTACTGACAAAGAGCACGCTGTTTTCCTCTGTGTGTCCTGCAGCCATGACAATTGGATGCCGTCGTTCATGTGGAAGACCAGAGTTGTTGGCTTCATGCCCGATCCTGTAGTCGAGGTCAAGACGTTTGAACGTTGGTCGACTCCCGATTTCTTCTTCAACAGGGCAAGAGATTCTGATGCTTTTCCTGGTATGATTAGCGGTCCTATCCTTTCCAGACGCNNGACAGACGTGTTCAACGCAGAACTTCGATTTAGAGCTGACTCGTGGTTTTTCCTAGAAGCTGTCACAGCTACGAGCGTCTTGAACAAGACATACAATTATTTACTTCCCGTGGTTGCTGCTGGATTAGGGCTCCGCTATGCCTAGAATAGGGTATATTAACATCAATCTAGTGGGACAGGTTCCCATATTTTCTTCTTTGACCATTTGCCGCTGTGTTCAAACGTGATGTGAATATGCATAGTGAAGTTGCAAGGATAGACGGATGTCGTCTGGCAAATTTGAATGTTATGAGAATCGTGAAAATGTTTACTTTTTTGGTTTCGTCGTCTATGCCTCTTCTGCCTTGGGCTCCTCTCCTTCTTGACCCTTTTCTCTCAGAGCCAACTTCTCGGCCTTCTTTTCGGCAATCTTGAGAGCCTTACGTTCGCCCTTTGTGAGCTTGCCGGAGGTGTTCTCTTGCTTCTCCTCGGGCTTCTTCTCGGTAACAGCCTCCTCGATGGAAGCAGTGGCGTTGGGGTTGCCCTTGAACTCGAGCTTCCTAGGGGTCATGAACTCGCGCATGATCTCGTCGGTGACCTTTGAGCGGCGCTCCTGGAAGGCCTCGACGAACTTTTGCAGCTCTTGGATACAGCGTTTCTTGAGCTCGCCAGTAGAAAGAGTACCCTTGCGGTAGCTCTGCTCAATCTCCTTGAGTTCGTCATCACTCTCGAGGAAGTAAGAGAGGTAAGCGTATGCAACATCGACGTCGGGGTTACCACCATACTTTTCGTGGTCCTCCTTTGTGGCACCGCCACCGGAGAAGGCGAAACGGTTAACCTTCTTCTCGATTTGCTTAGAAGTATCGGACATGAAGATGGCCGAGTTGGGATCACTGGCAGACATCTTGCCGCCAGGACCTTGCAGGGCAGTCAAGAACTTTGACAGAATGAGGGCGGTCTTGGGAGCGGGGAACTCCATGCGGTCGCAGTTTTCGCGCAAGAGACGGAAGTAGGGCTCTTGATCAATGGCGCATGGAATCAGAGTGGGGATGGCGGCAATGTGCTTGCGGGGACGAGCCTCTTCGTAGTTGGGAGCACGGAAGTCACCAGCACCGAACAGGGTAGGGTATGAGGAAGCAAAGGCAGCAACGCACTGCTTGGCGGCGTATGCGTTGAGACCGATATTTGTGCTGCCGTCGAAGCCCATAGCACCTCTGATCTGGTTGTTTGTGAGGAGAGCCTCGAACTCGGTGATGTTCTGGTAGAAGTGGCCGCCCATGTACTCGTAGTCGGTGTAGATGAAGGTCTTCTTCAGGTCGAAGCCCAGGGCAATGATGTCCTTGCAGTTTTGTTTTGCGTACTCGATGAAGTCGCCGAGGGCAGCGCCCTTTGTGATCTTGCCCTGGTTCTTGTTGCGGGTGTAGAGGAACTTCTCGTCGTCGGTCAACATGACGACAAGGGGCACGTCGAAGATCTCCTGCAACTCCTTGGTGAAGAGAAAGGGGACGGCGTGGCCCAAGTGCATGGAGCCAGAGCTGGGCCCGCGGCCGGTATAGAGCAGGAAGAAGCCGTATTTCTCATAGTAGTCGAGGATCTTGTCAAAGTCGCGGTGGCTGAAGAAGAGCTTGCGGCGCATCAGACGGTGCGGCGGCTTGCCAGTGACGCGCTCGAAGCGATCCAGATGCTCCTGGGTCAGGGCGGGTGTGTTGAAGCGCTCGCGGAGAGCCTCGTAGTCGATGGCAGTAACGTTTCCATTCTCGTCAACACCTCCGCTGACGTTGTAGGGGTCGATCTGCTGTTCCTTTGCTGCTTGCTTGACCTGCTCGACGGCAGGAGGCGCTCCTTGCGGCGCTCCATCGGATGATGCCATTTTGAATGCTGAGAGGGCTCAAGTTCGTGTGACTCGTCCGACTTTCTTGTCAATAACGGCTATACCCCGCTGGTCTGTGCGCTTTGTCCCTCCTGCCTGCCGCCGATTGCCAATGCCACCAAGATGCTTACTACTCTGTACCACATCCTACTCGTCTTGATCTGCCATCAAGGCCAGAAGTTAAGTCTGCCATGCTCACTTTCTGCTCTCGTGCTCCCGCAAGTGCAATGTTTCCTTTCCTCTTGCTCTTGAGCCAGGATGGTGTGTATTCCAGACTTTGGGCTACGCTCTGCAAGCTGACAAGTATCAGGTGGGCTATCTTCATAACCATGGCATCCTTTTGCAATTGCGGTTTTAGCCTCCTGGATCAAAACATGATATGTTAGTCTTTCTACAAAGCAGACAAAGATCACAATTACTGACGGCATCTCAGCGGTTCGTGGTTATGAATTGACTCTTTGTCGTAACGGGTGCTCTTATCCTCGTTGGCAATCAACTGTATCCAGTATTCTTACGATTTGCGATCTGGTGTTTGTTCAAGCTCGTACCGAAAGATTCAGAACTCCACCATACTTGCGCATTCCTGCTGCATCACCCACGCAGATGTTTCATCCTATTATTCCCCAGCATCAATACATGGTATTTGCTGGCTACTCAGTTGGGCATTGACTTCTTCCTGTGGGCTTTCTTTGGTATCCTGAACCTTGGTCTTCCCGCCATACAAAGCATGAGTGCAGGACAGCAGACACTCGTGGGATTGTTCCAAAGTCTTGGTGTCAGAGTTGGTGGTCTCTATGCAGTCCTGATCAGCAATACTGCACCAGCATTACAGATCCTCTACCTGGCAGGAATGTACATCTCTGCCTTCCCCATCATCATCTCGTTGCGTCAGACCAACATCTATGAGGAAAGATCCCTTGGCATTGAGAACGACGGCGACGAAGATGCGGACAAGAAAGGCGAAAAGTCGTACATATCCGAGCACGTACGAAAACAACTCGCCTATGATCTGTGGTGGCTTATACTGGCAATTTGGCTGATAACAATCATCGAGCGTCACGACATTGTAGCTGGAGGCGACTACTTCACCATCTGGGCCATTATTTTCGAGACATTGAGTGCGTACGGCACAGTCGGTTTGTTATTGGGTGTCCCATACGACAATTACTCTTTCAGTGGAACATGGCACACTCTGAGTAAATTGATTCTTATTTGTGTGATGATTCGGGGAAGACACCGAGGCTTGCCATATGCAATTGACAGAGCAGTGCTGTTGCCAGGAGAAGAGTTGATGGAGAAGATGGACAAGGAGGTCAATGGCAGAGGTAGCAATAAATATGGTGCTAAATGGCAGGAAGAAGAACAGAGAGTCCGAAGAGAGCAAGAGGGGTCACAAGCTGAAAACCAAGAGCGAGGACAGGACCCAGAAGGACATGATGTCGAGGGCACTGAGGAAGGGCCTTCATAAGAAAGTGTAGGGGTACCTACAAGAGCCATCACAATGCAAAGACTTGTACTGAATCACAGGTCCGGTCGATAGAGATTCGAAATGAAACAACCGAGCAGAGTGTTTCAAGGCAGACAAAGAAAGACATGTGAATGCAGACAGAGAGGCAACGATCGGCGTCGGTCAGCAAATGTCACGCGTGCGGGACCGCGGGACAGGGTCGGGGCATCTCTTGGGCCGCGCCGACTGGCTTACAAAAACTGCCATCGTCATGGCGCTGCTGACCACCAAGACTTGAGGGGGAGCAGCCTGCTCTGCTGCACATAGCATTCCACCCCAATTGCTTCCTTTTTCTTCGATACTATTTGTTTCTCCACAGCTCTCATTCACCAACCTTTACACTTTACCCACAGCATGCAACACGATGGTCAAATTCTACTCCACCTCGTATAGCTACGACTACTCTTTTCCCGCCGTGTCGCTGGCCTATTTTCTGCGCTACCCGAACCCATACAGCACCCACGTGCTCTCGACCGATGTCATCTCGCGCGAATATGACCCGGACGCTCAACGCCTGACGACAGTCCGTCTACATTTGAAGAAAAGCAAACTCCCTGCAGCCATCCTCAAGCTCCTGCCGCGCAGTATCATGGGCGGAGCTGAAAATGGTGACAGCCAAGCTTATATCCTCGAGACAACCGTCGTCGATGTCAAAGAAGGATGGATGGAGGCCGAGAGTCGCAACCTCGAATGGACCGGTGTCTTGAGCGTCATTGAAAAGCAAGTCTTCCGTCGACAAGCACTCGAATCCCAGGCCAAACTTTCTGCCGCCGTCGATCTATATGGCCAACAGCCATCTCAAAGGACCGACGTCACAACCACAGTCACGCTACAATCGCGCATTGGAGAGAACATTCGTCGTAGAAAAGCACAAAGGCAAGCCGAAGCAGAGGCCGTCGAAGAGGAGGCTCCACCAGCCAAGCTTGGTTTCTTTAAGTCGTGGGCAGCTAGTCCCATGCAGCGATCTATCGAGGTCATTGGACTCCGCCGCGCCGAAAAGTCACAGCCCAAAGCAAAAGAGGGAATGAAGGTGGTGCTCGAGCGACTGCGACAGGGCGGACTGGTCGCTGTGCTTGAAGGCATGCGTCAGGATCGTGAGCTCATGTTCGCTGGTGGCCAGGTTTGAGCTTCCTCAGACAGGCACTCGATGGAAAGTCTCTGGTCAACGACTTAGAGCACGAACGAGGAGAAGGTGGACAAATTGTATCAAGATTTTCTGGCATTGCAATAGGTTTTAGCGCGGCGTTATGGGCATGTTTTCAGCGTACATGAGGTTGGCACTGAGCAGGACAATCACAACAAGGACATTAACACGAGGTCTATCTGCTCGCCAAACGAAGGAAGGGTTGGCATGGTATTTGAGGGGTTATCTGTATTACTAGTATTCACGTCTTGAACGAATCAACTCATCTCTCTTTCGGGCATACTTCCGGACCAGTCTCTGTACAGCCATCTTGGTAGCTTCCCTCAGCCGAGCACTAACAACCCGAATTGTCCATGTTCGAATAGAAGGTGCGACGATGGTGGGAGAATAAAACAAGCAGGCGGTGGTCTGTGCTCAAGCATTTTACGAGCAGTCGCGACTCTGCGCGTCTGGAGCGGATTTGGGACGCATGTGGATGCTTCCTGCTTGGCTGCCCTTCTTTCCTTCGCATCTTGCATTGCCTTTTCGTTCCCCGTCCCCTCTCCTCAACCATCCACCGCCATCGTAATATCGGCACTTGCGCCGCCAACCATCGAATCGACATCGACTCTGTCCATTGCAGAACCAAGATCCGGCGCGCGTCTTCTATTTCTCCTGGACCAACCTTTTTAATCCACCCTCCGCCGCAAGGCGACCACACCCACCAACCCGCATCATGAACGGCAACGGAAACGGCGACCACGTCATGCGTGTATGTACCATCTTCTGCCACACCTTCCATCTTGGTTCCGGCCTCAGGCTCTCGTCTATGCTTCTGCGTCATTGCTACAGGAAGACCACCACTGAGAAAGAGCCGACGCGCCAACATATATCATAACATGTGCTGACTTTGCGACTGTAGGACGTGATCGACACGCCTGACTACACTGTGAGCTCCAAACGCGCCTTGTCACACACAAACATCGACTAATAACTATACAGNGACTCAGATACCGGCATGACTACCACAGAAAGCAGCATTGCAGGTGACCTGGACGGCAGAAAGAAGAGATGGGAAGGCCATGAGCTGAGAAAGAGCGTCTTGGGCAGGAAGCACGACAAGCTGGGCGAATCNAAAGGTATCTATCCCAGAGCACTATTATCTTATCCCGACCTCTCTTCTGACAACTCTCCACAGGAGGACGATTCTATCCGCCGATTCCGCTACCTCCTAGGCTTGACCGACCTCTTCCGCCATTTCATCGATACCAACCCCAACCCCCGCATCAAGGAGATTATGGCTGAGATCGACCGCCAAGACGAAGAAGAAAAGGCAAAAGCTGGCAAGGCTCAATCGCGCAAGGGTGGTGCAGGCGGCGACAGAAGGAGACGCACAGAAAAGGAAGAAGATGCCGAACTGCTTCGCACCGGCAAACATGAAAGCGATGAGTCCCGCACAATCTTCCGCGAATCACCATCCTACGTGCAGGGTCAAATGCGCGACTACCAAGTCGCTGGTCTGAACTGGCTCGTTTCGCTGCACGAGAACGGTATCTCTGGTATTCTGGCCGACGAGATGGGTCTGGGCAAGACTCTGCAGACAATCTCCTTCATCGGTTACCTACGCTTTGTCTGCAACATTACCGGCCCCCACTTGGTCGCTGTACCAAAGTCCACCCTTGACAACTGGAAGCGCGAATTTGCTAGATGGATCCCCGAGATCGACGTTCTGGTCCTCCAAGGTACCAAGGAAGAGCGTGCAACCATCATCAACGAACGCCTAAATGAAGAANNAAAATTCGATGTTCTTATCACGAGTTACGAAATGATTCTTCGCGAAAAGACACACCTGAAGAAATTTGCCTGGGAATATATCATCATTGACGAAGCTCACCGTATCAAGAACGAGGAGTCGTCTCTTGCTCAGATCATCCGTATGTTCAACTCGCGCAATCGTCTTCTCATTACCGGAACTCCTCTGCAAAACAACCTGCACGAACTGTGGGCCCTGCTCAACTTCCTTCTTCCCGATGTCTTTGGTGATTCGGAAGCCTTCGATCAATGGTTCTCTGGACAGGACTCTGACCAGGAAACTGTTGTTCAGCAACTGCACAGAGTTTTGCGTCCCTTCTTGCTGCGCAGAGTCAAGAGCGACGTCGAAAAGAGTTTGTTGCCCAAGAAGGAGGTCAACTTGTACATTGGCATGTCTGAGATGCAGGTCAACTGGTACAAGCGCATCTTGGAAAAGGATATCGATGCGGTCAATGGCGCTGGTGGAAAGAAGGAGTCAAAGACCCGTCTGCTCAACATTGTCATGCAACTGCGCAAGTGCTGCAACCACCCCTACTTGTTCGATGGAGCCGAGCCTGGTCCGCCATACACCACTGACGAGCATCTCATCTACAACTCAGCCAAGATGCTAATGCTTGACAAATTGCTCAAGCGCATGAAGGCACAGGGAAGCCGTGTCCTGATTTTCTCCCAGATGAGCAGACTTCTGGACATTCTTGAGGATTACTCGGTCTTCCGTGGTTACCAGTACTGCCGCATCGACGGTTCAACAGCTCACGAGGATCGTATTGCGGCCATCGACGAGTACAACAAGCCTGGTTCTGAGAAGTTCCTCTTCCTCCTGACGACCCGCGCAGGTGGTCTCGGTATTAATTTAACAACTGCAGACATTGTCGTCATCTTCGATAGCGATTGGAACCCTCAGGCCGATTTGCAGGCCATGGACCGTGCTCATCGTATTGGTCAGACCAAGCAGGTTGTCGTCTTCCGTTTTGTTACTGAGAACGCTATTGAAGAGAAGGTGCTCGAGAGAGCCGCTCAAAAGCTTCGCCTGGATCAGCTTGTTATTCAGCAAGGACGTGCTCAACAAGAAGCCAAGAAGGCTGCTTCCAAGGACGAGCTTTTGAACATGATTCAGCATGGTGCCGAGAAGGTGTTCGAAGCAAATGCTGAAGGCGCATTCTCAAAGAATGGTGAAATCACTGAAGACGACATCGATGCGATTCTCAAGAAGGGTGAGGAGCGTACCGCTGAGCTCAACTCCAAGTACGAGAAGCTCGGTTTGGACGACCTTCAGAAGTTCACTTCAGAATCTGCCTACGAGTGGAACGGCGAAAACTTCGAGAACAAGAAAAAGGTAGAGATCGGCATCAATTGGATCAACCCCTCAAAGCGTGAGCGCAAAGACCCGGCATCCTACTCGATGGATAAGTACTATCGAAACGCTCTTATGACGGGTGGCAGGACTGCCGACCCCAAGCCCAAGGTCCCTCGTGCGCCCAAGCAACAGGCCATGCACGATTATCAGTTCTTCAACCCTCACCTCGCGGATCTACAAGACAAGGAAACCGCATGGTTCCGCAAGGAGAACAGCATTAAGGCGCCGCTTGCTGAAGGCGATGACGAAGACAAGGAGCAGCGCGAACAAGACCAAGCTCTGGAACAGCAGGCTATCGATGATGCTGAACCTTTGACCGAGGAGGAACAGCTTGAGAAGGACAAGCTCGCTGCTGAAGGTTTCGGTGACTGGAACAAGCGTGACTTCCAACAATTCATCAACGGAAGTGCCAAGTATGGACGCACAAACTATGAAGATATTGCCCTCGAAGTCGACAGCAAGGAGCCTGACGAGATCAAGGCTTATGCCAAGATCTTCTGGAAGCGCTACAAGGAGATTGCCAACTGGGAGAAGCACATTGACTCCATCAATGAAGGTGAGGAACGTCGTGCAAAGGTTGTCCAGCATGGCAAGCTCCTCCGCCAGAAGATGGGCATGTACCGTGTACCTCTGCAGCAGCTTAAGATCAATTACACTGTCAGCACTACGAACAAGAAGGTCTACACCGAGGAAGAAGACCGCTTCCTCCTGGTCATGCTTGACCGTTTCGGTCTAGAGAGCGAGAATCTGTACGAGAAGATCCGTGATGAGATTCGCGAATCACCACTCTTCAGATTTGACTGGTTCTTCCTGAGCAGAACACCACAAGAGATTGGACGCCGCTGCAACACCCTGATCACCACCGTTGCTAAGGAGATGGCCGAGGCGAATGGCGAAAAGCTCAACGGCTCAAAGGGTAAGAGAGCTGCTGATGAAGAATCGAGTGAGGAGGAAGAAGTCAAGCCTACCACCAAGAAGGCAAAGGGCAATGTCAAGGTACGCCTCGAAGATTAAAAATGGATGAATTGCAACTAACAAATCTACAGNAACAAGCAGCTCGACACAGTCAAGGGCGGCAGTAAGGCGTCATCTCGCGCAGGCAGTGTAGCATCGACCGGCTCTAACGGAACCACCAAGGGCGGAGCCGCCGCCGTTGTGACAAAGAGCGGCAGAGCATCGCGCAAGAAGTAGAGTTGATCACTTCATCATCTCTTTTTTGGTTCATGGGCATTTCTAAAGGAAAGCGGAGTGGCTGGGGCGTTGATACATGTTGCTGTGATGGGATTGCTTTTCTGAATGGTTCTATTCCTTATTTTGATGACTTGCTATGCAGGAGGTGTCCTCTTACCGAAAAGGGACCTCGAGTACAGTATAAAAGAAATGAACGGCGAAGAAGTCCGCTTACCTTTTGCTTGAACCAATGTCCCTTCCTTTGACGACGTTATACTCTCTCTCTCTCTTTCTATTAGTCAGGCAGACATCGGAAAAGTCGATGAGGAAGACATCCAGAAGCAAGATAAGTCGGAGACTGAGAGCATAAGCACTAATGCTCGTACACGAATGTTCCTTTGTCACAGTGCTGTGGTTTTGTCGTCGCAGTTATTCGTAACGGAGGACGACCTCGTACCCCACTCAAAATGCCGACCGCGAATTCCGCTTTCCTCGGCCGCAGACTTCGGCCGAGCCCTCCGCGGCGGATAACCAATCGGAGCATTGAGCGCCCTTCGGTACCGGTACCGCTGCCCTTATCAGATCCGATGTGGGCTGCCGGAAAGCACGCCAGGCAAGGTCGTGGGAGACGAGGGAGGAGGTATAAAGAGTTGATTGTCTGGTCGGTATCCAAGTGCTGCTCTGTTTGTTCCTTCCCTCAAGCCTTGGAAAAATCTGTTGCGAAGACACCATGTCCATTTTGCCGAATATTGCAGTAATTGGTGGGAGTTATGTTGGTATGGTCCTCTTCACTCTTCCGTATCTAGATACATATCTCGTCTAATCAGATCAACTAACGTCTCGTCTTCANGGTGTAAACACAGCTCAACAACTAGCCACCAAATTCTCAGGACGCTTCCAAGTGTTGTTGATTGAGAAGAACTCACATTTCCAGCACTTGTTCGCCTTTCCACGATTTGCGGTGACGAACAAGGTGGATACGCACAAAGCATTTATCCCTTTTACGCCGGGCACATTTGCGAATTGTCCAGTGGGAAGTGGTGTTGTGGTCCGAGCAGGTGTCAAAAAGATTGACAAAGAGGAGATTTGGTTGGATCGCAAGGTCGAGGTGAATGGCAAGGGGCTGGATAGGATCCCTTATGCTTATCTGGTGAGTATGAGGAAAGGTGTTGTCTTCGAGTGGCTTTTGCTGACAAGAATATACAGNGTCATTGCGACAGGCACAAAACTGACGCCGCCGTCTACATTGCCTTCCTCTGATAAAGCGGATGGAGTCACCTACTTGCAAGAGCATGCGAGGAAAATCGAGTCAAGCTCTAATATCGCCATCATCGGTGGGGGTGCTGTCGGTGTACAAATGGCCACCGATATAAAGGAGATTTATCCCCAGAAGATGGTGACGTTGATACACTCGAGAGAGCAGATCATGAACAAGTTTCATCCACAGCTTGATCGCATTATAAAAAACCGATGCGAAGAGTTGGGAGTGAAGCTGAAGCTTGGCTCAAGGGTCAAGTTGCCAGCAAAGGGATATCCAACTGATGGATCGACGTTCAATATCGAGTTGCAAAACGGTTCGACTGTGTCTACAGACTTTGCTGTATGTTTCGAGCACTATAATGAAAACTCGTTTGCTGATGATCGATTTCTCACANNGGTTATCGCAACTGGTCAGACACCACAATCAGAGCTCATCCGAGCCCTCTCGCCAGATTCCATCGACGACACTGGCTTCGTGCGTGTACAGAGAACGCTTCAGATCAACGATACCAAATTTGCAAACATCTTCGCGGTCGGAGATGTTGCTGATACCGGAGCCCACAAAGCTGCTCGCCCAGCACTCAGACAAGCTCCTGTGGTTGTGGAGAACATCGAGCATCTGGCAAAGAATGAGCCTCTAGAAAAATACGAGGTAGCAGAGGGACCCTCCATTCATCTGACATTAGGCATTGTAAGTTTTCTGTCCTTTACGTAAGCTTGATCCTCTTGCTGACTGCTACACAGNACGAAAAACATCAAGTTTATCAACTCGCCAGGCGGCGCTCCAGAGCCGAAGGTCATTTGGGCTGACGATGGGTGAGTTTTCATGGTATCCTTTTCCTGCTCTAGCGTATGTGAAACTGACAGATTGGAAAACAGAAAGTTCGATATGGGAATTGACGGCGTCTGGCAGCGAAGAGGTGGTGGTCCTAATTCTCTTCTCTGAGAACGCTTGGTCGTTCAGCCATTTCATATTCTGGGGATGCGAAGGGAGCAGAGCTCATCGACCCTCTGTAAGACAACCGCGATGTGCAGCACACCTGGTCACCCTGGTTGGTTGACAACAAGGTTGTGCCATAGTCTGTCAGACTTATAGCAATGACAGTAGATTGTCTTCAGATGCGAGGAACCCACAGAGAGAGCCGAGATACTGAAGGCTCTCGATGGACATTGCTTGGTTTCGAGAATGCATTGCGCCTCTTAATAGCTCAGATGTTGCTCTCCAGCTTGTGATGGAGGAGGGTATTCATCTGTCGAGTAGTACTTCTTGAAACTTTTTAGGGCCAAATCGAGTCGTCACGAGCTCATACCTTGATGGGTCTTTGACAGAGTGTTCAAGTAGGACCGAGAATGGAACCAGTATTCTCATTGTTTCTCAGCGATCGATTCTTACTGCTCGTATCGTGAGAAGGATTTATTTGCTCGCTGTGCTCAAAGCGGTTGATCGGATCGGACACAAGGTCGTAAGAGTAGGTATTGACTTGAAATGAGCTTCCCTTCAAATCTTCTTGTCACGATCTGTTTCTCGAAAACTCGATGCTCTGAACCAGTGACGATGTTGAGGAAAATCATCAAAAGATAGCTCCACTCTGGTACTGACTTCATGACATGTCTTGGCGACCAAACGTCACCAATCCACCACTCGTGCCCCTCATTGACATTGCATCATCAGCATATGCAATCGGCTCGATCGATTGCAGCAGTAGAAATACTTCTTCAGGTCGTATGAGAGCAGATTTTCTTTCTTCATCACACTCGAGCTTCTCCAATTCACCTCTCAAACACCTTCAAATCAACCTCCAACCACACAAACCATCAACATGTCGGGATACGAAGGACAAGACCCCATCAAGATCGCTGAGCAGAGCGAGCGCGAGTTGAACTCCCACGCCGCTAAGCACGGCCACAACGCCGATATCTCCTCCAAGCACGGTCACGGTGCCAGTGACAGCAGTAAGTTTTTTCTGAAACCAGGACTGAAGGTTCCGGTTGGATATACAGTCCTCTATACCTTCAAGACTTACATTGACTTACAACGGTATACTAACATCACCCTAGCCCTCGAGTCTGGTGTCGACGAGGCTGGAGCGAGCAGATTCCCTGGCGGCAGCGTCTCTGTCGGTGGCCAAGGTGCCAGCAACAACAGACCCCTCCCTGAGAGCGAGGGTGGTGACATCAACCCCTCCACCGGCAAGCTTTACAAGGCCGGCGAGTTCGAGGGTGCCGGAGGTCCCGAGACCAAGGCTCAGCTCCACCGCGAGAACGACGGCGGTGACGACGATGTGCGCTCCAACGTCCGCAACTGAACGTACTGTTGAGTACATCATTCGCCCGAAACATGAGACGAATGTTCAGCAACAGCCCCATGCCCTTTGATAGGGACGAGCTATGAGATGAGGGATGTCATGATACCGTTCTGAGAAATCGGAAAATTTCAATGCTTGCGACGTCGAGAAGCAGGAGCGTTCTCCGTCGACTATGCAGTCATGTAAAATTAGCTATGAGACATGAAAAATGACCATAATCCATACCTTTTATCTTGTTGTTGCCATGGTATGAAGTCGAAGCTGCCAGAGATCCACAGTTGCGTTTTGTAGAGCCTCAAGTGTCCACAATCGTGTAGAGCCTCCAAATTATTCAGAGCCTCAAAGTACGGATGCGACCGGTCCATCGGCCAACTCCGTAAGCCGCCGCATGAGAGAGTCGTGAACATCGAGTGATTGACTGATAGATAAACACTTCCTCCGTGTAATACTTTTTGGCTCTTGTAGGTCTGTCTTTTTTACATTGTGTAGCAACATCTCGACGGAGCGAAAGCAAACCCCTTGCTCAATCACACCACTCTGCGCTGAGACAGCTACTCCCACAATGTCAACTCCAGCACGCCCGTTCATCACATGCCACGTCCTTGAGACCGTGTCGGGTCGTCCGGCACCCAACATGCACGTCACCCTCTCGCTCCTCTCGCCCAAGCGCTCCAACCTCTCTTCTCCCACCGTCTTCACCGCATCCACCAACTCCGACGGCCGAGTGACTGCCTGGCAGTCCACTCAAGAAGGCGGCACCGTCACCACCTCCGAGCTCGATCACTTGGTCAACACATTGAAGTCCGAGCTCAAGAGCGACGACCAGATGAACTGGAGCTTGGTCTTTGCGACCGAGGAGTTTTACGGCAAGGGGAAGACCTTCTGGCCAGAGGTCGAGCTCAAGTTCTGCACGAGCAAGGATGAGAGACACTATCATGTTCCCCTGCTCTTGGGTCCATGGAGCTACACCACCTACCGCGGCTCATAGATTGAGAGACAACCAGAGCTGAGATGCCATATGAGAGCATGTTCTGAGACCAGCAACCAACGACATACGAGAAAAACGAACAAGGAGACAGGATAGAGACGACTCGCAAGCATCTAGGCAGTCAGAAAGATACCGTGGGAATGGGAGAAACACAACAATGAAACCCTTGGTGAAGGGTTAGCATACTCGCCAAACACAATACAATTCAGTACATCCAAGAGCTCCCAGCGTACGTCTCCATGTGTATTTGTGTCCTCTCTCTCAGGAGTACTGTTGTGGGTCACTCCATTGATGAGCCTTGGTTTTGTCACATCACACGAAGCAATGCTGGCAAAATATTATGATACCAAGTCGGACTGGCTAGCGGGGCGACCCTGGTCCTGAAACCTTTTTACGTTTGTGTCGGCGATCTGATGTTAACGATACCCTTTGGAGGTATGTGCAACTCGCATAATGGTCACATGCTTTAGCTAGAACGTGTATATGATCTGCTTCGACATTCGTCAAGATAAAGTGGTGGTTTCCAAACATCCAGGAAGTCTGCATCAATCACAGCAATGGAGGCGTGTCACATCCTGGGTAAGCACGGACACGAGAGACTTGTTTACTGTATAAGAGTGATCTCCAAGTCTATGCACACTAAAGCGTTGTAAAGCATTGCTATCAACATTGCACACAAAATAGTCAAGTGGGTGTCAAGGCTCTCGAGAACACGAATACATACCTAGGGCTGGGTCTCGGTATATGCCCGAGCCCTGGAGCGGGCCGTACCTCTGCCGATCAGGGTCAAAGCACCAACCACCTTCCACTGTTTCTTCTTCACAAGTCCTCCACGTCGAGGTTCGAGCAGCCTGGAAATCATCACACTGGCCTTGTAGGTATGGTGGAGATGATACAGTCCATTTTGATCATTTCACATTTCGATCAAGGCACCCTCTACCCATGACGAGTCAGGCGCATAGTGACTGTCCTCTAATTGTCTTCGATGACAGGCCGACATGTCTCAAGACTGCTGCGCATGCCCAAGTCCACATAACTCTAGATGTGCCCTTATAGGTATCCTGTTGCATCGACACTTCTTTGTTAGGTCAAGGGACCACTTATTCTCATAGTGAATCATTAGAACTTGCCAACGGGACCGTTTATTCCAACGGGCTGCAATGTTTGCCATTTGTTCTCGAGTCTTCGCGCGTACGACGACGGCGTCTTCGTTCTCTCAGTTGTGGTTGCCCTAATCATCGAGTAGTTGTTCCTGCTTCTTTCGTTTTGTTGCGTCGTGTCAAAAGCGCATCACAGGTGACCGTCTGGCCATCACAACGTTACTTCAAACACACACATACACACACTCCTTTTCTTGTCAGCCTAGACGGCGATCATCAACTTTCCAGCGCAATACTTGTTTTAATCAGCACATTTCCTCCGACACTACTTGCACGTGGTATCACAAGAACCTCATCATAACCATCCGACAAAGTCACTTGCGCATCACATCTATCGCGCAAAATAAACCTTCACCAACAAGACGATCGCTTCGACTTCTGATATATATCATACACTGCAGTCTCATCCTGTAACCCACGTTCGTTAACGCAGTCATGAATTTCGCTACCTTCTTGACGCTCTTCAGCTCCAGCGTTTCCGTTTTGGCAGCATCTGCCGCTGATTGGCGCTCGAAGTCTATCTACCAAGTCCTGACCGATCGGTAAGTTTACTGATTATCTCGAGGATTTCCTACTATCGACTAACAGTCTCACNNCAGATTCGCACGTACCGATGGAAGCACCACAGCCGCCTGCAATCCCGTCGGCAAATACTGTGGTGGCACTTACCAGGGCATCATCAAGCAACTGGACTACATCCAGAACATGGGATTCACTGCTGTAAGTTTTCCATAATGTGGCGTCAAGCCGCTGAACGACAAAAGCTGAACTCAGAATAGNATCTGGATCTCTCCTGTTACTTATCAGATACAGACCTGGACACCCTACGGCGAACCATGGCATGGCTACTGGCAACAAGACCTGTACAAGCTCAACAGTGCTTTCGGCACTGCAGACGATCTCAAGGCTTTGGCCACGGCCCTACACAACAGAGGCATGGTGAGTTGGATGCACAGCCGACCATCTGAATTTTGACTGATGATCCTCTAGTATCTCATGGTCGACATTGTTGTGAACCACAACGGCTGGAACGGTAATGCGAGTTCAGTCGACTACAGCATGTTCAAGCCCTTCGACAACGTCGAGTACTACCACAACTTCTGTGATGTCGACTACAGCAACAACACCAGCATCCAAGACTGCTGGTTGGGCGACTCGAACGTGGAGCTTGTCGATCTTCGAACAGAAGATGCTGTAGTCGCACAAGAGTACCAGACATGGATTCAGCAGTTGGTCGCCAACTATTCCAGTAAGTCAGTGAACATCAGTGCAGAATCTTGGCTTATCTTCTGTTANGTCGATGGTCTCCGCATCGATACTGTCAAGCATGTCGATACTGCATTCTGGCCTGAGTTCGGAGAAGCCGCTGGTGTGTTCGTCACGGGCGAAGTGACCAACGGCGATCCATACGGTCTTTGCCCTTACCAGAACTACATGGACAGTGTTCTGAACTACGCGATGTACGTGCAAAGTCTAAGGAACAACGTTTCTTCTTGCTTACATTGCTCAGGNTATTACGCAGCCACAGATGCCTTCTCCTCGACTGCTGGAAGCATGTCCAAGTTCGTGAATCAACTGAACGGCATGAAGAGCCAATGTAAAGACACCAGCGTTCTTGGATCGTTCTCGGAGAACCATGACCAGCCTCGCTTTGCATCGTTGACCGAGGACATGTCCTTGGCTAAGAATATCATCATCTACACAATCATGGGCGACGGGATTCCCATCTTGTATGAAGGTCAGGAACAGCACTACAGCGGTGCCAAGGACCCCTACAATCGTGAAGCTGTCTGGCTGAGTCAATACAACACCGGCGCACCTCTTTACACTCTCACAGCAAGCGCAAACCAGATTCGCAACCATGCGATCTTCGTCGATGAAGACTGGCTTACTTACCGGAACTGGGTCATCTACAGCGACAGCGCCAACGTCGCTATGCGCAAAGGATATGACGGATACCAGACCATCACTGTTCTGACCAACAGGGGTGCCAGCAGTGCTGGGTATACTCTCAGCGTTACTAACACTGGATATGAAAGTGGTACGAAGGTTGTGGACGTCCTGTCCTGCGAAGCTTTGACTGCAGGAAAGGATGGAACCCTCACGGTATCCATGTCACAAGGTCTTCCTAGAATCTACTACCCACTGGAGCTGTTGGATTGCAGTGGCATCTGCGGATACTGATATCTCATCGAACCTCTTATGCCTTTGGGATAAGACATGCTTTGCTAGACAAGCTAAAGCTCAGGATCAGCTCTACGACATTGCTACGAACTCCTTTCCGTCACCTACTTCTTCTCCCATGCTCATATCCAGCGATTGGATTGGTAATAGGCATATATAGGGATCATACATAATTCCAACCAGGTTTTCCTTCAAAGTTGCATCGTTCAATCGTCACAAACGGGATGTTTTTGATATCGAGCACATGAAATTTTCTTCTGCACATGTCCGCTCAAGACGTCACAGCCGGAGACCCGACAGCTTGCAGCCGCTTTTGTCATCTTTGATCCAAGGGTCTTTGACTCTTCGCTACATCATCCCGCGCCGTTGCGAAAGCTTGTCTTGGTATTGGAGATCGTGAGCCCTGCAGCAACACATTGCAGATATCCAAACTCGAGATACAAGCAAAGAGTTGCAGAGTAGCAGAGATGTGGAGAAGCAGAGGTTAAATGTACTGCATGCATGAACTACTGGTGTACTGATGTTCTTGATGAAACAGAGTGATGGACCGTGAACCTGGAAACTCGATGCAGAGTGTGGAGGTTCGGATGTTTCGGGAAGCGCCGACCTTAAAGCTCATTCTGGAAGCATGGCAGCGTCATAGCATCTGGAAAGCGTAGGATCTTCGAGGAATTATTGGTGGTTCTGTGAGTGCGGCTTGCCGTTGAGTGGTCAAGAAAGGGCATTCGCGCGGGAGTCAGGATGGGACGATTTCATGCGTGGCGTCATGCGTGACGTTGTCGCGCTGGTGATGTAGGAGGACGGCTCTGTTGGCAGGCCCAGCAAGGATATTAACCTCGACCTCCTGCCACCCAGCCACAGACATTCTTGATCATCTCATCTTCAGCTCATCACCCAGCGACCCACCGGCAACCTATTCCAGCCACCGACTCCTGTCACCCTTATCAACTCTACCTATACGACTAGTTTATCTCAGCCTCAATCAAAATGGTCGCCAAGATTATCAACCTGGCCATGCGCGGCCTCCAGGTAAGCTCTTACTACCGTGTGTTCCAAGTTATACCCCAGTCTAACATGCGACGNCAGTTCCTCTGGGCCCTGCTCATCATGTCCCTCATTGGTAACATGATCGCAACATCATACTCTGGCAACCCCTCGATTGTCAACTACAGCATGTTCGTCGCCGTCTTCAGCATGCTGTCGTTGTTCTACCTCATTCCGGCAAGCATCAAGGAGTCATTCATGATCCACCCTCTCCTTGTTGTTGGTCTTGATGCCTTGAACGCTATCTTCTACTTCTGCGGTGCCGTTGCCATGTCGGCCTACCTTGGTGTTCACAGCTGTGGAAACTCTGTAAGTGTTGAATCTCTTCGTTATGACGGACCATAGCCTAATAAAATGACANNGTCTTACACCCACAACAACTCCATCACCAACGGCTCCCCCGACACCAACAAGCGCTGCACTGAGGCCCAGGCTTCGACTGCCTTCCTCTGGTTCGGCTTTGCTGCCTTCGTCGTCTCTGCTGTCTTCTCTGGTCTGCAAGGCCGTAACTCCGGCGTCAACATGCGCGGTGGTGCAGGCGGTATCAGAAAGGGACCTGCCATGAGCCAGGTTTAAGCGCCTCCTCGCAGAAAGTTCTTTTCTCGAAACGAACCACCCACCCCACTGAACGCAGCAGATCACGCTTGAAGCAACACCATGCGCGTTCCTGAGACTGGTTCTTGTACAACAGGTTCTGACGACGACGACGATTAACGGTCCGTCGGCTTTCTTCTTTCGTATTTCTGTACTATATTATCACGACTTGCATGAGACAAGAGGCAGCGGGAAGGCGTTAATGTTCTTGGACATGGTATGCGCTGGTTGATGGATGATAGCGCGCTAATGTTTATTGCGAGTATAATACCATAAGTCGAATTCACCTAATAATAGAATGATTATCCCTGCATCGATTTCCTGACCCTTTCCAAGCGATCCTTTGACCTTATGCCTTTGACCTTTTACATGCTGGATGTTATGACTGAGACAACTCAGTATTGCAAAAAGACAAGCTAGAAGAGGGGGCCACGTACTGAGAGTGGTAAATTACTGCTGGGAAGGTTGCATTGTCTCTTGCTGTTGGGATGCCATAAGTTGTTCTAGCGGAGCACTTCTGCCAGGGACAATGTGCTTGTCGCGGATGGTGTGGGACTGGCAAGCAAGAGGAGCAGGACATGGGACCCCGTTGAACTGAGGAACAGCACACTGTCTGTCGATATTGACATGTTCTCTTGTGGCAGACAGGGCAGACGGATCGTTGTCTGAGGCTTGTGGAGGGGTGCCACTAGTACCAGCATCGGGGGCAAAGCGCGGGTCCTGGACGGCAGGCTGTGCGTTAAACTGCATGGCCATTCTCGAAGTTCCAACAAGTCGAATAACAGCGACAAGGGTACGTTTGTGTAGACAGAGAGTAAGCAGGGACAAAAAGCAGAAGGCGCGTGAGAGGTTGTGGTAGGACCCGAGGCAGGTGCTTGGAGCGCAGTTACCAGATTGGGAAAGGTAGTGCCAAGCATCTCCTGGTGTTTCGGCGAGCATGCTAGCACCAGCCAGACAGCTCCCGTCAACACAAGTCCCTCTCCCGACCATGGGCCCGCAACAATAATCTGGCTAGAAAGAGAAGGACGACACACCANGGACCCATGGCAGACACACTTCACAACGCGCCAATTGTGCTGGACAATGGCAGCGGCACCATCAGAGCTGGCTTCGCAGGCGAAGACGCGCCCAAATGTTATTTCCCGTCCTACGTCGGCCGTCCCAAGCACCTGCGCGTACTGGCCGGCGCTCTCGAGGGCGATGTGTTCATCGGCCAGAAAGCACAAGAGCTGCGTGGTCTGCTGAAGATTCGCTACCCGCTGGAACACGGCATCGTCACCGACTGGGACGACATGGAGAAGATCTGGCAACATGTCTACACCGAAGAGCTCAAGACACTGAGTGAAGAGCACCCCGTCCTCTTGACTGAACCGCCGCTCAACCCTCGCTCCAACCGCGACACGGCTGCTCAGATCTTGTTTGAGACTTTCAACGTTCCCGCCCTGTTCACCTCCATCCAAGCCGTCTTGTCCCTATATGCCTCAGGCAGAACCACTGGTATCGTCCTGGACGCGGGTGACGGTGTGTCGCACGCCGTGCCTGTCTATGAAGGCTTTGCAATCAACAACAGCATCCGCCGTATTGATGTTGCTGGTCGAGATGTTACCGAACACTTGCAGACGCTCCTCCGCAAGTCTGGCTACATCTTCCATACCAGTGCCGAGAAAGAGGTGGTGCGCATGATCAAGGAAAAGACAAGTTACCTCGCTCTCGATCCCAAGAAAGAAGAAAAGGACTGGTCTACAGGCAATGCCAGACAGGACGGCAAGACGGTTGAGTACACCCTTCCTGACGGCCAGAAGCTCAAGGTACAACCACGTGCCCCTCATACACACCTTCTTAAGCTTACCTTGTTCTGCAGNATTGGCCCCGAGAGGTTTAGGGCGCCTGAGATTCTCTTTGATCCTGAAATCATTGGTCTCGAATATCCCGGCGTTCACCAGATTGTCGTCGATGCCATCAGCCGTACTGACATGGACTTGAGGAAATCTCTCTTCGCAAATATCGTCTTGTCAGGAGGCTCGACCTTGACAAAGGGCTTCGGTGATCGCCTGCTGCACGAGGTTCAACGTCTGGCAGTCAAAGACATGCGCATCAAGATCTTCGCACCGCCCGAGCGCAAGTACAGCACGTGGATTGGTGGCAGTATTCTTGCCGGTCTCAGCACCTTTAGAAGGGTCAGTACTCCCTCATTTGTTGCGCAACCTGCTTCCAGACTGACGTGACGATCCAGNATGTGGGTGAATATCGACGACTGGCACGAGAACCCCGAGATCATCCATACCAAATTTGCGTGATACATGACGCGATTCTTGCAATGCTTGACGACAAAGCTATGCCACCACCTCGACAAGAACAACAACTCATCCTGCAACATATCCTCTTGGCACACTGGTTGTGACACCTCATCGCTCGCCCCTATCCCCTCAAACGCCTGGTCTGGAACAGCAAATATACGAGTCACCGTCGAGTAATCCGCCCGAGCACCTGACCGAAACGCTTGAGACTTCCCAGTCCAGACATGCTTTCCTGAGCATCTCCCCGCATTGCGGCATCTCGTGCAGACCGTTTCTCTATTCTGGACAGCAACGCCCTGGCTCTGGATGCGGAGAAAGGTTGGGCCAAGAAGAAGCTACGTTCCGTGCTCCCTTATGATGATGCCCGGCGCCGACCGCCCTTCACTACAGGCCGTAGGCTTGGGCTGAGATCGCCCGCCGCGCGGCTAGACAAGGTCCAAGACACAGGCTGGGCAATATACGAGTAAGGAGAAAAGTGAGGGGAAACCGTTACATGGTAGGGCGCACTTTGTGGGGAAGACCAAGGAAAAAAGGTACACACAACTCCCAATAGCCGTAGTCCGGGGCTACCGAACAATACAACCCCTCAGAGTTCCTTGCCAATACATTACCAAATAGTTTCTGTGACTTCTCGTAAACCATTGACGAGCCAAGTCAGTAGACAGGGGACGAATCAGAAAGAGACGAATGTCGCATTCGGAAGGAGCGAGCACTACAATTGGCTTGTACCGTACCTTAACGAAAGAGCAAATCATGTGGCCTGACCAAGCACGATTTGAACGAAACGATTCGCTTGGAAGGGGGAGACCACAATTGAAAGCAACAAATCTCATTTCTCTCAGTGTTCACGTGTACAGGTGCTACGGTCTCCAGGGGCAAATTTGGTCTCTCTCTCCGGCAATAGCGGTGCGTACGAGCGGTGTGTGGCTGTCGTCGAAGGACAGGAAGAAGGTCACACGCATGGGGGGTCGGTGTAGGAGAGCCGCAAACAGCATTGGTGTTCGATTGGAGCTTCCATTGTTGGCAACGACACAATATTAGTTCGGTACGGAAGAGCTCCGCCCCGTGGTTTGCGTGTCTCTCCTGACCTCGAGGCAACGAGGAAGCATCATTAGTTATTGGGATGCAGCAGGTTTCTTGGATACGGTGAGTTGAAAGGTTTCCAAGGCAAGTATCAGTGGCTCACTCATGCTTAATCTTGTGGTATGTCGAGGGAGTCCTGTAGCAGGCAAATGCCACTGAGGTGATAGCATCATCGTCGCAACAGATGTTCTCATCCTCCATCTCCTTGTTTGGGTTCTGAACCCATGGGTCGTGCTGTCACAGCAGGCGCAAGTATGATTTGCTAATACCCGCGGACGCCTTACCGAAACTTTCCTAGTCGATGAGCATTTCATGGGGTAATAGCGTCGATTCTGAGCATTTCATGGGGGTAATAGAAAATCAGGTACCGGTCTTGGCTGGTTCGGACAGTGAGCTCATCTCACTGCGAGTTGGGAGGTCGACGAGGGCTTGTCGTCGTCAGCAAAGACGAAAGGCGAAAGTCCTTTACAAAGTCTGCAAAAAACGAGGCTGCAAATTGATCGGGCTCCTCCGAAGAGGCCAGAATGAACTGGCAGCTGATGTGAGCAAGCAAGCGCTGCGCAAAGTGAGGTGCGGGCCGGGCGAAAAGTTTTTTGACGCCTTTCGGGTAACGGTTCATCAGCTTGCACCAAAGCCAAGGCTTGTGACCACACTGCCGTTTGACGCTTTCCAGCTTGAGGAATAGTGAGGAGAAACAGCTGGAAGTCATTTGCAAATTTTTGCGCACGCGTGGTGGTGGTGCAATTCTTGGTCCGGAGTGCGTTGCTTTCTCGATCGTGATGTGTCAACACTCGATCCTGCTCTGCTTTTCATATATAGACCCCCGCTCTTGCCTCTCGTAGTTGCTTGTTCATACCACAACTGTCCACCACACTTTCTTTCACACACGCCTCGGATTATCAAATCCACTTGAGCTTTATACCAACAATCATCTATCACAACAACAACAACAATCACACATCTTCAATCATGGTCTCATTGAGCTACCTCATCAACGAGCCTCACCCCTCGGCTCCTAGAGGCAGAAGTACAGCATACCTTGGCTCTGGACGAGGAGGCGCTGGAAACTACGCTCGCTACAAGGTTGAGGAGCTTACTGTCGGCAACGAGGCCACTGGTCCTGCATCCCGTAGTGCCATCTCTCCTCCNCCATCAACCCAGAAGTACACTTCTGGTAGAGGCGGCATGGGAAACACTTTCACTCGCCAGGAAAGCCAGAGAGCCATCTTCTCCTTCGACGAAGAGCTCGCCCGCGACCAGAAGCTCATGGATGCTCGTGCCAAGGCTCCTGTCTACCACACTGGTAGAGGAGGTTCTGGCAACTTTGTCGACGAGATGAAGCCTTCCGCCAGCCGCCAGAACAGCGCCGCTTCCGTCTCATCAAATGGTTCATCTGTGTCCGACAAGGCACGCCGCATTGGTGGTGCTTTCCGAAGCCTGAGCAGAACCTGGAGCAGAGACTCTACCCGCGAGTAGACTGCTCTCCTACTTCACTCATGCCACGCCTCACGACACCTTCACGACCATCAAAAAAAGTTTTTGTTTTCTATCATTCCATCATCATCATCAGCATCATGAGCATCAAACAACCAGCGAGGAGTTCTATCATCTGGATGAACATCCTCGAGCAGAGGGCATTCAACCATGGAGCATTTCGTCTCTCGTCTTCCTTCTACACAACCAAACGGGATCTTTTGGGAGTCTTGAATCATCATTTTTCGATACCCAACTTTGCATTCGAGATGTGCCACCATTTTCTTTCTGGCCATCTCTGCAGAAGCATCCCCTTGCGAGGGCACACCTTTCCACTCTTCAATTCTTGTTCAAAGATTTTCTATCTAGCCAAATTTCTTCATAATGTATCAAAAACCACACTTTCTCAGAAGACTTTTAATCCTTGCCACTTGTTGCCTTGCGATGACCCGTGTATCTCAGTATGAATCAGATGACTTGTACACCTTCAAATGTTGCGTGTGTGCTGTGCGCCTTGCCCTCGTCAACATGTCCTTGAAAAACCTGGCATCATCGATGCCGAAAATGACGTGTGCAGCAACCACTTCCCAGACAACCAACCACGTTCCGGATTCCGATCCACATGTTTTCACGGATCACTCTCCTCCTTTTTTTCAAAATTTTCTCTTTAATTTGCTAGAGAGTGTGCCCTTTGTGCTTGCCGATCTGCTTGATGATCCGGTTCGGTGTTCGCAGTCGCTCGAAGCCGATGATGCGACGGTGCTGCCGGTTGCCGGGTGGTTGATCCGCTCGCTCGCTCTTGCCGCTGTTCTCCATGGAAACCCTTCCATAGCTTTTCTAGAAGGACTTGGCAAGCAGCTGACTCAAGCCGTGAATGCACTTGACTCAAGTCTAGCCCAAATGTTTGCGACTTTTTTGCTCACGCGAGTTGTTAGCAACATTCACCAAAAACTATCCACACCTAGCATGCTCAGGGGTAGACACATAGCCATCATACAACGCACGGCCATCTCTCGATTTAGTAGTCAACATGGACTTTTCAGACGACAAGGTAAGGGCGAAAGTCCACGGGTGATGAACGTGGCCGTAAAGGTGGCAATCGCCAAAGAAATGCCTCGAGACAGCAAAAGAATACTGACGGGTTGAAAATCAAAGGATCATCACCGTGATACCCATGCCATCCCACCGCAATTTATCCAAGAGCAATATTGGCATTACAACAAAGTCAAAATCTCGGATCTGGAAAATGATGAGAGTGTGGTAAATTGGGATAAAGGTTTGAATGAGGAACAAGCAAAAGTGCTCAAACCAGTCAGCACCATATCCAAGTCTGCGATTGAGAAGGCTTGCATTGCTTTTCGAAATGCTGCTCTAGGGACGGAAGGGGATGAGTCGCCGCTGGAGACTGAGATTGAGGATGTAACTGTTTATGAGCACACAGATTTTCCAGGTAAGTTTTGTATCTGGGAGCAAGCGCATACGAGAAACAGATGTATTGAACGACATACAGGACTGCAAATAGCGCCAGGAATATTACCTCCCGAAACTCAGGTCCTCTGGATATCGCAGATCATGCACAAGTACATGGCCAATCCCAAACATACGATCAACCTACAAGCAGATTTCGATATTGAATATCCAGAACCAGAAACCGAGGACCCAGAGGAGACTCCGTCCTTGTTCCGCTATGACCCTCAATCCATACACGCAGCACCAAAGAACCCGGAAACTCAAAAGTCCCTCAACATGGCACAAATGCTATCAAGAAAACTCCGCTGGTTAACGCTAGGCGAGCAATACCACTGGCCAACTCGCAGTTATCCCAGGAACGGGCCTACAACCTTCCCCTCAGATCTAAGCACACTGGTAAGCGGTTTGTTCCCACACATCCGACCAGAATCCGGCGTGTGCTTGCTGTACGGACAAAAAGATTACATGCCAGTCCACCGCGACGTGAGCGAACTTTGCGAACGCGGCCTTGCTTCCTTTTCTTTTGGCTGCGATGGCATCTTCGTGATCGCAAGAGGCGAGGCCGAGCTCCAGGAAGGAGAAGACCCGAAGAAGAGAACCGTAGCCATCAGGGTCAGAAGCGGCGATTGCGTACACATGGACGGCGAAATCAGATGGGCGTGGCATGCCATGCCTCGCACGATACCAAACTCGTGTCCGCAGTGGTTGGCCGAGTGGCCTGCGGTCAAGGGTGACGCGGCGAAGAGAGTCAGTGATAAAGAGCGCAGGGCTTATCAACGGTGGAAAGGATTCATGGGAACCAAGAGGCTGAATGTCAGCGTCAGGCAGGTCTGGGATTGAGGAAAGAAGCGAGCAGTTGGTGTTGGGAAGGCACGGCCGTTATGCATTGCTGCTTATTTGGGCTGTGGATTGTGAATTCCTTGGACTGGTCTTGCCTCAAAATCGAGCACTTCAATCGACTGAGCTACCAGGCCAATACAACTCCCTTTAATCAACAAATTCTCCCAGTTGTCTTGTTTACACAATCTTTATGTTGTCCTCGAGCCAACTTCGATTCAGAACAATGATTAAATCCGAGTGAAACACACCTGGTGCGGCATCAAATGAGGCTGAGATGCAGTCGCTGTGCCACAACCGCCGTGAAGGAGCATTGGCCTCGGATACCTCACAACCTCAGATCCCGCCTTGTTTTCCACCCACAACCGGGCACAGCCCAAGCGATTTGATGGAAGAACGTTAGTTCATGAATCCTTTACACAGCATAAGAAAATAGATCGAGACAGATGCCGGCTGACTGCAGGATCTTGTCCGATCGACATGTGGGTTATAAGTTCCAGATACCCGCTTCCACGTGTGTATGATTCACTCGTCTGAATAGTCATAGCAACGCAATGTTTCAGAATTGGTGTCTGATATTCTTTGTTCTCTTTGGACAGCTCTCTCTGCTCGGATACGCCCAAACATGCTACTGGCCCGACAAATCGATTGCCGAAACCTTGACATCTTGCAATAGCGTGGCAAAGAATAGTCACTGCTGTGGTGCTGACAGTCTGTGCCTGGACAACGGGTATGTGGGTGTTGATATCACGATAGATACATCTACTGATAACGCAGTNTACTGTTTCAACCAAGGCAACAAATATGGCAACAGAATATCTCGCGGNGGGTGTACGGACAAGATGTGGGGCAGCAATGCCTGCCCAGAATATTGCCAGACGAGTGAGTCGAGAAATGCAACGAGATCGATTGTCTAAGTATGCGATGGCTAATATACCCTGCAGCTGCGGNNCATATCGATCTCCATCGTTTCCGAGACTGACAGCGGACTCTTCTGCTGTGGTATGGGTTGGAACGACACATCCGGACTTTGTCTTGCCGAATCAGCAAGTGGCAACTTACATCCGTTTGCCATTGAAGTTGGTGTCGCCATTCTGGATCGAACGACTGGAGCCACGGTTGTGAATACTACGACATCAGGGACTGCCAACAGCACCGCAACGGTAACAGTAACTCCTGATCGTCACACATCAAACAACATCCCCATAGCCATAGGTGTTGGAGTGGCTGTCTCAGCTGGCATTCTACTCATCAGCGCATCAGTGGTTCTCTTTAGGCAATTCAGAAAGCGTCGAGCTCATCTTGCATTCCAGCAATTCGACTCCAAGAACAGCAATCTACCGACTCCTCAGAGACATGTAGAACACGTAGAGCTGGAATACTCCCCTCGTCTATTCCGAGGCTTAGGAATACAAGAACTAGATGGACAACAGTAGCACCATGAGCAGGGAAGAACGCGATGTAAAGGAGTGTAATTGGTCGGTGTTGTTTGTATAGTAAGCAGAGCATGTTGAGATGCGTAAACAGACTTCATCCGTCATTGTTGAAGACATGAGCAGATTGAAAAGCAAACGAAAATGTCAGTAGTATCAAATGGACTAAGCGTCCTTCCTAGTAGTCATCTCCACGAGAGATCACTTCTTTGCAGTTGGGTCTGAGCAAAACAGTCTGTATACACGTTAGCACATCGCCTAGCGCCTTCCGCACAAGTACACTCACATGCTCAAACTGAGCGATATACGATCCAGGGATATCGACCAAAGGCGCATAGTCTTCGACGACGCCACTAGCAATGAGCGTCTTCATGCCCAGATGGTAGTTCTTCACACCCAAACGCTCGAGGTAGCGCCGGGAGAAGACGAGTGTCCCAAAGTTATCATCGATTGTCTTGAGCAGCGGTTTGGCCGATTTTAACTGCAAGCCTGTAGGGCGGGCATGCTCGTTGCGGCCATAGCCGTAGATACCAGGGCCGTCTGTCAGGTACCCGTTTCCGGTGGTACCGAACGTCTCGATGGCAAAGATATCGCCTTCTTCCATGCGTTGGTCTGTCTCGGTCTTTACGAAAGGGACTTGCTTATCGCCATGGATCTTGTAGCGTAAGATGTTGTGGCCAGTGATGTTTCGGACCGCTTTGATAGGGAGGGTCTTGCCATTGAGTTCGACCTCATAGCTCTCCATCACTTCTTGGACGTCTCCACTAATTTGGTCGATCCTGGCATCGATACCAGCTTCCTAAAACCACTGAGCTGGCGTCCAGACAATCTGCGTTTGAGTCAACTTACCTTNTAGTCCAGTATCAGTGGCTTCCTTGACAGCAGTGAGCAAGTTTTCATAGACAGGGTTAGAAGCCACCGTAAACGCGCTGTCGACAATGCGGCCATTCACGTGAACACCAAAATCCACTTTCAGGACATCGTCATACTTAAGCACGATTTCCTTGCCTCCAGGGTTGGGAGTCCAGTGTGCCCCAACATTGTTCAGACACAAACCGGTGGGGAAGCCCATGCCAGCCTTGAGTGCATCTCCAGCCTCAAGCCCTTGATGGCCCACCAATGCTCGGACGCCTTCTTCAACTTCGTCGGCGAGCTGGCTCATCGTGACACCAGGTTTGGCGATTGTCTGTACGTACTGGCGAACTTGGCGATGGACCTCGGCGGCCTTACGATAGTCTTTCAGAAAATCATCGTCCATGATCTTGATGGCATCTTGATGACGAAGCTCCGCAGAAGTGGTTCGCTGCAGATTGTCGTTGCGAGGTGTGTACTCGACAATTTCGCCTCCAGGGTACTTGTTGCCGTGGAAGAGATTGGCAAGCGCGACCCNTGGGTGGTGCTGTCTGCTGCCCACCACAAAGCTTCTTCTTCTTCTTATTGTTCTTTCTTTTCTTCTTGATCTTGCCTGAGCTGTGATGAGAAACACTGCTATTCATTAAGGCTGATCTGACTTACTGTTGTCGGTCTTCAGGTCGCATCCAACGCGATCATCACCTCCATCACCGTCACCGTCTTCATCCTGCCCTTCGACCACACCGGAAACGAGGCCAGTCGCTGCTGCTTGCTTGGGAGGATTGATGTCGGTAATTGCACCAGCGGAAGATCCTAATTATGATATCAGAAAATGCAAAATCAGATAGTTGTACATCTGCATACCATCTGGACCTTGCTGATGCTCATCTGGTGTTTTGGAACCCATACTTCGCTTCTTTCTGCACTCATACAGAACCTCCAATCGCTATGGTTGTGGGTGAAGGAGATAGGTAGCACGAGAGCACGGTCATCGGGAAATGAAATCTGCATTGGCGCCCGATGACTAAGGTCTTGGTGAATCCTTCGACGAACAACAAAAATGAAACAGCCACGACAAGAGAACAAGATGGTATACTAAGCAAAACATTATCCNGATAGTCCAAGCAAAAATGGAATGCAAAACATACAGCAGCAGGGATTCCCACGTGGTCACCCACCGTAGTACTAATCTGCCGTTCAACTGCTTATGTATGGCAGAGCGGACGGGATGCCCAGTTTTCAGCTGACTGTGGCCGTATGTGCTTGGTTGTCGGTTTGATTTGTATAAGACTACTTTGGAGTGAAGCCTAGCTACAGGAATTAGTCCCATACTAATTTCAGTCGTGTTTGTTTTATATTGTCTCCTTTCCGGTACTCAGGGAGATAGACATCGCACCCGGCTTCTACTCACTATCTGGTTTCATATGCCTAGACTTGATTTACAATAACGTGACGTCAATATACCAGTCTGGTTGGGTAACAGTACGTAGGGCATTCTCTTAACAACAGCTTTGTCTGCAATACCCAACTGTCATTCCATCCTGTCACAGCCCAGTACATCATCCGTTTCTATGGCTACACTTACAAACGAAGAGATCGCTCTTCAACCCATACCTCCAAGCCAACCGAACGGTCACACCTTCAAGAAACGAACAACCCGAGACACTGAAAGTCTCTCGTCGCACACTCCAGATGGCGAGTATGTACTAATCAGGCCCGGCAGAATCTCAGAGGTGGTGATGCTGTAAGTGGAGATGTAGCATTCGCATATCAACTACTCGCCATCCTTGACGGTGCGTCATGCATCGGGAGATATCTACCTGACTACATATCCGACATGATCGGCCGCTACAACACCATGATCCTAGGTTCTTTCCTCGCCATGGCAGCAGTATTGGGATTGTGGTTGCCGGATGCAATTTCCAGCCAACCCCCAAGTATGGCTCTGATCATTGTCTTTGTCGTTGTCTTTGGCTTTGCAAGTGGTGCCAATATCACCCTTACACCCATCTGTATCGGTCAACTCTGCAGTACACAGGAATACGCACGGTATTACGCCAGCGCATTCACTTGTTGTGCGTTTGGCTGTCTGACCAGTATCCCCATCGCAGGCAATATTCTGACGGCCACAGGTGATTCTGGCAGACAAGGCTATTGGGGTGTAATTTTCTTTAGTTGTGGGTTGTGTTCAAACATGCTCATAAAACCAATTTACTCAGACTCATCCCTGGTGACAAGTGGATGAGGCATTGTAGCACGCACCAATCAAGTAGTAGCGTTTTGATGTTGTTCCATTGTGGGTGGGAATGATGTGCTTGTGTGATGGTGCAATAGCACACGAAAAACATCCACTGATGTGCGATGCAGCTACGTGTCCGCTTGGCCAACTTAATTCCGATGCAACATTCAAAAGAACCAAGAAATTAATATTCAAGGACACGCTGTATGGCTGGGGAGGATAAAGTGCCATTATATAGCTCCACAATGGTGCAATCCTCAACCCCCTTAAGCTGGTATCGCGACAAGTCGTACCTGTCGCTGTAGCTGTGATTTATATACTAGAGAGGCTGCATGGTCGGAAAGGATGTTGATAGCTTGTCGGCAGCTTTCTTTTACACATCAATCAGACACTGAGGATCTCGGTTCCCTCGAAATAAGTTCCATGTCTTTCTTTCGACGCTCTGTCAATGAAAAAGCAGATGATTCTGCAACGTCGTCAAGCAACGATGTTTTCTCATCGCATGAGATAGTGTCAACTACAGGCGACCTCAAGTTTGTCGTCGAGCAGGGTGGCAACGGTTCGCAACCATCCTATCAAGAAGTGTCTGGTGCGCCCGTCGAGGCCAAATCTTCTTTTGGATATGCTGTTGGACCGGTGACCATTGTCTTGATCAATATTAGCAAGATGATCGGAACCGGCGTCTACTCAACTCGTATGTGACACTCGCGATTCGTTGAAGGCACCTGCTAATAATGCATCNNAGCGGCGACCATATTGAAAGGAACTGGCTCCGTCGGCACCAGTCTGATATTCTGGGCACTAGGCCTTCTCACATCAGGTGCCTCACTCGCAGTGTACCTCGAGTATGCTTCCTACTTTCCAAATCGATCGGGTTCAGAGGTTGTGTACCTGGAACAAGCCTTTCCTCGACCAAAATACTTCTTTCCGATCGCTTTCGCTGTTCAGACGGTGATTTTGTCTTTCAGTAGTGGCAATGCCATAGGTATGCGGTACTGTTTCAAGTCAACGTAGACTTTTTCTGACCATCATGACCANGTCATGGCTCAATACCTGTTCAAAATAGGTGACCACACACCTTCTGCCTGGGAACAAAAGGGTGTCGCCATCGCTTGTTATACCCTGGTCACGTTGTGTAAGAGAAAATCTCCAGTCAAAACTGGAACAATGTCTGACAGCTTCCCAGTATTGATCTTTCACACCAAGACCTCCTACCGTATATCTAATATCATTGGTATTATCAAGGTTCTGACATTAATATTGTAAGTAACTCGGTTCCTTTTGATATCAGACACTGATATCAGTTTGTGTAGCATTGGCATCACTGGCTTGGTCGTCTTGGGTGGCCACACCAGAGTTCAAGATCCTCATGCAAATTTCAGAAATGCCTTCGAAGGCAAGACGACTGGGTACGGCTTGACAAACAGTTTGGTCAAGATCATCTTCTCGTATGCCGGCTACGAGAATGCTTTCAACATCGTCAATGAGATTCAAGTAAGTCGCCATGCATTGCATTCGGTAGAAAGAGCTGACATTGGCNNGAAGAATCCTGTAAAGACGATCAAGAGGAATGCATCGTACTCATTGGTCATCGTGACAGTGCTTTATATACTTGCAAATGTTGCTTACTTTGCGGCTGGTAAGATCGATATCTTTGGATGTGGCAACCGTGTACTGACATTGCGAGCAGTACCAGTCAACGACATCAAGAAGTCGGGTGTGACGGTTGCAAGTCTCTTCTTCACCAATGTCTTTGGGCATGCCAAAGGCGTCAAAGTCTTCAACCTGCTCATAGCCTTGAGTGCGTTCGGCAACCTGATTGCTGTACAGATTGGGCAATCCCGTCTCATCCGAGAATGCGGAAGGTGAGTGTTCAGGTTGGTCAGACTAACGGGTATCAGGACTGATGTATTTGCNAGACAAGGAGTGTTGCCATTTCCGAAGTTTTGGGCGTCCACAAAGCCTTTTGGCACACCAATCGGACCGTATCTGGTGAAATGGGGTGTCACGATCATCATGATCCTTGCACCTCCAGCTGGTGATGCTTTCAATTTCATAACTGACTTGCAGACTTATCCCGCTGCAGCATTCGCATTCACAATGTCAGTGGGTCTGTACATGGTGTGTTACCGGCGCAAGAAGTTGGGTGTGCCGAGAAGCGAATTCCGTGCATGGGATGCTGCTGTGGTATTCACAATTCTCCAGAACATGTACTTGCTCATCATGCCTTGGTATCCTCCAACAGGAGGCGCAACGGGTGGAGACGTCAGCTTCTGGTATGCGACTTACTGCGTCACGGGGATCGGAATTCTTTTGCTCTGCGGAGTGTATTACTACTTGTGGTTGTATGTGCTTCCCAAATGGGGCAAGTACCGCATCATGCAAGAAGTCATGGTGCTCGAAGATGGATCAAGCACCAATTCGCTGGTCAGGGTGGCGTTGAAGGACTTGTCGCAGTGGAGCCAAAGCCATGATGAGGCGGGTAGAGCAGTTGTGACGGGTGTTCGTGTCGAGGCGAAGAACGAAGGCCGTCCTGAACAGGTGTAGATTGTGCAGAAGATATATATCAGAGCAGGCAGATAGCGAATTGAGGACCAGGTCAACAAAGGTTGTGATGAATTTACTGCCACGATTGACAAGACGTGATTGACAAAGACGGAAGTCGCAATCCACCAGAGACAAAGTCTTGGCGGTGTATATCAGGGCGGAGAGCCAACGCCGACGCGATGGTCGTCGTGTCAGCTGTTGCTACCTATCCAGCCATCACACAAAAGACAACTACATCAACGCACATCATGTCAGACGATGAAATCGTCGCCGGCCCGCCTGGAGCCACATCTCTGGACGCACGAGGAGCGTCTGAACAGAAACCCAAATACCGCTCATGGCGCAAGAAGTATCGCAAGATGAAGACGCACTTTGACGACGTCATGAAGGAGAGCAACAGCCTGTTCATCGACGAGCAGAAGCTCGACGCCTTGTCCAAGAGGCTGCAGGAGCAGAACGAGTGAGTCGTCTTCTAGCTACCCACTTGTCACAAACATGAGCTGACTCGGCCCACAGCNCAACTGCTCGACCTCCTTCTCGACCTCAACACATCCCTGTCCATCCCACACGAATTGCGATTCGATCTCTCGCTGGCTCCCAAGTCGCAGCAGCCGCAGGAAGAACGCGACATGACGCTCGATGCCGCAAACAACATCATAGCCAATGCCCACCGCGCCTTCCACAACCACGAGATCCCCCAACTGGACTTTGTCCGCATACGACAGGACATAGAAGCCCTGTTGGCTCGCAAGAATGCCAAGAGTTTGGTCGACATGGAGGCTCAAATCCCCCATCCACGATATCACCACCCAATTGCACCGCTTGTCGCCGAAGCAGATCCCGCCTTCCTATCTTCGTCGCACGAAGATGCCTATCTTACTCGACTTGACAACAAGCTAGAACCCGTCGCTCTTGGCGAGCCTCGCCCGTCCTCACCCCAACCCCTTTCCAAGCTCACTCAGCGCGAATTGGACCGCGAGGTCGAACTACGCAACCCTCTATCCGTCCACAACTGGCTCAAGAAACACAGCACAATGTCCGACGTCGACGGCGCTTCAGAAGGTGGTGCCGCTAACGCTCAAACCCCTGCGACAGCCAACAAGCGCCGCAACCTTGCCAAGCAAGTTGGCGATAGAGCAATCGAACGCGCTAGAGAAAAGGAGGGAAGTCCGGGGAGCACTGTGGACAACGAAGACGAGCTTGCTACCGACGATACACCGGGCAAGCCGAAAAAGCCCAGGGATGACGACCAAACGTACCGGCCAAAGGGCGGCCGGAGCAAAAGCAAGCGAAAGAGAGACGAGGGTGAAAACACGCCTGCTCGGGGCAAGAAGCAGAGGACAAGCCTCAACATCCCTTCAGATGCATGAACATGTAATCGACCGACCAGTCACAACGACATTTGTAAAGCAGTTGCTTCTTCTAGCTTGTCATAAGCCTTTATCATTTCAAACCATTTTCTGTATCCAAAAATCCCCTCTTTTCACTTCCATTCCGCGCTCCATGTCTTCTGGTCACGTCTGAAAGGAACAACTTCGACGCTGCCATCAGCGTTCTTCAGCAGGCTCTGCACTTTGACGCCATCCTTTCTCAGTACGACCTTCTCGGCCTTCTTGTCTTCGGCTCCGTAGAACTTTCTGCCGTTCAGTCCAAGGAATCCCTTGAGCTTCTCCTCGGTGACATCATCTGCCTTGAGGACACCGCGTTCGATGCCCTGCTCGAGGGCAGAAAGCACATATCCAACGGCATGAGGCTGTGTGAAGACACCTGCTGCGACCTTGTCACCACGCTTGTTGATAGCTGGGTGAGGAGCGCTATCAGTGCCGAGGAAAAACTTCTGGTTGCCCGAAACAACAGTCTTGAGCAGAGCTTCGCGATCCTTTGGTGTCTTGGCCACGGGCTTGCAGAACGAGTGCGGGTCGCCGGCCCAGTCATCGACAATCAAAAAGAGATGGTGGGCAGTGATGGTAGCCGACACGGTGGGGCCGCAAGACTTGACGGCCTCAATAGCAGCCGCGGTAGTACAGTGCTCCAGAATGATTCTCAGCTTGGGGAAACGCTTGTGCAGGTCCTTGAGTGTGGGAAGGAAAGCCTCTTCGGCGCTCAATACGGTAATGTTGTTGTCCTTGGATCCAGGGACCTCACCGTGCAGGTTCAAAACCATGTTTTGACGCTCCATCTCCTCGAAAACAGGATAGAAGGGCTCGTAGCTGACGACACCGGCACTGCTGTTTGTGGTCACGCCGGCTGGGTAGGACTTGATGCCCGTGATACCTGCAGAAGCAGCCTCCTTGACCACTTCGGGCGTGATGTCGGGGTGCAGGTACAAGGACATGAGGAAGTTGACATTTGGCTCAATAGCCTCCAGTCTCTGCTTGTAGTCCAAAGCGTGTCGCACCGTGGTGATTGGAGGTACCAAGTTGGGNNCTTTGATGGCAGAAGAGTTTAGATTCTTGTTTCATTTCCTACACCTCAATTGAATGCTTACCATGACGAAGACAGTGTTGACACCTCCCTGTCTGATGGTCGGTGTGACAAGCTCCATCATAGGTCCATCGCGAAGGTGGACATGGAAATCAGCAGGAGCTGGAATTTCCAGGCCGTCAAACTGCTGGAGAGACATGATTTGATGTAGATAGGTACAGTGCTCTCTGCGCAAGGTCATGATCGTGTCAGAATAGTGAGTCCAATTGTTGGTTGAGATTTAATCACAACCACTGAGGACGACCCCATGACAAGACTCACCAATGCTGGTTTCAATCTATCTCTTGATTACCTCAATTGATGAAGACAGCGATGACTGGAGCCATTCGAAATGAACGATGTCGCTCGCCATAAACAAGGTTCAACTTTTCCTGGTGCGCCAAGACTTTTGTTCGATACCGACCACTCCCAACCTCTTGTGTTCCTTCTTCAAACATCCTTTTTATGAGGTATAGGCCAAGCCTGGCATTCCGAGACCAGGCTTGTGCTAATTGTGAATGATACCACAGGGGGTTTCATCGCAATGATTATAGGTCGAGGATTGTGGTGATACCGCATGCTGCACAGAAGCCTGCCTGCTCTTGCCTTTTCTGTGTAACGTTGCGACCTTTCAACGTGGGATCCACACAAGAGACCGTGAATCGCACTTCTGACTCGACATGATGGTCTGAGACTTCTAGTATACGATCACCACTATGCGTCCAACAATCATAAGATTCTGACAACAACTCATCAACATCAGCAGAAACAGGACAGACCAACAAAGCTTGCCAAATTTTTGGCATTTCTTCCAGACTGGTCACAAACTTCTGCCCGCAGATATGTCGGCTGCTGTTACTTGCACGCATGAACCCGTGTGACAGTCCAATCATATTGTGCCCATCATCAAACAGCCATATCAAAGGATCCATAGAGCTTAGCAGATGCAGTTTGCGAACATGCTAAACACGATGCAACCGGATTTGAACCTCTGGAAGCTGACAACGCACCTTTGTTGGCAGACAAAAGGTATACGCTCGCTTGCCTTGTTCAAGAACTGGATCTTTCACAGTCACGCCTTGATTGCACCATCGCACCTTTCCATATATGTGCTACGATCCATCCTCAATCTTCCAAAGCAACACGACCATCCTTGAGCTCCCTCATATATTCGTCTCCTTGCGGCTTCGAACCCCTGCCATCGACAATGCCAGGCCTGCACATGTCTGCCTACGCTCCGCCAGGCACCATGGCGTGGTCGGTTCCTCAGTACCCAGCAGCCGTGTCGACACAGTCGATGCTGATACCAGAGCTCAAGTTCTTCATCGAGCGAGATGACGGTTCTCTCATCCCTCTTGTTCCTGTCGATGAACTCCCAGACGACATCCGCTTGGTTGGTGTGCCTCTGAGCCTGAGTGCCTCGCAAGCAAAGGATATGCTCTTCCTTGGACTTGATTCATCTGTCAGAAAGAAGTTTTCGCTTGCTGGATCTATGAACATCAAGGAGTCAATGGCTCCCACGCCAATCGCGATGAAATATACACCTCAACCCGAGATAGCTCTTCACAACAATCACGTACCTCAGGTAGTTCTTACAGCTTTGACTTTCTCTCTCTCTTCTGACGTGACTCGCATAGCCNNTGTTCGTACGCAGACCTTTTCTGCGCCCACACCTGCATTCGTTCCCGCTCCCCAGCCACTCAATGTGGCCAAGCCGAGACCTCTCTACAACGAACGCCCTCTTCCGCCTTCTGGAATTGAGCCTGATCAGAAGAAGAAGATCTACTGTACCTACTGGATCCAGCACCAAGGTCAATGCTCGTTCAAGCAGCAAGGTTGCATATACAAACATGAGATACCCGAGGACAAGGAAACACTTAACTCGATAGGCCTGAAGTCGGTGCCTGCCTGGTGGCGCAAAGAGCAAGCACGCAAGAAGCAGAGGGGAAAGCGCCCCGAACGTAACGGTTCGAGCTCAGAGTGGGAAGTGGTCGAGCAACAGCAGACCGACAACTCTGCTCTTCATAGTGACGATCCTGTTCGTGTTCGCGTGCCACTCTGGCGTCCAAACGGCGTTCCAATCACCCAAGAGGTTACCCAGAAGCATCGTCCGGAGTTATCTGCTCAGAAGGATGCCTCTATTTCTGACGTTCCATCTGATGCCGCTACTGCTGGCAGCTCGGCTCCAGGGCCATATTCTCCTCCTGGTGGTGTCAAACTGGGTGCTGCCAAGACCCCTGTACGCGGTCCTCCATCTCTGCCATTTAGGAAGCAAACTCTGGACTCGCCCATCGAAGACGAAGAAGAAGAGAATCTTCTCGACTTCGAAGTTCTTGTGCCGTCGTCATCTCCAGACATCCCTCCACCCTCTCACTTGAGTCCTGAACCACTTACCCATCGCCAGTCGAAGTCAGAGGTGGTATCTAGACGCTCAAGAATCGTTGCTAAGGGCGGTGTGTCTATCTCCCCAGGCAGAGGTACTCGCTCAAGCAACACTAATAGCACTCGACGCGGCTCTGCAGACAAGAAGATTAGCCCCGAATCACCTACTGGACAGCACAACAACACGACCCAGGGCAGGGTTGAGGTGGGCAGAGAGAAGGTTGAGTATGGCAATGGCGTGTCCAGAAGAGGCAGACTCAANGTGACTCCACTCGCAGGAGCCGTGGCCAAGGCTGCAGGCGAGGTTGGCATGCGGTCAGATCATGAGGCTTGAAAGTCGCTTCCTCACTGCTGGGACTTTTGATTGATGTTTTGATGATTCGGGAAAACTTGCATGTAGTCAACGGCCTTCGTGCCGAGAGCTGTAGGCATACCGGCCGACAGTCGAATACAATGCTGGTCAGACGGTCGGTCCGACTACTGAGGCGTTATTGTTGTTGAAGGAGCGTCCAAAGTTGGCAATTCAGTCCAGCTATTTTCTTTAAGTACGCAGCTTGGCAATTCAACTCTATCGTCCTTTCTCAATACAGGCTATGGATTATTATTATTGCTATTATTATTTCTTTTTCTTCTTCCTCAGAATGGACAAACATTGTGCCGGCCCGAGATGAAGCTAAGCAACGAACAACAACACTTCGGCCAAGGAACATCCTTACGCAAACTCGAGTTCACAGGTGATTTGCAGTGTCAACGCACAATAGTTCGAATGGCTTGTATCTCGTATCAAGAGCCTTGTCGCCATACATGCCGGCCTTGTTACCAACTTGCGGCCTTATTGTTTTGCTCCGCCACGATGTCCAAGAATTTCAAGTGCCTCAGCCAAGACACGCCGACCTTCTAGCGCTCTTCCACCTTGCTTCTGTTGAACAATCGGCCTGCAGGATGCTCAAAACACCTGGGACCGGTACTGAGTGAGCGGGTACTCGAGGATTCCGTTGGCCAGCACTGACACCTTTCGGCCGCATGGCGAATACTTGGGCCGACTTGGCCTGCGTTGCGTACGGCTAAGTAGTGTGGTCGTGGGGTGATTGGCCTCCAGCTCCAATGGAGTAGATTGGACTGGGGTTCTGGGGGCTCCACAGCAAAGATCGACCATATCATTGCGGAGTGTGGAGCCAAGGTTCGTCTCGTGCTCGATTCTCACTGCTTTTCCCCTCTTTAATATATAAAGTCCTTGGATGATCGCTCATGGGAGGGTATAAGCACGCCCCTTGTCCATTCTCTCTTTTGCCAGAACCTCTTCTCTACCCTCTACTCGGGCGATATCTCTCTTTCTTGCTCCATCTTCCGTTCCAAAAAGTCGTGGAAACGGTATCACAATGGCTAGCCGCAATAACTCGATAGTAGCACCGCTTCCGGACTCTGTGGTCAAGAAGCATGGTGTCAAGACCATTGAGAGCAACAATGCCATCACCGGAGCTCAGAATCTTACTCTCAAGCAGTCAATTCTGCCTGTATGCCTTGTCACCATCCTTTTCTTCCTCTGGGGCTTCGCCTATGGACTTCTCGATGTCCTCAATGCCCATTTCCAGACCGCTCTGAACATCACCAAGGGTCAGAGTGGTGGTCTTCAAGCGGCGTACTTCGGAGCGTATGCGATTGGACCTCTGACTTACTCTGGTTGGATTGTCAGAAGGTTCGGTTACAGATGGGCTTTCATTACCGGTCTCTGCATCTACGGTGTTGGTGCTCTCATGTTCTGGCCATCAGGACTCAAGCGTAGCTTCGGCGGTTTCTGTGGATCGTGAGTATCACCTCGGAAGTAACACGAGACGCTTAAGGTTGCTGACTATGATCAAGANATGTTCATCGTTGGGTCCGGTCTTTCGACCCTTGAAACTGCTGCCAACCCCTTCATCGCTACTTGCGGTCCTGCAAAGTACTCTGAACTGCGTTTGACTCTGGCTCAGGCCTTCCAAGCCGTGGGAACCGTCGTCGCTCCTGTTTTGGCAAGTCAGGTCATCTTCAAGAACGTTGATGATACTTCGCTCCAATCAGTCCAATGGGTCTANCTTGTAAGTTCAGCATAGTCGTGGTGTCCTCAAGATCCGACTCTTGTTAAATGATGCTAATTGTACCTCCGCTGTAGGGGCATCGCCATCTTCGTCTTCATCCTTGCCGTTGTCTTCTTCTTCGCTCCTATTCCTGAGGTCACCGATGCCGACATGGCTGCTCAGGCAGCATCCAGTGGTACTGAGACTGCCTTCGAGGACAAGCCATTGTCTAAGCAGTACACTCTCTTCTTTGGTGTGGCCGCCCAGTTCTGCTATGTCGGCGCTCAGTGCGCGTACGCCGGATACTTTATCAACTATGTGTCTGCTGTCCGTCCTGGCACGACTCACGCTACCGGCGCCAATCTTCTCGCCGTGGCCCAAGGATGTTTCGCCATTGGTCGTTTCATTGCCAGTGGGCTGCTCAAGATCACCAAGCCTCGTCTGGTCATCATGGGCTTCCTCTCTGGCGTGGTCCTCTTCGCATGCCTGACCATGGGTCTCAAGGGTAACGCCGGCATCGCATCCATCTCGCTGGTTCTCTTCTTCGAGTCATGCGTGTTCCCTCTGATCTTCGCTCTGTCCATCAGAGGTCTTGGTCGTCACTCCAAGCGCGGTGCCAGTTTCATCGTTGCTGCCGTGTCTGGTGGTGCTTTGTTCCCTCCTGTTCTCGGTACAGTCGCCGATCACATTGGCACTCAGAAGGCGTTCTTCATCCCTCTGATCGGCTTCGTTATCGCATGGTGCTTCCCTCTTTACCTCAACTTGTTCAAGGCCAAGAGCTTGGATGGCTGGACTGAGGAGAAAGCCCCTGTTGTCGCTGAGAAGGACGTGGAAAGCATGCATGACGACGATGATGAGAAGAAGGGTGCTGCTATTGAGCACCAAGAGATTAGAGCTTAGATGCAGATATAAGCCTGCATTTTCTTCATTCGTTGGATAGATGTATATACACGATGCGATCCGTATCAAATGAGGACTACAGATGTTTCCAAGCTCATGGCAATTCTTAAGTGTGTTGATGATTCTAGGATATCCTTGAGGCGAGGCTGCTGGTTTCTAAGATAGTTTTGTATTCTGATAGGGTTCTCACTCAACATTACAAGTCTCCTTCATGGGCTTCATTCAGGTGCTCGGGAAGAAAAGAGGTTCGCAGCAGAACATCTCGGCTCCGAGCTCGGCGCCGATGTATCCGAGGATCCATGGAGGATCCGAGAAGACAAGGCAGCAATGCATATCAGCTCGTGTCAGCTCCGATGTTGCAGACAAACATGATATAAGAACAAGCTTGTAGGGAGCTATGTTGGAACAAACCCCAACACAAGGCTCTTTGTTTCTGCTACTTCTGCTTCCAGCCCCGAATCCATCAAGTCAGCCAGCGATTCTTTCAGCCTCGAACGATCAACCAACATCATGACGGAATCCACTGATGAAAGCACAATGTTCTCTGCAGTTGTTACAACCTGGGGTGAAGCACCCAAATATGCTCAAGTGCCTATACCATCGCCCAAATCAGACGAAGTCCCGGTCAAAGTCATCTGTTCAGGCCTGCATATTGTCGTCCGCTCCATCGCCAGCGGCAACCACTACGCCTCTGGAGACTTGCCCTACACTCCCGGCATCGATGGCATAGGTCGCCGCCTGTCCGACAACAAACTTGTCTACTTTATCAGCTTTCCCAGTGGTGGCTTCCAAGAGACCCTAAATGTCGAGCACAGAAAGATGGTAGAGTTGCCTGATGGCGTGGACCCCTATCAGGTTGCTGGCTATGCCAATCCCGCACTGTCTAGCTGGATGGCGTTGACTGCACGAACAAAGGACCTACCTGAGAACTTTACTGTGCTTGTCATGGGAGCCACCAGCGCTAGCGGCAAGGTCGCTGTCGAAGTCGCACGGGCTCTAGGCGCCGGCAAGGTCATTGGAATGGCTCGTAAACTGGAGACACTATCCAAGGTCGGTGTCGACGAGATAATCGTCCTTGCCAACAACATTTCGGACACGGATTGCAGTGCTGCAGCCGAAGCAGATGTCATACTCGACTATCTGTACGGACCTGTTGCGCAACATGTGCTTTCTACTGTCAACTTCACGCGTCCAGTGCAGTATGTGCACATTGGAGGTCTTTCAGGCACGGAGATGGTGTTGCCAGGCCACGTACTCAGGTCAAAAGACATCACCATTCGCGGTGCCGGGCCTGGCAGTTGGTCTCGCGAAGCCATGCGTCCAGAGGTCCCCAAGATCTTGAACGCTTTCAAGACGTTCAAGAAGCAGGAGGTCAAGGTTGTACCTTTGAGCGAGATTGAAGAGCACTGGCATAACAAGAGCGAACGCATTGTTTTCACGCCTTGAAACTGTCAGCATGAGAAGGATATCTCAGAGGATTGCGGATTCGATTTGCATCTTTCCTCAGATGGGGAGATGTAATCTCTGTTACTTGCTTAGCGTTAATACATGAATTTATGGAATTCTATGAACAACAAGATAATACTACTAACAGTTTAGCATATCATTTATTTGCCTTTGCGCGCAACCTCGCGATATCTGCCAATCCACTCCGGCTTGCCAAAGAGCACATAGAATCTCCAAGCCAGAGTGGGAGCTAGGACAGAGCTGGCAGCAAGCAAAGCGTTTCTGCTCCAGCCACTATCATCTCCGTACACGAAAGCTTTGTATAGCGCGACAGCCACCACGCCAACCTCACCAGCAGCAAGGGTGTAGTAAGTAGGGGCTCGGCTCTCGATACCTCTTCGCGTGTTTGGGACACCCAAGACGAGTGGGGTAGCAAGAGCGTAAACCAGAGCACCGGATACTTGAGTCCATGTCACTGCAGTCGGAGTGATGTCCGAGGATGAGTTTACAAGCATGCTCAAGAAACTTTGGGGGAAGAAGACCATCCAAGTTCCGCCGATTGCATTTGCCATGGTCTCGAAGCCTAGTGCATAGCGCATGACATTTCCTGGAGCGCTCGGGTCGACTTCGATGTCTCCAGAGCCAGAGTTGGAGGTGGGGTCGATGTAACCGCCAGGTTGGAGTGTGTAAGGCATGATTCGGTGATGATGTATGAGCTGTCTTGTTGATGGTCTTGCTGGGAGGCTTTCGATGACAAGTCCTTGAATACTGTCAGCGAGTACAAGATGATCAGCTCGCCTGAATGTTCTCACCAGTGAGTTTGAATGCAATGTGGTAACTGAGATCAAGGTGGGCAGCACGTGGAAAGTGACTATATCGATATATTGACGTCACCACAAGCTCTATGAGAGGGGGATGACCCTGCTCCTATGTTCGATATCTTGACTAGAAATGGTGAATGTCAGGATCAAAGCATGTGATAACACGTTGGCTCAAGGACGGTCTCTTTTCAATCAAAGGTAATGATACTTATGACGAGATGAATTGTCGAAATATACGGTTGTTAAGCAAGTGCAAGGACATGGCGGGGCGGCAACGATGGTCGAGCTTGAGGGAGCAGTATGCCACGGAATTACTTCGGTTCAGCCAGACCGAGTGCTGTGTCCTCAAGCTGCACCCGCCAACTCTAGCTCGAGCATCTGACAGCATTGCTAACATTACTAGACGGCTGACAAGATGGCCGACTTTGTCAAGNNGAGCCTTTTCGGAGGCGCAAACCCATCTCCCGTCAACGCCGCCCCGTCGGCCGACTCGGGTGCGTTTCGTGTCGGCTCGAGGTGATTCAGCATCGTGTACTGACCGAGAGACTGCCANGACTTTGCCGACTTCGCCGACGCTCCTTCTCCCAAGCCGGCATCTCTGTCGAGCACTCTCACTACTCCTCCCGCATACCAGACCTTCGGCGCAAAGATTGACATCTCGGATCGTCCCTTCACCAAGTGGTACAATGTCCACGAGCGCGTGACCTGGAGCGACTTCAAGACCGAAGCCTTCGTCGTCCCCTTCCTCTTGCTCACCATCTTCATTCACTTCTGGGGTGTCCGCGCCAACCGCCGTCGCGCCAATGCCTGGATCCGCAGCCACGTCAATGTTCTCGAGAACGAGTTCGCTCATGTTGGCTTTGGCAAGAAGCTCGACCTCGCAAACGTTTCTCCCGATGTTGCCATGTCTGCTGGTGACAAGATCAACCCTGAGGTTCTGCGCGAAAAGTCCAAGGACGTCTTCCTCGGTTACGCTACCGGTCGCCAGAACGTCGCTTTTGTCGACGTCAAGCTCAACCTGCTGAAGCGCTACAACCCCTTCTCCATGATTGCTGAACTCGGCCTTGGCTTCTTCTTTGAGAGCATGGCTGGCAGCGGCGAAAAGGCCGAGATCACCGCTTACACTTTTGACGGCAAGGAGGCTCAGTTCATTCCCCGCGCTCGCGGTGAGGACGAGAAGCGTTTCAAGGACACTAGCTACGATGGTTTCATCTTTGCCATTGTCAACAAGGACTCTATGAGAAAGGTGCGCGAGGAACGCTACGACGTCTCTCTGACCACCACCAAGGACCACGCCAAGCTCCCTCCATGGGTCAGTGTCATGAGCGAGAGCGCCGAGGTTACCGAGGTCCTCTTGACCCAGGAGCTGGCAAACGCCATCAAGGAGTGCGGCGACGATCTCGAGTCTCTGGTAGTCACCGACATGCCCGTGGACGCCCCAAAGACGTGAGTTTACTAGATTCGTGATCTCGTTGATCAATGCTTACCTGACTCACAGNNTCTTGACGATTTGGTTCCCAAGAAGCGTCTCACGCTCACTCTGAAGCTCAACTCTGGCACCAACACGAGCTCTCTCTTCTCGTACTTCCTTCGCATGCCCGATCAACTCGTTTCCAGCGCTCACTTCCGTCCCGAGGTCATGCGCCGTATTCGCCAAACGCGCGAGGAGGAGGCCAAGAAGGTGCGCAAGATGATCGAGGCAGAGGGCGCCGAAGACAGAAAGTTGCTCAGCGACAAGGCCAAGAAGGAGCAGCGCGACCGCAAGCTCAAGGGTATGAGCGCTGATGAGCAGAAGCGCTTCCTCGAAAGGGAAAGAGAAAAGGAACAGAGAAAGAGGACAGGCAAACAGTCGATGCGCGCCTAGAAGCCCGCCTACGCTTGATCTTCATTTCGGAGCGTGCCCTTGCTGTCTTGAGCGTGCAAAAAGAGGAAGCCCATCGTTCTTGTATATTGTTCGGTCGCAATAACACAGTGTAGAAATAAATAGATGAAATTCTCCCCGTGCTACAGAGTGCAGCTGTCGGGTATCTTGACAGGTCGGCGATATGTGCATGACCAGCTGCATGGTGCCTGCAGCTAAAAACAGCCACGATTGTCGCAAGTCGATCGTCTCACGAAGTCGAGCAAATCAAAGATGGTTTCAACAAACGCAGTTCATGTCAATGCAGGCGTGACGAATGGTGAATGGCAATTCGAAGAGAATTGGCCAAAGATGGAGAGCATCGAAGCTAACAAGTGGGTGGGCCAAGAAGGAAATCCGGGATCCCCGTGGGCGGCGGCGATGGAGGAAGGAGCGATCGACGTGGAGCGTGGAGACCCTTGAATAAATGATACGTCATGTTGGAGCTATCGAGTCCTAAACAATTCCCCTGGCCTCCGACTCAAACCTTCCCAAACTCTCTCCAGCTGTCAATCTCGACATTACGACTGTAATACACCTCGTTAATCACTTCGCACTCTTTCTTGTTCTTGGTGAGTGCTCGAATCAATGTTCCCTTTTGCTATCATTCATCTTTGATAGCTCAACATGAACACGTTGAATGTGTCTTGTTGAGTCCAAGTCCTACAACAGCTAACAGCAAAGACAGTCTGTAATCATGTTCAGCAGAAGCGTCCTTCGTCAGGCCACCCGGATGGTGGCCCCTGCCCGCCCTCTTGCCATGTCGGCCAGAAACATGTCTGTCACACCCTTCATGCGTGAAGAGGAAAAGGCCCACCCAGAAGAGAAGGGCGAGCACGTTGGCTCCTTCTCCAGAACCGACGACTCGATCGAGATCCCCTTTGATGAGAAGGCTGTGCCCAAGCAAGAGCCCGTCCAAGGCCGTGGAGGCTTCCACTTCCAAAGAACGCTCGCTTCTTTCTCGCTCGAAGGCAAGACTGCTCTCGTCACTGGCGGTGCAAGAGGTCTTGGTCTGGTCATGGCTCAAGCACTGGTCGTCTCCGGAGCAGATGTCGCCCTCGTCGATCTCAACAGTGCGTCTCAGCAGTAACAAGTCTGGACACGCCCACGACTGACACCATCATCACAGAGNGAGGAAGCCGAGAAGCAAGCAAAGGAACTGGTCAAAGTCTTCAAGGACGAAAACCCTGGCGCCGACAGAGTCCCCAAGGTCACTGGCCACTACTGCGATGGTGAGCTTCTTCGCCCAAGTGCACAGTAACAGCAATGATGACTGACCTTTTGCNNAGTAAGCGACGAGCACTCTGTCGAGAGCGTCCTCTCCGATGTCATCAACCAGCACGGCAAGATCGACAATCTTGTGACTTCAGCAGGCTTCACCGAGAACTTCGACGCCATCAAGTATCCCATCGACCGCGTGAGAAAGCTCTGGGGTGTCAATGTCGACGGCACTTACCTCTTCGCTACTGGCGTTGCTCGTCACCTTATGGAGCGCAAGGCCCCCGGTAGCATTGTCTTCATCGGAAGCATGAGTGGCGCCATCGTCAATGTTCCCCAGCCTCAGGCTCCTTACAACGCTTCCAAGGCCGCTGTCCGTCACCTCGGCCGCTCGCTGGCTGTTGAGTGGGCTCACGCCAACATCAGAGTCAACGTCATCGAGCCTGGTTACATGGTGAGAACTAATGCAAGAAGCAACTAGAATGGGCACTAACACGAGATGCAGCTCACCGCTTTGACTGAGAAGATCTTGAACGAAAATCCCGAACTTGGCAACAAGTGGACCAGTCTGATTCCTCAGGGCAAGATGGGCCGTCCCGTAAGTCGTTCCTCAACGCTGTACAACTCATCGTCATGCTAATTCTTGCTGTACAGNGTTGATTTGATGGGCCCTGTCGTTTTCCTCTGCAGTGACGCCTCCAACTATGTCACTGGTGCCGACCTGCGCGTCGATGGTGGTTACACTTGCACTTAGTCTTCTTGACACTGTATCGAAGAGACCCTGCCCAACATCAAGGGCCAACAACACCCCGAACATTTTACCTCTGGGACAAAAGGCTTTTCACTGTACCAACAGCTAATGACACAATATGCATGCTACGGAGCGCTTCGTAATTGATGATGAATGGAAACTTGATTTTATGATCTTCTTCTTTACTCCCTTCATCTGCCTTGGACCTATTGCTGTCTCTACTGACATGTGCCACAGCCATTGTTTCCTGTACCATGAGTGTTGTCGTAGAGTTGAGGCTAGGCAAAGTTCGGTCTCATGCTCCTCAATCAACAGTATTGCGCCATTCAACAAGCGTATCATAGGACATGTTGTACGTCAGATTATCCAGTTACGCTGGTGGGATACACTTTCCTGTTGCTGATGAGTTTCCAAGAGCTCCGCTGACTTTTCGACAATAGTACACAGAGCTTCCTTGACCATGAGTCTCCCAGCCAAGACTTAGCAACTTACTCCTCGCCTGCTTGGCTTTTGCAACTGATCAAATACTTTTGGACAGCAACTCGGGTCGTATCGTCTTTCCTTATGCCAAAGCAGGCACGTGTAATAGCATGCGGCAGTGCTAATACTGAGATCGTGCCCGCCTAGCTCTGTGTTCAGCATGCAGCCAATGCATTTCTTCTGACCCGTGCAAAATCATGATGAGTCTTCAATTCTCATACGTACGAAGAATAGAGCGGTGGAACTCATGCGGTAGCCATTGATGCGTTTATGCCGACCATAGATGTGAACACTGTTTGCCGAAGAAACAATGTTACTCTGCTTTCCTCTCTGGCCACGTTCATCGAACAATTTGGCGCGTGCGTTCGCATGCGCGAAGAACGGTTTGAAGATAGTGGTGGTGATGCGTTTGCACTGGAGGATAGACAGAAAACACATGAACATCACCCACGGAAGAGCAAAAGTTGTCATGCGTTTTTCTGTGATCACGTTCACGATGCGTTGTGTACCTTGCAATCGCATGCAAGACGGAAAGATCGATAAATACCATTCAATGGCCTGGACTACCTCTCCCTCTTTCACAACAACAAATGTTGGTTCTTCTTAGAAGCAATACAAGCTCTAAAACTTCTTGAACTACTTCGATACCCACTTTACTTCCACCACTTCTCTCCTATCATTAGGCTATGGATCAGACTCAAAGAGTCAACCGCGTACTACGATACCTCTGTCTGGATCAGTACAAGGAGTCAACACCGGAACTTATCACAGCCAACATCATCAAGCTTCGATTGCTGCAGTCATTCAATCTGGATGTAGTCTATCTTCCAGCTCACCCTGGCTTCCCACACGATGGAGCAGTCCGTATACCACAGGATCCTTCAGAACCAGAACGCCTTATATGGTTCGACTTTATGGTCCTGCTCGAAGATGAACCTGGAGCTGCAACTCGCTATGGAACCCTGACGATGGCTCAAGTTGGCAATGCATCGCGGCCAGCCTTTTATATTGTCATCTTTCCGAACTCTCCCAAGTACATGTCCATCGTGCCACATGCTGTGGCCTGGCAGGAAGGAGAGTCTGATTCTATCGATATAATCGGCACTGGCATAACAGGTCCTTATTTTCCATACCTGATGCCAGAACATCTTCTACCCCTGGCTCTCAAAGGCATCTCAATGATCCCCTGGGGAATCTTATATACCAATCCTGGTACTGGAGTGGTTCTCAAGCGTTGGTTTCCAGTCATGACAGAAACACGGAGAGACTCGCCAACTGTTCCTCTGCTCCCAGAGCCTCCGTCTATGCCGCCACGCCCTTCGAACAGCGTAGGCAAGAAACGTCGTCGTGATTCTGACGACGAAGATGAGTCTTCAAGATTGGCTCCTGCGTTGAGAGAAAGAGAGTCGCAAGCGATGAGGCCTTCAATTGGGGTTGCTGATCTTGAGATCGACGCCAGTTGGACAGAGCACGATCTATTCGGCTTTGACTGGTCGCTGCCTGATCAATCATTGCTCTCGGTCTTGCCAGAGACTGCTGTTGGTTCTTTGCTTGGAGCGGGAGTTGCGAAAGGTCAGCAACAGCTTGAACATATATATCCAGCCTCGCCTCACTTCACCGTCGCCGAGATCAATACTGGGTTTGCTGGGGAGGCTTTTGGTTATACGGAGTACGATCTCTCCGAGATGTGGTTGACCGGGCTTGAGGCAATTGAGGAAGGAGCTAAATGGAATGCTGGATCGAGAACGCTCCTGCCGGCTTCACAAGCCGGCCCTGCAACTACTGTTGACGCACAACAGTACAAGCGAGTTGCACCATTGAGAGCGATCGCGCCTGCCCCTTTGACTGTGGAAGCAGGTCCGAGCCACATCTCTGCAGCCACAGTATCTGTCAATTCTCCTTCTGAGCCTCGTCATTCTTCTTCAGCGCTGGTTCCCTCCTCCGAGGCAGGAGCTACCGGATCCGAGTCAGAGGAAGAAGACGACAAAGAAGACGCTCCACCGCGTCGACTCATCGAGTTGCATCACGAACATCCATGGTGCAACCATATATACCTGCCTCCCTCCACCCAAGACGCACTCACCCAACTCCTCGCTCCAGACACCGTCTGCCTACCCGTCATCACGAACCCCAGCGATACCGCTGACGGCAAACCCATGCCCCTTTCTGTCCTCTCAATCGCACACCCTTGTCTTCACGTTCTGTCAAGTCGCTCTTCTCCAGACAAGTTCTTCTTGCTTCCCAGCCGCTGGGTGGACTTTTTCCATTGCAGTTTGAATCAACTGCTTAACAGCACGCAAGGAGATAGCAAGAGATCGGCCTTACGTGGAACCAACAAGATCGTCACGGAGAACCCTACCGTGCGTGATGCGTTCAAGAGGTATGGCATTGATGGCGTGGATGGAGGAGCAGAGTTGAGTTGGGGGTTGTGGGATGCATGGATCAGAGAGTTCAAAAGGACAACTCCTTGCGGGATGACCATGGAGGAAGACAGGAATGCTTGTTGCTCGGTCAGAGAGGTTCTGCAGGTTCAGGTTGATTGGTCGATGCGGATGTTTCCTGACTTGTTGATGTAAGGATTATAATGCTGGACTTTGCGAATGTGCAGAGAGGAGTTATATCTGGGGAGGAACGAATAGTTTTACGATGGAAGGTATATATCAAGCAGGAAAGCTCTGCTTCTTTTGAGTAGGGCGTGCTTTGATTTGAGGGTTGTGTTGTTCGTTTATATATGTTTACAGTATATACGGATGCGAATGGGTCTCTGTCTGCCTGCGGTCGTATAATTTGTGCTTGTTGCTTGTCTCAATCAATTGATGCGAAATTAGACAGAAGTACGTCACTCTCACTCACACATGACTTTGTACTGGATCAGATTCTTTGCTTGTTCAGAGTTCGGGTTCATAGGGCAAATCGGTACACCATCCCCCTAATTCAGAGCATAAACAGGATCCGTAGGTGTTGAGAAATTCTCCCCTTGGACAGTCGGCTTTGGGCGAACAAGGTGTTTTTCATTCAATATTTTGTTGCTCTTGGCAGCTAAGTTTTGTTGTATATATACGTGATGCTCAAACTGACCACAGGTCTAATATTGTACAGCGTGGTTGACACATCATGCTCTACTTCCATCTAGCTTACCCAATATCTTATGACTGGGCAGGGAAACCAATGCCGAGGAGAAGAGCCGGCTCGTCGACCTTGTGGTGAGAGTAACTCAATACACCAACACCGCCGGGCTCCATCATCAAGTTGAGGTTCATGTCCAGGGNGTAGCCTAACCATCTCTTGGCAAAACATCTCGTGAGATGACCATGAGCGACCAAAACAACATCGCAAGGCTGTTCGCCATTCATGTTGGGGCCTTGCAGTTCTCTGATCTTGACAATCAACTCGTCAATACGTGCAGCCACCTGATCGGGCGACTCTCCATCCTCGCATCCATCACGCCAGATATCCCACTTGCGCTCAGTATCCAGACCCTTGGACTTGCGCAAGTCACGAATCTCGGCGGGCTTGAGGCCTTCGTAGGCGCCATAATCCCATTCGCCGAGTTGCTCGGTGGTCTGCACTTTACCCTCATCTCTGAGCGCGGCTTCTTGCTTGTCGCCAAAGAGCAGGGAGAAGGTGTGCTGAGCGCGCGTGCGAGGAGATACCCAGCACATGCCGATTTTGGAGGGGTCGATGAGTTTTTTGTTTCCGACGGCGATGGCACCGGTGCTGCGGACTTGGGATTCGCCGTGGGCGGTCAGGGGGATGTCGGTCTTGCCTGTGTGTTTGCCGGACATGGACCACTCGGTCTCGCCGTGGCGGATGAGAAAGACACGAGGAGTGCCGGCGTCTTTGTCAGGCATTTTTGTGGTACTGTCAATGTTCAGTCAGAGTTTTGATACCAGGTTCCGAAATGTGTTCAATGTTGTCAAGAGGATCCCATGGATGGTCAGATGAAGAGAACACTGAAAACCTATATAGCCTTGTTGGGCCTGCCTGCTTCTTGGCTGAGCGAAACAGAAAGACTCGGAGAACATTCCATACTATATGAAATATAGAATAGCGACCACTGAAACGTTCCTGAAAAGTGTACCAGAATAAAGTGTAAGAAACACTTTCCACCTCTTTACAGATCAAGACACAAGACGGAAGAACTGAGAAAGATCATATGAGGCTTGTCACTTACAGATATAGAAGATAAAGATGTGAATTGGGTGCTAGAAAAGATAGAAGGTGTATCGAGGTTGCACAAAGGTCAACGAAATTATGTGCACAGACCATTCTGTATGACGCCGAGCACAGAATAGAGTTTGAGGCTAGCGACACCTCCCTGAGTCTTTCGAAACCTCTCAGAGATACTGCATCATTGTTCGTACGTGATACAGTGTTTCCTCGAATCATCCTCAACTCGGCTGGCAACAGATATACGGTTTCGGATCGAAAAGAACACCATTCGCGTTGTCAAGGAGTTCGGCCCTGTTTGCCAAAATGGTTCAATTCAACAAAGATGGGAGGCTCGAGCTCATTCCTGGTATTGATATCCACACCATGGCCATCGGCATGATCACTCTCGTTGTTTTGGGTGTAGTGACGCTCTGGTTCTATGCCAACTACATCTTTGACGAGGATGCCGCTCGCGCGTTGACAGCCCGCAAAAAGCCGGTTTCGACAGAGATCGTATCTCTGCGCATCTACCCCATCAAGTCATGCCGTGGTATCGAGGTGCAGGATACCAAACTTCACAAAACTGGACTGGATCTGGATCGCCATTGGATGTTCGTCGACGCAAAGAGCCGCCAATTTCTGACAATTCGCTCGGATCCTTCCATGACTCTGATTAATACCGGCCTCAGCGGCGATGGAAAGAGCAAGTGGACAGACTTGCATATCAGCATCCACAACACCGACAAGCACATCAAGATACCTTGCTACCCCACTACTGAATGGTTGGAAGAGAACACCAAGCTCACCAAGGTCGAGATCTGGGGCGAGAGCACTGATGGCTGGGAGTACAGCGACGAGATCAACTCGATGTTCAGCGAGTACTTCAAGAAGCCCGTTGCCCTGATCTACAAGGGTCCCACTCCCAGAATAACGCGTGGCAATGCCACTCCTGAACTGTACGGCAAGGAGCAAGAACATCACTTTGCCGATCTTATGAGCGTCCAAGTCGCTTCAGAGGCTTCCCTGACCGACCTCAACTCCAGACTCGAAGCTGCTGGCCACGACAAGCTCACTATCGAACGCTTCCGACCCAACATCATCGTCAAGGGAGACAAGGCTTGGGATGAGGATAGCTGGAAGAAGGTGTGCATCCGCACCACTGATCACCAGCGTGAGGCCATCTGGAAGACCCATCTCGACGTCTTGTGCCACTGTGCTCGCTGCCAGGTGCCCAACGTCAACCCCGACACTGCCGAGAAGCACGCGCACGAGCCTTGGGACACACTCATGAAGTTCAGACGTATTGATCAGGGTGGAGTGGCCAAGTACAAGCCTTGCTTTGGTATGCTGTGCGTTCCCACGAGCGAAGGACCGATCGCTGTGGGTGCTGCCCTCGAAGTTTTGGAACGTACAGACAAACACTTGTACAACACGTCTAAGTTCGAGGATCTATAGTGTGGCTATCAATAGTCTTATGTATCCATATATGCAAAGGAACGCAGAAGCTTGAAAAGTTGTCATGCCATTTTTCTTGTCCATAAACTCCATAGTCAAAGAGAGCCCAGAATGCAAGTACAGTACAAGAAAGATAAATATTGTACAAGGGTATATACGACGCATTTGGCATTTCTACCACGAGTACCACTGCCTCTGTCCCTGGATGGGGCGGTCGGGCAGGGGAGTCCAGACCTTGGCCTCACGCTGCTTCTTTCTCTTGTCCTCGCGCTCATTGTATTGTCTGACTCTGGTGGCCTCCTCCTTCAGCACCATACCGATATGTGTCCAGGGAGTGCGCAGAATGTTGATCTTGCCCTTTGCACGGTATTCGGGCAGCTTTCCGTAGGGACCTCTACCGACCCATGCCTGATCAATGTACATTTTTGAAGGATCTTCGACAGTGTGTCTCTTGCCGTCCTTGAGGCGAATGTCGACGGGCTTGGCCGAGTCGGCTACGGTGGGCTGGCCAAGACCCATACCACGGGCGACAATGGCCTCATCACGGGCGTACTCGAGGTAGCTGAGAACCGGGATGGCGGCCTTCTTCTTGCTGAAGCGCAGCTGGACAATGGCGTCGTCGACGGTCTTGCCGGCGATTTGGCGTGCAATAGGACCCAGCTTCTTAATGCTCGTCTTGATGTTCTCGCTCTTGCCTACACTTTCTCTCTCGGTGCGCTTGATAAACGTTTCCTTGTTCAAGCGACCACCCTTGCGAATGTCGCGGATGGCCATCTTGCGCTGCCATCGCTCGCGTGCCACTGGGTGAGGGTCGAGGATGGTGGCCATGGCACCCAAGTTACGGCCGCCAACTTCGGTCGCGTCCTTCTCGTCCTGGCGTTCCTGTACCTGGCGTTCGCCCTCGAAGATGGATGTTTCGGCAAGGTCACCACGCTGCAAGCTCTCGGCGCTTTGCTTGGTTGGCTTCTTCTTGAGGTATTGGTCTAGTACAGGGTTTGTCGCTTGGCCTGACCTGGAACTGAGGTTGCTGTCGTCCTTTCTCTTGCCAAAGAAGCCCCAGATGGAGCGGCGTCCGAGGGTTGACGGCGTTGTCGAAGAAGGCGCATGGAGACATTGGAGGCCGCNCTGGTCGACCCGTCAGTAAAAGGTCCTCCTATGGGAGTTTGGCAGCATGTTACCATTCTGCAGCAGTCGCCGTGAAGGCGTACGGGCGCTCATTGTGTGTGATGTGTGCGTCTGGCCTCGTCGTCGGTCGGGTCGATGATTCTCTAGAAACTTGCCCGACGCTGCCAAGCATTGCACCGCCGATCCGCTCTCCATGACTTTTCTGCTCGGAGCATTTTCGAGAATTGATAATCAAGGCCTGATGCTTTGACTCTTCGTCCTGCTGTTATCCGTCTACGAAACAGCTCCTTCGTCCAACTAAGCACACGATTTGTTGGCTCTTCGCTGAGCTATCTACACTGTTTCTCATCTTGGAGATCTTCAAAACTACACCTTCCTCTCACGCTGATTGGACGGCCAACCGTTACGGAGTAGACGCTTCCAGGATCGCAAACTCCTGTGTCAGAATCGTAGAGAGAACAACCTCCCTCTTGCTTCACCCTCCCAATCTCTCATCCCTCGCTTCTGCCGACCCTCTTCTAGAAGCGATAGAGCCTACGACGCCCCGCTCTGATCCTTCTCGTCGGAACTTGGACTGCCCTGTCGCAGATTGCCCTGTGGGAGTGGTCCTTGATTTGGACAGCGGAGCTGCTTCCTGCCATCCCTCTTGTCCCATTTTAAGTGGTGTTAGCTAGTCCGGGCCGGCCATTTTTTTGTATCTTTAATAATTTGATCCATATTGTCGGATCCGCATTACTGTCCACCATGGATATCAATGCCTTGCTGTCGCCATCGGAATCGCCGGCTAAACAACAACCCTCACCACAGCCGAGACCAAGGGTGCAACCACGTCCCGCCGGTGGCAGACGTACTGCATCGGGCCTCAGCAATGAAATCTCCATGACTTCGCCGCCGCCTGAGCCACCGCGTTCGGCGCCCACACTAGGACAGGATTCTACAACCCAACATCAGAGGAACGCATATGCCTCCGCTTACAATGGCCCCCAGGATATGAGGAATTTCAGGAGCAATCACGACGCGCCGGAAATGAGAAATGCCCATGGAGCGCCACAGACCTACCGACCACAACTTCAGTATGTCTCCGGTCGGCACTCGTCGACGCCGCAGATGGAGACTTTAGCAGGTGCGATTGTCCCCGTCACATGACGCAACTGCCTACAAACAAGCTGATTTTTTGACATTATTCCCNNAGATCTTGCTTCGATGCAACATCACCAATTGCAAAGAAAACATTCCCTCATCGACGCACAGCTGCCATCAATGTGAGTTGTGTCTCCATCACTTGGCTTCTTGAATATTGACACATTCGTAGCNAACCGCCGCGCGAGCTTTGCTCCTCCACTTGCCCGCTCTGCACTCTCTTCCTCTCAGGTCGCCATGGCCGAAGCCCCGGCACAGACGCCCGAGCCGCGTGCCTTCACCGCCGCTTCACTGACCGAGCAGGAGATCCAGACCATCACCGAACTGGTCAAGTATCTAACCGAAAACTCTTACGCTTATGACTCTCATGTACAACTCATCAATCTACTTCACAAAGGCTTCGTCGCCCATGTCTACGGCACCTCGAACGTGGTTATCAACGATCCAAGGGATTACAATCTGCTTCCTGATATGCGGCAAGCACGTGAGGCCATGGACTCTCGCTTTGCTGTTGGAGAAGACATCTGGAAAGACTGGATCAACGATGAGGCCATTCTGGCCCGTCAGAGCGAAGAACGCGTCGCCGTTATGGACTTGTGCCAGAAGGCTGTTCAGGACGAGCCTACCAGCGTCACGCTCTGGTCCGTCTATGGCGAATGGGTCATGCAGACATATTCTATCGCCAATGGCTTCGCCGAGGGAGACCCTAACGTATGGACAGACATTGACAAGGAGATTTGCAAAGAAGTCTTCAGTCGCGACATCTGTTTGAGCGTGTGGGAGAGGGCCGTCGAGGCTACAGCTTGGCGTATAGACGAGAGCCATCGCATATGGGATCGTTACATCGACCTTGTACTACAGGAGTTTCCGGAAAACCCATCTTCTCAGGCAATCGAACACGTCAACAATATGTTCATGCGCCGCCTCAGAACCCCACATGCGAACTGGTCCGAGACTTCTTCTAAATTCTGGCCCATCGTCTCGAAATTCAATGCAAGCAACTGGGAAGAGATCATGGCTGCTACTAATGAGATGGCTGCCCCTGCAAAACAACAATTCGCACTTCGAGAGTCACACGAGCTAAACTTGCAACGAGCAGCCGAGTCTGGTGACAGTGTCGCCCTCTACAACGCCTTTACCGAGTACCTAATCTGGGATCGAAAGAACAAACGACGCTCGCCATTCGATTTTGAGCTGCGATGTTCCCTGTACGAGAGGGCTCTATTGCGCTTCCCTACAGTCATTGAGTGGTGGCTCGATCTTGCCGATTTCGTGTTGAAAACCAACTCCAACAGCCCAATCATCTTGACAATTCTGGAAAGGGCCACCAGGCATTGTCCATGGTCTGGTGATTTGTGGTCAAGACGTGTCCTTCGCGCCGAAGTGGACAAGCTCCCCTATGATGAAGTTGAGCAGGTCAAGCACAAAGCTACCAACAGTGGTCTTCTCGACATTGGCGGCATGGAAGAGGTCCTCAAAGTCTATTCTTCATGGTGTGGTTACCTTCGTCGCAGGGCTTTTGCGCCGGACAACACCGATGACGAGATCGATATGGCCGATATGGGCATTACAGGTACTCTCGAGGATGCCACTGTTGCTGGCAAAAAGATCTACGGTGGTGAATACAAAGGTGATCCTCTGTTCCGTCTGGAAAAGATTCGCGTCAAATTTCTGCTGGAAGCCCGACGTTTTGAGGACGCGAGAATGGTCTTTAGACGTTTAAAAACTACCCATGCTGCTAGTGCCGATTTCTGGCTTGCTTGGCATCAGTTCGAAGCCTTGATATGGGCTCACGAGCGCATGTCTGAGTCAGTTCGCATCGAGACACCCGAAACAGCGCCCACAAATGCCACCTCTGTCCTGCGCGAAGCTCTAGAACAAAGAAATCTCGACTGGCCAGAAAAGATCCTTGAGGTCTGGTCAAACCACTTTTCCCAGCATGAGACTCCTGAAGCATTGCAATTGGCTCAGGCGGACGCTCGTACTGCACAATTCTTCCTGACACAAAGACGAGCAAGAGAGGCGGCTGACGCTGCTGCTACTGCTGCCGCCGCTGCCGAAACACAGCCTCAAGCAAATGGTCTCGAGACCGTTCCGGAAGAAGCGTCAACTACATCTAAGAGGAAACGCGAGAACGAATCAGAGCAAGAGGCCGAAGATGCTGTGAAGAGGAACAAGACGGGAGGAGATGCATCCAACCCGCCATATCACGAAGTATCAGCTTCGGCCTCAGCTCAAATCAAGCGCGATAGAGAGCACAACACGATTACTGTCAAGGATCTGCCAAACGATGTTACAGAAAAGCGCGTGCGACAGTTCTTCAGCGACTGTGGAACCATTCTTTCTGTCAGTATAGTGACTGACGATAACTCGACGACGGCGCACGCCACCGTTGAGTTTGAAAATGAAGAGGACACACTTTCTGCTAAAACCCGCGATGGGAAGTCTTTCGACGGCAACACCATCCGCATACAGTCTGGAACACTATCGACTCTTTACGTGACCAATTACCCTGCCGAATGGGACGAGGTCAGAATCCGCGAGCTGTTCAAAGATTTCGGCACTGTTGTCAGTGTCCGCTTGCCTTCTCTCAAGTACAACCAGCGACGCCGCTTCTGTTATGTGCAGTTCCTCACACCTGAGGAAGCTCGTGCTGCCACATTGTTGCATGACAAGGCCATTGACGGTCAGCACCGTCTTCTTGCTAAGATCTCCGATCCTGATGCCAAGAAGGAGCGTTCAGGCGCTGTGACAGAAGGTCGAGAGTTGCATGTTGCTAATATTGACTTCAATGCTACGGAGTCGGATATTCGCGATTTGTTCAAGCAACACGGTGTTGTTGAGAACGTGCGTATGATTAGGAATTTACAAGGTAGATTCTTTGGCACGGCGTTCATTGTCTTCTCCAAGTCAGAGGAGGCCGAAGCGGCGATGGTGCTCAACAACAAACCATTGAAAACTCGCCTGCTCCGTGTCACGCTTGCAACGGACAAGAGCTCTGCCAAGAAGGACATTGCGACCACAGTCATCCAACAAACCACAAGCGGATCTCCTGCGCCTGATAGTAGTCAGAATGGCTCTACCGGACCAGACAACAGACGCAGAGGGTCGATCGCTCCACCCCAAGAGCTTAATGATGAGACTGCTAGGACGGCACGTGAGCGCAAGTTGGCTCTTCTCAATCTACCAGACACGGTCAACGATGCCCGCATCCAAGCGTTCCTCGAGAACTTCGGTCCACTCCGCAAGATCACCGTGCGCCGCGACAAGGCAGGCGCCATGGTCGAGTTTGTCAACCTCCAAGATGCTGGTAAGGTTGGTCTTGGAGTAGACTGTACTCCTCTGGGCCCAGAAGTACGCATCGGCACTGTCGATGACCTTCTTTACAAGTCAAAGGCCAAGCCTGCGTCCGCTCAGACTCAAAACCCTAAGCCTGCGACTTCGTTCAAGCCTCCTCAAGCAGGCAACTCGAGGCCTGTACAGAGGAGCGGCCAGGGTAGACGCGGTGGACTTGGCTTCAAGCGAGGAGGTGCACTTTCTGTCGGCTCTGGGGCTGCAAAGTCACCCGAAGGAGAAGACAAGGCCATGAGTGGTACTGGCGAGACCGAGACCAAGGCAAAGAGCAACAATGACTTTAGGACATTGTTCAACAAGGGCAAGGAGCCCGATGCCGCCGCCGCCGGAGAAAAGGAAGAATAATTGGTATAAAAATGTCGAAAAGCATTGAACAAAAGGAGCAAAAGCAGGAAGCGTGAAGTGGAAGTCATGATAGCAAAAGGGTGCGTGGTAAAAAATAATAACAACTATATCCAAAGTGTTGCAAACACGAAACAAGTGTATCTTGATCAATCACCTCCAGAAACATCGGAAGAAAAAGAACAAAATGCACTTTGACTTGAATATTGAATAATACTGTCTGTTTTCTTTTCAATACAAGAATCTTCTATCTAGCTTGCAAGAATACCTCGTTCCCATGTGAATATCTGACGCTAGAACATGGATCCTCTTCATCCCTCTCCAGTTTTTGGTTAGCGACAGGGATGTGGAATCAAACAATGCAGAATGCCCCAAATGCTTTGCCCCGTGATGTGAAAAACAACGCCCAAGAGAGAAACCCCCGCAGATGAGACCCCTCTGTGTCGGCCAGACTGCGACCGACCGCCTCCCGAAACAGGTAGGCACGAAAAGTGAGAAGAGAAGAAGAGGAAGAAAAGATGCAACAAGGAAACTGTCCAGTTTCGCCAAACAACGACGAGATCAAGCGCCTTGGGCCAACTGCACGATGAGACTGCTAGCCACGTCCATGAAGGGGAAGGGACTCGAAATGTCCTTTTCTTCGGGTATGCGTCCACAGCCCATGTATCCTTCATCCATGTCTTCGTCGTCGTGGTCTTCTTCGCGCCAAACATCAGACGCCTCACCGTCCGCGTGCGTCTTGATCTCGCGTCTCAAGCGACGTACAAGGCGTTCGTAGCCGGCGCACTTGAAATCGACCATGAAGCTATCTTGCTCGATGCAGTACAGTTGGATGGTCACGTACACCCAAGCGCTCTCGTTGGGTGCGGGGTGACGGCGACGCAGGCTTTCTTGACCAAAGCTGCTGGGGCCTGTGGCGGCGATATTATCGGTAGACGCGTGGGCACTGCCGTGGACACTGCTTGGTTGGACGGGTGAGTTGAAACCTGCGGGTGAGGCTGCTAGACTAGTGCTGCTTCCCATTGTTGAGCTGCGGCGACGGATTCCTTCTTGCAGGTCCACACGGCTAGAGTGTGTTGATGATGGGTGTGCTACGCCGGGCGGGAACATACCATCCTTGCGGAATCTTGCGTTGATGATCCAGGGGTCTTCGGGGATCTTGTAGCCCCAATCATTCTCAGGTCCAAGGGGTTCACGAATATTTGACTTGCGGCCTTGGCTGCGAGACAGTTCCTCGCCAAAGTCGTCGTCTGACATGTCTGATGCGTGTCCACCACGAGAACGGCGTCTAGCACGTTCTTCATGAGTAGAGTATTCGGGATCAGTGCCAGCCTCTGGGTCCGAGTCGGAATATTCGGGACTTTGACTTCCGTCCCTGGCGTGACGCCGGCGATTCCGTGGCGGGCTTCCTTCACCATGGCCAGGACGACGTACGACAGGAGCTTCCCAAACGGCGTTCATTGCCTTTAGTGCTTTGTAAATGGCTAGCATGGCTTCTGAAGGGCTGTTGCGACTGCGAATTCCGAATTGCCATTTGGTCGGTTTAATCTTCTTGGCGTCCTTGTTGGGCAGAGGTGTCATCATCTCAGGCTTGTCTCGGCCTCCTATCTGGTTTCCCTTGACATGAGGTCTCAATCTCTTGAGGACGGCAGCACGTTGTTCGGACGTGAGTTCTTTGCCTTCGCCTCCAGGCACACTGTTGGGGGCATACGGATCCAGTTCACCTTCTGGAATAGCAGCTCTGGGGGTGGTACCCTGCATGTATGCTTGATGGAAAGAGGGAAGTGAAGAAGGTAGTATACCAATCGTCGTCGCAGGAGTGCGAGCTTCGTGAGCAGAGCTAGTAGAACCGTGACGAGGATGCTCGACGTTCGAGGCTGGATTGGACGTTCCAGGCGCAGGATGGCGAGCATTTGGTGGAGAAGTGACGGTGGTTTGGAAGGTCGGCGGCGATTGAGCAAGCCATGGCTGCAGATCAGGGTTGTGTGCGAGCGAGGGGTTAGCTTTCATGATAGTGTTTTCACGCACTATGAGGTAGGCGTCTTTGATTGCGCTGGGCTCATCCTTAGCGAGGGCCTCGGTCACATCATCCTTTGCATATCCCATAGTCTTGCCTAGCTTGCCCACTACACTCTCGTGCAGTTTCTGTTGCACAACTGCAGGCTTCGTAGGGGCCAATTTGGCTGGGTCAATTGATCTGTTGGGGTCAATGCCCTGATCCATGAACTCCTCAACAGGCGGTGTGAGGTAGTCGGGCAGCTCCTTGAGGAACCACGGGTCGAGCTTGATCTCGTCAATGGTGATACGAGTGACAGGGCTGACTTGCAGCATCCTCTTGATCAAACGAGCAGCTCCAGATGAAATGTAGCTTGGCGTATGATACGTGCCGGACTGAATCTTCTTAAAAAGCGTCGGGATGTATTCATCGTCAAAGGGCAGGCGAGCACAAAGCAGTACATAAAGGATAACACCACAACTCCAGACATCGACCTCAGGACCGGCATATAGCTTGCCCCCGACGACTTCAGGGGCTGCATAGTTCGGACTGCCACAACTAGTTTTGAGGAAATTGCCATCGGTCATGATGTTACTCAGACCAAAGTCGGCAATCTTGACATTGAGAGCGTCATCGAGGAGCAGGTTCTCGGGCTTGAGGTCACGGTGGACGATCTTGTGACGATGGCAGTACTCGACGGCGCACACGATCTGCTGGAAGAACTTGCGAGCCTTGTCCTCGGGCATGCGTCCGTGGTCAAGAATGTACTGGAACAGCTCACCGCCGGCGTACTCGAGGACCATGATGATCTCCTTTGGGGTTGTGATGACGGTGTAGAGCTTGATGATGTGAGGATGGCGCAGCAGTTGCAGGTATTGGATCTCGCGCTCTATACGGCCAGCCATGTCGCGAGTGACGAGCTTCTGGCGAGAGATGATTTTGAGGGCGACCTTCTGGCCGCTGACCTTGTGGACGGCCAGCTTGACCTTGCCAAAGGAGCCCTCGCCTAGTGTTCTGACAATGTCATATTGACCCAGGCGTCTCTTGTTGGTAGCAGGAGGAGCAGGTTGTGATTTTGAAATGGCAGCCAAAGCAGTGGGCGGATTCAAGTCGTCGGTTTGTGAGCCATTGGTCGGGCGACGGGTCATGGAGAGCGAGAGGTCATCGTCGTCGAAGGCCTGAGCCATGATGGGCGGAGCGGCGTCGTGGCTGCTCGGCCAAGGTTGTGGGCGGAGACAAGGAAGCGACGAGTCGAGGTCGGGACTTGTTGGCGAGCAAGATTGTTGAGGGCGCACTTGGTGTCGGGATGCGCTGTGATGTCGCCGGAGGGATGCCGCAGCGGGTAGGCGCCGACGTCGCACTTGAAGGCTGGCAACGTGGCCGTCGTTGCTGTGAGGGTGGCCGACTGGGATTGGAAGCGTTTGGCTAGGGTTCCGTGTCGTGACAGCAGATAAGAGGTCGACGTGCTTGGTGGGTTGTGTCTCGGGGAGGGCGCATAGCAGCAAACAGCAAGCAGCGATCAAGCGGAGGAGCCGTCCCTCGTCTCCCTCGCTGCTTCCCCAGCGCACGGACCCTATACCGATGTCATCACGAGACTCACGAGGCTGCCCGCCGGCTCCTTCGATTCGTGCATCTTTGTTCTGTTTCTTTGGCCAAAGCGGGAGACTCCCTTTTCGCTCTGTTGCAGCTTCCCCTATCAACTGTGCTGCATCCATGTGCTCTCGGCTCTTCAGCTGCTCTTTCCGTGGCTGACAAGCCTTCGTCTTCGGCCAAGCTGCCCCGCAATCCCCTCCTCACACGTCGACCAACAGCCCACCTAAGCTTCCAGAATTTTCGACCAACTCCTGTCGACAGAACATCTGTTTCTACGCCAGCGCAGTATCACTGCACATCTCACAATCAGTTTTTGGGAACAAGCTCCAGTGTCATGCTTCTGCCGTCCTCGACCGACATTGCATATGCAACGCACCCGCCCCGCATGCATTCCTTCGGCTTTGTCTATCAACTCTTGCCTTGCTCCAATCAATCATGTCCATCCAGCCCTGTACACAGCATATCCTAGTACCTTGTTCGCTTTATTTACCCTTCTCCGCCTCCAGTTGCTTGAGTCGTGCAATGAGCTTCTCGCGAAGGTAGGGGCTTAGTCCAANGACTATACCCATGTCAGCATATCCATCTCGCTCCGTACTGCTTCAGCCCTGTACTTACATTCCCTCTCGTGTGACGCATCTGTATGTGCCGCTCTCTTGATAGCTGCCGTTCTCACCCACAAAATTGCCGACTGCGTCAACCTCGAGACTGCCGAATATGTCCTCGGGCCATGCGACGCGACCATAATCTGGTGGGTTCCTCTGGTCACTGACGTGAATGTGGCCTCCTCTTCCTGCTCCTCCCGCGCCGCCCTGAGCGGATGCTCCTCCAGCTCCGTCACCGCCAGCGCCGCCTCCTCCACCATATCCTGCGCGTCTCTTGCTACGTTTGTGTTGCGTCTGAGGGAAGAAGACACCTCCTGAACCCAACGATGATCCAGATGAGCTGGCATATGCTTGAGCTTGTCCAATGACGTCGGGGTCCTTGGTCGCATGTTCTCGTATCACGGATTGTAGGACTTTCATGAATGATTGGTTCTCGCGCAACGAGTCTGGCGTGGGCGGGATCTGCGAGGTGACACCGATAGCAAGCGACCCTGTGGGAGGCGATGTGGGCAGGAAAGAGAGGACATTGACAGTAGGCGACTGTGGATGTACATNACTGAGAGGTCGTGTCAGTCGGACGACCTGACTGCCCTCATTTCTTCAACGTACGATGTGAGGGTTGTTAGGGAGAGTAGAAATGGATCGGCGACATGCCGAAAAGGCTGGCGACAGTATTGTCCGTCTGCAATGTGTGAGAATCATCTTGTCTGTGAGCATTGTTTGATGGCTGAGCATGGCTGGGCCAAAAGGTCAACTTGAACATTGAAGCTCTGACCACTCGCTCACGGCATGACGTTCACGATGTCCCGTGTCGGCGCTTGCTTTTCTAAGCAGCAGCGATACCAGCTCTGGCTTTCCGGTTTAGATAGAGCATGGTCGCACGACCAGACACGCAACTGGAGGATCGGAGTAAGACTGCGATGCCCAACATGTTTGACCGACAAGGTGGAAAAGAGTTTGGGAGCTGCCAGAAGCCATCGGACAAGCACAGCTCCAAGGGCGGTCTACGGCCATGTCAAGAACAACGCTACGGCACCGGCGCGGAGATTTTTGCAGCGAAACCTTCCAAATGAGGCTTCTGCCATCAGATGAACAACCGCAGAACTCCCTCCCCAACCATACACCGGATTTGTTTCGGACAAACTCTGATATAAGGAGGTTCTCCTGCTCAACGTGACTCATCTTGTGGTCAATTGTCCAGCTACACACTCGACACATAAAGTGGGAGCATGCTGCGCTAAGAAGCCCACAAAAGCTTTATCTTATCAATCTGCGTCTGCCCCATCTGGACTTGTCCTCCATTGGCTTTTTCTCGAGACGAATAGTCATACATTCCACTCCTACTCATGGCTAGTTCGCGAGAGCAAGCTGCCGCCATGGAGCTGGCTGGTTACGGCTCTAAAGAGGCGCCAGTCGTCGATGATCAAGAATTGGGATCAGAAGGCGCTGACCTGGCTCGTATTGAGCGTGTCTACAAGTATGTTGATGCTGCAGTCTTTATCAACCTTACCGACAATGTCTGACGAACCACAGANAAGATTGATCGCAGAATAATTCCACGTATGGTTGCTATGCTCGTTGACTATTTCGATTCGACTAACATGTGTGCAGCATTTTGGATACTCTACTTTCTCTGCTCAGCCATCCGCTCCAATGTTGGTCTGGCACAAACCATGAACTCGGCACAAGGTCATGACCTTTCCGACGTGCTCCATCTGACGCCCAAGCAAGTCTCTACCGGTCTAGCGCTCTTCTACGTCTGTTATGTGGTCTTCGATTGTCCTTCGAACCTCATCATGTCCAAATTGAGCCCGCACGTGTGGATGAGTAGAATCGTGCTAAGCGTTGGTATCATCGGCACATGCATGACAGCTATGAAGGCAGCCTGGAGTCTCTATCTGTTGCGACTATTGCTGGGCATTGTCATCGCTGGCATGTGGCCTGGTATGACCTACTACCTAAGTCTATACTATCCACCTTCGCGCTGCGCGAAACGCATTGGACAATACTATACTGCGGCACAGCTATCTGCCGCTGTTGTTGGTCTTGTCAGTGCCGGCTTCCAGAAGATGGATGGTCTCGGCGGCCTCGTGGGTTTCCAGTGGATGTTTCTGATTTACGGATTGTTGGCAGTTATCCTCGGCATCGTATTGCTTTGGTGGCTGCCCGATCGTCCATACCCGCCCGGTGAAAAAATTGAACAACCTGTTGGCTGGAGACGTTTGCTGCCGAGAAGTCCACCTGTGCTTACAGGAGAGGACGCTCGTATACATTACGAAGAGCTGACAAGGGTGTATCATCGCCCCGCTTGGGGATGGAAGGACCTGGGCCGCGTACTCATTGACTGGCGCCTTTGGCCTTTGGTCGTCATGTACTTTGGCGTCGTAGGCGTTGGTATGTCAATGTTCCTCTACATCATCATGACTCATGCTGACCAACATACTNNAGGTATCGGCGTTCAGAGCTACGGAACCGTCATCATCCATGCCATCAACCCCAGTCTCAGCAGTATCAACCTGTCACTCCTCTTCGCACCCATCTGGATCATGGATCTGATTGCCATCCTCCTCATCACCCCTCTCAGCGATCGCTTCCACACTCACCGCCACCTCATATTCAGTCTGTCTTGTCTCGTCATCCTGGCCGGTCTGCTCACCACCACTTTCGCTGGCGGTAACGACAGCTGGTCGAGGTATGGAGGTCTCTTGATTATCGGCTTTGGTCTGGGACCCACTGTGCCGACCATCATGGCAATGAGCACTTCTATTTTCCAACCACGTCACGGTGAGGTAGGCATTGCTGCGGCTTCTGCTCTTGTCTCTGGTCTTGGTAACCTCGGCTCCATTTTGACCACGTATGCATTGTATTCTGGCTGGCCTGAAGACGCAAAGGGTCCTCACAAGTACAGAAAGAGTAATTTGGTCATGGTGGGCATGGTGTGTGCGAGTATCGTGGCCAGTGGTGTGATGGTTTTGCTGCTGAGATGGACCAGGACACAGGGTGCGCAGGCCATCGAAGACGCCGTCGAGAACAAGGACGTCATGGCTGATGGAGCGGCCAAAAGAGAGCTGAGGGAAATCAGGGCACAGCAAGGATTCAGTCTGAACAGGCTGAAGGTACACAGATAGAACGGCGATCTTGACATCAGAATCTAACAGCCACATGAAGTAGAAACATCATACACTAATAGATGAAATAGAATATACAGAAAGAGGTGGCTTCGCAATTTTGAGACAGTAAAACCATCTTTGTATTCATTCTTTACAAAACCATCTCTTGGTACATGTTCCTTAGCTCCCCTGCCATACTTTCTATAACATCAAAAGTCATGGCAGTATCCCTGTACTTTGCCTCCCAAATCGTCGCTACTCTTTCCAACTCTTGCGTGCAGTACTCGACATCCAGACGTTCGTACGCAGATTCGAAGCCGAAGAATTTGATCTCCAAACAGATTGGGTGCTCTGCATCAAACTTTACAATCACATAAAAGTATGATGGACTCTTCATCCCCGCCGCAAAAGTCACAGTGTTGATGTGTTGCATGAATATCGGCGCAACACTCGATTGACAAAATTGCTTCCACGTTGGCTTGGATATACGCTCGCACAAAGCAGCAGCATGGCGAGCATTCGTCTTTGTTGGATAGCGGTCCACATCCAAAAAAGTGACACCCATGTCATCTGGTTGCGTGTGCGGTTCTAGGAAGTACTCGATTTGCAGCTCGGTATAGGGACAAAGTCTTTGTAGCCATTTTGAGCGGGTGCTGCGTGGGATTTCTGCTGGCAGATTATCGAGGAAATGGAAAATCGGTATCGAGATTCCATTCCACAGCCTGGGGTGTTTGTGTTGGTGGCCGAGGATCTCTCGTCTGAGGTTCGGTCGTAACCTCGAACGTGTGTGTGAGTTTGAGGGCCGTAGTTGAGCGGACATGTTGTCTTTGTCTGTGCGTGTTCGAAGATGTAGAGAGTGTTCATGACGAGAGATGGAGGTCTTTAAGGATGTTCTGTCTTGACTCACTGGTCCCACGTGGCCAACAGTCATATGGTAGGATCTATTCAGCTTCCTGTCGTGTGTTGACCTGGAAGACGTTCAGGCGCGAACATTGTAGCTATCACTACCATGTGTAGCCAAAGTGTAGTCAGTATCAAGAGTGGACTAGGCAAAATGCGCTCACAGCTTGAGGAAGCTGGAAATATTTCCCGTCAGCCCACACAGCCAGGCCGGTCAAACTGGACACAATGAAACTCAGCCAAACGATGCGTTCTCGCAAGGATAGAGGCTTCGTCCTAGGCTTAAGATACTCGTTTTGCCGCGACTCCATGTAGGCGAGCAGACAGATCGGAACGATATGGGACCAGAATATAGCTAGCATTGTCAAGGGCCCAGGTAGAGAATTACTCAGAGCTTGAGGCAGTCGGAAGAATGTCCCATTGGCCCATACAGCAAAAACCACCAGGCCAGAAGCGACGAAGCTCGTCCATACACAGATTACCAGAGTGGATATAGGCTTGCTTGTAGGGGATGGCGTAGAGGTCCAGGCAGGACCTTTCTCTAACATAGGTTCTTTATTTTGCATGATGGATCTGGTGTCTTCGTGGCTCTCGACAGAAACATGGAAAAGGCAAACTAGAAGAGGAGTTGTTCAGTGACCAGAGGGAAAGAGAGATGGACCCTGTCGTCGTCACTCGACGATCGGACCGAGCTCAGACTTTCACATGCCGATCGATGAACGCATCGACAACTTTTTGTCCTGGCAGACAACATCCATTTCCTGTCCTTCTTCTATACACAAAATCACACAACCATGGCAGCCTCAGAAACGCAAAAGCCCGTCTCGGTCCTTTTTGTTTGTCTGGGCAACATCTGTACGACGACTCCCGTCAGCAATCCTCCTTGCCGACCACGACCATGCTAACAAGATGTTCAAAAGGTNCGCTCACCAATGGCTGAAGGAGTCTTCCGCAACATCACAAACCACACACGGCCCAACGCACACCCAATGATCTCGTCCATCGACTCTTGCGGCACAGGCGCATACCACGCCGGCGAACCCCCAGACCCACGAACCATCTCCGTCCTCAACGCCCATAAGATAACCTCGTCCTTCTACACACACCAAGCGCGCAAATTCCGCAACTCGGACTTCAAAGAGTTTGACTACATCTTCGCAATGGACAGGGATAATGAGGACAATCTTCTGAATGCGAGGAAGAGAATGATCAAGAAGGGAGAGTTGACCGAGGACGAGGCGGGCAAGGTCATGCTGTTTGGTGTTTGGGGTGGTAAGGGCAAGGAAGAGGTCGACGATCCCTATTATGGTGGTGCACGAGGATTCGACATAGCCTATGAGCAGGTCGAGAGGTTCTCGAATGGCTTTGTCAAGATGTTGGAGGAGCGTGGCTCGGGGAAGAACTAAATCAGGCCGTATTACAAGAGATGAGACCACTATAGATATGCACATGGTCTGCACGAGATGATACCCATTTACATATACTTTCAAGCTGTCACAATTACCAAGAAAGAGTTTCAGGGCTTATTACGTTCAAATCGAGTGTATAAGGTGACAAATCAGGGGTATCTATCTCGTCATTCGTACTACACAATCAGGTGTCCTATAGCAGCGAGCTCAGCGCTGCGTAGCCGCCAACTATGGCCAAGATTGCACCGAGCAACAAAGCCTCGCCCTCCCAAGTGCAGGTGAGATACGTCGCAATTCCAACGGCCAGCTCCCTGCGTCTGGCAGCCTCGCGCCTTTGCTTCCATCCTGCTTTGACAGCGTATGGTGCCTTGATGTCTTGATTCAACGACTTCAATGCATGAGTAGGGATCGAGGCATACAAGATGACGGGCTTGTGATCTGAAGATGGTTGGAGGGACAAGGAGCTGTATGTGTGGATGGTAGGGTGATGGCCAGGCAGTGCCAGGTACAAAACACGATCGCACCAACTGGGATGACGATGCTCTGCCCAATGCCATTCTGTCTCGTCGGGCACCACGACTGCATTTGTGCCCGAATGTATCTGCTTTTGCACTTGTTCGGCAGTCTCGGCGGCTTGCTTCTGCGCCGTCTTCGAGAATTTGTATGTAGGCGCAAAATGTATAGGCACCTCTTGAAGGTGGTGCAACGTGTTTCCAGCGGCCTTCTCGCGTGTCAGCTGGTCGTTGGACATGATATGCGAGTAGTGAGTAGCATCCTCAGGCGAGTCGTTGCGGCGTGGAAAGGCTTTGTGATTGTCAGGATGCGGTGCAATGTCCGAGGTGCGATAGTTGAGGTCACCGCCAAAGAAGACATAAGATTTCGGGGTGATCAAGGCATTGTCCTGTTCTTGCGACGTGTGCTGGTCGTCGGTAGCCGAAGAAAGCAAGGGTTCTGTTTCTTCTTGAATATCTTCGTTGTTGGTCGCGCGTGTTCGTGTCTTCTCAGCGCCCGTTACTTTGGTGAAGACCAGGTTCTCGTTGATGGAGCGCCAGTCCAGATTTCTACGCTGCCAGGCGTCTTCGTGGGGTGCCAGGTGGGCTGCGACAAAGGTGAGGTCCATCTCAGCACCGTCGTCTATCGCATAAGCCAGACGTGCACCCACAGCGCCCTTGTTACCCATCTCCCAAGCTCCGACACCTGTTCCAGCAGTTTGAACACTTCGAATGTTGCGCGCGACTTGTGGGCGTGCAAATAGCATCAGGGCAGTCATGCCCACATTGCTGCAGAGAATCGTCTCGTACTGCTCGTCATGTTTCCAGAGCTGGTTGAGTTTCTGGATGGTCTGAGAGAAGCGCTCGAAGTAGGGCGAGATGAAAGAGCCTCCGAGGAAGGACTGGCCGAGAGGAGCAATCTCCTGCAGTGAGAGGGCTATGACATCCGGAGGAAGCTGAGCGTGGGAGAGGCCTTGGTTGATACTGGCAGCGAAGAAGTCGGCATTGACCAGCTCGCGTCCACAGTTAAAGGTGAGAAATAACGTGTTGATGTCGGCCATGGTCGATGTTGTGCTGAGAGGGAAGGTACGACTATTGTTGGATCGCGCATGTGATTGAGCAGGAGGTTGATGTCATCGCCAAGTCCAGCCATTGCTCCCAAGGTCCTCGTCACGTGAAGGACCGGGATAAGCGACGCCAAGATTGTCCAGCGCCAAGGAACCCGCGTGGCTCGGACCACAGACGAAATTCGACTCCAACTTTGCGCTCGCCCAGTTTCTGACTTCCTCCCCTTCGTACAGCGACACATCAATCACCATGCCTACCCGCCTTTCCAACACCCGCAAGCACCGCGGTCACGTCTCTGCCGGTCACGGTCGTGTCGGCAAGCACCGCAAGCATCCCGGTGGTCGTGGTCTCGCCGGTGGTCAGCACCACCACAGAACCAACATGGACAAGTACCATCCCGGTTACTTGTAAGTCTTCTTCTGNCTCCACCATCCGTCTCGCCCCAGTTCTGACAACCTCCGCAGCGGTAAGGTCGGTATGCGCTACTTCCACAAGCTCCAGAACCAGTTCTGGGCTCCCGTCATCAACCTCGAGAAGCTCTGGTCCCTCGTTCCCGCCGAGCAGCGCGAGAAGTACCTCTCCGGCAAGGGTGACTCCGACTCCGCCCCCGTCCTCGACCTCCTGCCCCTCGGCTACTCCAAGGTCCTCGGCAAGGGCCGTCTCCCCAAGATCCCCATCATCGTCCGCGCCCGCTACGTCTCTGCCGAGGCTGAGCGCAAGATCAAGGAGGCCGGTGGTGTCGTCCAGCTCGTCGCATAAGCTCGTCGCTTGTTGTGACCATTGAAGGAAACCCGACACAAGAAAAGTTATGAAAGGTGGCATCCGGCATCAGGGATTTTTTTGTCAGCGTGGTAGCTGGGTGGGAGTGCTCTTCAGCGTATTAGTTGAATGCAATTTCTCCACCGAACAAACCATTTGCCTTGTGCAAATTTGCGAGATCAACTCGTCCCATTCGGGAAGAGGCCATCTCTAGGCATGGACAAAGGCGTGGAAAGGCTCAACCCTTCGCGTCTGCCTATCGTGATGTGCTGTCCTGTGATTTTTTCATGTCGTGAACGTGAGACTTTAGAGTTCGTACCCCATCGCTCCATCAGTCGCTGTCGACTTATATGCAAAGGTCAAAACAATACTGATGGTTCGACCGCCTACCCGACAACTTGTAAAATGTTATTGTGCTTGACCTTGTACATCTGCAAATTTGCATCTGACTTGTCCATAGACTCAGAATCTCGATATCTATGCATACATTGGAATCAACAAATCTTCTCTTACCTACCGTCTTTCGTGTACTCAACCGCCGTTCACCTTGTTTGTCTTATTCCCATGGCTGGGCCTGCATGATTGATGCCCTCTACCCATCATTTGTCACAGCGCACGAATAGCAGCGTCTGCTTGTCTCCCGTGACGAGATATCGGTATTCGAGGACAAAAAGAATATATCAGCAAAAAAGAAAGGGGGAAGGATGGCAGTATGACCCTGTCATCACATTGTCATCCTAATGGTTCCTTCTCTCATGCTTCTGGACTGATGAAGCACCTCGAAACATGTTTTTTTGGGATGATGGTAATCACCTAAATCTTTTGGTATGAGTTCAATTGATGTTGTCGATGGAATAAAGCAATTTCCTTGGGAAGCATAAAGAAGTCCAGGCTTATCATACACCCACCAGCTCATGTTTGCAGTGACAAACGAACCCTAATGTTGATCACTGACTTTGCGGCGCCGCTTGCGACGGAACATAACTGCCATCAGCGACCAGCAATCCCTGACCCATCAAACCTAGCGACATTTGATTCGGATCCATCGGTGCCATCAGGTCCACACCGCCATTTGGCCCAAACAAATCCGTCGTTCCAACAGTGCTGTAGTCAAACGACGGCATTTCGAGAGAGTTGTACAACCACGATCCTGCAGAATCATAGGGTGTCTGATCAAACATCTCGTTGTTGAGCCAGGTAAATGACTCCATCAAATTCGTGCCCAGATGACTTATCGGCTCCGTGGATTTGAGGGCATCTTTTGCGATCTTCATGACGTCTAGACTGATGGCTCGACCTGTCGTGGAGCCAATGTGATCGATGCGATCTAGACACTTGAGTCCCTTCTCCACAGCCCGAAACACTTCCTTTGCATGGGCGGGTGTCGTCTCGGTGTCGAGGACGTCGAAGAGGAGGACAAGGCACGCAGAGACGATGAAGTAGACCATGTTTCCATCCCTCCTCATTGCAGAACAGCGGTTGAAGAAGCTATCATAGACCAGCGATATCAGGTCCCTGGCGGATGACACGGTGAGGTCAATGTCTCGTTGTATGTCGATGCGATCCCCTATGCTATCCTGAGCCTGCTGTTTCGAATCGAAAAACGTCACGTAGATCAAAGCCGGCCGCATCATCAAGATACATGCGACGTGATAAGTGGCACCCAAGCAGCTCCTCTGCACCTCCCGCGATGTGGTACCGGTGGAAGTTTTGTCGTCAAAGAAATGTAGGAACGAAGGTAGAGTGTCCAATAGTTCGCGTAGAGCCTGTGAGCACTCTCCGTTAATCCGATTGACCTCTGTCAGGTCGGCAACTCGTGATACTTTGGTGGGAGAATAGTGACACTTCATGATTCTCTCACCGATCTTGCCGAGCACAGCCATCGCGCGAATGTATGCATATTCGTTGTTGTGCCCGTTTTCTGCGCCTGGACAGTCATCGGGATATGGAGCATCGATCGAATCGTCAACGAAGCAAGAGGGCCTGCCAGTGAACATGGACATCATCCGCTCCATGTAGAATATCGTCCAGAAAGTTAACCTTAGACTGTTCAAAAATGAGTTATTTCCTGCCACCACCTGCGCACGATGGAGGCCTAGAGCCATGGCAGATCGTGAAGCATGGCCCAGATACAAGTACACCATGTTTGGCCTTCCGATTTGCATTCCGTATACTGCNNCTATCACAGATGAGATATGTCAGAAGACTTTTCGTAAGGACAATCTTACCCTTAATAGTAGAAGATGAGTCCCAAGAAGAGAGGTTTCTTCAAAAGAATCTGTAGGCACTCCAGCACGCTCGTAGAAATGCTGAGCCCAGGCATCCGAAGAAGAAGGCGAGGAATCACCGTAATCAGTCATCCTAGCTCCAATAGCCAGAACCATGTATAGAATCGCCTTCTCTTTGGCAGATTTCTTGCTATGGTCTGGCATATGGCTAGGTCCGCCCCAAAGAACCTTCCACGTCTGCCGGACATCACATTCAACCAAGACTGGTCCCTGCGGATGCATGAGTGTAAAGTAGGCCGAAATGAAAGCTTCACCTAGCTCTTTTGGCAGAAAACTGCCGTCTGGAATTGTGTTTTGAGATGAGGAGCCCTCATCACCATGAGTGAATATTTGACGTTCAATGCCCCATTTACGAAGACCTTCTGGAACTGTGCGCGCTACGTTTAGTGGGGCATTACTTTGACGCCGGATGCGCTGATACAATCGCTGCACGAAGCTGAAATGACTTGAAGGGCTGATACAAATCTCGTTAGTTATACCCACAAAAGTCAGGTAATCAGGGTATTGTTTACCNNCATAGAATTGGTAAGCCTCCGTGCTACTGTCGAAAGCGCCAATACCAGCCCGCAATTCTTGCTGTTTCTTGTTGGTGACTGGATCCTCATAAGTACGCACACTCGACTGTGGTGCTTGTTTCGTCTGGGATTGCGATGGCTGTTGGCTTTGCAAAGGCTTTGGTACGATTGATCTGATGCTTCCGGAAGAACGCGATCTGACTCCACCGGGTTGAATGCAGTCAATGCGACTGCTCAAACATCTTCCACATGGTAAGTTACCGTCGCACTTGACCTTTCGAGCTCGGCATATATTGCAGGCTCGTGTGGCTCTTTTCTTTTGGATAGATCCGGGAGTTGAGCCCGGCGGAGCTCGATTTTCCATGGTCTCGACGCGTCAAAGCCTATGAGAAGTGTTTTCAATGTCACCTAGGACTTCCGTATAGTGCTTGGAGCATGATCAAAGATGAGAAGCATGCAGATGCGATTCGCAGAAAGTTTAAAAGTTGGCTGACTAAGCGATTGGTAGGCTCCTACTGCACAACCCACGACCACATCAGTCTGGTATTCCTTTCAAAAAAAATTGTGTGCAGGTCGAATCATGGTTGCGTTGACTATGTAGAGTGTCTCATAAGATCGATTGACTAAACTTGAGGAAACTGTTCGTGGCGAAGTGTTTGGCGTAGCGTGACTCACGCTCCTACGTTCGCTCTGTGACAACATGCGGCGCTGATAGATGCTCGAGAGCACTCAGTATCTTCTTCGAAGCTGGCCACGGTGAGTATGATTAGACACACGACCAAGAGCTAAGTCGTCTCTAGCAAGCGCTTGAATTGACATCGAGAGCTTGTTGTCGTCAGAGATGAGGGGAACCTCGGAACATGGTCGATCTCAAAGGTATATCTCCTCGTACTTCTTGCGTTACGGTCACAACCCCTTTTACGTACGGTGTCCATAATAACCACGACCAACACTGGAAGGACTAACAATATTAACACCACGCTCCTATGCATGATAAAGCAGATCGGTACGACGAAGCAGACCTCAGCTTCCTAGAACTGCCAACATTCCCAGAGGATGTGCCCACAGCGCCACTTCTTCGAATAAGTCTAAGCAGACTCTCTAAAAGCGACCCAGAGGAGATTAGCAAGCTATGGAAAGCTTGTTGCGAGCTTGGCTTCTTCTACCTCGACCTCCGCAATGTTTCGACCACAGAAGATCGACCGACGTCTCCTGCTGTGGACGGCCTGAACGAAAGCTTAAAGAATGAGAACGGTAGAGCCGATTCTGCTACCGGAGATGATGAGCGTGAGGCCCAGGTCAAGATCGAACCGACCAGAGAGTTTGAGGTCAACGTCCACGGCGAAAGACTGCTCCAAGACGCTGAAGATCTGTTCAGAGTCGGCAGAAGTGTGTTCGACCTGCCTGTTGAGGAGAAGATCAAGTACGACCTGAAGGACCAAGGAAGCTATTTTGGCTATAAAGGATATGGTCAAGGTGTCATCGATGCCGCAGGAACGAAGGATCGAAATGAATTCTACAATGTAGGGTATTTCGGAATGATGGGCGAGCAGATGCTAACGTCTCTTTAGGTATCGAAAGACGACATCCTAGGACTCTCCGAACCCCTGCCTGCTCCCGAACTGCTTGATCCACATCGCGGCTTGTTAAAGTCTTTTATACAACAATCTCACGCACTCGTGTGCCTATTGTTGGGTCTGCTGAACGATCAATTGAATCTTCCACACGACAAGCTGCCGTCTTTGCATAGACTGGACTCAATTTCTGGTGATCAGGTTCGCTGGGTCCACGCGCCACCCCAACCAATGGACGACCGGAGAACTGCACTAGGGCAGCATACCGACTTTGGGAGCGTTACAGTTTTGTTCAATCGGCTGGGAGGACTTCAAGTGTTGCCGCCAAACACAGATGAATGGTGTTATGTGAAGCCACTCAGAGGCCATGCGGTCATCAATTTAGGCGATGCAATGGTGAAGCTTACCGCCGGCATCTTGCGCTCCAACATACATCGTGTTGTCAACCCTCCTGGCCAACAAGCCAATCATACGCGAATGAGCTTGGTGTACTTTGCCAGACCAGCGGACGACGTTGTCCTGAAAGCGCTGGATGGAAGTACCCTCATTGACCAGAAAAGACAACAAAATCCAGATGGTCTTGACGATGAGGAGATCACGAGCAAAGAATGGATACTACGCAGGGCATTGGGTCGAAGACAAGGAGGAGATTGGACGAAAGCTGGTGGAACAGAGCGTGGACGCGTCTAGGTTCAGCTCGAGCCACATCGACGCACGGACACAAGCTCCACCCCTCGCTTGCTTGCAAACTTCATATTTGCTCGTCCTCAATTTCTTCTTTCATCAATGGACCTGTGGCGCAGCGGTAGCGCGTGTGATTCCAGTGTCATCCGGGACATCCACAAGGTCATCCGTTCAAATCGGGTCAGGTTCATTAAGAGACGTAGAGCGAGAGTGCCCTATGTGTTGCCTTTTGTCGGCTTGCGATGGAGAAGTTTTGTTTTCGAACGCAGGGAAACAAGGGTCCAAGATCCTTCCCTCGACACTTGTAAACAGCTGCTTGCTTCAAGCATTAATTAATATGCAATGATGGGACAAGCTTACATGAGAATACCCGGGTGATGTGTAATTTTGCTGCTTCTTCCAACAATACCAAGGATCGTGTCTGAAATGAAGGGCATGCAAGGAAGTAAACCCCACGTTTTTGTCACAGCCTAGCGTGGTGTAGTTGTGGCCTGTTTCAGCAGGGAAAGCATGGGATCACTATATACGCTGGATCTGCGTCAATAGTATGTAAATGCGCAGAAGGATGCGCGTAAATGTTGACGACCGCGGATCATTGTAGACTTAGTTATCCCTCAATTGGCAATGATAACGACGATGCCAACACACAGGTGATAGGCAGCCTTACATATGTAAGAGCATGTACGTCTCCTTATGGCCGCTGATCCTGGAGCAATTATCATGTACATTATACGCGAACGTAGATTACTATACTGCATATTGAATCGATCAGCAACAAGCAATTCTTCAAGACACGAACGAGACGACCACCGCCAGTCATGTGGAATGTCAGTGAGTCCTGACTCGAGGTTAGAATCAACTCGGGATCATGGTGAACGAGAGCCAAGCTGCTTACGATGCCGACTTAATTACCGAAGCATCAAGAACTGTTACCCCCGTCAATGTCGATACCGAATCACGAGTGTCTGTGATATCTATGGTTCGAACGAGTTGAGGTCGGCAAATAAAATAGGCAGATGGTGCCAACACAGCCAAGGTGGTAGAGGTCTGAAATAGTTGCATGCACTGCCACTCCAACCCTGGCTTCACAGACTGCCTATGGTGGACTCCGCAAGCCCATGGAGACTCGAAGTACCTGGAAGATTGCTGGGCATGTTGGATCATGCACAATTACTACTCGTAGCAAATTGACAATGACGTTCTGGCGTGTGAGCATACCTGACTTGCGCAGCCACAGATCTTGCGCTTGACTAACAACGCCTCTCTTACGCCCATGGCTTGACAGGGCTGGATTTGAAGAGGCTCTTTGGAGGTGCTCACAAGCCTAAGCAAAGTTGGACTTGAATCAACCACAATCAACCGCTATATAAGAGCTTGCTTGAGTCCAGTCGCTGGCGTTCTCCGCTTACGAGTCTCCAAATCAACACAAGAGTCTGTGCTTTTGTATCCAGATACCGGTTCGGACTTCAGAGTTGTGCCAAGATTGTAAGTAGACAGTAAAGACCCACGCCTACCACAGCCTCCAGTGGAAGGATCAGGAAGCACAAGAGAAACCAAGACATGCTCGTTGGTATTGAATGTGTAGCGGGACGAGGCCGGACCCGAGAAGTGTGCTCAATACGCAAAGGTCGAATCAACAGGATTGCTCAGCTTCCATGGATGTATATTAATTGTCCTAGAAGGATTGGGACATAGCGAGAGGGCCTTAGACTCGGTTGCTGAAGCACCGACTGCCGATCAATTTTGCTGCCAACCGTCTTCCTATACCCACACTGACACAATACTGCAGCTTTTGAATAGGCGCCCCGTGGTGTTTTTGGCAAGATTATTCGGCTCCCCTCATCGGAAGTCGCGAGGTGAGGTTGGAATCTGAAGACAAAGCCAAACCTCCGATTGGCCAGACTGAATATAAGCCTTTGAGTGGCCAGTGCATCCTGATCTGCAACCACGATCCGCTCACGTCTTTCAAGTACAAGACTTGTCATTTGATAGCCACTTCCATATCGAGCGAAAATACCGAATAGGACCACTTGGCTGGCATACCGAGCCCCTACTAACATGCAAGAAGTAGGACGTCCACGGCGATCGGGAAGGTTGTAACGCGAGCGGGAAGTCTCCTGTTTCATACGCCTAGGCTCAAACGAGAACCTCTACAGTATAGGGACCAGTCTTCGAAACATCGAACACAGGGTCTCGCTGTATCGTGCTCAGCAAGAAGTTGGAGATTATCTATCTGCTCCACCCCATCGGAAAGGTGACCACCTGCCTAGGCCAGGCTGTATGCAGCACATCCGCAAAAGCCGTCTGACATGCGATCAAATCGATTCGCCAAGTCACGTAGTCTCATGGCGACATGCATCTCTGGAATGGAAGCAGGCCAAAACACACTGCGTGCGCGAGTTTAAGTCTGGGCCGTCGTGGCACGAACCACTAGATGACCGCTCCGTCTATCAAACTCTTGTGGGGCAAACAGGAATAGTATCGACAGAGGGCAGCTTGATGTCAACTCCTTCCAAGCCTACTAATGGCCTTGCCTCTGTCAGAAGTATCTCCTGCGGGTCTCGGATTTGATACATTCCGCCCACCAGAATGGTACGTGGGAGGCAGTAAGATGCAGCTGGTCTCTATAAGTTTTCAGTATATAAACCTGCTACTCTTCGCGCCTGTTCTTCTGGTTGATATCCTCTGTCTTATCATTGCCTTATTGTTCATATCATCCGTTCTTCTTTCCTCTATGCTGAGAAGCATCGTCTCCATTTGTTGAACACCTAATCCTATCTATATATCTTAGTGTCAGTCAGCATGGCACTTATCTCGCTAATCGCGGTGGTCGTGGTGATCGCCGTCATATCTTTTATAAACTACGTCAACAACTCCAAGAAGGATCACTTACCGGCAGGAGTACAGAGACTGCCGGGTCCTNNAAAGGTCAGCAATAGGTATATGCTCGCTGGCTTAAGACTTTGGCTAACAATTCCAGGCTTTCCAATTCTAGGCAGCGTACCAGACGTGCCAGACAAGAATAGTTTTCTTAAGTTTCACGAATGGGGGCAACAGTATGGTCCAATCTACCAAACCAACCTCGCTGGCCAGAACCATGTTTGGATCACGCGAGACTGTGTTGCCCAAGAGTTACTTGGCAAACGTGCAGCCAACAACTCTGAGCGTCCATTCATCCCATCACTCCAGGCCGATAACCGCAAAAGTGGACACTACCTTCCGTTGATGTCTCGAAACGGTATGTAATACTTGACAGGAGGATCAATCAGTCCGCTGACACCTACANNAGAGCTGTGGACAAGACAGCGAAAATTCGCGAAGCAAATCATGGACAAATCATCGGCCAACGCTTTCTACAACTACCCTGAGCTGGAGTCAATTCGTCTGCTGTTCGAGCTCATGACAGATCCTTCTCGTTACAACCATGCCTTGGAGTCCTTCATCTCGAGAGTCACTTGTAGACTTGGGTGGGGAACTGCAGCTCCCTCTGACGAACTCAAACAGCGAGCCAGAGAATTGCTTATAGGTGTATCTCCAAACGGCGCGCTTACAAACAAACTCGGCTTTCTCAAGAAACTTCCCGAGGCTGTTGTACCAGCAAAAGCATGGGAGTTTCGCAGATACAGGACCGAAAGCCGCTTTTTCACCATCCTGCAGAACGAGGTCAGAGAGAAGCTCAAAAGCAAGACAGCCCCAGAGTCCTGGATGCGCCACTTCCTGGAGAACAAGGCTGCTACCGGATTCGCTTCCGATCTGGAAGGCGCCTACGCTGTAGGTATGCACGGAATCGCTGGTGCTCTCACTATCGCCGCACCAATGCAGAGTTTCTGTCTCGCCATGTGTCATCATCCTCAGTATCAGTCTATCCTACATGAGGAGATAGACAAGGTCTGCGGTGATAGATTGCCAAAGCTTAGCGATATGCCTGATATGCCTGTTCTGCGAGCCTTCATCAGAGAGACCATGCGAGTAAGTTGATCGCATACACATCTATATATGCACCTGACTGACAAAATCCTTTAGTGGCGTCCTCCCGTGCCCACCGGCATCCCCCATGAGTCTGTAAAAGACGACATCTACGAAGGCTACTTTATTCCTGCTGGCTCCGTTATGCATCCTCTCGAGTGGTCTATCAGCCGCGACCCAGAAGTCTTCCCAAATCCTGATGAGTTTGATCCAATGAGATGGCTGGAAACAAAGTACCCGACCTATCAAGAACCGCTGACCAAATACCCGACCATCACTCAATACAGTCAGTTTGGTTATGGTCGCCGTATCTGCGCGGGCATGGGTGTCGCCGAGGCGGACCTATTTGTTGGCATCGGCAGTCTTGCCTGGATGTTCTCTTTGAGCGCGAGTGACACTAATAACGAAAATGCTGCAGAACTTCCAAAGGAGTCTGTTCCATCATCGCTACCAGTCCACAAAGAAGATGAGAACCCAGTATCGACGCCATCAGGCATGCAGACGCCTCCCTCAGAAACCGAGATTGAAGAACAACTCGACGAGCACTTTTCGGAAAAGATGCTACCAACAGACACATGCAGACTGTCCCGCCAAAAGACTGTCAAAAGGCCAAAGACAGCTACTTCCTCGAGCGGTGGCCTCAGTCGAGCAAAGACCGTCACCTACAAGCTTCGTCTCCCAGGATCGTCCCTGCCGGGTCAATTCCCGGCTTTCTTTGAACAACACACTGGCCCCGATACCCCGCCCTCGTCACCCAAAACGCGCACCGCAATGGCAGGTACACCCGACATGCCTGCCGTGGATAACATGTTCAACTCTGCCGCTGACGAAAAAGCTTCGAAGCCTGATCCCACACTCGAGTACTCAAGTTTGCTGATTGCCAAACCTCTGCCCTTCAAGTTCAACATGAAAATCAGGAACAAGAAAAAGGCCGAGCATGTTGCTCGCGAGTGGATGTTCTACAAGATGGATGGCGAGTTCGAGGATTCGAGGTGTTATTGGGAAGGTGGCAATGCTGGCAACAAGCAATACGGATGGGGTGAGGTGCACAAATGATGCATGCCTTGGTTTTCTTTACTACGTTGTTTCATTATGGTCTATTCAAGAATCCGGTATCTTTTGCGGCTTATCTGTCTACAACTTTCGACCCGAAGAGGATTATGAGTCGAACAACATACTTCTGGACCATCTTGAAGTATCTGTTTTATGCTTCCAGGTTTGGTAAAAGATGGTCCGCTGTCCTTTCTCCTGAGTCAAACGGCGGATGTATTCAGACCGTCAGATCGACGACTCTTTTTGTGGGCTTGAAGAGACGCCTCTTGCTCGCAGCTTTGAAGCTCTTCTTGGCCGACGAAGGGTCGGGTCCATCCAGAGTAGTATTGTATGTAGCAGTCGCATTGACAACTTCGAATTGCACAGTGGAGTTGCCCTCACGGTATGTGCTCTTGGCCGGACCGGACGTCTTGTATCCACCCTTGACTGTGCGTTTTCCAGTGGCGATATCCTTGCCGTGGATTGCACGATCGAACATTTCCAGACTTATAAGAGGTTGGTAGAAAGGCACTTCGTGACCGGACTCGAAGACACGAACGAACGAGAACTTGCCTGACTGCTTGACCTGTGCATGGACAACATTGTCTGAGCTGGTAACGTTGGTGTAGCCCGCAGTTGAAAAGCCGGGAGCGTCAACCTCCTCAGCAACGACCTCTCCACCGAGCCAGTTACCTAGAGCACGTTAGTTATATTCACTTCTATGACGAACAAAATGCTTACAGTTATAGTCAGCATCGCCAGCATAGAGCACAACGGTGACATCTCCATACACCAGCGACTTGAGTGCTTCGATGGTACCGTCCTCGCGATCATCATCACCCGTGCTTCCGAAAGCTGACGAGACGGCGCTGTTACTCTCGCTGAAGTTCACATAGGCCCCAATGGCTTCCTGAACCGTGGGGGAGTTGAGGTAGTCGACGTAGAAAGTGGGCGGGAATGGATCAGGGGAGAGTTCGCGAATGTCGTACTCGTCACGAAGAGCATAAACATCAAGAACGTTTTCAACATTATTAGCGCAGAAGCTGTCAGCAAAACTGCAGATCTCGTTGATCCCACGTGCTTTGCAATCTTTTGTCATGTCGACGCAGTTGCCCGGCCCGTACAGAGCGTTGTACATCATAGCTGATATACTTTCGTTGAAAGGTTTGTAATCATATGTGTTTCCAGGAAAGACGGTGAAATTGTAGTAGGCCTGATACTGGATCAATGGATCATACCAGCCGTTACCGATGAGGAGTGTTTTGAGATTGATGTGGTGAGCGCTTGGAAGCTCGTTCTTTGCGATCAGGTCGTTTTGTTTCTCGATGTATTGGTTAATGATGGCGCCATAGTGTCCGCCGTACGANNCTGACGAGCATTAGCAAGTATCCAAAGAACATCTTCTTGAAGTTGATACCTCTGTAGCGAAATTGAACTCATGGCGAGAGTACTGCGGGAAAGCACCCATGAAGCCTTGTAGACCTTTCCAGAAGTTTGGTGCCACGCCAGCGGTCGAATTTGCTGTGAGGGTCTCATTGGGATAAGAGTATGTACCGCAGCTCTGTGCGTAGTCAGGGCATGTGGCGTTGGGTAGAGTGACGATGGATCCCGAATTGGGATCGGTATACCCAGGGACAGGAATGGAGTAAGAGAATCCGACCTGGGCAGGCTGGTCGATGAAGATCATGTTACTCGATTCACTCCACGAGTGGGGGTTATTGACCACTGTGCCATTTGAGTCGACTCTGCAAGGACCAAGTTCTTGAAACAGCCCGATCATCGAACTACTACCAGGGCCACCATTGATCCACACCGTAAGAGGGGCATCCTTGGGGTTCTGGTTACGAGCCTCAAAGAACCAGAAGAAATAGTGTTCGTTGGTGTCGACATCAATATATCCTGAGTAGCTCTTTACAGTGTTGTTAAGCTCGCAGATGCCATTTGGGACTTCTTTGTACCGGACTGGAATGTCGGCAAAACCAGTAGCATGGGTCCAGTTCGTCGGAGCCTTGACGAATTGACTGAGTGCAAGAGGAAGTCCAGCTAGGACTAGTGTCGAAAGCATTGCTGGAGCCATTGGTCAATGATATTGATGTAAGCAACTACGGTGAAAAGAGTAATGGTCTCTCGAACCTCTTTAAATACCGTCATGTCGTATTACTACGTAGCGGCAACCTTCAGTCCAAGATAACGCTTGTTGGAAAAGGAAGGCGGATTGCGCAGTGAAAGTGCCCACTTGCCCACTCCAGACAAGATCCGCGTTTGGTGCAAGGTTAATCAAGCATAATTAGATGACGAACATGGTGAAAAGAGACCAGGAGCCTCGACTAACCATATAACCTATTAGAGAGACACCAAACATATGCTGTCTACAATCAAAATGGTACCTTTCGCTACGCCATGAGCTTTGGTAGTCGATATCGCCGACTTCAAGGAAAAATTGGCAAGGGACCAAGGGTGTGGGGAAAATGCTTGTCATTCGTGCTTCACGCTTGTTGCTATGGCATCGACCGCCAATTCTCTAGCCATCTCTCTCCTTTCTACTATGCACTAAATTTGTAGCGCGTGCCGTAGGGTTCCACGATACTCTCGAGAGATAGGACAGCGTCCATCGAGAGTTGGCACACCTTCGACTCTCTCTGTACACCCATCTGATGCGACATCAATTGTGCATCTTCACAGCTCGCCTGTTACCTTGTACTGCCACAGGCAGGAGATGAGTCAAGGGTTACAGACTGAGCATCTCACGTCAGGGTGTCAGAATAGATTCCTTAGACCGGCAGAACTTCAGAGGCTTGTGATGAGCTCAACACGTCGACTATGTGTAATGTACAGAGTATTGAAGCATTCGTGCGGCCAGAAAGACGGCAAGGGTCATGTTCTACAGATGGAAGATGCAGTGTTTATCGCTTCTGAGCGAGGTTGACTGACTTTTATTGTCATGATCGTACTGTTTGCGTTCGCCGGACCTCATGAAGCTATCCCCAACAACAATTCGCGGTGGTTGCTCGGATGGTGTGATACAAGGGTCCCAACAGATCAATACTTGTGATGTTAAGACACGAGACGGCGAAAAACCACCGGTGAGTCCAGGTGAGGACAGAGACGCTCACGCAAACATGAAGGTGACGTTCAAGCTTGAGGGCCCAGATGGTGTGGGTGGTGTGGCACTGTGGGTGGGAAACCTATCCGATCAAGCCGAGTGCTGAAGGGCCGATAGGAGCCGGAAATGGCGTCCTGGCGTAGCGATAGCCGAAAGGACGTGAAAATGAGTGTGTGACGACTCCAGAACGAGAGCAGGCAGTGGTATAGACGGTCAAGGACAGGATGCACACATGTTTCCGGGACGGAAGCATTTCATGTTTAGGGAAGCGGCTAGAAACGGAAGGAGCAGGTCAATGATTCAGGTGGGTAGCCGAGCTGCGCGGAGGAAGTCGGGAGTGGAAGCAAGAATGAGGGGCTGTTCACGAGAATAATGAGGGGCAGTCTGAGAAGTGGTATGTAGGCTGTAGAGGAGGAGGCCATCGAAAGAGGTCAACGAGAGGGCACCTGAGCCACTGAGATGCTCGTTGTCGCAGGTGATATTGATGCACTCAAAACGTTTAGTGTCCGTAAGCGGAGCTCGGAGTCTTCCACAGCTTGGACGGACGAGGGCATTCAACAAATTCTGTCGTGCTGTCATCCCATCCCATCCTCCATCCCTCCTTCCTCCACAACCACCATATAACTCCCATTCACCTCACATTGTAAGTCCTCCATCACCGCCTCAGAAGCATCAATCTCTTCGCCTTCACAGCTCTAACAGCTATCTCGCAGACACAAACATGCCTGTCAACGTAAGAAGCTCCAGCAGCAGCAGCAGCTACAGCTCTGCTTCCAATACATCCGGGAGCTGTCACTGACCCATCTACAGGTTGGTATTAACGGCTTCGGTCGCATTGGTCGCATTGTCTTCCGCAATGCGTAAGTCGATCCTGTTTTCCCATCGAGAGCTACGAGCTTAGACACTGACCGCCACTGCAGCGTCGAGCACGACAACGTCCACGTTGTTGCTGTCAACGACCCCTTCATTGAGCCCGAGTACGCTGTAAGATTGCCCGAACCACCCTCAGACGACCATTGAAGAACAATGGCTAACCCGCCTCCTCCANNGGCCTACATGCTCAAGTACGACTCCGTCCACGGCCAGTTCAAGGGTACCATCGAGGTTTCCGGCAAGGACTTGATCGTCAACGGCAAGAAGGTTACCTTCTACACCGAGAGAGACCCCGCCAACATCCCCTGGGCTGAGACCGGCGCCTACTACGTCGTCGAGTCCACCGGTGTCTTCACCACCACCGACAAGGCCTCCGCCCACTTGAAGGGTGGCGCCAAGAAGGTCGTCATCTCTGCTCCCTCCGCCGACGCCCCCATGTTCGTCATGGGTGTCAACGAGAAGAGCTACAAGTCCGACATCCAGGTCCTGTCCAACGCCTCTTGCACCACCAACTGCCTTGCTCCCCTCGCCAAGGTCATCAACGACAAGTTCGGTATCGTTGAGGGTCTCATGACCACCATCCACTCCTACACCGCCACCCAGAAGACCGTCGACGGTCCCTCCGGCAAGGACTGGCGCGGTGGCCGTGCTGCTGCCCAGAACATCATCCCCAGCAGCACCGGTGCTGCCAAGGCTGTCGGCAAGGTCATCCCCGAGCTTAACGGCAAGCTCACCGGTATGTCCATGCGTGTCCCCACCGCCAACGTCTCCGTTGTCGACCTTACCGCCCGCCTCGAGAAGGGCGCCTCCTACGAGACCATCAAGAAGGCCATCAAGGACGCCTCCGAGGGTGAGCTTAAGGGCATTCTCGGCTACACCGAGGACGAGATCGTCTCCTCCGACATGTGCGGTGCCAACGAGTCCTCCATCTTCGATGCCAAGGCCGGTATCTCGCTCAACGACAACTTCGTCAAGCTTGTTTCCTGGNNTGTAAGTCTTTTCTTCTTTCCAGTCAGCCGTGCTTCCTGCTGACACTTGTTCTCAGACGACAACGAGTGGGGTTACTCCCGCCGTGTCCTCGACCTCCTGGCCTACATTGCCAAGGTCGACGGTAACGCATAAATATCTTCCGATATGCGTCTGACCAAGCTCTGAACCTGCAAAGAGGAGGGGCAAATGTTATGAAAATGGGTTTCGAGCGTCACTGGCATACATGACTGCAAGAGGCTTTTCCTTTAATCTCACTACTTCATATTCGAAGCAATGACATGTTTTAACGTTCACGATCTTGTTCTGTCCCTTGTGCTTCTTAATATTCTCTTATCGCTTCTTCTGATTGAAGCTTTAGTAACTCCTCCCAACTCTTGACTCTGGTGATCGCCACATTCGCTTGCCTCACACCTTCCCAGCAACATATCTCTTCGCTAAGTGAACCGTCTCTCATAGATTCTAGAACAAGCAAAGGCATCTTCGACAAGCAACAAGCGTTTCTCCACAAGGATATCCACCAGTCTGGTCCATGACTCAATTCATTCCTGAGGACAGGCCTGCTGCTTTCAAAGCTTTGCGCTTGGTCTTGCGCTCTTGATGCTCCTTGCGGCATCTGTCACGATTGTCTTCGGTCTTGTGCTCGTGATAGAAGCATCTACTTCCCTCGAACGGAGGCTTGTCCTTCTTCAAAGATACGCCATCTGCATTGGCCTCGGTCAGATTGTTTTCAGTGATGGCTTCTGAATAGCAGGCACGGCACAGCTTCGAAGGCACCCTTCTGCCCAAGAAAACCATGACCCTTGCCAGGAACTCTGCGGGCATGTTTTCCCATGTGGCAGTCGACTCGTACCACGCTTGTCGGTACACCACTAAATGTACCATGATGTTCCGCAGAGGGGATTGAGGAGGTGTTTCCCTAAAGACAAACTGGATGAGGGGCCTCGATGGCGTAGGGTATTGTTGCCATTCATCGATAGTACGGGCATGACTACCTGTTGCATCGATGACATCGTTCTTGAATTGCTCTACATCAAGAAAATCTCCGAGAATGTAGAGTTTGGCGAGAATGTCTAGAGGCCATGTTCGAGCGTTCTCTTCGTCGACGTTCGAGATGGCATCATCGTGCTCTTGGTCCTCCGGCTGGGTATGTTCTTCTATACGGGTGACTTGGTGCTGACTTGTCTCGTGTTCAGGTTCGCGATCTTCGATGTCTTCTAGTTTGATCGTAGGTCGGCCCTCTTGGACCTCCTCGGGGCCACCACCGGATGTGCTGGAGTTGTTGTCTTTGACAGTCGTAATGGTGGCACTGGCTGCTATGGCGGCAGCAGCTGTCTCAGTGGAAGGCTGCTCTTGCTCTTCTTGGCTTTGGCCCCCGGGACTGGGGTTATACTCTTTACATAGCAGTGGACCAAACTCATCTCGAATGGTCCTGTCACTTTCGGGAGGAGCGACATAAACAAGTCCTCCGTTGTACAACCAGGTAACAAAGATGGAGAAGAGAGACACTGAAACGTGCTCAAGATTGACGATGCATGTGGTTGCTTCAATAAAGGATCCGGTGAGTGCCTTGCTGAAGAAGGTTGACTTGTTGCAAATCAATGCCTTGTGGATGCCGAATTCTTTCTTCTCCGGACCGACGCGGACAGTGATCATGGGTGAGTGGAGATAGCTGCTTGAAATTTCAGGTGAGTGCCTTTGTATGGAAAAAAAGTTGAGGGAGCTGACCTGAGTGTGCTGATCCTCTTGCATCCAGATCCGGAAGAGGCAGGCATTCTTGCGAGAGTGATAGAATTGGGCAGGTGAATAAACGCGCAAACAAAGAGAATATCTGGTCAGAATGAGGGAGAATGGACGGGTTGATGCAAAGAAGATGGTCAGGAAAGAGCCGCAAGAGAAGGGAAAACAGAAGAGTAGGTAAGTGAACCCAAGACATCCAAGAAAGGAAGTAGCTCTTTCCCACGCTTCGACCCAAACTGTTTACCTACCAACACGCGTTACCTAGACCACAAAGGGCATAGAAGATAATTGTCTATAGAAAAAAACTTTACAACTCGTCAGATTTGTAAGATCAGCATAATCTTTCGACGGCCTCGTGTTTGGATTGGATGATTATACCTCTTTGAGGGAAGGAGCCACGCAAACGCTCTCTCGAGTCTTGAGACGTGATCGAGTCACCCTCGAGAAACCCCACCCTTGATATCTACAAGCTGGAAGTCGAAAATGCACGAAGTCTTGGAGCTCAGAGCTCATGCAATCGAGGTCTTCGCAAAGTTGTCACGCTACTGACGACCTCGGATGAGATGAATGATGCCAACTCAAAGTGGGGTTGACGAGCTCGAACCACTCTCTGCGGCATCTCCAGCAGAACACCTGAGCCAGCATACACTCTTCAGAACTCGACAACAACTGCAATGTCTTCTACCAATACATATCCACAAGATGAGAAGAGCAAGGCAAAAAGATACGCCAAACGAGGTGAGGATGATCAAACTCTCCAAGACGGAGTTGTATGTACAGTGTTTGATGCGTTTCTTATATACNNAGTGACATACGACAAAGATGCCGTGCGCAACATTGTGGACGCCGCGCCCATTCTGCATGTTTCCTTCAATGCACCTCCAACCGAGGACACGGAACCTCAGTTTCCCACTATCTTGCCGATGTTAGGAACCACTGCAGACGACGGCCACACTATTTATCTACATGGCTCATCTGCTGCCCGTCTACTTCGCCTCGGAGCTGGGCAAGAAGCTGAGCTCCCAGTATGCATCGCAGCGACCATCTTGGATGGCTATGTGCTCGCTCTGACGCCCTTCAACCATTCTTGCAACTATCGCTCTGCTGTGGTATTTGGGTATGCCACCAAAGTAGTGGACGCGGACGAGATGATGCTTGCTTTGAAAATCATAACAGATCACTTGGTTGCGGACCGCTGGACAAACTCTCGTACACCACCCACAAAGTCCGAGCTCACCGCTACTGGCATCCTGAGGGTCCAGATCGACACTGCAAGTGTCAAAGTCCGGAACGGAGGTCCTCATGATGACAAGAAAGACTTGAAGGATGAGGCCACTACATCCAGGGTATGGACAGGCGTTGTCCCTGTCCGCCAGATACTGGGCGAACCAGTGGCTAATCCCGAGAATAAGGTGGAACAAGTGCCCGCAAGTGTAAAGTCTTGGATCGAAGACACGAACAACATGCGCAAAGATCATATGACCGAGTCAATGAAAGAGTAAAGTGGTAGATAGCTGGCGGCCGGTTCACTGCAACTGATTCAACCACGATCTCTCGTTGTTCGCTTCCTCGCTCTCCTAGGTTGGCCGAACAATGCGTGGTACATTGTCCAGTGGCTCACGTCAGAGCGCCCTCTTATCGATATAGGAAGTCGAAGCCAGTTGAAACCCATAATCCGGTGTATTTGGTTGACTCGGTGTACCAGAGAGAATTTGTTCATCTTCTGGGCTTGTCTGTTGGCTGCTACAGTTGATCTTCCTGGCCCGTAAAGAATCCAGAGTCGCAACTTGACCTCTCTGCGCAAGCCTCTGTCCTTGAGGTCGACGCCAAAGCTGTGAAGTTTGCGAACAAGCACAAGACCTCTAGTCCAGTCTCTCGGGGTCTGATTCATTTTGATGTCCAGTTCTTGCCCTTGATCGCCCGAGTTTGCTGAAGAGCCTAGATTGATAGAAGTAATGATCTCGGGAGATGACGCCTCACTCTTGAACCCCCATGCGACGATGGCACGCAAAAGATGGGGTGTGAATATGGCAGCTAGAGGATGCTGATTATCTTTGCCCGGTGTTGTTGTGTGTGCCTTGCTAGGGCCTTGATCACGGGACGAAGGTCTACCAAGCGGCCACTCATCAACACTGAGGCGGCCAGAGTACCATAGGGCCAACCAAACGGACAGTCTCTCGAGAGTTTCCAGTCTATTCTCCATGCCGTATCGCTTCAATACTTCGTGCCATCGCATTGGCTTGAACGACTGGCCAGTGCGCATAGTCTCCAAGAAGATATTGGTGGTCAAGTCTAAGTCGTTTTTGTAATCGTGATGCCGTTGCTTGATGGGTCGTTTGGATCGAAGTCGAGGCCTTAGCAATATCCATTGAATCGTTTGTAGCGATGCATCGGAGACTGGAATTCGATGTAAACGCATCTCATGCAAGATTTGCAGTGTGGATCCTCGCTGGCCACTACGAGCATATGTCTGGAGAATTAGATTTGCATGATAGTTCTCAGGCTGAGCTTGGTGTATCGCAAGAACATCGAGGACAGCATTTGCCTGGTTATGATCACCAGAGGTCAGGAAGGATGCGAATAGTTGTTTCTGTAGGACGCGGTCTTCGTAGGCAGTGGGATGCTGGTCGCTCGTAATCAGAAACTCGAAGCTCTGGTGTTTGTCCCTTCGACCAGCAAAGGAGCGTAGCGCACGGCTGAAGACCGAATCAGCAACAGATATGCCTGCGGATTCGATAGCGTTAACAGTGATAATATAATCGGCTGGGCTGGGAGCGCGCGCAGCTATCTCTCTAAGAGCCAGGTTGCCCACCGATTTCAATCCAAGCATACGCAGACCGGTGATGATCAAGTCAATGGAGAATGCTGTTGTGGCAAAGAGACGAGCACAGAAGGCATCATTTAGCTCTTTTTCCCTGATGTTATGAACATCGCCAACGATGCTGCTCATACTCTCGCGAGTGAAAGGAGGCATGGTGGCGTCAGCAGGTGGCACGTCAGACTCAGTAGGCTTCAAATGGTCAAAGTGATATTGGGCGTCCAAGATCTGAGTGGCAATGCGAGGTCTGATGGATGGTTTCATAGACTTCATGTTTGATTTGGCAAGCCAACTGTGCTCGATCAGATGAGCTATCACAGGCATGGATTGCATGGAGAGTGAGGGATGGTCATCATGCCGTTCAAAAAAGGCGTGCATATCCACTGCATCAGAAAAGTCGAGCAAGCGACAGATAGGTAACATGCATTCATCGTATGCATGTTCTACTTTGGCTGAAGTATAAATCTTCTTGAACACCTCGGTAGCCTTGGACTTGTGGTTACTGCAACGAACATCGGTAACGAATTGGGCCAAGACCGAGACAAAAGCGGGTGGAAGTAAGCCATCAGCTTGCATACGCTTGTGCCAGGTTACAGCAAACATGGGGTTCTGACGCAACAGCGGACCCATGAGACGCGTGTATAGGCGGATGTCAAGCAGACCAGAGCGAGGCAGGGATTCGACAAGATAAGGATAGAGATGGTGAAGCATCTTCGGGTACTGAACGGCGGACCAGAGGAGGGTTGACCAGAGTTGATCGGCCTGAGGACCACGTATAGGCAAGACGACGCGACGATGAGCGATGGCTTGGACGATGTCTATTGCACCTTGCTGGCCGTCCAGACGTAGGCGGAAACGGAGCAGCTCCAGCCAGAGATTGACATTTTGTAGGTATTGCGATTGATCGACCAAGCGAGTGTCTGCAGATTCAGGGACGGGCAGGCGATTGCACACGTCGGCCTCGTAGCGGAAGGTGGAAAAGGCGTCTGGACTGGCTTGCAGACGCTGGAACAAGGGCATCCATGAGGTCAAGCGAGCAAGAAAGTTCTTGCGCTCGGTGTGTGAAACTCCAGTTGTAGGCAGGTGTTGGCTACCCTTGCGGGCATGGTCTAGCTCTTGACGGACATGGTCGGCATTGGCGACAGAAACAGCGGCGGACGGATTGGTCGGACGAGAGGCAAGTGCGTGAGTGCGGAGCGGGCGGCGTGAGAGCAGAGTCGAGTGTGGGAGTCGAGGAATTAGACGTCGGTGCGAGGCTAGAGCTGGAGGTCGGGCCAACCCTCTGTGGAGCGCAGGCGCGCCGGGTGGCATGAACGGAGGGAAAGTGCAAACACGCGCGAGCCTCTGTCAGAAGACATGGAGACGTCTGCCGGTCAGAGCAGCTGCTGATGCTGTGCCATCGTGAGCTCCTGCCGCAACAATTGTTCGGGGAAGGCGCCTGCGGACACCAGACACGGGCGGCAAGTGCCGACGACCTCGTCCATGGCCGTCACCCAACGCAGACGACAAAGCCCATCGCCCATCCGCTATCGTCCTGCCGTCTCGCTCGACTCAGTCTCCACTCAATCACCCTTCACAATGGCTGGGTTCGTCAATCGCCCCTCTGTCCAGCTGCCCGACCTGTCGCAGCGATCCCCATGGTGGTGCACCGTCGCTGACCAGCTCCTGCAGCCTCAACTCTCCCGGTCTTCACCGCCGCAACAACGTCCCCCACTGGCAGCGCATGCACCAGACCCACGACGGTCTCCGCCAGTGGCAGAAGGGCCCTCGCGCCAAGATTATGCTCTACCCATACTACGCCCTGCTGGCCTCGACCTCGGCTGCCACCATGTACATGATGGGCAGAATGGTCCTCGTGCGTCCACCCCGATATACAACCCTCGCTCTCCCTGCCACAGCTCTGACACTACGCGCANNGGGCCACAAGACTTGGTTCTCCAGCAACTAGACGTTTGCCTACTGTACATTACCGCTATAGAGCTCCATCCGCCAAGTCCAAAATACCCACAACCAAGCAGCTTCTTGACACTTCTCCTTCAATTAATCATCTACACCATCCTGCGCCGTGCCCCTGCCTGAATCTGCCAGACGCTGCCTTCTCTAAGTCTCGCCCTGAGCCGACGAGTCCATCTTGACCTCAAACACCTCGCTCGACAGGCGACGGACGTCTTCGTTGTCCACGCGCCCAAGCGCAGCCTTGATGTCCCGCACTGTCTGCTCACTCAGCCCTTCCTTGCGTCTGCTGTAAAAGTCGATTCCGGCAGGTGTAAACAGCGTCTTGGCAAAGTATGTGACGACCCAGCTGTCTTGACCCGCCCCCTTGTCTGCCCATCCAAGCACTTCCCAATGAGAACTGGCAATCATGAGCCATCCTTTGCCACGCCAGTCCCAGACGTCTGTCACCCCGACACCGCCGCTGGCCTTGTCCACTCCGTGAACTGTATGCAATTTGTCCGAATCAAGCCCTTGATATGACACAACATCGTCCAGCCGGTCCGTCTGATCTGGAGTAGCGTCAGGTGTTGATGGCGCGAGTGCTGTGTACGTGATCTGAACATTGCGCTTCGATTTCCACATGGGCAGAGTGCTGTGAGTGACGTGCCATTTGCCTTGCAGAAAAGACAGGCTGGGCGATGAATACGCCGACGACTGCGTCGCCTGGGCGTTTTGCGACACGCCGGGCGCCCTAAGGATGACTGCTGACTCGGACTCCATATTGTGTTCACTGGAAGCCTGGCGATGGTGATTGCAAGTCGTAAATCTGACTATTGCTTATGCGCTGTGTTTGTTGATCATGTACGAGCGAGGAGCGGTGGTTGGCAATTTGCCCCACTCTCCATCCAACCTCCGTCCATCTTTTGCGTCCAAGACAGCTTTTGCGTCCAAGACACTCTGTCTAGCAGTGGTTGGAGAACCTTGCAAACTCCGCAATTCATATCCCGCCTTGTCTTTGTGGCAAGCAAATCACGACATGTCTAGGAGGCATCGGCCGAGGAGCTGCGTAATGCGAGAAGGGACTGCCCAGTGATTACGACAGCTTTTTGTGAGGCGCAGCGTCTTACCACGACACGGATCTTTATTTTTATATTCGACTCGTTTGTATATATCCCTCACGCCCTCATTCATTGTTGTTCGTGATTTGTGTCTGATTCCAGCTTGTCGAGTCCCAAAAGCATTTACCTCCAGGTCGTCCCTTCTGTTCTGGTCTTCTTTCCATTTCGCCTCCAGATTGACTGCAGACCACTTTTCACAATAAATAACCCGAATCTTTAAACACAGGACGACATCTGAAACCTAGATTCTGAAACCTGTGTCGCATCTATTAGGTATTGTATCCTCGAAGATCCCACACTTGTTCTTCAACTAACGCATCCCGTCTAGCAACCATGATGTCCAGCACAAATATCCTAACCAGTCTTTTCCTGCTACCGTCTCTTGCGCAGATCGCCTTCGCAGCAGTCACCAAGAGAGCTACAGCTTGCAACAACTCTCCGGACTTGTGCAGTAAGACATACAACAATGTGACTTACCTTGGAGCTCACAACTCGCCCTTTCTACGCGATACATCCACCGGCAACTCACAAAGTGGAAACCAGTTTTACAACTCCACTGTTCAGCTCAGTGCTGGTGTCAGACTGCTGACTGGCCAAGTTCACAACAACAATGGCTCATTGCACATGTGCCATTCCAGCTGTGCCCTTCTCGATGCCGGACTGTTGAGCGACTGGCTCTCCGAGATCAAGACGTGGATGGATGGAAACCCGAACGAGGTGGTGACTGTCCTACTCGTCAACTCGGACGACTCATCTGCCTCGGATCTCGCAAGTGCATACACCACTGCCGGAATAACATCTTACGCCTACACTCCCACATCGACCAAAGCTACAGGTGATTGGCCTACTCTACAGACTCTCATCACCGACGGAAAACGTCTGATCAACTTTGTCGCTAGTCTCGATGACAACTCCGCTGCGCCTTATCTCATGGATGAGTTTACTTACATCTTTGAGAACAACTACGACAACACATCTCCATCCAACTTTTCCTGTGCAGCCAATCGCCCCTCCACAGTCACCACAAGTTCTGCACTGCAACAAAATATGATGCCGCTCATGAACCACTTTCTTTACGAAACTACAAGCTTATTTGGAACAACCATCGAGTCTCCCGACCTTGGAAACATCAGCACCACAAACTCGGCCTCGGGTGGCACCGGTGCTTTGGGGACTTCTGCAACAGAGTGTACCAATACTTATGGCCAAGCCCCAACATATCTTCTGGTGGACTTCTTCAATGTTGGTCCAGCCATCGAGACTGCAGACAGGCTGAACGGTGTCACCAGTCCTGTCGGCAGGTCAAACGTGAGCACTGCCGCTTCGGCCCCTGCCAGTTCTGGCTCTACTCGCAGCGGAGTCTCAAACTTCTCCTTGATCACAGCATTGATTGTCGCATTCGTTTTGATTGCATAGGTGAACAGTCTTGCAATTCAACCCCTCCTAGACTCACATTACCTAAAAACATACGCGACCCATGCAATGACGGAACGACTGACGCCTCCTCTCGTGGCCGTCTCCGCTTGGGTCCCAGGTGATGTACTTGACATCACACATCACATAGCGAAGGCGTTTGGGATCATTCGGAAGGGCTTTTGGGCGCCTGTTCCGCTCATCAAACATTGTATATAGACTGCATAACGTACACGACCTAGACTTATGGATACGAATTCAATGACCATCAGAACAAACAAGAAGAAAGCAAATATTTTGTCGTCATCACATCCAATCCAACTCATGTGCATCAATCTCGTTACCGGTATGATGGGTTCAAGATCACAACACTCGCATTACCGAGCCAACTTGCCACGCGAAAGGCGAACGTGGAGCAAAGGGATCCCCAAGGCTCTTGTTTTATTGCAGCTTATTCCCCCTCTTCCTCGGTGTGCCCGGGTTTCAGGTACAGAAGACCTACCATACCTCTGGGATACCCATCCAGCACAACTGACGTCCTTGGGATCTGGCTCGCCCGCCCACGACCGAAATGTCAGATTGGCGGTTGCAGCTTTTGTGTGATTTGCAATGCGCCCGTTTCGTGTCAAATAGCCGGCCTCCGATTTCATGCATCTGCGGTGTGCGGGTTATGGTGGATGTCTCGTGTAGATCTGGTGATGGCTGTCACCCTGGCTGGTGTGTGGTTCTTCCTTCTAACCGATATGCAAACCAAGAGATGGTGACAAGGGGTGGGTATGGATCCTTTGAAATTCTGGTTCGTGTACAGGTTTATATTGTGAGATGGGGTGATGTGCATGACTGAAGACCATGGCTGATATTTGGCAGTGATGTAGAGACTCACCTTATTGTTGCGGTCTTGAGATCTGGTCAGTATAGGATGAGAATAACGGGACTGAAGTGAGAGCATACAACAATCAGAGCAAAGGTCAAGGGCGTGTCAACGACACCTTCGTCCACGTGAACGTGCAGACAGCAAGCGAATCACACCGGCACTCGGAGATGTTAACGCAGGGCGGCAATGCAACGCAAGGACTTTGTAGCGTGACTGCGAGCCAAGCACACAAGGCTGGTGTATATGCACCTTAGCGAAGATTTCTGCAAAGGGAGGGTGCCATGAGCCCATAATATTCCAGTACTGTGGGAATTGGTTACCAGGATCGGAGATTGTTTGATCGTGCAAGGTGATGGCCGGTGTACAGGGAGTGGGATCCATATGAGATGTAGCGAGAGCACGCATAGATTTCGATCGATCACATATGCGGCAGCTCCCTTTCATCACGAGAGACAAGAAGTACGTAGCTAGCACGGATAGTAATCGGATTCGCGTGTTAACTCAATCCGTGACTACGGCGTAAACGTCAACAAGGCGGGCCGGACCCTATCATCGAAGAGATCCACAGTGCTGGGAACGTGGTGAGGTTGCACAACGTCGAGATCGCTCGAGGCGTGGACCAAGGCCGTGGCGTTGCAATCCACGCAAAGAGCCAACAAACCAATGTGCTCCTGCCTTCGAGTGGATGTGTTTCGTGTGAGCCTTTGGCGAGCCGTGGGCAGGGGTACCTTGCCTGTTCCCGCCTGTCAGATCTACACTTTGCGGGACCCGAGAGAAGAGGACCCAAGATCGCAGAGTGCGGTGTGATGGCGCGAGGGTCACCCCAGCCAGCTGCGAATCTGTGAGAGTAACCGTTGCAACAACCGCATTGTGGTGTTGTGTAGGGAGAACGCGTGTAGCCTCTATAAGACGAGGCACTGGGGGAAGCCGTAGCAGTTCCAAGCTCTGATCTTGGTTCGGAATCGAAGGCTGTCCAGTCCACGATCATGTTACACAATGCCTGTGCCGCAGAGCAGCATTGTTCGGTTAAAGAAGGTGATGGATCGAACCCACATGCCTGCAATACAGATTGCGTGTGATGGTCTACCGGCTGCATGGGCGGTTAGGTAGCATTTGAGCCCCTGCTTAGCAAGTTATAGACGTTGTAAGCAATGTTTTATAGATATCCATGAGGGCGATATCCTAGTCCATAACACGAGTCTCATCAGTCATCGCGCGCTCAAATCGTCGCTAGTCGCGCGAAGTGGGCAGTGTGGGTGTACGGCGAGCAATACAACAGCAAAATGCTGCACGAACTTCTAGACCATGTCCCATACCTGTGGAATTCCCCAAGACGCCGTGTAATGCACGCGTTTCCCCGGCTTCGAGAGATTGTGGGTGTCCAAGGAGCAAGGCATGAGAGTCGACTTTGCAGAGACCCGAATTGTCGGTAAAATTTTATAGGGTCCATCCCGGTTTTGCATCCTGCGCTCGCAGGATCAGAAGGGCCTCAGCAACGTGCATATGCAGCTGGCTGACCTTGGTAGCGGAAAAGGCATGAAGATCGATCCTGGCACCTATCAAAGCGGGGACACCCGCACCTTGTTCACAGACGAGAAAATGACATGCCGTCCGGGATGTCCAATCAATCTGCTGAACCGGCTTCTGGGTGCCGCATCGAAGCGCGCATGAAGTAACGTTTGGGTGTTTATTGTGCTGACTTGGAGAGAACATGCGTGACACTGCAGTGCCGTTGAGACAATAGCAGTCAACACATCCAAGGACATACGGCAGATGCAACGTCCTGATTCAGGTCGGGGGAATCGATGATTATTCAAAGACGCTCGCAACAGCTCGCTTGTACTCCGTACGTGCACACATAGCAGCAAAGGGTTTACTTTCCAGGACCCTCTCGTCTATAAAGACCTAATCTGTCGTGACAGAAAATGGGATCAGCGTCGACTATTGATGTGTGGACCTGTTCTTCTCTGTATGCAGCGCCGCCAGAGCGGCCACGAGATCCGAAGCAGATGGAGCTTGTCAAGAAAAGAGATTATTCGAGCCACCGGCGCAAGCCGCAAAAGACGCGCCCTTGCCCTCCTATGCTCCGAGGGGATGAAATCGTGACCCACAATGCGGAATGTCATACCATGCATGATCCTGGTGCCAACGTCCACGACAACTGTCTATCGTGACCACTGACGATCTGGTGCGAGCTCCGTACTCCAAGTACAAGACAAAGAGAGACAGGGGATTACTGATCTAAGGGGGCACGAATGCCAAGAAGTGTCAATGCATATCTAAATCATCATGAGTCGTGCAACTGCCTCTAGATGATGAGCCCTGGCCTGCACGTCAGTGGTGCGGCCGCTACTGTCAACTTTACCCAGATATGAGACGCCAAAAACACAAATCATTCTTCCATCGTAGCGTCTTCGCCGTTTTGGGTTCACTTTTGGCTCGCTGGAAGACCGGCTCCTACACTGGCTGACTCGGAAATCCCTGTCAGGCAGCTGAGCCAAAAGATCATCATGTTCCAAAAGCGTGCACGCAGCAGAACGGCGCAATGGAACAACAGAGCGTCCAGCTGGCTGAGGCCGCAAAAACACACTGATCCCAGCAGATCGGTCGTCTGCGGCCCAGCGCTATCGTTGCGTGCGTTCCAATACTGGACGTGCAGATCCCAGGGTCGTCCTGCACCTCCCTTTAGCCCTAGCTCACAAAGTCCAAGGATGATTGTCGTGAGTGGGTTCTCTGGGATTGCGCTCCGACGAAGGTATCATTTGTCTGGCGGAGAGAAGGTTACATCACCGGTCCGCTGCAGCCAACGTAAAGCCAGGGAGCCTTGGGTAGATTGTGTGAGCTGTAAAGCTACACAACTACCAGCCAGAAATGTGTCTCTGCCTAAACTAGACTTCTCGGTCTCGAGCTGGCATATGTACCTGACAGGCTGTCACAGATCTAAGTTAGAACGTGCTGATATACCAAACGTGCCGCGCGCCTTGTCTGTGGGGAGACATGACTTGTGTATGACTAAAGTCGTTGACTTAGGTTGCATCCTCCTACGGTCGCTGGAGAAGCGTCTCGTGCGTAGGCGGAATTCAGCTGCGAGTGCCGCTCACGAGGAACCACTACAGCCTTCTTTTTCGTTGGTACCACCACATGGCGACTTGAAACCGGCTGTGAGTCGATGTGTGTAGCGGCATGCCAAGCGGCAGCGCAGATTACGACTCTCCCATTCCGGGCAGTCAAAATGAGATTGACGAGCGTCACGAAAAGTCAGGGGCTTTAGACGTCAAGATACGAGGACAGGCAAGAAGGAAAGAAAAACCCTGCGTCCCAGTCTCCGCCTAGGTAGGTTCAGCAGGCATGCAGAAGCGCCAAACTCCCAGAACCTGCCTTGCATGGATTGGATGAGAAGCATAATAATCAAAGCAGCCAACTTACCCAACTTCGGAAGCTCGAGACATACATCACGGTGCATGGCGTTTTAAACCTCCGCCCGGACAACGGCTCGTGCGCGAGCTTCCGTTACCCACTGCTATGGCGTCGGCATCTGCATTGTCTTCTTTTGGTGCCCCGTCCCAAGACGCCAGGGACGGTTGTGACAGATTGGCCGGCGTGCTAAGTCAAGCCATCCCGATCAATGCACCGACGATGATTTGCACTTGGTGTCTGTTGGCGCAGGCCGCTAGCACAGTCACTGACGGCTCCCAGGGAGGCCCGTTCAAAACGATGGAGCGTGCTTCATGTCCAAAATTATACATGAGAGCTGCACCGCCCGTCCAGCACCAGCGGGCGATACATGTGCTTTTGTATCCGGGACTCGACCTGCAACCTCCGCCTCGTGATCCCATCCAACTGGTAGTCTAGGAACTCTGCTTTCATTCTTTTATCATCGGACTCACTCATCTTACCTTACGGGCCACCTCTGCTCAACGACTGTACCTCGACGTGTTGGTCACATCCAACCCTATCACCACCTCATCATCTCCGACAATACCAGCAACATGGACGGCATCACCTTTATCGACCGCTCTCGACACAGCTTCGGCATGTATCATGATTCGATCCGTAGAGACGCTCCTGTGCACCATGCCTCTTACTCTTCTACCTCACATTCGACTCGCACACACTCGCCGCCGTACAACAGCGGTGAGAATAGCAAGCCTTCTTTGCCTTCGTTGAGATCGGTAAGCAGCCACTAATATAAACGATCAACCGAGACATGAACTCATGAATATCCANNGGTTCTCGGAGAATCGGGAATGAGCCCGCCTGCAACACCTCCCTCTCAAGGTCATTCATTACAGCCTCTGCCTAGAGAGCCGATATATGATCACCAACCCACCTACAAGCCAGCAGCTCTCTATCCCAACAAGAGGACACGGACTGACTCGGGCTGGGATGCTCGTACCCCGGAACGAACATTCTCTGACTCTGCTTCTACCAGCCTTCCTTACATGCCAGCTCGTCATGAAGAGATAAGGCCCCGTTCGCAGTTTGATCTGCCTACTCATTCTAGCCGTAGCCCTGTCATTCACAGTCACCACGCCTCTCCAGACCTTCGTGGCCAAAGGGCGGACTTGCCAAGGACTTACCCAAGTCCTGCTCTTCCTCGTTCTGATGTCCATGCTACATCTGACCCCATGTTGACAGCCCGTAATCGCTCGAGCATGTACAGCAACGCCTCTTCAGTTTCACAGGATGAAGATGTGCGTAGACACTCGGGTTACGGCGAATATCAACCTCAACCTGCTCGCGAAAGATATGCTGTCGAGCCTCCACGTCAGCCGTACATGTCTGTTGCAGCAAGCAGCATACATCGCGAGGAATACACATCAGGAGCCAGACTTGATGTCCCGCAAGCTTATGGAAACGCTCCATACCCGTATTCTCACGCATTCTTTGTTCCATCACACTACGAGTACCAGAACGGAAAATCAAGGAAGAGAAGCAATCTTCCCAAGCAATCGACAGAGATCATGAAGCGATGGTTTGACGAAAACATGCACAACCCTTATCCCAGCGAGGAACAGAAGAGGCACTTCGCCGCTGTTGCCGGCATCAATTTGACTCAGGTAAGATTCGATCAATATCAACCATATCGATGATTGATTATTAACGTCCTTCTNCAGGTCAGCAACTGGTTCATAAACCACAGACGTCGCTGTCCCGAGCTCAGAGAAAAGCGTGACAAGAGTCGGGCTGGGAGCCGTGACGACGACTTGCAATAAACGTCAATTTCCAGGATTGTCATTCTCATTTGGTTCAGCGAATCTCGTTCTGTACATTGCACGGAGTTTTTTTTTTTGTCCTCCCAGCAGGGAATATCTGGCGAGGCATGATACGAAGGGATCGCAATATCGCGGCATGCTACTCGATTGAGGCCAGAGTAGCCGGGGCATGTAAATTGGTCTGGAACACGCAAAGGGATAACCACAGATACCCGAAATGATCTAAAGAAGCTTTTTACACACATCCATGTATATACGTCACATATAATAATGTCTAGATCTTCACAAAACTTGAACATGAGTTGGGAGCAGCAGTTCTACCTACCCAAGTTGACCGTCTACTGGACACAAGGATGCAGGTGAGAATTTGTCAACAAGCGAGTTTGGAGAAGATCATCCAAGAAGTTGATTGCGTAACGCCGAACCTGGTCAGACAGCCGCGACAGTAGCCTCCCAGGCTTTTGCTCCTGGTTCCAAGGTGGTTAGAGAAGTCCCAAACTGAGGACGACATCGTAAGGTGGGGACATGGAACAATCGTGACACGGTTACGGAAGTTTAAAACGGAGAAGGTCTCGGGGGCAGACGTTGCTGGCGAATTCTTTTCACCTCGGGCCCACCGACCACTTTCTTTGACAGCACGACACGAGGGCGTTTGCAAGTTCGTCCTTCGATTCCACATTTACGGACGTATCGAGTCCCAACCTGTCATTGAACTTTATTCAACCAAGCCGCATTCTGGCCGCTAGTGGATCGATTAGAATGAGAGAGTCGAGTCGCAAGCCATCCGGACTGACAAGGGATAATCAGATGAAGATCATGAGAATGGGATGGCAAGTTGAAGCTTGGTTTCGCTATACTTGTACGTATCATCTGGAGGAGCTCCTTCCGAGAGAACCCAAGCTCGCAGAGATCGGCCTGTGACTTGACTCAGGCTCAAGTCTCAGCAGAGGGCAGCGGTAAGGCGTGCACTTTATGCTTCACATAAATGCGTTCCTCATCGACCGGGCTATTCTGGCTGAAACATTGCTTATTTCCAGTACAAGGAAATCTATCGAGTCGTGCGCACCGTTTTGCGCCCACAATCAACGACAATTAAACCGACTCAGCTGGCGACGGCCACAAGTTGCGAGTGTAATTTCGCGCGATCTACGAACGTGTAGATAGAATAAGAGCCGAGAAGTCTAATGTCCTAGCGCGGCCGGCTCAGACCGGACTCATCGCCAAGAAAGTGTGCGATTCACAGTCACGGAGAGATCGTGGCCCGAACGTGCGTGAGATCTCTCGGCCAAGACCGCGTTACGTCTGGTTGGCATCTAACTCTCCACAGTCCGCGGGCAACCAGAGGCGCAGCCTCCTGTCTTTTCAGCAAGTCGGCTCGGCTGCCGGACATGGGCGGCCACTAACCCGTCCAGTCCTTTGCACTGGATTCGACAACGTTGTGGAGACAGATTGCCCTGAGTCTTGAGTCTTGACATCTCATCATGACTCGAGATAGTGGTGCCCTGGTGCCCTGTTGTCTCTATTGAGCGCCAACGCGGCGGTCGTCAATAGGGCAAGGATTGGAATGTACNNAAATTGAATGTCCTTCCCGTCAAGCTACTATGTATCACGCATCTTGAAAGTTGTTATTGCCGTGGGCTCGCGCCACTGACAGGTTGGACAACTGTCTCCTTGCTGAAACCAGAAAGGGAATTTCGAGACAAGTGGCACNACACTTGTCACCGTCCTNGACAGCCTTTTGATCCTTCGCGCGTGACTCTGTTACCACACCAACGCTATTACCCCTTCTTGACGGAGAACGAATCATGGTTTGTGGACGTCACCGCCATCACAGCGCACACCGTCTTCTCGAAACACGGGCGGCTGGCTNGTAGCCTGTCGCGTTGTCCATCCGGACCCCCAATGAGATGAAACTTTCCCACCTGTTCTGTCCGCGGGGCCTTGACACTTCCCTGATGCTGACCGTGCCTGCAGACGGCACAGGGAAAGAGCACGGTGAGAGGATAAAAACAAACTCCAGCCACAGTACTACGTGTACCCACGGCCCCAATCACAGTCAAGAGCATCGCGTCACCGCCCTGAAGGAATTTGGGCTTCGTGATCACCGATTTTGGTACATTTATATTAATTCGCAGATCACAAGTTGCCTCGCGCAATAATTGCAATCAAGGTGAATCCGGGACCTGGCACACAAGGGATTCAAGAAAACCAGGATGCCTGCGATTTGTCTTAGATGCGCCACCACGTTCTGGACCATATCATCGTGACCATCAACAAGAGAGTTTGTAGTTACAGATTGACGGGCAAGATGATTCCTGTAGGTCCACTTCCTCGATCTGACAACCTAGTAGCCAAGATCCTCGAGGTCCCGGCACTTTACGCACAGTACGAACGCTTCGGCAGCCACCGTGGCCATACCGGCGACGAACCGTTCCGCAATCTGCCCATATTGGATTCTTGTTTTGACTTGACCGTGACAGCCGTTGTCGTCCCATATGTGCTCCGGGCATAAATTGCAACAATGCTCCAGTGTCGCAGAATGAAAAACGACAAATTGACACTCGTAATGCGTCAGAAGCGAGGCGAAGGGTTTGTCTGCCTGGTCAACGAGGTCAGATGTTCTCTCGGCCCGTGGTTCTTTGCGCAAGACAATCGTTCAGGCGCCTTGAGCATGATAGGTTACTCTGGCGGCTTCCCCCACCCGTGCTCAGCCATGGCGCTGACTCGACCATATACTCAAAAGAGACATGAGGCTCGCCTCTCCAAACAGTAGAACGTTCATCACATCCGGCGTCCACAGAACGTCCCACACCAACCCGATTGTCATGAAAGATGGTCTAGTCACGACCTGACTTGTGGACGAGGCGTGGGCATGAATGTCATCGAATGCCGCGAAGTCCCTCCGCAGCAAAAACAATGTTCACACACATCTACAACCATTGTCTCCACCACAGATCGTGGCTCCGCAGATGATGGCGGCAGTTTAAATCAATGTAGCTTCGACAACTGTCCGGCAGTTGCAGATCCAGGGACAATCGATCAAGAATCGGGACAACACTGGAGCCAGCCTCTGGGCTTCACCCTTGAACTGGAAGCGATGATTGACGCAGCAAGAGTGTGGACACCAGAGCTAGATCTCTGCCGGTCATCTTTATCTGGCCTGCACGCAAGCATGCGCACAAGTAAGCCATGAGCGTTGTCTGCTTCAGGTATCTGATCAGAGGTACCTAGGAATCGCACTTCCTCTACTGTGAATCTTCTCCGGAAAGCACCTGCAGAACTTAACGACACCACGAATACTCTGTTGCCCACTTAGGGCAAGTCACGGGTCTATCAACATCACAAGCGCAAGTAATACAGCAGGGTCTTGCAATCAAAGGAGTCAGCCTCGACTCAGGCAACTAGGTTGCAGTAGGGAAGAGTATGCATCTAGATTCAGGGCAATATATTGTTCGTTGAGATCCTCGGATGCAGACTTACTGTTTACGGCAGAAAATTACGACGACTTCCCATCGTTCCTGCTGGCAGTCAGGAAGTTCCGGCCGGGATTTCAGATGAGATTGGTGAGAGTCATTCCTTCCACCCTTCGTTACATTTCATCTCTGCATCGATGTGATCCATACTCGATCGCGTCTGCCGATAGAGTGGCGTTGACACCCAGACTCTTTGGATAGCATATCAGAGTCTAGCCAATGTATGCATTTGCACAGACTGTTCCAATGCAACAGGAGGGCTTGAATCTTATGATGCATGATTGCGCTCCAGCACAGAAGACTCCGAAATTATCGCCGTACCTTTCTTGCTTCCGTTTCCTTTAGCTCCGCTTCTGCATCTGGTCACCCCAATAGTAAGAACGTGCACAGAATCCACATGCATGATGCTCCTTGAGCACGTCTTTCAAGGTGACTTTACATACCAGAGCTTTGGTACAGGATGTTGTCTCATCCGATGGAGAGCGCGCACAACCACACGTGCAGCTGCATATACAGGGTGTATTCCACGTCCGTTGGATAGCCCGCATATTCATGCGTCTGCATAATCAAGGATTGCAGCGAATTGCAATCCATACCAAAGGTCGTATAGGCAGTGCAAGCCACAGATTGTCCAACGGATGCCTCGATACCCTGTACAGGGTGTGTCTGCAGCCGATGGATAGCGTGTGGCTTGCAGACTGCCTATTTCGACCTTGGTAACACTTGCCATTTGCTGTAATCCTTGAATATCCAGACGCATGGATGTGCGCGCTGTCCATCGGACGTGCAAATACCCTGTATAACAACCGCACCAGCGTGATATGAGTGTTATCAATCTCGATATAAGCAGTCTGCAAAGCCAACGCAATGTGCGCATGCTGCATATACCCTACGTTTGTTTCTGCTTTGCAGAGTCTTCATCCAGATCTCACAGCTGCAGTACCCACAGTATGGCACAGCACGCTCTCGGCCAACAATTCTTCCCATCACAACAACCTCCTTGAGACCGACCAAGCAAGAAATCCAACTTATGGAATTACGACATGCACGTAGTCCTTCCGAGGAGAATAGAAGAAGAGGGAAAGATGAGAAACAAAGGAAAGAAAAGAAAATCCCATGTACTCTTACTCAAAGACCCCAAAAATAGATAATATTCTAAACCATGCATAGAGCATCCTTCGCATCCACACAACACCTGGACCCAAACAAACAAAAACCGGGTTTCGGTGACCTTACCGATGTCAAGGAAAGGAAAAAAAAGGTTACACTGACAAGACACAAAAGGGCAGAAGGGGGAGAAAAAAAAGAGGGCAAAAACCCTTGCCCTAACCATTGCATGAATCTTGCTTTTTTGTTGACTCGAGACGCGGCTTGGAGAGTTGCTATGCCTGCATTGCATGAAAAGAGGAAAGGGTCTGGACAAAGGGTCAAAAGACAGCCCTAGATATAAACGCGAGGCCATGATTTAACGTGAGAGAAAAAGGGAAATGCATATGCAGGTTGTGCCCTGATTGTTCTTCGAGATAGTTTCACGAGGAAGACACGGAGGGTTGTAGATGGATAGTTTTGAATTTGTGGAATACGTCGTAGAACCCTAAGGGCAAAATGAAAGCTATGTGAAAACACAAGACTTGATGAGAATAGAGCGAAGGCGGGCCGGCCGACCGGCATATAGGTTCCATGGATGAATACAAAAGAAATAGCATATTTTCGAAGTGCTAAGGCGAAAAAGGTGAGACCCACACTTTAAGTAGCACGTCTACTCTTGATCTTTCTCGTCATATGCAGGAGCATCTTCATATTTGGGGAGAGGCTCCTCATGGACGTTGTTCTCAACAACCACGATGCCCTTTTCGACGCTCTCGGTGTCTTGTTCGGACTGAGCGACACTGGCGTAGCCGCGCTGACCTCCGCGTCCAAACTTGATCCACAAGAATGAGATCAAACGACCAACGAGCATGCCAATCAGGCTGACTACCATGCCCATGGTCACACCAGCCATGACGGGAATCAGAACTGCGACAAAGGCGTGAACAAAGGCAGGGAGGAAGTGGTGGTGTCTGTGGTGGTGAGGTCTATGGTGAGGACCGTGGGGACCGTGATGAGGACGGGGGTGAGAACCAGGACCGTGAGGGTGGTGAGGACGGTCGCCAGCGTTGGGGGCGTCGGAGTGCATCTCAAAGTGAGGTTTGATGTGGCCTGGTAACTTGTGAGGAGGCTTACGGCCACCACAGCCACCAAATGCATGAGGCATGCTGGGCTTGAAGTCAGAAATCTTGTCTTCAACAACAGACTTCCATTTGCAGAGAGCAGCGGGCAGCATGCCACAGTCCTTGGATGTCATACCAGACGGAGGAGTGGTACCGAAGGGGTGCTTGGGTGGAGCGGCATCGACCGAGATGATCATCAGCGAACCGTCGGCACCCTTGAGAAGCTTGAGGTCGACGGCGTCGATGGCCATAGGCTGTGACTCTAGCTCGCCGACCTGGTAGTTGATGCTGACAAGCACATCGTGGAGGGAAGAAACAGTCTCCTCGTGTACACTCATGCCAGACGATGAGACGCGGAGGGGTGTGATCTGCTCCGGGTTGTTCTTGACGTAAGATAGGGAGGCTGATGATTGAATCTGTCCAACGGTGGGTTCATCGAATGTGAAAGTGCCATCAACGGGATAGACCTTGACGCCATTCAGCAAAAGGTCTTTGTCGTTGTCGTCAATGGTGAAGTTGAAGACGACGTCCTTGGAGCCGCCCTGGATCCAGACAATATCATCATCGCCCTTCTCCTGCACCGACTCCTGCTGACGCGAGGGAAAGACGCATCCCGAACAGTGGACCTTGACGGCCTGAGACTTGGGGTCGAGAGAGAGTCCCAGAGCTCCACTGCGGGAGTCGGAGATCTTGCTGATACCAGGCGGGAGAAGAATGGCGTTTGCGCCTAGCGAGAGGGCGGCGAGCGCGCCAACTGTGCGGCCAAGCATTGTGGTTGTTGTCAGGATAGTGGATTTGCTATGTGTGTTGAATGCGAAATGGTTTTCTGGTATTTGGAAGATTGGTGTGATGGCTGAGTTGATGAAGAGGAAGAAGGCAAGGGGATGGAATAGGCAACAAAGAAACACAGACGTTTGGGTGACGACGACTCTCGCACCTTATTCGCGCCCATCAGACAATCGTGGCCAATAATAACTCTAAGCTTACCACAGTCGTCTTTACGGCCGTCGCTGCTCCCTCACAACACGAGATAGTGCCACTCAGATAAAACCTTGCATCGCTGCCTGCACTCACCTTTGGCCATGGTCTTTCACCAGCTTTGAAGCGCGCAAAGCAGATCGATCCTCAGGTTGAAGGGGTCCGAAATATCCGAGTACGGAAGTCTCGTGCCGACACCCGGATCCTGGTAACGATGCCCATGCTGCGAAAACACAGTTTTCATAATGGACACTACGAGCATCAACACCAACACCACGACGACTTGCACACCCCAAACTCGCTGCCATGTATACATCTCATCTCAATCTGCTGTTCTCAAACACACTCAAGAGTTCGAGTTGTATTTGGAGTTCATGTGCTCGAGTATTACAGTTCTGTTGATCTTCAAGCCATGGCGCATCTAGACCCTTGTACCCCGCTTGGTTTTCCTACGTCACATATCATGTCAGGGTCGACCGCACAACGAGCTATTTTTCGAACAATGCTTCAATTGTGTTGAAGAAGAGGTTGATACAAAAATAAGAAGCCTCGGAGCACATTATCTCATGCCGAATAACGAACATATGGAGCTTACAGAGTCTTGGAACAGCGGGGAGGGGAATAGATAGATATAACTTACGCCGAGGGCCTCGGCTTTGTGAAGACAATGTAAAACCGCACGACAATCCATGCAGTTCATCAAACGCAACAGACATGTCGTCTCAGAATGTCCCAAACGACATTATCCTCTTCCACTACACCTTCTCTCCATTCGCTAAGAGAATCGTCTGGTATCTGAAGCTACGCGGCATTCCTTATGCCGAATGCATACAGCCCTTGACGCTCCCTCGACCCGACTTGGCTCAGTTGGGCATCAACTACCGTCGCATACCTCTGCTATCTATTGGCCGTGATGTCTACTACGACACCCGCCTGATACTAGCAAGACTAGAGCAAAGCTTCCCAGCATCGTCGTCACACCCACCGCTATCGACGCCCGACAACAAAGGCTTGGAAGCCTTGCTCGAANNAAAGTTTACAGTGGATGCGGGTATCTTCTCCAAGGCGGCACAGGCGCTTCCGCCTGATTTGCCGACCATGAAGGATGAAAAGTTTTTGAAAGATCGGGCTGATTTCACGGGTACTAGCTGGTCTCAAGAGGCTCGTGTGAAGGGGTACCCTGAAGCGTTGGCACACATCAGGCATGCATTCGACATACTCGAGGCTCTACTCGTTGATGGCAGACAATGGATTGGAGGAACAGACAAAGTCAGCCTAGCAGATATTCATGGTAAGATTGCCAGCAACGCAAACAGTAATACATGAAAACTGATGAATTCATTCCANGCCGCTTGGCCCTTCATCTGGATTGGCGATATGCTTCCCAAGCAGTCGTTCTCCAAAGACCAACACCCCAAGGCTTGGGCATGGCTAGGCCGTTTCAAGAAAACAGTCAAGGACGCAGAAAAGTCATCAAAAGCAGTCTCATTAGACGGTCAGGCCGCAATGCAGCACATTGTGTCTGCATCGTATCATGATCAACAAACCGGCGTAGACGAGACTGACCCTGTCAAACTCAAAGAGGGTGATCTCGTCCAATTGTGGCCTACCGATAGCGGTTTCCGACACAAAGACCAAGGTCATCTAGTCAAGCTGACAAAGGACGAAGTGGTTCTTGCCATACAAACCAGAAGCGGAGGCAAGGAAATCAGAGTCCATGCGCCAAGATGGGGCTTCAGAGTGGTGAAGGCCAAATCTCAGCTTTGAGAACAATTGCACCAAGCCAATGAGTCGAACGCTGGCTTAAGCATGATACATATCGGACAAGGAAACAGACTCAAATGCATGAAAATAATCCATAAGGGGTATTGTAACCAGAGGTATAGAAATGGCCAACATTGCAAACATTCATAAAATGAGGGGAAGTCCATGGTCAGAATGCTCAGGGATGAGCCCGTATAGGAAAAGAAAAGGAAAAGGCTTTCCGGCATACGTAAAACCATCCTGGCGGAAATCTAGGCTTTCCCTAGATGATGTCCAACATGGCAATGCGCAGGCGAGATAAAGAACATCATAGTATATCTCAAAGAAATCGTGCCTGGGAAATCCCAAGGCTTTTGTCCAAATCCAAGCGATAGATTACCTCGTAAAGCAAACGCCGGGAACAAGCCATACCAGGCTTTTCATGCAGAAAAACAAAAACTCCGTCGGCATCTATCCGTGCGCAGGACTGCGTCTGGTGAATCTTGGAAACCGAGACTACAATCTCGATGCTTACTCCAAATAGTGCTGGGCAGAGGCCGTGCTGGTCCAAGGATATATGTAGTGGCAACCTCAGATCCTCTATCCATCAATCCAGGTATGACTCGATGGAGCAAGGACAAGACGACCAGTGGGAGAAGAGAGAGCAACACGTATAACTGCCAAGTTGTGGACCAGCCAAGAGACATCCGAAGGCAGCAGAACCACTGGGAAGTCGATATCCATCAGATTAGAGAAAATAGCCCCTTTCAAGTCGTAGAAACTCCATGATTATACGACAGGATTGGCACGTTACCGAACATGATCCTAATTGATCCTACGACGAGGAGCGCCACGTTCCGAGCCAGGAGGAGCAGATGGACGTTCGCGACCGTAAGAGGAGTCCACAGGGGACGGACGAGCATACGATTGATCAGGCATGGGCGTCGAAGCAGGATAAGCTGTAGACGGGCAGAGAGTTGTTAGTCACTGGCCAATGAGGATTGTCACTTAGCAAAGGACTTACGNGCGTCCATACGAGTCGTACTGTGGCATGCGCGGCGGAGGGTAGTTACTAGGTGGGGTCAGTCCGCGTGTGGTGGTCGTGGTCATATAATGATCCGACCTTGTGGTCTGTGGACTTGGGGCTCCATTTGATGCGACAGATACCGGAGGATAGTTAGTGTATCTCATCTGATCCTGGTATTCCGGAGCGAATCTGGGATCATCCCTGGGATCTCTATGCCCTGTGGGATACTGAGGGGGATACTGAGGAGGGCCTCTAACATGGAGTGGAGGAGCAGCATCATGGGCATATCCGGGATGACCATTGTAGAAATCTCCTGGGGGACCATATCCGTTGGCTGGCGGCCTGGGTTGGTGCGAAGCATACATGGAAGGGGGCTCTCCAAAAGCAGAGGTAACGGGGGCCGCGGAATGGGGAGGAGCACCATACACACGTCTGGGATCATCATATGAAGCCATGTCCGGAACAGGCATCCTCGGGGCAGCAGGGTGAGAAACATGACCGTTGGNGGGAAGGTAGCCGTCACCAGAAAGCTGGGGCGAGTTGGTGCTGGCGCGATAAGGACCATTACCGTTGGGTCCGGTGTTTGTAGCTTGTCTGTATGTGTGCGACTCTTCATAGTTCATTCCTCGACGGCCGGAGCGCTGTTCTTGCTCCCACTTGGTCGAGGCCATTCGGAGATCGTTGATCATCTCNNCTAGGTCGAGGTTAGCAAGTGCGAAAGGAGAGTCGCGGCGAGAGAGACGTACCGAGGTGAGGTTTCTGTATGCTTTGATCCAGTAGCCCTCGATNNCTGTGACGACGTCAGCCAGGTCCAGTAGAACGTTGTTGAAGCCATGAAGCGCTGGTCATGTCGTGTTGTTTCCTACCTCTTTGTCTTTGCCAGGACGGACGGTTGCGTCGTTGCCTAGATACTTCTGTATGTCTGCAGAGATGACCTGGCGGTTGATGCCATCCTTGGGCACGAACCAGTTTCGCAATATGTTTGAACCCATGACTGTGGAGCAAGAAAGCAAGAAAACAGAGCAAAAAACAGTCCGGAATTCCTTGTGGCTGCTATGGGAATGGGGAGCCTGGTGGGTTGAAGCCTAACGGGGCGCTTCGCTCTGGGAGAGCGGTCCTGTTCCCAAAGGTCCGAGGGCAAGGAAATAAGCCTGGTATATGGAAGTCCAAGTCCTGAGCGCGAGGGCGCAAGCAACGGCAGCAGCAGGGAGGCAACAGGCGACGCTGAGACTGGAGATGGCAGGTGGTGGGTGAAAAGCTGTCGGCCGCTCGAGCAAGCAGGGGCGGACGAGGAAAAGGCGTGGGGCTCTCGGGGAATTCAAGGCAAGACAGGCCAGAGACAGGACTGGACGCTCGGGACGCTAGGCAGGCTGCTGCAGGTTAGCGATTGGAGAAGGGAGCAGCAGACTCTTTGTGAGTGGGAGAAGAGCGAGTTGGCACGTCGTCAGCGTTCGCCCGTCGACGTGTGCTGCCGAATCTCGTTGCTGCCAACCACCATCTCAACGCCGATCCCGAGTGGGGCTGACCGACCACAAGACGACGCTGCCCGAATCTCTCTCTTCTTGCCCATGCGACACTTACCAGATACCGCTTTTGATGCACCCTTGGTGTCCTTTTTTCTTCTTTATGGCCAACACCCTCTTGTCTCGGTTCTATGCTTTGCGCTCCTTGTTCAGATGCTCGTGTGGCAAACAGCCATGCCCATCGACGTGGCACATTCTGTGTTGCGGCCCAACCGACGCGCTAACGGTACATGCTCCTCGTTCATCAAACCACATGTTCACCTTGTTTGCTGTATCATTCTTACCCACTTGGGCATCTGCTGATATGTCTTGTTCGTGCCTACCATAATGCAAGCCGATCCTGTAGTATAAATCGAGCATATCGCTTCACCAAGAGTTATGTGAGAATATATTCTCCATCACGACAAAGTTGCTCGAGCATGATCGAGTAGGGTCGCTCATGACGAGTCGGAAGACAAACAAGAGAGTATCGTGGCCATTGAGGATTTAGCGGCACCTGCAGACCGAGCCCCTCGACTTTTCTTGTGTACATGTCTCTACATATTGAATCATGTTGAGTATCTTCCAGCGGCAACATCTGTCGCAGCTTCCGGCATCACGGCGCCTCTCTAGCATTCTATCTCTACCTGTGGGTGCCAGCATGCCTTCCCGACTGTCTTAGCACGGCTAACGCTGTATAGTATCCTTATGGTCAAACATAAGGAAACGTAATGGCACCGACTAGTCGGTGTGGAAAGCCTTGACCTTTCCCAGTCAAGGTACTCTGCGTCACCTGGGGGAGTGTGATCTTTCGAAGCCATCGTTCACTCAATCCTCTGACCAATGTCGGTCTCCAATACGCTCGAAGTGGCTGTCGTCGACGGGCTCTCTTCGAAACAAGTCCCTGACTGCCGAAGTGAAGCGATGGCCTATGGGTGGAGACTCCTTAGAGCCTTTCTTTTGCTGTCGTTTGTTCGAGGGTCTCTTAGAATTGGTGGGATGAGGTTGGCTGTGGGTTGAACGACTCGACATAGTGCCGGGCAGAGCAACTACTTGTTGTCGACCAGTCGGAGGGACGTATTCCTGTACATGTCCATATGCTGGGCTCATGGTTCTGTGCTCGCTAGGCTGAGGTGATATCGCTCGTGCACTGTCCGCCAGAGAACCCTTTCTTCCTGACGATGAACCTGAATCAGTCCGGGGTGGTGGTGATGGTGCTGAGAATGCCGATTCTGGGAATCTTTCATTCACATCGGAGCTACGGTGGCGGTCCGGTGTTGTTCTGCTCGCCCACAAAGACGACAAGGCCTCCATTTCTGCCTTAGAAAGAGGTGGTGCCGCACTGGCAATGTGTGGTACTCGAGGAATATCAGAAACCTCCCAAGGGGGAAGTGGTTTTGATCCAGTGTATCCAGGTGTTGAAGCAGCGCTGGGAGGAGATATGTCACGGTCCATGATGTAGCGGGTCGACAGTACAGATATAACAAGCAAGCTGAAACAAGTAAACGATACTTTGGCGCCCGTACAGTCCGAATGGTTCGCGACAGCACAGATGTACCGTCCTTGGCTAAAGAAGACAAGCTTCGAGGAGGGGTTAGACGTGGTTATAATCGTATGCCATATAGCCGCGCGTGTGCACCCAAACTGCTATTTCAAGGCAGCCAACGCTCCGATCGGCAGCTTCAAAAGTCTTGATATGAGAGCATCTCCACTTCAAAGAGCTTGGAAGCAGTTTGTAAGACTGGAGGAGTAGCAGTCATGCGGATCAGCGCTTGCAGTGCCGCATACTCCGACACAACAAGGGGGTAGAAATGCAGATGCTGTGCCTCCTGACCACGCGACCCAATCAGAATATAGCCGACAGCTCTTTCCAGACCCGGGGGCAAGGTTTTGAGAATCTGGCTTCTGCACCAATAGCGAGATGTGCCTACCTGACTTGAATGCTGGCGATAAGGCAACCTTCAAACTGGACCAGATGGCATTTGTACTTTTGATGGCGAGACGTAAGCAGTGCCGTCATGGTCTTACAAGGAATGGCCACATTACGCTCCTCTCATCGCACCGAAGACTCGTGTACTGTTGTCGAGAGCAGTTGATAGAAGGTGAGGTTACTGGTGGAGGAGTCAGCGCTTACATGCTTGAGTCTAACCGAATGAGGAAAGGTCGACCATGCATCACCACCATTGCATCAACCTGAATGGCTGGCATCTATCACTCATGTTCGTCTACTGCTGTAACTACATTGTCGTCACACAGCGCCTAGAGTATGAACAAATGAGATAAGTCATGGGTCGGCGACTCCTCATACAGAGGCCTCTCGCTGCTTCTTCCTTTCCTTTGTAGGCGACTCTACTGCTAAAGTCTCTATCTTGCATCGAACGCCAACATGCTTGCCACATACCTAGTTCTTGCCGCACTGACCTTGCATCTGAGACTCGTACAGTCGCACACAGGTAGGTCTTTTCTTACCTTGTAATGCTAAATCCTTCTAAATCTCTATTANGTGATCACATATCCTCCATGGAGAGGCAACAATCTCATCACCAATGGCACCCTGCCACAGCATGATATGAATGCTATGGGAGAGAACTATGTAGACGGACAATACACGTTTCCCTATGGGTGAGGAACTCGACACTCATGTGCGGTCGGGCACAAAGTTCGTTCAAAGTACCACTGACACAATCTGTCTCTTGTAGTNCAACAGTGGATGTATCCTTGTGGAGGTATGCCGACGAGCACGAACAGAAGTCTGTGGCCAGTCTCTGGCGGTGCTCTTGCAATTCAGCCAGGATGGTTCCAAGGCAAGTCAACTGCTCTATCTGATACAACCAACAACTAACGCCTCTCCNNAGGCCACAAGACAGCAATGTTCTATGTCAACATCGGTATCAATGGCCCTGGAGAAGTTGCGCCACCCAACATGTCCCATCCAGTTGTCGCACCTTTCCAGATCACCGGCCCATCGAACCAAGAATACCCAGGCTCTTTCTGTCTACCGCAGGTGCCCCTGGTGCCCAACCTTACGTTCAATATCGGCGACAACATCACGATCCAAGTCATCGAGACTGCTCAGCACGGTGCAGCCATCTACAACGTGTGTATCCCCTCATACCCGCTTCGAACCAGTACTGACGAGACTGTTATANNGTGTGCAGATGTAACGCTCGCAGATCCAGCCGACGTGCCAGAAGTGAACGCATCCAACTGCTTCAATTCCTCAGACCTGAGCTTCCAATTAATCTACGCGACTGGCAATCTCAGCAGCGGTGCTCTACCGACAGCAATTGCATCATCGTCAATGTCTCTGACGCTACCGGCCCTCGTAGCCATATTGACATTCATGTTGTGGTAAAAAAAAAGAAAAGGAAAAGACAAGAATAGATATCATACTTTTGTTTGCGGCATGGCGTTTTTGGGAAAGATATCCACACTGCATTCTACCAGTGTAATGCTCGCTCCTTTTCAGCTTCTTGGGAGCACAAGGCGTTCATGTTCTTACTATATAAGCGAGCGATCTGCCAATTGTGTCTAATTCATCCAGATCGTAATTGAGAACATTCAAACTCACCTTCGAGCAATAAGATCAAGAAAACACCCATAGATCAGTGCTCGCTTGTGATAATGGAAAGGGGAATAGCAGCGTGATTGGCGAAGGAAAACCTCCTTTCGCGTTGGAAAAGGTATGATTGGTGTATCTCTAAATATGTAAAGTCAAACTCACGCATCGACCTCCATGGCAACAGCAGGAGCATGATCAGCGTCAGCCTGGTCGGCAGCCGAGTCACCGGCAGTCTTGTGCTTTCTTCGCCTTCTCTTCTTGCCTGCAGCTTCTGAGGCGTCGTTTTCCGTCGCCTCGACAGCGACATGTGCGTCAAGTGCCTTTTCAGCAGCTTGTGGATCTGTCTTTGCAGCTTTCCTGATTGCTTGCTTCTCTGCCTCCTCTTTCACCGTCTGCTTCTTCGACTTCTTGACACTGAGAGGGTTGGGACCCTTGGGACCCTTCTTCACGCGCTTCTTCGGCGCAGCCTCTGTTTCTTGTGCAGGAGCATCACCCTTTGTCTCGCTATCCTCGTCATCATCGTCGTCATCCTCTCTCTTGCGCTTCAAGGCTTGCTCGGGAGCGGCACCTCTCCTGCCCTTCAAGCCTGCTCTGACCTTGCCCATCTCTTCAGCCTCTCTGAACTCCTCGGTCTGTGTTGCCATAGGCTCCATGATCATGACACTTCGGTTGACGTAGATGAGTGGTACACCGGTGATTCTGCGCATGGCGGATCTGACTTTTTGGTCCTGACTGGCGACAACATAACGATTCTTGTTGGTGCTGCTGTCCTTGGGGTCGACGACGGACTTTAAGCATTCCAATGTGGAGAGAGGTTCATCGAGAGTGTGGTGGTTGCAGCGGCGGCGCTCGAAGGACTTTGCCGTGTCGATCCAGGCGTTCTTGGAAGCGGCATCGGGGGCTTCGGCAGTATACAAATGGCGTATTGAGCATTGTGTGATCACTTTCAGGTGTTAGTCGTGGCCATGCGACAACGGAGCAAGATTCGAAGGACATACTGGNNGCTTGACCTGTCCGTGGAGAGTGCGTTCGAGGAAAAGGGGCAGGTTCATCTTGAAGCGGAAGGTGTCCTTGATCATGTCGGCGTCGATCAAGACCTGGTAAGGAACGCGAAAGTTGAAAGAGAGCTCATACTGGTGCATGAGTTTGCGATATTGCTTTGAACGTTTGCCGCGCATGGTGGGGGTGGTTGTATGGGGCTATCTGGTTGTCTAGAGAAGTCCGAGTTTCCAGAGAGCGAATATGCAAGAGTGATAGTGGTTGCGACAGAGATGGCAGGTGCGAGTGTGAAGGAGGTATACAATAAAAAAAAGGCAAGAGCCAAAGCAAAAGATTAGAGTTTTGCGGGGAGACAGACACGGACGCGGCTTCCTGCCCGCTGCGGCATTCCGGAAGCCTGCCCTTTGATGTTTCAATGCACACTCGTTCTACCCACAGGCACGTGTCATGGAATTATAGACCTGGCCCAACCATCGCCAGGCCCGGCGAAGACTGCCCCAGACCATGCCCGACGACCAAGTCCATCAGCAGGCCCAACACGGACCTCCTGCCTCTCCCCAGGTCGACGAGTTCGGCCTCCCTATCCGACCTGCCCGGACGAGAACCTACGATGAGGAAGACACAGACCAGGACGCTCCTTCCTCAACTATTACGAACCCTAATGCGATCCAACAAGATGCTTCAGATGGTACCTCTGAGGTTCCGGACGCTCCTTCCTCGACCGATGCGACAATAACGAAGCCGAGTACAAGTACCATTGATCAACATGACCTTGCCCATCCTTCACCCTCAAATGAAGCCTCCACCACCCACCCACCGTCAAATGAGCCTGCTGCCCCAACAACAGATCCCGTCATTCCCGATCAAGCCCAACAAGCTGTCATTGTCGCCAACTCCGACTCGCTCACACAGCCCCTCGCTGGCGCATCCGAATGGTCACATCAAGCTGTTACCGCTGCTCCAACCAAGGAGAAGCAGCCCCAAGAANNAAACGAGCTGGAGTGGCAGGAGATGCCAGCCTTTGCTACCCACACCATATACGATGACTGGGGCAAAGTCGTTGCGCGCGAGGTTGCCGAGCTTGAGGAAGAGGACTATGCGTACGGCAATGCGGCAGCCAAAGGATACACAAGAGTCCAGCTCGATGATGACGTCCAATCTGCCACCAGTATGGACGAAGATACCGCATACCTCTTCAAGCCTGAAGCTGGCACCAACACCTTGGACGAAGACGACAGTCGCGACGTTCTGTCTCAGATGCAAGCTACGAAGGACCTCCTTACTGAAGGCCAACGCATCGCATATGTCGGTCTCGTACGTGTGTCCATGTACCAGATGACAAAGTATCTCGAAGGACTCGACAAAACTCGGTCCACAAAGAAACAACTCGACATTGCTATAGAGTCCATGCAGATGTGGGGTCAGAAGATCATGGTTCGGTTGTACAGTCACATGGATCTGGATGCTGCAGAGCAGATCATGATTGAGCAACTCGCTGAACACGGTGTCGAACCAGCAGATCTGACAACCCCCCTAATGCAGAACGCTAGAGTCAAGAATCCCTCAAAGAATACCGAGGACGCTCCCGTGTCAGCGAATCTCTCCGACTCTCAATCTCTGAAATCTCCTCCACTCAGCCGTCCACACTCTCCACCGATGCCTCCGCCATACGAGCAAGAGGTACCGCCAGATTATTCTGTCAAGGACCCATCAGAATTGCCCGACACAAAGAGCATCGACATTGACCTGCGGTGGACTGTACTCTGTGACCTCTTCCTAGTGCTGGTCGCTGACAGCATTTACGATGGTCGCTCGAGGGCTCTTCTCGAGTTGGTCGGGAATGCTCTCTCAGTGGACTGGCTGGAGATCTGCCGATTTGAGAAGCGCATTACAGATGCTCTGGAGATGCAGCAAGAAGCTGACAAGGAGAATTGGAATGAGGACGAACACACCGACAAACGCCAAAAGATGGCTCGGAATAGGAGACTGGTCATGATGGGCCTTGCTACCGTGGGTGGAGGTCTTGTCATTGGCCTGAGTGCCGGTCTTCTAGCCCCTGTTATCGGTGCTGGTCTTGCTGCAGGTTTCACGACCATCGGAGTTGCTGGAACAAGTACCTTCCTCGGAGGTGTCGGTGGCGCAGCTCTAATCACATCAATTGGCGTTACGACCGGAGGTACCATTGCAGTTCGTGCAAGTAACAGGCGAACAGGCCCAGTAAAAACTTTCGAGTATCGACCACTTCACAACAACAAACGTGTCAACCTCATCGTCACCGTGGCCGGCTGGATGACAGGCAAGGTCGATGACGTTCGTTTACCTTTCAGTACGGTCAATCCTATCATGGGTGATATTTACAGTGTACACTGGGAGCCAGAAATGTTGCAAAGTATGGGTCAAACCATCAACATCCTTGCAACTGAGGTACGTCAATGTTGTTCGTTTTTACAATCACATACAGTCATACTAACAGTCGTANNGGCTCTTACCCAAGGACTTCAACAGATACTTGGCAGCACACTGCTTACTGCTCTCATGTCTGCCATGTCACTACCACTTGTGCTTACGAAGTTGTCATATCTAATCGACAACCCGTGGAGTGTATCGATGGCTCGTGCCGACATGGCTGGTCTCATTCTCGCTGATTCTCTCATCGATCGCAATCTCGGCGTGCGACCAGTCACCCTCGTTGGTTTCTCCCTAGGTTCTCGTGTTATCTATGCCTGCCTCAGAGAGCTCGCCAATCGCGGAGCATACGGCATTGTTCAGAACGTCTACGTGTTTGGCAGCCCAGTAGTGTTCAAAAAGGATGAATATATCAAAGCAAAGTCAGTCGTTGCAGGAAGGTTCGTCAACGGCTACGCTACCAACGATTGGATTTTGGGCTACCTATTCCGCGCCACTGCAGGAGGTATCATGAGGGTTGCTGGACTTGCTTCGGTCGACATACCAGGTGTGGAGAATTACAACGTGACGGAAACCGTTGCAGGTCACATGGCATACCGTAAAGCCATGCCCAAGCTCCTCAAAGAAGTTGGCTGGGTGGTGGATAGCGAAGAATTCTCTGAAATCGAGGATCCGGATCCGGACAACCACGAAATGAGACAACGAGAACTCATCAATGAGATCGAAGAGGCCAGGAAAGCTCTCGAGAAGAAGCCTGAAAAGAAGGGCTTCAAGGCACTCTTCAGCCGAAACAAGAAGAATGCAGAGAAGAAGGAGTGGGAGACATATGACGAGAAAATCAAGGCTGGACCGGCGGATGAGTCTGCTGATGGATCCAATCAAGGAACACTTTTCGACATTGATGCTCTTCAGCACGAGGTCGCTACACTTGCAGCTCAAGGCGTTGAGATCAAAGAGATCAAGGGTACATTGCCTCCAATGAGAATCGACACCACAGTCAACCCCATCAATGGCGATGGGTTGAAGAGCCCGCCTCCAGGTCTTAGGCAGACCAAGAGCTTCAGTGGCTTCTCAGACGGGGCTCGAGATCCATCGAGTAGTATCAGCCAAACAAACGGAACAAACAGAAACCAGCAGTACGACTACGACGAATTCGAGTATAACGCTCAGAACGATCCTCAGATATCAATGACTTTTGAAAGCCCCGAACGGCCGCGACCAACATTTGGCGACCGTCAAGCCACGATGCATGGATCGCCTACAACCTCACCATCATCGTCGCAGCTTCCGATCAGACCTGCATTGCAGTCGTCAAACACAATGCCTGTCTCAAGTCGATCAGTATCGAACAACACGCCCATGTCTCTCGAGAGAAACGCGTGGGTCGACGATGAGGATGAGTTTGGAAAGGAAAAGGAAATGTCGATGACGTTTGAGTAGGCGCTTAATGTGACTTTCAACCTCTGTACAAACGACTAGAGTCTTTCGGCGTACATACGGGTGGGCTGGAGGTTGCTCTTCTCTATAATCTGGAGTACAAGGCGTTGCCCTGGTGGGTCATCTAAGACGGGATATACGGCACACATTTTTGCATTAGTGGGTAGACACTGAGATAATACAACAACGATCCAAGACTGAATAACAATGCCCTGCATATCTTCCAAAACCAACAAGCAGCATGCATGGTCTCTGGATGCTGACACAGAAGAGTCAAAAAAAAAAACCAAGAGTCAACGTCGGGGAAACATCTTTGTTGACCAGATAATGACGGCGACCAACCAAGGTTGGAGAGTCGAAATCACCACCTCTGGATTCTGTTCACGCTACATTCGGAAAAGAGGTTTCATCGAGTTGGGCCAAAGCTCCGAACTCTGAGATGTAAACACAACCACTTGATGATGACAGTAAGAAGGATGAGGTGACAAACGGTCTGGCGAAATCACTACCAAACTTGACCAAAGTGATGATTAACCTTCTATACGACAGGAGGATTGTCGTCTAGGAGTGATTATTTGTGCGAGGATGGATAATGTCCTCACTTCCAATGACACCGCCGCCTTCGTGCAAGACCATGGCTTCTCTCCTCTGTCTCCTCACCTCAGCTTCGTGGTTGGAAGACGATTGAAACCTCGCTCTAGCAGCAGCATGCGGAACTTCGTCATCCACGACATCCAAGTCCTCCAAGTCTGGCAATCCGGACGTCGTTGAAGAAACACCATCGCCATCTTGCTCTCCAGGCGCAGCAAATCTAACCATTGGACCTGTCATGACCGCCTGCTCGGCCAACATGTCCACCAACGATTCTACCCTGTGCGATACGGGTTGAAATCTCGCCGACGCAGCCACCTCGGTACTATCTTCTTGCTGTGGAAACACAAAATGCGTTTCTGGATATCTATGCGCTCGTCTCACCCTGTTATGAGTGATACGCGTAGACTCTTCGACAGCATCTGCAATGTCTACCAAAGTTGCCAACCTGCCTTGACGATACTTTCTGGCTGCTTTGAAGTAAGCTCGGCACATGACCTGTACTGTAGGGTTAGATTTGTCGTGAAGAGTAGAGACGGCAGTGTCGTTGAGAGGGTAGAAGTCGGCGGCTAAAGCGTCGAAGAGGTCGAGGGTGCGTTTTGCGGAGATTCGAGTGTCTGCGGACGGGGAGAAGAGATCATTGGTCAGAGATGAGGTTGCTGAGTCGTCTAGGGCGAAGCGGGAGAGGATGAGAGAGGTTGCNNCCTGCAAGGGGCCTGAGTTAGGATACATTGTTTTCCATTTCGTGAAGGCTTGGTCTAGAGCAGCCTGGCTCTATGAACAACAACTCGACCGGTTCACAAGAAGTTGTACATATCATCAGTCTCTGAGCAGGTGCTTCACGAGTCGAGATAACGACCAGATGATAGCATCGTCAAGGAAATGTGTAACTCACGAGTTTGAAATATCCTGATTTGGCGAGGTGACCAAAGTTGACAAGGCTTCGAGACTTATCGCTACAAACAGTGTCAGAGGCAAACATATGTATACAAGCGAATGAGAAGACTCACACTCTTCTGCCTGGGTACCGTTGGCAGCTTTTGCATAGACGGGATCATAGATCTCGCTTAGTTTGATAGTAGTTCGAAGACATCGCTCAACTCCTTTGACGGCAACGAACAAGAAGACGCCTGCACATGATCAGCTTCCGTGGAGGCTAGGAGCAATGGTGTGAAGCTCCAAGATACCAAAACCAAGCCATAGATGACGATCTCGAATTTCCCAAGACATGATGGTTGATGATGCAGAAGGTGTCGAAGGTATCAAAGATGGACGCACGGACGTGGCTGCTCGAAGCGGAGGCTCGGGTGGACGAGCCGAAGGCGGTCAGCGAAATCCTGGCCTTTCAGACTTTCCATTCGCGATTCAAGGCAAAAAAAGTTGGACCGAGCTATTCGATCACAACACACAGCATGCCGCCGTCACAACTAAAACGCCTCAAGGCGTCGCTGCGAGACCAGGGCGTCACCGGTCCTCAGAAGTCGAAGAAGCAAAAGCAACAGGACAGACAGGGCAACAACGACAGCAGAGTCCAGCGCAATGCCGCCCTTCAGCAAATTCGCGACAGCTTCAACCCTTTCGAGATCAAGGCCAACAACCGTCCTGCAAAATTTCAGTCCTTGACTGCCCATCCCAAGAAAGATGCTGTCCTCAGACCCGGTGTCACCAGAAGCATGGGCGAGGAAGCTGTAAGCTGTGTGCTCCTACAACCCAAGACCAGCACTGACCTTGTATAGCGTCGTGCTACCCTGTTGCCCGAGATCCAGCGCCGCAACAAGACTGGCGGAATCATCGACAGACGTATCGGCGAGAACGACCCGACCATGACACCCGAAGAGCGCGCTCTGCAACGTTTCGCCCAGGAGAAGATGCGCAAGAAGGGTGGCGCTTCTCTTTTCGATCTGGAAGCCGACGACGATTTCGAGGAGGCTGCTCTCACCNNTCACGGCGGAAAGGCTCTGGACCTCGACAGAGACGACTTCGACATGGAGGGGCTCGAGGGCTCTGATGACGAGTCAGACCGTGGTTTGAAACGCCGAAGATCTTCTGCGGGCGACGAGGACGATGACCAAGAAGCCATGTCGGACGACGAAGGGCAGGACCCTGACAAACCGGCACGCAAGAAGTCAAAAGCAGAGGTCATGAAGGAGGTCATCGCAAAGTCCAAGTTGCACAAATACGAGAGACAAAAGAACAAGGAAGACGACGACGATTTGCGTGAAGAGCTGGACCAGGGCTTGCAGGAGATGCTGTCCTTGCTCAGAGGTGTCAAGCCCCCTCCGAAGGCTGAGAAGACTCCTGTGGATGCCGGCATGAACCCTGAGCGTTTGGCCATGCTCCAAAGCAAATCGCGCGAGGAGACTGAGAGAGAATACGACGTCAGACTCAGACAGATGGCCATGGACAAGAGAGCCGCTCCCACCACACGCACAAAGACAGAAGAGGAGCAGGCTATCGAAGAAGCCTACCGTCTGAAGGAGCTGGAACAATCACGCCTTCGCCGTATGCAAGGCGAGGAGTCTGAAGAGGAGCCCGAGGTCGAGGATAAGAAGTCGAAGAAGAAGGCTGGTGTCGAAGTTGCCGCTGAAGACGAGGAAGACATGGGAGATGATGCTGCCGAATTTGGCCTACCGACTCAGCAATACGACGACAAGAAAGACGCAGTTGTGCACGACGACGAGGACGAGTTCTTGATGGAGGACGATCTGATCGCTAGTGGTTCTGACATCGACGTCAGCGACGAGGAAAGCGAGGACGAAGACGATTCGGATGTCGAGGAAGGAGCTGCCGCTGCCGATGAGGAGGATGAAGAAGACGAATTTGTTCGCGGAATCCTGGGTGACAAGGACGAGAAGAGCGAGAAGAAGGCAACTGCGCCGGCCGCTCCTTCTGGAATTGCCTACACTTACGAGTGCCCTCGTTCTCACGAGGAGTTGCTGGCCATCTTCGGGAAAATGGCTGTCGAGGACATCCCAGTCGCCGTTCAACGTATCCGTGCCCTTTACCACCCTTCGCTCACAGCCGACAATAAGCAAAAGCTCGCAGACTTCTCTGTTGCTCTCGTTGATCACATCTCATACATGGCCAACGAGAAGCAATCCTTTGCGGTCATCGAAACCCTCATCCGCCACTTGCACTCTTTGTCGAGGACATACCCGGGTACCATTGGCAAGGCGTTCCGTACACACATGTCTGCTATGCACGAGAGTGGTATCTTTACTGCTGGTGATTTGGTCATCTTGACTGCTGTCAGCTCCATCTACCCAACATCTGACCACTTCCACCAAGTAGTCACGCCAGCAATCACCCTCATGGGACGCTGGTTGGAGATGACCGCTCCCACGACTTCTAACTTGGCCACCGGTGCATTCATTGTTGCTCTATGCATCAAGTACCAATCACTATCCAAGCGTTACATCCCCGAGGCTGTACGCTACACCGTCAAGGCTCTGCAACTCCGTCCTCAACCCAGCGAGAAGGACTTGCAATCTCACGTCAACAACATCCTCGCCATGGCTGAGCTCTGGAGCGCCAAGTCAGCATTTGGTCAAATCTTCTCCCCAGCCGCTCTCTCCTCCCTTCAAGCTCTCAAGGGACAAAAGAAATCGTCTCAACACCTCTCTATCATGCTCTCACAGGCCCGCCTCCGCCGTCGCCCTCTCGAACTCCACCATCATCGCCCCCTGCCCGTCCGTACCTCGATTCCCAAGTTCGAGGAGAACTTCAACCCAGACAAGCATTACGACCCAGACCGCGAACGCGCCGATGCCGCAAAGCTCAAGAAGGAGTACAAGCGCGAGCGCAAGGGAGCCGTGCGCGAGCTGCGCAAGGATGCAAACTTCATTGCGCGCGAACAGCTGCGCGACAAGAAGGAGAGAGATGCAGAGTACGAGAAGAAGTACAAGAGACTCGTTGCCGAGATCCAGGGAGAGGAGGGTCACGAGGCCAAGGAGTACGAGCGAGAGAAGAGGATGCGCAAGAGCAAAAGATAGACTGCTTTCTTGCCTTTTGTTCTCTTTCTCCTATTTCTCATCTTGTTACTTGCATCATTGTATATATACCCTTTTGTCGGGCCAATTTATGTTTCCACCTCTTCCTTTCGGTCCAATCTGATATTCATGTATTTGCTTCTCAGTCTATAATATCGTGGTAGCAGAATGCATTCTGATCGCCTCAAGCAAGATGTTGGATCGCTTGGAGAGCAACCAATCGAAGGGTTCATTGTTCAATGACCGAGTATCGGTGGGGTTGTCTTCAGAATGTACAAGCCAAGAAACGGCAACCCTGGCCGTGAAGCTCGTCCATCAATGACGTCTCACCTTTGAACAACAACACATTTCATTACACTCACTTTCACTCTTGAACAAAGAAATTCGACCAAGGACGGGACTTTCGCAACAGCAAAAATGTCAGACTTACTACGCGCACTGCCCAGCATCAAAAACCAACACAACGCACCAAACCTCAGGCCACCAGCAATGCCCTTGACAACAGCAGACGAAGGCAACTCCTCATCCTCAGACAGTTCGGCATCCACAAATGACAGCATCGACACTCTGCGTCCTTCCGACTCTACAATCCCAACACCCACACCAAACCCATGGCCCAAATACTTTGAGCAAGAACTTTTTCTCGACTCACAGACAGAAACTCAACTTGCGAAATATCATGTCTATCTCACTCCACCGAGGGATCCGGCCAAAGGACCACTGTTTATCTGTCATCACGGAGCTGGAGCCACGGGAATGAGTTTTGCGTGTTTCGCTGCTGCGGTGAGGAAAGAAATGCCTGGAGCCGGCATCTGCAGTTTAGAAGCCAGAGAACATGGATCCGCCGTCTTTAGCTCCTCTAGCAACGAAGAAATTCTCGATTTCAGCATTGAAACACTGGTGACGGATACACTCGCCATGATCGAGGGAGTCAAACAGAGACAAGGCTGGAAAGTTCTACCACCATCAGTGTTGGTGGGCCATTCTCTGGGCGGCGCAGTCGTCACCCGCATCGCAGCCACTGGCTCTCTAGGCGCCCAATTAGTCGGCTTCGCAGTACTGGATGTAGTCGAAGGCTCTGCAATCGAAGCCCTGCTGCACATGAAAACCTACCTGGCCTCTCGACCATCGTCATTCGCTTCTGTGGACCAAGCAATCAATTGGCACATCCGCAGCCGCACAATCAGAGATCTCGAGTCTGCAAAGGCCAGTGTGCCTAGTTTGTTGGTTCCCAAGGACGATCGTTGGGTCTGGAGGACAGATCTTGGACGCACGCAGCGTTGGTGGGAAGATTGGTTTACGGGGATGAGTGGTTTGTTTCTTAGAGGCAGAGCTGCAAAGGCTCTGGTGCTCGCTGGCACAGACAGACTAGACAAAGAACTCATGGTGGGCCAGATGCAAGGTAACCACCTCCCCCTCCTATTGAAAAAAAAAACTGTGTACTGCAACTAACTTCACCTCTCCCCAGGCAAATTCCAACTCACAGTCATTCCAGAGGCAGGCCACTTCATCCAAGAAGACGTGCCGGAAAAGACGGCACACCTCATGATCGAATTCTTCAAGCGAAACGATCGGAGCAGTCTGGTCCTGCCGCCAAAAGTTTCCGATCTGCTCGCCCAGGGCAAAAGGGTATAAGTAGAAAAAAGAAAAAAAAAACAACGGATGGGTTAGTGATCAGAAAAAGGCTAGAATTAAAAACAGGGATAGAATCAGTCTCCAGGCGAACCAAGTCATCCGTACTTGGATGATTTACACGGCATATTGGGGTGTGAGAAGTTGAACCTCTAGTACTTCGCTTGGGTACATTTTATGTGGAACATGTTCCTCTTATTGGATCGACACGCGATTGCCATTTGGCTGTTCACACAAATCTCACGCCTTCAGTGTGGATACATAGCATCGATCAGTGTGGAGAAAAACAGATTTGCATTCTTGTTGATCGTGAAAATAGAGAAGGACCGACCTTAATGTCATGTCCCTCCTTCGAAAGGTTTTAATCAAGAACTGGAAGGATCAACTGGATGCATTGCTCCTCCTGGGAGAATCGAAGAGCATACTGCCCATCATCATGCCCTCCCTGTTTCGAGTCATGAATAATTATGCTTTTTGCTTGTTAATCATCAAAAACTGGAATCAATCGTGACTGTCGTTGCGTGAGGCCGTATAGCAGAAAAGAGGCAGAAATTCCAAAAAGAGTACAAGAAGAGGAGTGCAGAAAAAACAGAACAATCGTAAAGGTGCAAGAAAAGCAAGAGAGAAAATCTCAAAGGGGTATCTCTGGGAAGTAGTGTGCCTCCCAGGTGGTCGTCAAAAGTCGATGCTGTACCTTACGTACTGTCGAGTGCTCTGTGTGTCGTTCTCCTGTATGTACAAGATCTGTGGTTCCGTACGAGCTTCGGTCTCGATGCTCGATTGCAGGATCAGAAGACGTCCTCGGGCCACTCCCACTGTTGTTTGCCAGCGCCAGCATCGGTCTGTTCTTCTGTCGCCTTCTCCAGCGCGGTAGGCAAGGCTGGGACTGAGCCGACACCAGGGGTGGCAGTGACGATGTGGTGCTTTTCAATAGTGACGAGCGTAGGCTTCGTGTAGACAGCGTCGGGCGGGGGCGAAGAGCGGCGTTGCGAGGATGAAGGACGTTTGTTCGAACCTCTGGAGGTAGGTCGGGCAGTTTCATACTTGTTGACGAGGATGGACTTGAGAGGGTCGGTGCGTACGTGGATGGACTCGGCGTCAGCGGTGGAGATGGCAGAGTCGTGCTGCGAGGGGACGAGAGAGTTGGTAGAGTCGACGCGTGGGGCGACAACAATGTTGTCTTCTTCGTTGATGGGATCGAGGGTGTCCAGACTTGAGCGGCCGGAAGCAAGTAGGTCGACGGCCTGGTCGGTAGGGTGATGCTTACTGCTGTCCTGCTTCTTGGTGTTGGTCTTGTTCATACTACCATGGCCGACGTCGGGTCCAGGCTGGTTGATTGCGGGCTCGACATTGGCTGCCTTTTTGCCGGTGGACTTACGCTTCTTCTTTGGCTTTTCCTTGACAAACTCCAGTTCGTCTTCCTCGTCGTCTGCTGGGGGCTTGTAAGTGCCATCATCTTTGGACGAACTCTTGCGCTTCTTGGTAGGAGTCTTCTGTGTCTTGGACTTGATGCTAGCATCGAGAGCCCTGAGTTTGGCATCCAGACTGGGACGGTTTTCAGTCTCACTTTGGTCGGCGACCTCGGAAGAGGCAAGAGCGGCTGGGTCCATGGGAGCTTGGCTGTAGTAGTCGACAGGCAAAAAGGACTGAATCTCTGAACGAGGCGTGTCAAGCACAATGACCGAGTCTCTTTGCTGTGCAGGGCTTCGCAGATGAGTCAAGTCAAACGACTGAGAGTGAGTAGGCTTCGGTCTGACGAGCGAGGGGGTGTTCTGAGCCTGAGCGAGAGCGTCTGCCTGGATGAGGCTTTCTGAAGGAAGAGAAGGTAGCTTGCTACTGCTCAGACCAAATCTAGCCCTAGTGAATTTGGATTTGGAAGTAGGAGTGAACTTCTCGTAGCGGGATGGTAGAGGTGGGAGAGGAGAGGCGTTGGTGATGGCGTTGTTCAATTCACGACGAGCGTCAGCAAGTTTGGACTCGAGATCACTGACACGCTTGTTCAGCTTGACCGCTCTGTTGAGCTCCTTCTTAGATTGAGATCGAGGGAGTGACTGCAGAGTGAGTTGGTTGTAGGCCGGCTTCTCAGGTGACATGGACGGATTTCTCTTGTCCTTGTCTTCCGAGGTGCGCAGGATAGTCTCACTCAAATTAGCATGAGAGCGGCCACGCTTCAGGGAGCTCAAGGAAGGGGCACGGAGAGAGGCGCCACGGAGGGTGAAGAACGACTTGCGCTTGTTTATGAGCTTCTCGGGAGACAGATGTCGAGGTGATGCTGGCTCTGCGGTCGGGTTGAACAGAGCAGCCAGCCGTGGTGGTGCAGCAGCAGCATCGACGGTCAAGTCAAGAGAAGTGTCTCGCGAGTGGGGGAAGTCGGCATCTGGGCGTAGACGGGCATAGGCGGCAGCGTGACGGGGAGAAGTCAGAGGCTGGCGTGCGGGCGAACCGAATTGGCTGTTTCCACCAAGACGAGGCGACGTCAGGGCCTTGTTGGGCACGACGGTGAAGTTGAACTGGCCGGACTTCTTAAGTTCCTGATAAGCCTGTTCATACATGGCCTTGTCATCCATGGCCTTGTCGTCGTTGGTTGCACGCTTGCGGTTCTCCTCAATGTTCCTAACAGTGAGATCTTCCTTGGACTCCTTCCATGTGCGCGAGAACGACTCCCATACGTTGGCCGGGTTGAAGGTCGATGCAACCATCTTGCCGAAGCGGAAGAGTCCGCCGGCCGGCTTGACAGATGCGGTCGTCGAGGGAGGGATCGAGTCAAAGGTAGGGGCGCTGAAAGGTAGGGGTGGACGAGACTCGAGCGGCTCATCCTGGAGCGGGTGGCTGACAGTAGGCTTGAGAGCATGGTCGAGAATAGGCCTGGGAGTGTGATAGACTGCGGGGGTCGAGTTCTCTTGGTGGTATTGGGTCATCAGATCGTCGACGTTGGCCAGAGTGGGCAGACTGTTGTTCGAGTGGTCGCGAGTAAAGACACTCGGAGGTTGCGCGCTGGGCTTGTCGGACATGCTGCCTTCTTGGAAGCGAGAAGGGCGCGTGTTGTCCGGGATGAAGACGTCGGCGACATGTGCCTGGCGCTTGTTGAGCGACGACAGGCCGTAGCGGGCGTCTTTGCGGCGTATACTGCGAGGCTGCTGCTTGGGCGACGGCGATGGCCGGCTGCGCTTGGGCGTGTGGCCGTCATGCTGGCCCTGGTCGTGGTCGTGGTCGTAATCGTGGTCGTCGCTTTGGTCGTGCTGTCTCTCGTCGTGATGCGAGTGCGGGTGCGAGTGCGAGTGCGAGTCGACGAGCAGATGCACGTCTGCCTCGGGCACCTTCATGGCCCATTCCATCGTACGCTTTCGCTTGCTCCCGCTGGCAACCGGCTCCAGCGCCTGTCCGAACTCGCCGTGCAGTCCTGCCTCTTCTGACATGTTGTTTGCTTCGTTCCTGCCATCAAACACGTCAGCCCATTGCAATCTGCGCCCTTTGCTGCTGCGAACAAGCGTTGCAATCAGGCCAATCCCGTTGATGCCCTTTGTTTACACTCTGGACCCCTTCGACTGGGACCTACAGTACTTCTCTGCACTTACCGTCGATCTTAGCTGCAGCTCTGCATCTGTCCAGATAGTCGAGATCTCTACTAGCGAACGATCAATCCGAGTCGTGTCTTGCAGAGTCTTGAGCACTATGGCCGAGAAAGATGTGATCCAGCGACGACTCGTTGTCCCGACACTGCCGCCAAACACAACAGAACCGCCGTTTTTCTGCGGAGCGACGCACTGGACGCAACGAGACCCTGCGCGAGACGAACCACTCATCCGCTCCGTCCTACCGCTCGTCTAAATACATGAATCATCGTCACTCGACATTGTACCTCCTGATTCACTTTGCTCCCATTCCTCTCACCTGCACTTGTGCTCTGTAATTATGCTTTGTTTTAATTGCCTGTCATGTCTATCGTTGTCTCGTCGGGTCGTTTCATAATCTCTGGTTGCTTGCGGCACTTCTATTCCTCCTCGATTACATGTCCCGCCTGTTCGCTTAGTAGCACAAAGGAGATCATCCTCGCCGTCCCGGCCCCTGTACAAATGAAACTTGGCTATCGACACTTGCCTGTGCCAATCCTGCTCCGCTATCCACCCTTTAGTCATGGCTTGGGGGCAGAGGACGAGCAATCTCGCGTCCATCTGCACGTCTGTAGCTCATCTTCAAGCTCTCCAGTTCTGCAAGCTCGCTGTCATTTCCATCGTCAGCTACCAGATGACCGTGTCCCGACACCGATGGTCTAGCTCCCTGTCTCAGGGGTCCGTTCAAGTGGCGTGTGTCAAACACACGGTCATACGAGCGCTTGCCATTGATCTGGCCGTTTTCAGACACTCTAGCCATGTCGTAGTAGTGGTTCTGAGACACTGCACTGGATGGCGGCGAGATCTCGAGCTTCGTCTGGGGGACCAGAGACGTGTTGATTGGGGGCAACACATGGGGTGCGATTGCCGATGCACCGGCTGCTGATGCCTGGCTCATCTGTCTCATCTTGGGCGTCTGCTGAGAAGTGTAGCCGGGTTGTTGGTATTGAGACAAGTATGCCTGAGGTTGGCTGCTGTGAGGATAAGAAGAGGTTTGGATCATCGAGTGACGACGGGGGTCAGCGGAGACAGGAGCGGGGACTCCGTGCGAATAATCGACACTCATGGTTCTTGCAACAGCTGGCTCGTCGTATTGGGCATGCTGTTGAGTAGGGTGCCCATATCCATAATAGGCGGCGTGCTGGTGGGCAGGAGCGGGTGCTGCAGCTTGTGAATACTGGTACTGTCCATAGTGCATCTGAGGTTGAGGAGGTTGCATTGGTGGTGGCTGCATCTGAGCTGGCTGCTGAACGTAGGGTGCGGCGTACTGATGAGCAGGGGCCTGCGAGTACTGGGGCTGTGCAGAAGGAGCCGGTGATGCTCCAGGGTGTTGAGCAACGGCTTGAGGGGGGTACGAAGCCTGAGGGTATGTCTGCAGCATGTCATGTCCGGACGGACGGCGAGAGGNAGGTGCAGCTGCAAGAGATACGTGGCTGGCAATACTGGCCGATCTTTCGCGGTTCGCGGCTTCGGCACCAGGATGAGCCCCAGCCAGATGGGTTTGGTAGGTATCAGGGGTGGCTGAATGTCTACCGCGATCAGAGTAGCCGTCGTAGTCCTTGCCCTTTTCACGTCTACGCATGCGGACTTCACGTCTGATGCGAACACGGCATCCTTGATCGGCCACAGTGCGGCTCAGCTGGGTGCTAGAAGCAAGTCCAGGGAACTTCTTGGCACTGTAAACAGTGAACGGCTGGGACTTGACTTCGAGGCGGTGGGTGATTTGCGTTTCCCCCTGGGCAGCGGCAGCTGCGGCAGCCTCATCCAGCTGGTCGGCATCCTTGGGGTCCTTCAACTCCTCGTACAAGCTGAAACCGAGTCTATACTTTCCTTCATGGCGGACAGACAGATCAGGGAAGATGAAATAGCCAGCTTGGTCGGGGCGGTCCAAGTAGACCATACCGGCAACCGGAGTACCAGTCAAGACGGTCAATCGGGCTGGATCATTGTTAGGGACACGGCCCTGTGCAATAGGACGTGCCTGTTCCAGAGTTGCAAAGAGAAAGTAGTTCGCGTTCATGGCAAAGGTGATGTCGTTTTCCTTGTGCTCTTCGCCATCATAGATTCGAAGCTCGACGATTGGTGGAGGGTCGACAGGACGACGGTCGGCAGAAGNCTGATGTCGCGTCAGTATCATAGTTAGAGTGGAAAGTCAGAGCCACGCACACTTGGCACCAGAACCGCAGGCGCGAGCACGTTCAGGCTGTTGGAGAACTTTGAGCTTGTAGAGCAGGTGTCTTCCGTCACACGTGGTGCGCGAGAAAGAGGCTACAGTCTCGTTGGGGACTGAGATGACTCTGGGCTCCATGACGGCGGTGGTAATATAACCTGACGCGTCGCAACGATGATGTGATGGAATTTGTGTTCTTTTGATGTGCAGTGTGGTCAGCAACGGTATATCAAAACTGAGTGCGGGTCCGTGACAGTGGTTTGGAGAAGGAAAGAAGGTTTGGGCGAGCCTGAGCATCCAGATGTCGAGGTAGCTGGAAACGAGCTACCATCGCGTCGGCGTGGCCATGACACTCCCACGAAAAGAAGGATGCAAGGAAGGGAAGGATATAAGGACTCACCCTTGCTGGCTGTGTACGGAAAGGGATGTACGAATTGCGTGGTGCAGGCGCGATGAATGAAACCCGAAATAAACGCTGGCTTTGAACGAGGAAACGAGTGCGTCGGTAGGACTGTGGAAGCCTGTGGATGTCTCTGGGCAGCTCCCTCGACGTCAAAGAAGGATGAGTACAAAAACGAAGAAGGACGTTCTCTCGTCCAAACAGAAAAAGGCCTCAACCCAGGGACTCGGATCTGAAGAGTAAAAGAAGGTGGGAGTCGCGGAGGAAAAGGCAGGTACAAGGGAACAAACGACTCAGATCGTCGGAGGCCTGGGCGTTCTTGCCGCACGCCGCACGCAAGCGAAGTGCTCCTTTGCCCTAAACATGGCCACTCTAACTGCCTTTGGTAAGTCTGGCTCGGCTTTCCTTCTGCCCTCGCCTCTGGGATTGCTTACATGACCCATTCCCAGCTCCTGCGAACTGCATCTCGTCCGATATCCATGACCATGGCCGGCCATTGTTGACCGCGAGGTAGGGTTCCTTGTTGATTGCTCTTGTAACATAGCTCCATATCTTCACCAGGCCGGATGCTCAAGATGTGTGGTAGACTAACGGGCGGTTCTGGCGCCTCATTGTCTGTTGGCTGCTCCCCACTGCGCACCGTCCCGTTGTGGGCCCTCTCGGGGGCTTCCCAATGTTTGCTTTGCCATGTTCGCAACCCTCAGATCCACCGGCGCCTCATCCTGCAGTAACGTCTGCACTACCACCACACAGGAATCCGGTAACCGGCGCCGTGTCAGTATTCCCGCTGAGTTCCTCCTCGACTGGAATGTGGTTTCAGGTTCATGCCCGTTTGTCTGTACCCTCGCCTATTGAGATTATCGTGCTCTACTTGTATCAAGATAAGCCTGAGTTTATACATGGAGTGCGGCCTATCAGACTGTGGACATCGACTACTCCAAGCCAAGCGAGGTAATGTAATTTGCGGAAGCAGCTTTACCCGGCTGTGCCCTTGGTGAGCGCTTCCGATATCACCCACCAGGTAGGCTGGTATTGTGTTGCTGGAGCTTTCAAACTCCTTGACCGTACAGCCAGACGAGGCACATGCAGGGAGGAGACGCGTCTAAACAGCGCGTCGAGCAGAGATAGAGAGCTCAGTGAATCATCAAGGAACGCGAAGTGTTCGTCTGGTCGCATCGCTTACAAGGTTTCGAAATAGGCGGAGAAATTGACTGCACTAAAACCTCTTTCAAGCGTAGCTCGCGGCAGACACCGCTCGGCTCCAGCGGCAGTCGTGGTAAAAGTTGCTCTGCATAACCGTGCAGGGTCTGCCAACACATTAGCGATGGACAAGTAACTACCTTTAGCCATCCACGGCTTCCAAGAGAGCGCCTGCTCGAAAGACGTTTGTGTATAACACGCCATCTCAGGCGATCTGACCAAAGGCTTACTATTGTATGCGAAATGCATGTCGGAATCGTGTCTTGCAGGCTGCCTTAGTTGATGAAAAGGAGGGTGTCGTACTCTGCGATCGCAATGCAGGCCCGCACAACATTCACAAGCGGCGAGTTGTCCAATCGACGCAAGACCCGAGAATGGCTGACACGCTCCAAAGACGAGTGGCTGGGTCAGATCGGTCACCCACCAACAAAAGTACCCATTCCAATACGTTTCCAACACGAAACGTCTCTTCGTACATGAAGAAAGGGAGGGCCTTTCCAAAATGACGGCGACATCGAGATGAGGGAAACAAGATTGCACACTTGTCATCCGGACTGTGCTGTGCTTCTCATGCATATCATATACAACACGGACCCGGCTTGTCTGTCCAAGTACAGTCTCTCTTACAAACACGACAGATTTAAATTCTGCATGGCCTGACGAGGTAGAAAGCTGTCGACGTTCTCGCATCACACATTCAAAGATATCTGTTCCGTAACGTGTATCACAGCCGAACTCGCCCGCAGCTCCACTTGTAAGAGCGATGCTGTCAGAGATCCAGAGAAGTTGGTTCATCTGTCTCGGTGTTCCTACGCATCACGGCTACACGCTTGAATACTAAGAAGATAGGTTGCATAAATGAGCCTAGCCAGCCAATCTCTGACCTCGCTTCTTTTGTTGGATCAAAGAAGCTAATAGGTATCAAGCTACACATGCAAGTCGCAAAAATTGTGATTGACACAGAAAATAAAGATGGGCGCGATCATGCACAGTTTATTTACAGCACCCCAGTAGCGAAGGACCCTCTTCTCAACAACCCTCATGCAGGAGGGCGAAAGCAGTCGATATTGCAGCAAAACACATCCTGCTGACTCTTTGATTCTGACACTCGTTCACACGTTCTTACTTGCTTCAAGAAGCGCCTCAATGCAATAATGGGGGCAAGGCTATAGCACGGAAATAGTTGATCTATTCCTCTTTGGTCTGTCTATTGCCAATCAAGGAGACCCTCGACCAGGTCTTTGTCTCCTGTCAGTGCTGGCTGTCACCTGCAACTTTAAAAAAGGTAAAAAAGAAGTCTCGACCAACGAGAGGTCTCCCTTTCTGCATCGCAAACAAGCGGTCACCGAACTAAAGCAACCACACACCTTTTCGACTCTTTCAACATCACACAGGCGCTTGGGTTCCGTCGCTTAGAGATATAATGGGTTCTCGGCTGCCCCTGGGAAAGTGACCTCAGGCCCACACCTATGTCCACACCAACCACCATAGTGCCATGTAACCGCTTGAGATGCAATCATCCAACGTCCTCGCAACCAAAAGGGTGTGATGCAGACCATCGCATCTCCCAAGGAAACAGAAAACGTCCATACACCGATAACTCAAGGTCCAGACCCATGACCTACGTTGAGCAACTTGAACACTGACTGACTCCTGGCACGTACAATGTGAAGGGTCTTGGTGGGCGTCCCACAGAAGCGAACCATGACCGTCATGTGCCCATGTTCGTCATACCGACTCTTCTCCCGCTCGAAAAAAGTCCTAGCAACAAGTGTCAATTCAATCATCTAGTAACGACGCGTGGTATATTTCGGGTTTTTCAATCCCGGGAGATATTGCTTGATCTACCATCAATTGGTATATATTTCTTCATCAAGTCCAACAGTATATCGTGGTCAGCTTTTCCAAGTCATCACACACGCACCTGCGCAGATCGACACCAAATTCAGATGTCTATTGAGTTTCCAAATGTGGTAAAGTTTCCTCTCGTCAAGGATAAGGGAACCAACGTGGTCTATCCCAATCTCTTGAACGGACTGTGTCCATATCCAATAGGCAGAGTGATGAACCCTGTCTGATCTGGGATGATCAGCGCGGACTATATCGTCCTTTCTCACACTTTGTCTCTATGCATTCAACACTACAGCCCCAGTGACTGCTGGTATCTGCACATTGTCTTTGGACAGGCAGGCAGCATTCACTGAAATTCGCCATGCACCAAACTCCTTGAATGTTGTAGTCTGAGTTGCCCATTATGATTCATTATGTATGCATCACAAGCCTTGATACAGGTAAGGAATATATCTGACGCTATGCTGTTGTCCCAGATCAGCGGTAGCAAACAATGAAGGGAGGAAACTGCGTTCGATATGCTTCGAAAGATCTCTTTACCTCGACTCCGAATCTGGGTTCTGTCTGGTCAGAAATCTTTGACATTGCATTCTCCTCGTCTCATAGCACACAGCTTGTCTGGTACACACACATACAGTGTCGATGAGCGAACATAGAAAGTGTCTTGACTATATGAGCCAACGGTCTTGCACAAAGGAAAATCAATGTGAAAGGGAACGTTATATAAGAAACATGAAACGAAGTATGTAGAGAGGGTAGCTGGCTTCACCCTATAAAAAGAAACAAGGAAAGTAGAGAAAAGGAAAGAAAAAACGCCCTTGGAAACAGCAAGACCTCCTGGTCGGAAAAACTCCGTTTTCCAACCTCCCACGTTCGTGCCAGTTTATTCATAATATGGATAAGTTTTGTTCGTCACCGGGTACCGATAACTCCGCCGAAAAGAACGGGAAAGCAATGACACGCAAAGGACGCTGTGCCCAAGCAGTCTTTGAGTCGAAGCTGTAATGCATCATGAGCGGACGTCATATGTACATATTCACATCGTTGCATCGTCGATTGCAAGATCGAATGGTGTCCCGGAGTGTCGATTGCAAAGTGCCACTGTGAGGGCACACATCTCGAAGCTCATGCATGGGTCATGTGAAAAGATCTACGCATATCGCATATCTGCGATAGAGCCCTCAAAAGGTGCTCCTTGTGCCGTCTGAAGACCTGATGCAGCAGAACCCTGTGACATCCAGGCGCTGGCAGCACCTTGTGCCAGTGCTTGCCATTGATCTGCGCGGCCTGTCTCTTTCTGGCTGTAGAATCGAAGAGCCATCTCCATCATCTGCACTTCTGAAGTCTTTCCTACATAGTTGAAGACTTGTGTTTGCCCTGGTGGGGGCGCTGTGTACTGTCGCATGGGTGACGGTGCGATTGCCACTGGCACGATCCCGTTCTGGCCTGGAGGTAGAACGCAACAAAGAGCCTTCTCGCCCCAGAAAGTGGTAGCCGTAGCAACCTGGTCGCCGAACATGACCTCCATGCCAGGTGTGAAGCCGCTGCCGTACACCGAGACCTCAATACCACCAGATGGCGGGCCTTCGGACGGTGTCACCTTGTTGATGATGGGACCAGGCCGATCTGGCTCGGCCATGGCATTAGTCATAGATGGGTTTGACATGGCGAATGGGTTTTGGCGATTTGGCATAGCGTTCGCTCCGCCATGCGCTTGTTGTCTTTGGAAAGCGGCCAAGTTGGGCCCGACCAATACAGGACTTGGCGCTCGGCTCTGGTGAGCTGAACTTGGGGCAGAGTAGAACGCTTGATATGCAGCGCCGTCCATGCTGTTTGTTCGGTTCAGAGCAGAGAATGGGAATGTGGTGGTTTCAATAGGAGTTGATGGACCTGTGTGGAAGTGGGCACGCGATGCCGAGTGCGGCATGGTGATATAAGACGGATCGTTATTGCTACCGATAAAGCCGGCATTGGTAGGCGAAAAGGGCGCCTGAGCGGTGGGTTGAGCCATCTGCTGGTTCGCCTCCATCTTGGTCATGGTAAGCGTACTAGGGATTCTTCGATGGGCAGATGATGATTTGCGTTTCTTGCTGGGGCCTGCTTGACCTGCGCTGGTAGGTGAGCCAGGACGGGACAGATTGCGTGGTGTCATTGTTCCGGGAGTAGTGGCTTGTGAAGGGGNGAATCCTTGCATATGCATGTTGTTAGGCTGATGGAACTGTTGGCCACCGTAACCAAGGCTTTGCAGGTTTCCCGTCGATTTAGAGACAGACATTGCAGGCATGTGAGAGTGCAAGTCAACCATCGAATGCGAGGTAAAGGGAGCCTGAGCCGGGAATTGGCCGTCGTACCATACCTGGCCAGGCACGCTCGACATGGGGTGCGTCTTGTGGTCGTCGGTGATCAGGATCGAGTCAGATATGTCTTGGGCCACGACATTGCCTTGGTAGTCCTTGATGGTAAAGATGACCTGGAAACCATCCTTCTCGTTCTGGTGGCGGCAGTAGCATGCAATGCGCATGGGAGCCACAACCTGCATCGCAGTCTCTGGTGGGCGGAAGTAATCAGAGGATGTGACGCTGTTGTCCTTGGGCGCTGGCGACTGCTGCCAGTCTTGCCATGGTTTGTACTCATTGGTGTTGAAGACAATGACGCGCTCCGTCTCATACTTCTCCCAATGTGCTTGCTCTTCCTCCTTCTTTAGCTTCTTGCGTGCAGCTCTCTTGCGCTCACGGTTAATGCAATTACTGCAGATACGCACTTCTCCGCCATTGGCCGGCTTGTCGTTCTCGTCCACTTCCTCTTCGCCTGCCTTCTTCCCCGCATTCTGGCCTCGTACCTGGATCTGAGCATTGTCCTGCTGCGCTGCTTGATTCATGGCTTTCTCACGGAGGTGAGGTTGGTTCATGGCACTGGTGCATACAAGCATGGTGTGTAGCTCGAGTGTGTCTTCGGCCAGATGGACTTCCTTGGCTAGCAGTTTGGCCTTTGCAATAGTATGAGTTGGCAGATGCAGCATCTTGACGCGCGGCGGCAGATAATCCATAGTCAAGCGAATGTTGATTTGTGTCTCGACTCGAGATTTTGCTGGGATGGGTGCGACGTGCAGAGGGATGCGGTCACCCTGGGCTGTAGGAGGCTTGGATACTGCCGGCCTGGGAGCGTTCATCACGGGTGAAGGCGTCATGGCGAGAGCGCCGGGCGATGCGAAGGCATGAGCATAGTCATTGTTCCACGCAGGGTTTTGGTTTTGTGCCGAGTTGTTCCACATCTGGTTTGCGTTGAACATGTCATTTCCTTCCGAGGAAGGTGTGGGGTTGTTGAACATGGCGTTGGGCGAGGCCTCTTGCGTTTGTGATGCCTTGACCGAAGCCGGCGATGCGGTACTCGAACCAAAGAAGAAGTTAGACGGCTCGAGGGTCCCAGNCCTGCGCATTGAGTTAGTACTGACTGAATATTCGACACAGATTTAGGGGCATACCGGTGGTTCGGGCTTGATGTGCATGTGATGAGAATAGTTACGGTCAACCATGTCCATAGGCTGGCCGCCAGGACTACTTGCAGCGCTGCCAAAGTGGTTGGCAAAGTCTTGTTCTAGAGAAAGATTGTGTAGAGAGTGCAGCGAGGCCATGTTAGTAGTGCTGCCGGCATGAGAGTGCATCATGGGCTGTTGTTGTTCGAGCTTGATAGCCTCAAAGTTTCCTGGCGGAGACTCGGAAGTGGCCGAAGTGTTCTTGCGCTTTTCTGCCACTCGTCTCGGAAGACGAGTCTTGCGACGAGCTCTCGGCTGAGCNNGCGACGAGACTAGCGATCGCGAGTTATACTGTTGGTGTGAGTGGGCGTGCTGGCCGTCGTCGGTCTTGATGTGGTAGCTGGGGCTGTCGGCTTGCACGGTCGCGGCCGACATGTCGAACAGGCGAGCGCCATCGAAGGGCGACTCGGCGGCGGCGCCCAGGTTGTCGTAGAGATTGGAAAAGGAAGGGTCGTCCCACATGGACATGTCGGTGTCCTGGACGACGTGCGGGTTTGGATCCTGATCCATGACTGGTCCGGCGCGGTCGGTGGTGCGAAGCGACTTCGCGGGGTGGGTGGGGGAGGGGCGTGAAGGGCGACGAAACGATTGTGGGCTGGTGGGTGTGGTGGTCTCAGCAAGTAGGCAACCAAGTTCCGGAGTCGCGAGTATTATCAGAGGCCAGTTCAGCTCGCGCAGGGCATGGTGTGTCCGGGTGGTCGTGTACTGGTCGGGAGACGCGGTGCCAGTCGTGCAAGCGGCGGGCAGCGGGCAGCGGGCGTGCACCTAGTGGCTGTGTGTCGCAAAGGACGATCGCTATGTTGCGGCCGTCAATGTCAGTTGCAAGAGCGAGGTCGGTCGGTCAGCAGCCAGCGACAGGTCGAGCGCAGGGCAGGAGGATGCAGGTCGTGTGTCAAGCAAGAGCGAACGGCAGCCGGCGAGACCTGTTACGAGCAACTAGCAGCAACGCTGGAGTGCAGGCNNCCGGCGGCGGAGTACTCGGTGCGCGTGCGCTGTGCAGCCTTCCTGCTCAGTGTGGAGATCTCAAGTCTTGGGTATCCTCAGACCTATCAAAGCCAAATCTGCCAATATTCTTCTCTGTCCAACCCCTCGAACATTCGTCTACCCTGCTGCTAAGTACTCTCGCTCTCTGTCGTCCTCGATATCAACCACTCTCCAGCTTCAGCACTCGAGACTCGACGTGACGNNACGACTCGAGTCCTCTCTGTCTTCCAACTTCCCGCTCGTCCAACTTCCCCTCGCGAATTCGTCATGCACGCCAAGCNNTGTCCGAGCTTTGCGCCTCCCACAGTCGNNTTTAGTCGTTCATAAGAACCGCTGCAGCAGTCGCTCTCTCGCGTTTATTATTGTTTCTGAATATCTCTTCAAGCAAACCCATTGTTGTCTGCAGCACTATGCAACTCTCAGTTGCTTGCATCCTGTTTCCTTGAGAGCTTTGGTATCCACGNNTCGTGCCAATGCCTGCGTGTCATCTTTCCATATTCGGTACTTCTGCTTCGGTCTTCTCCGGTCCCGTCACCAAGTACAGTACCGAACTTCCTTAGGACCCGCCATCTTTCCCAGCCCGGCTGCTCTGACTTCCTGCCCTTATGCTTTGGAATACAGGAGCAGTAGACAGCGGGTGTTTGGACATGACATGTCACCTCGCGGCATGCCTCTCGTTTGAGTTTCGGATGTGCCTAGCAAAGCACTGTAACGGTCCGAATATATAGACAGCTGTGCCGTGACTCGCACGGGGATCTGCAATCCTACGAGGTACCAGCGCATAAGTACCTCTGAGGTTGAAGTGCCACTGCATCCCGATCACGACACTTTCCTGCGTGGTAATATCTGTCTCTTGTTTATCCTTATCCTAGTCCTGTCCGTTTGGCAGACCCCACTCTTCGAGCAGTTGCTGCATGCGATATTCTGTCGCCCATCCCGTCTCTCGCTGGATGCTCTGCAGTAAATTCAGCACGCAGCCACGCATAGCATCAACCTCATCCAGCGAATTGCCTTCACCAACCGCAGTTATCCTGGCGGTGGAATCTCGCATGCCCAATACCTGACCAGCCGTGTACAAAGGCTGAACACTGTGAATCCTCGCGCTGTCGTTCTTCAGACCAAGGCCGATGCTAACAATTTCCTCGGCGTGTTTCCTGCTCTGCCGCAAGATGGATGCGTACGATGCGTGCCGCTGAGCTAGAGACCACGTATTACCCTTACTGCTTGTACCGGGTTGCTTGATGTGCTTTGTGCCCGTCGATTCATGAGGTTTGTTGAGGAGCAGCTGGATCTTTGCAAAGTGGAATGATTGCATCGTTGATGCACACATGGGCCGAGCGAACCATTTCAATGGAATCTTGGTGGCACTTCTCACATTGTNTCTGTTGCAAAAACAGGTCAGCTTGCGTTCAATGTGCGGTCAACTCATTAGGCTTACATTTCTCTTGTCGGGCCATTCTGTCGCGCTTGGTTTGAAGCTATGTGGCAGTCCNNCTGTAGAAATACTATATCAGCATCCACGACTCGAAGCGGCCGGTTTAGTTCTTACCTCGAACCATATATCCAGTTGCTTTTCCAGCCCCTGCCAGTATTCTAGGAGTGCTATCTGTCGAACACCCAAGCCCATCTCATGTGGAAACTCGTCACCAGCAGAAATAAAATTAACCAGCTTCATCATGAGCCAGATCAATGCATTTGATACCATGTCGTCGGCCATCGGCTCATGCACTGCAGGATCGTTAGATGGCGAAATGTATCCCGACTGTGAGATGTGCAGTCCAGCAGATCGCCACATGGAAAGGTCGGTTGTATCTAGTCTAGTGTTGGTATTGTTTATGACTGGAAGCTTCATTAGCATATTCCAATCCGATCTGTGGCATGTCATAACTCACANGGCGTTCAGCATCTCTTGTCGACAGATATTCCAAAATACAGCCCGACGCCCCTTTGTAGATGTGTTTGGCCGTAAGGTAAGCATTGGGCTATGATCTGGGGCAGTGTTCGACAGAGGCATTGTACCGTCTTTCGCGATATCGAACAAACTCTTAGCACCGTCCAGATGCCTCGACCATTCTATGCCTGATGCATCGAGAAATTCAAATACACACAGGATGGCTGTTGTGGCAATCATTTCATCAGAGTCCGGCCGAGACAAGACAGGCGGAGACTCTGAGCGATGATTGACGCCCAGTCCCATCACAGCGTCTATTGGTAGTACGGCCGTGCTTGGTGATTGTCGACCAACAGATACTTGTCTGGTTTCATTCTCCAGTGCTTGTCTGAGTAGCGTGATCGCTTGGTCGTAGTAGTATCGAGCCTTGTGAGACCACTCTGCGGGGGTTCTCTTGGAGCCGGAACCTTTTGGGTGCTGTGACGTGATTCTTGTTCTTCCTAGAGCTTTGGCCGACAATGCAATGGATGCGTATAACAGTAACGGACTAGAAGCTGCTTTTAGGGGTACATCAACTGCAAAGAACGATCCCAGATCAAACAAGTCCATCCATTCACCCGGACCTTCTGAGAAGTGACGTAGTAAGAAGGGCACGTCCTCGTCGCTCTTTGGGTCGAAGTCACCTGGTCCAGAGTCTGACTGGGGCTCGAATAGATTCATGCAGGTTTCTGAAAGCTCAGTATCAAGTCTTGGATCTATACGTGGCGAGAAAGAGCCCGGTTCATCCATTCGGCGAGCAGAGTTTTGGAGGTAATGGTCGCCTGAAGCTGCAGCAGACAATGCCTCTAATCCATGGGTCGAACTTGGCATAAATGGATAAGGATACTCGGTTGTGGTATTCCAGGAGAGGTCGATCCGCTGTTCTGGTTCAGCAGTCTCTGAGACTGTGTGGAAGTGTGATGTATCCGGCTCAGTGTAGGGATTGGTGGTATGCACGAACGTAACNNTACCTGATGTTAGTAGGTGTCTTGAGTTTCCCGAGTTCAGGTTGCTCACGGTTACGGGGATGGCCACCCAGACACTGTCTTTGCCGAATGTTTCCTTGTATCCATAGAAGCTCTTGAGTCCACCATCAACATTACTGGTGCTCGATCCATTCATTGATGCATTCTGCTGATGTCTGAAGACAACGCCTGGACTAGGCACGCATTGACGACTAGCCTTTGTGCATTGTCCGCATACTGAAGTAACACTTTGTCAGCTGTAGTTGACTTCCTGAACATTATCATCGAGGTTTTGTGTAGCCTTCTACTAACTTCATTGCGGTGTGGGGGCTGGCAGGAGGTGTGCACGTAGAGGTAAAGGTACACGCTTCGATGGGAATGAGCTTTCGGTCCATGACACTTACTTGGCTTTTGTTCATCGCACTTGAGCTATGAGATTGTCAACAACAATCTGAGGTTGTCTGAGTGAAAGAAGCGTACCTTGCGATTGCGACATGTCAAACTAGCAGGACCAGATTATTAGCCATGCGAAACCTTCGCCTTTATGACAATAGACAATGCACTCACCATCCAGTTCTTGACCGCATTGTGAGTTCTGGCTTTACCAATCATTGTTTTCCGTTAACAACATGCGCGCTCGGATGTAAAGAAGGTTGAGAGAACGATGAGTGGGTGGAGGGATGGGACTGAATCTGGAGAGGTCAGGGTTGTCCTGATAACATAATTTAACGATTGAATATGATCCTCGTACTATCACTAGAGCTAGTGAGATCGATAGCCTCAATATTTGGAAAACTCGGAGTCCTTATGGTGCACCAAACATGTATTTGACTGGACTGTGTGGGTTGTGCTTGTTGCAGCGTGGTGCGATATGTTTTCTGTATGAACGTGCGAATCGTGCGAACCGCAACACCCAACAGATCGAGTGCAAGCAAGACATAACATCTAGCCACATATTGTGACTTGATACACACGAACAGACAGCTTCTATCCTTCTTTATTGTTCTGATGATAGTACATCGAAGATACTTTGTTTTCGTTATGTAAGTAGCAGTAATTTCTGCATCTCCTCGTGGATGCCTCATAACACCCTTGTCTCCAAAACGCCTACGCCATGCCGAGCTTTACCAAAAGATGACCGAGGACAAGTGTCATAGGGCCGCAGCAACTACTTTGCCGTCTTTGCCTTCTTTTGGGAGGCTCCACTTTGTTTTCCGCATCACTTCCTCCAGCATCGGCCATCTCCTCATCACTGTCGCCACTGCTGTCGTGGGCACTGTCGTACTCCTCAGCAACATCGGATTCAGACTCAGTGTGGAAGTCTTCGTCGACAGATTCATCGTCTTCGTCGGCTGAACCACGAGCGGCAACGACTTCATCGTCTGAGGAATCCAAGTCACCATCTTGCAGCACGGCTGCCATCAAGGCACCTTCTTCCTCCATCTCATTCTTAGTTTTGATGCCCTTCAGCTGGAAGAAGTTCTCCAATGACTTTTGCTCTTCACGGTTGATGTTCGAGAATTGGTGCTCACCACCACCCTTGAGCGAAACGGATATGTCAAAGGTACGGGAAGCACTCACGGCGCCACCGACTCTAGACATAGTGATGGCGGAGACGTTGTCAAAAGCGATGTAAGTAGCAGGCTTAGGCACGAAGAGGAAAGCGCGTTCCAAACAGAAGAGATGACCCTCGTTGGCCTTGACCGAGCACTTGACACCGGACTGCTGGTGGTGCGAGTTGTAGTCGCGACTGGGTTGCAATATCTTCTTTCCTGTCAAACCGAGGAAGATTTTTGAGATGACAGTGGCGATGGGTGCCTCGTAACGAGGTTGCAGTTTGCCCTTGTACTTGTTCTCGAGATCTTCTTCTGTCATGTTAAGATCGAGGACAATGTCCTCTTCGCGCTTGAATTGCATGACCAAGAAGGGGTAGCGAGTTTGACCCTGGCGTAGCGGAGGATCAAGGCCAACACAGATGAGCTGGTGGACGTCGTCGGGCTTTGGGAGAAGGAAGAACTTCTTGATGGAATCGTACTGGATCTTGTAGTCGTAGGTCTTGCCACGAAGACGGAGGGAGCTCTCGTAGAGGTCGATATCGAAGCGTCCACGGGGAGTGAGGTGCAGAATATCGAGGAAGGTAGCGAAGGTAGCGCCGGCAACTTCGCCGATTTCTGCTTTGTCCATGAGCATTTCGTAGAAGAGGTTGGCTGCGTTTTGCTGGTCGTCCTCGCCGTCAGCCTCGCTGCCGTCTTCGTCGCCCTCTTCCTTCTTCTCCTTGCGGGTTGCTGTTCCAGGGATGTAGAAGCGCATCTCGACCATCTGGTCGACCGAGCCGCCAGCCTTCTTGCCCCTGCCTCTTGCACCTCCAAGAGCGCCGTTCGTACCCGTCTCGTCGCCATCGCCAGGAAGTGAGAATTCGACAGCGACCTCGTTTTTGCCAGCGAGGTTGGTGTTTGAGATTTCGGTATAGGGGATCTCGAAAGCGGGTTGGTTGCGCACGTTGAAGGCGAGTTCGGCCTTGCCAAAGTCGGCCTTTCCCCAGTTCCAACCGCGCAGGGCATGCTCTTTCTGTTCGAGGTTGATGCTGTACCACAGCTTGAAGCATCTGGACAAACGGTCGTAGTCNNCTGCGGCAGAGTTAGCTTTGTCGAAGCGCGACGATAGACGTATCAGGCGGCGTACATCGAGCATGAAGCCATCCAACTGAATGACGCCGGAGTTCCTTGAGTAGATCTTGACTTCAAAACCTCTTGCAGCTCTGCTCCACTGTGATGAGATGATCTCGGCCTTGTCAAGGGTGAAAGTGTCGCCAGGGCCCGATGGTTTCCAACCTAGACCAGACTCGGCAAAGCGACATTTGCCAGTCTGCTTGGAGAGATCGAGGTAGATGTTGTCAAAAGTCTCCCTGCAACACATGCGTCAGCACCTGTATCGCTGTCTTGGCGTGCATCGCCGCAGTCAGTGTTTAAAGTGCGGCAGCGTTACTCACATGATGGGCAATTAATTTGGTGTGTAGTGACGAAGGCGCTGCTGTAAGCCTCCTCGGAAAGTGCGAGAGGACAGAGAAGAAGCGGCGGCGAAGCGAGCTTCGAGAGAGTTGCGCGGCGTGTTGAGGCACAGATCAGAGCAAGCTCGTCGTCGGTAGAGGCAGTGAAAAAGCCGCGAGAACAATGTACACAGATAGAAAGGTGTAGCCAAGGCAGTTGTTGATGGACGGATCTAGCCTGCGCAAAGAGAATCCGTCGCGCTCTTGCGCGTGTCGTCGCGCGCCAAGGGTTCATGTGAAAGCTGTATCTAAATAGGCATCTACCATGATCTCTTGCCATTTTTCAACACCATCTGATTGTGATGGTCGAGTCTTGACAGCAATCACTCTGATAAGCATGTTCTTTCAGTTGCAGTGACATGATGCCAGAAACTCAAGTCATGGTTTATTCGCTATCTAGAACCAGCTCTGGGATCCTCCCTGTTAACAACAAATCGTCCTTGAACCCCCATTAGCTGAATGTTGCAGTGTTGCTTCGTTGTTGGACACAGCGCTGACCGCACGAGGAGCAGAAGCGCAGCAGCTTCCGCAGCTCATACAAGGCCTGTTGAATCATCATGTTGGCCAAAAGCGTCGCGATAGTCGTCGAGCTGTCTGCCCAAGCGAGCTTATATGTCAACAAGAGCTTCCGCAGATTACGAAGCAAGATCTCGACCAGATTTTCTGCCGTGATTGGTCACTGGATAAGCCTAGATCGACCGGACTTGATCCTTGTGCATATTGTCAAGCCAGTCAATCCCAGTCCACGCGCTGCGCCCGCTCTCCAATCTGGACCAAAACAGAGCACATCATTCCATGCTCAACCAGAGTTGGCACCTATCCGAGCATGGTACATGTACCTATCACAAGTCCTGCTGTTCTTGTATCTTGACAAATCCTCCGAGCTCCCAATGCAGCCTGCCATGCCATCCTGGACTCAGGCACACCGCGTTCCCCACGTGTCGAACCCCAAGTGGTGTCTGTCAAAGTTGCGATCCCTGAGCTGAATGGCCCGCTACGGCAGCCTTGTACATGTGCTTCCAAGGGGGTGCAGCGAGTTTCAAGGGAGGTCAAGATGCCCCCTCTAAATGCAGGAACATCAATATTATCCCGACTCCAGAGTCTATTTTTGCAAAGTCTCTTGTACACAGTGCTTTGACTTGTCTGTCGCAGCATCATTCCGTGTATGATTGTCAGTCAATCTGTGAATCCTCATTCGGGCTAGCCAAAACCACAAGGATACTTCCAAGTACTTGGCCGGAGTGTCTCTCGAGTCTGAATCCTTCCGCTGATTTTATTGACAACTCAACCTTATAAAACGACCGTGAGAAGAGGATGTACTCGAGTACTTGCTTCTCCACATGCATGAGCCCTATGCAACTCACCCAAGCGAGCCATATGCCTGCTCTTCTGGAACTGTATTGGGAGTATATTATTGGGAAATGATCGCACGAATATGACCGAATCCATCGGTACTTCTCGTCGCATCCGCGTTCGTGGTCTGGACGGGTCATTACCAACAAGAAGTTGCTGCTTTGTCCACTATGAGACGAGTGCAAGATGCAAGCGAGTCTGCGAAAGTCCATGCGCACTTGGAAGGACCGGCCGTCCGATGACGGCTACCATCTTTGTGCGGCCATCCCAACGCCGTAAGCTCTGGCACGTCTATGAGCTTTCACAACTAGTCATTCGCACCGGTGTCAAGGTGTTCTGGACAGCCACTATGGCTTCCATCTCGCGTGCGACTGCTGAACCTTGACGAATTCTGGGGTTGAAGTCTCTTCCCACGAGATTCACATGGCCTGTTCGAAAACGGTTGGCTTCCATCGCCCATCATTTGCCGGAATGGGAAAGATCGCCTCCCCGTGCACGGATCGTTGCTTGGGTGTTCTTCCCTAGAAAACGTGCCTAGCCCTCGCGCGCTCCGGAACGCCAGTCTTTAGTCGTTGCGCCATTCGGTATCATTGGTGTGCTTCTCGCAGAATGCCCTTCGAAAGTGGTATAGCTCGCTCGGTGACNNCTCCTGCCAATTGCTGCCACGGCACTAGGACATATCCGACACCAAACGGTCGGGGAGGCCATGCAGACTGCTGGCGCGACAAGCCTGCACCAGAAGGAAATTACTGTTGCATGTCAAGTGAAAGCATTCTTGTCATGAATCCCCTCGTGTTCTGCGGGTCGTGCTATCCCGACTTCTGGCAACGAGATCGTCTCCCGGCATTCTGGATGGGCTGGAGCCGGACAATAATTGAGCGNNGGAGCAAACGAACCCAAATCATCGCATCTGACGCTGNTATATCGTCACTCTACTTGCTGCCAGACGGACAGATCTGCAGCCANNATGCCAGCCATCAAGTCCACGATCCAATAAACTTTGTGCAGCGACGCCACGGTGTAGGTTGATAAGCCTCATCAAACCGTAGGGCAGAAGCGACAGCGCCCATTCCTTTGGGTAGACCTTGACCAGGGTCCACTGACTGAGTCAAAAACAGTATGTGGTTCGTGTGCTGCGGTTCCGTTTCTGGAGGCGCAAAGACTTCCACATGCCATCTGGTGAGCCCAATGCGAAACAGATAAGAGCTCATGCTCGCCCCCGAAGCGAGAAGATCACAGTCCAGTCCCCTTGATATTCTCCTTCTATAAACGAGTTCAGCTGTGTTTTTACAATCAAGGCAGGCCTCGAACAGGAACGAGCTTGAGCTTCAGACAACCGCTCCTACCAACTGCGTCCCGCCTTTCCCCAATCGGTAAGGTACCCAGCTGTCTCTTGGAGGATCTTCCGGTCCATCACTGCATTTGTCCTATCCTCGGATATCTGCACCCTATCATTGCGAGCAGATCGTTCAGTGCGGTTGCTTGATACGGGAAGTTGATTCCATTTCTTTTTCTTCTTGCCTAGTAAGTCTTAAAGAGGATGGTTAAAGCACACACTTAACAGATGCTTACCCCATCTTCAGGAACCTCTTGATCTTTTGTGGATTTTCGCCTCTGATACCAGTCTGCTGGGACAATCAATCATCCACACAACAAAGATCGACATGCTGGCTTTCAGTCCTTGCCCTATCAACATGGCGACTACACAAGAAGAGGAATATCCTCTGTACGCATTCTCTGGGCTTCCAACACATACACCGACTTACCAATCCGGCCACTTTGCGATGCCCCAGGTCGATAGCAGCTTCAACTCATACAACATTGAGCAGAACAGTGTTTCTGAAGCACCCTCCAACTACATCCTAGAATCACATAACTCCTCAAAGTACACAAAACACAGTGTACAGCTTTCGACACCTCTCTATTCGCCGACCAACACCTCTGCTAACTACTTCGATCTCCGACCAAACCGTTCGGTCAAGTCCGAGTCGGCTGCTTCGATGCTTTCCTCGTCCAGAGGGTCTCCCTTGATGGGGTTCGAGTCATCCTCGGCCTGGACTCCGGTACACGGAGTCGGCTCCAGCGTCCTCCATCAAGGACAGCTCAATCATCAGATGCTTGTCAATGATACTTTCAACTATGCTGCCCTCTCACTGCCCGAGAAGCCGGGATGTGTTGGTAAGCTTTACATACTCTTCCGCGCGTCAACCAACATTCTAATCTCTGCCTGACANGACCCTACCCTGATTCAACCCCTCTCGCCCACTCCACCAACAACGCAGATGCAGTCTGACTCCAAGCGTCTGTTTCCTCACCCTCCATCTCCGGCACCATCATCAGTGCACTCAAACAGAAGTTCGGGTGTTCTCAGAACCGGCTCAATACGATCCAACCGACCAACCTCCCCTTACGTCCCATCACAGTCATGGAACCCCTATCCCTTATTATCATCATCAAGGCGCCAGTCTGTTTCTTCGGCACACTCACACAACTCCCGTCAGAGCCAGTCCTCGTTGGACTCTGAGGAGAACAAGGGTATCTGTCCTATTGCATCCTGTGGTAGACACATCAAGGATTTGAAAGCACATCTGCTCACCCACAAGAATGAGCGACCCGAGAAGTGCCCTATTACCTCATGCGAGTACCACGTCAAGGGCTTCGCTCGAAAGTACGACAAGAACAGGCACACTCTGACCCACTACAAGGGCACGATGGTCTGCGGTTTCTGTCCAGGAAGCGGCAGTTCCTCAGAGAAGAGTTTCAATCGTGCCGACGTCTTCAAGAGGCATCTTACCTCGGTACATGGTGTCGAACAGACCGCACCCAATGCTCGTAGGAGAAGTGGTGGAAGCTCAGGCTCTAAAACTGCCCACAACAAGATCGGCATCACTGGCATGTGCTCAACTTGTGGTGTCGCGTTTGCCAACGTCCAAGACTTCTATGAGCATCTCGACGACTGCGTCCTTCGAGTCATCCAACAAGGTGACCCTTGTGAAGCCATCAACGAGCGAATCTTGAGCTCGATGGTCGATGACCAACAAGTCAGAGACACCCTGGGTAGACACTCTTTGAGCAGCCCTTCGAGCCTTACTGGCCCCCTCGCCTTTACCGATGAAGACGAAGATGATGAGGACGAGGAGCGACACATCAAGAACGAGATGGTCTCTCCTGTCCTTTCCAAGAGGAGCGTCAACGATACAACTCGCCAGGGAATGACCTACTCCAAAGGCGGCGTTTCTCTTCACTCTGTTACAAAGAACAACAAACGCCGCAAGGACTACCCTCCTTCTTGGAACGCACCCCCAGAGAAGATGAAGATGAAGAAGAGAGTCTTGTGTGTGTTTGATGGGCCGCGAAGACTTTGGAAGGATGACCTGATGCTCGGTCTCGACAACCAAGTGCGAGAGCCTCTCTCTGGTAGAAACTGGGTCACCAGCCTGGACGTTCAAACTCTTCGAAGGGCTGAGGGCATCCTCGAAGCGACAGAAGAAGAGAAAGGCTCATGGTTGGACGAGCAAGGTAATCCCTTCCTTTTCGCAACAGCCTTTTGATCATCACGATTTGATCTTGACATGAATTTCCCTTTGTATTCTGGTGTACAGCGAGCGCTTGGAGTTTCTGGCGCTACATGAAGTGCTCATAGATATACCGTCGCTGCCTCTTTCTTCATGCTTGATACCACTTTGTTATTATACTACAGCTGCGAACTTTTGTCCCAATCTCTATTTAGACAATTTTCAACTATTTTTGATCCAACAGTCTATCCCATCCCGAATTTCTTACTATACCCTTCCACCATACGACCAGAGCGAAGCCCGAGGCCTGATGAGTGAGTAAGCTGATCGACAGGAGCCCTATCTGGGTACGAATGCCGACGTACAATAGGCCGTTATAGACTCCAACGTGGTCTCAGGGGCGAGGTACAATTAGCGACTTTCTAGAACAAGTATTCCTATAAGAGACAGTGGCTTGTTCAAAGCCAGCTGACCCTCCAGCGACTTTTTGTCGATGTACAATTTTATCGAACCTTTGTTTCGAAGGATTGTGCACGACTGTTGATGGGCAGATGCAAAGGAAGAGAACGTTTCCGGGGGAGAGAGGGGGCACCGCAGGCTCGGTTCCTCCTGCATCTTGACAGAAAAGGCACGCAACTACTGGACGAACTGCCGCTCCACGCGAGGAAATCGGTTTCTAGGCAGCGTGACATGCCTCTGTCGTCCTTATCAGTTGCTCTGTCCCGACTCCCGCGCCAAGTTCCTTTGACGCATGTCGGAGCGTTTGTTCCTGATTGGGACAAGTTGCGAAGTTTACTTGTACGTTTTACGGAGGACGGTGCGTTGCATGCCATGGGTCGTGCCGCTCTCTGGGTTTGGGAACGAAGGAACATGTCTCTCCGTACTTTCTGTCGAGTTACACAAACCCTTTCGAGACAAGTTTAATGTGCCGCGAGAACCGAACGGCATCCGTCGCTGTGTTGATGAAGGTTTCAGGGACCTTGCACTCGACTCAACAGACTTCGTGCGTGTTCATGTTCACCTTTCACTTAGTATGGCAAGCGGGGGCTTGGACGAAAGAGTCACGCTTTCCTCAGACTCACACTTTCCTCGGCTCGAAGGCTCACTTTGCTGTGTGAGTGCGTCGCTCTGAAGAGCTAACAAGAGCATGTCTTGCTTCACAACACAAGTGATGCATCAATCATTGATAGGCTCATACCATCTCTGATACCGTGACCGTCGCAGCTTATGTGAGAAACCAGGATATCTGGGCTCAACTCACTGCCGCCGGTTTCTTTTTGATAAGATACGCATACTTTCACATCATTTGGACACTTGAGCAAAACATTGAACTAAACAACACGATGCATCTCTACGACAGGATACTTCCTGAGCTGCACATTCCGGCCGCTGCCCGTTGGATACGTGTGCTCTAGGCGAACAAATCTACGAACATGTCGTCAAAGAAAACATGCAGAATGGCTACAAGGTCTTGGACTCACCTAAGATAATTCTAAACTACGACCACATGTGTAAGGCCCGCTGGGATTTTTGGCAGCAATGCTTCAGCGACTTTGCGAACGAAAAAGGAGACGCAGATGAATTGACCAAGAAGGAGGCGAAAGCTGCGATCGAGCACATGGAAGCTGTTGTCAAGGACTGGGAAATGAAGCATCGAGGAGAAGTTGAGAGAGTCAGATCCTGACGGTTACCTGTTTCCAGGTTCGGAGATGTGGAAAGGTACACTGGGAAGGCCGAAGCGGAGAGCAGGATTACTGGCGAAGCGGACGATGATCAGCGCGATGGAGGCCTTGATATCGTAGTCATCGAGGCGTAAGCACCGAGAAGCCTGCATTCGAAGGCAGGGCATTAGTATAATCACTAGAGACGGAAAGGCAGAGAGAAATGGAATGAAGCAAGATACCACCTGAACATGGCACGAACACGAGCGCCCATTACTACAGTACACGCACGAAAGGGCAAAGTTCATGAGGAGACATTATGTTTAAATTAGGCCATCAGCATTCATGACATATATATTATCATGTCCTTATCTGAAACAGAACAATCAAAGAAACCAAACGAAATCAAACTTGTCTTCGTTCAGACATGCCAGAGCTCTCGAAACAAGTAACATAACACAGCAAAAAGACAGATCATTTTCTGGCAAAATCTGCATCAACAAAGCAAGAAAAAATCAGACGGTAGCATCAAGATACTCTCAATGAGTTTCTCAAGAGGAGGGTGCGAAGTTGATGACTTTCACCTCGCTGAAGGTCAGGGAAGCCACGTGTGTGCTGCCGTCCATGACTTCCAGACCTTGTTCCTCGGTAGTCAAGGCTTGGGCGTCACTGCCGACTTCGAGTGTAGGCACATCTGAGACTTGCTCAACAGGTGAGTGCTGTTCGGCTCTGGCCTTGACAACGATCTTTGTACGTTTAGCCTGGTTGGTATGAGCGGCTGAGTCTTCCTCCATCTCTTTGTCTTTGCTTGAAGAAGCAGTGACACGCTTTCGCTTCTTGGTGATGCGTGCTTGTGATTCGACATCTTCGGAATCAGTGCTGGTGGACTTCTTGCCTTTACTCAGCCTCAGTATGATCTTTGAAGGAGCCGAAGGGCCGCTTGGGCTGGGGGACTCGGTATCGATGGTTCCTTGCTTGGGAGCGACAGAGACGTTGGTCGAAACGGGGCCAGCGGTAGACGTATCAGCCTTGGGTACTGAAGCGGAGATGGTGTTGATGGCTTTGGATCCACTAGAAGGGGGCAGAATATCCGTTGAAAGAGGGCTAGGTGTAGGTGTACTCTCTGGTTCATTGGCTCGATCCGAAGCAGAAGCAGGTTTGGTCGGCACTTTCATAAGCAGAGACTTCTTGAGTGCAGGACGACGTTTCTGCTGGACTTCTAACTGCTCTTTGTCGTGCTCACGCATCTGAAGCAGAGATTCGAAGGCTGGCAGATCCTCGATGTTGCCGTCTGCCAATTCAGTCTCCAGCCAACCGAAGAGACTGCGAAGCTCGTCTGTGGTCTTGTTGTTGCCCCCGAATCGATTTTCGAATGTGATGGCGAAGAGTACTGGTGTGTTGCTGGCTCTCTTGACGTCCGAGCTCTTGTCATCCAGGTCCTCAGCGTCCACCTCTGCCGCTACATCCTGTCTTACGGCTCCTGCGATCTTCGTCTTCAACTCGAATCTCTTGATCTTCTCCTGCATAACTTTCGTCAACTGAACTGTGAATAGGCAACCAGGACGCCATGTCTCGAGTCTGTTGATTAATTCTCGACAGAGAGGTAGCTGTATGGACGCCAAATGGGGGTGGAGCTTGTGTTCGTAGCGCTGGTAGCATTTCCTGCATAGAAATACTCGCACGCTCTTGATGATCTGGTTCCACTCACGCTTGTTGTGGCCGAAGAAGGAGGAAACAACAGGACGTGCTGCAGATCTTGATGGAAGGTACTCCTGGAAGGTGGTACATGGATTGCCGCTCAAGAGATGCTCGGAACACTCGAAGTGCTTTGGTTTGCCTGCTCTGAAGAGGGCGTTTGCACGCTCAGTCTCCCAGGTTCTTTTGCGGANAGCGGGTAGTTTCGAATAACCTTGAGCTTTTCGATACCTATCCTCGACGAGATCGCTATCGCTCATGTATTCGTGGTCAACTTCGGCCGAGAATGGTGACGAGGAGTCGGTAACAGGTCCTCTACGGTCATCTGATGTGACGATGACTGCAGCGGTGACGGGTACTGCTTGTGGAACAACGCCTTGGCCGGAGTCTCCGAGTTTGACTGACTGACTCGATGCGGGAGGTTGAGCGTGAGCTGAAGGGGCTTCATCATCAGTGTCCTCGTGTCCGCTGTCAACCACTCCAGGAGCGTCTGGTCTTTTTGTCTTCGAAGACCCGGAGATGGTTGGTTTCTCAGGCAATAGATGGCTGAATGTGTTTGGAGCATAAGACTGGACGAAGCGCAGATCCCGCGCAGATGGAGACAAAGACATCTTTGTACTGTACTGAAGTTCTCAAGTGATTGTGGATGTGTTAATCTAACAAGGCTGAATGGAAGTCAGGTATGTCAGGTTGTTTCAACAAGAGTAAAGTGGTAACGAGAGGGACGGTGAAGGACGAGAGGCAAGTTCATATAGTCTAGGGGATAGATTCGTCATGTGGTGTTCGAGGTATGTGCTATTATTGCCAGCCATTTCAGCATAGAATCAAGTATTGTGATCTGTGTTGGCGAGCATGCCAGCAAGGCTGCTCACAAGCTTGATCCAATAGCCAGCTACATCGTGAACGCACATGCTTCTCGACAGGTTTAGATCCAGATCGTATGATCTGACCATTATTCCCATGTGCTGGCCTGCTCTGAGAAAACAGTCACTGAGAGTTGTCATGCCTGTCTGTATCTCACCGTCCAGAGATGGACTTTGCATGATGCACCTCAGCATGCCGAGTCCAGATCATAGGCAAGATCATCAGCAGCAATATCCGAGATACGTGTTAGGGTCAATCTGGATGCGTATTAGATGTGCTGTGCAGCAAACGAACCGAGATCGATCCTACTTATGCTTTTTGAGCAAAATTACAAGCATGTATGTGTGCAAATATAGTTACCTGTAGACCCGAGAGCGTGACCCAGAGGGAGTGACAAATGACCCTTCTCCATGATTTTCAAGTTTCTGAGAGTCCTTCCAAACCACGTTTGTTACTACTGGCATGGAAATTTGCATTTCATCAGAGTCATGATATGAGTTCTGGAACTTTCCACTAAGCAGAAGGAGCAATGACTTCCTCTGCATGAGAGGTCATTGAAAACATGGTGAGAGATCAAGAAAGAGCGAGTAGATGATCAATGAAAGAGGCAGATCTGGAGGGTCTCAAGAGTCTGTCGAAGAGCCCAGCGCACGCTGCGGCGTCATAGCATCAAATAAAACATGTAACCTCACACTCCAAGCCAATTATCTCTGCTACTTGTTGTTGTCTCACAGTCAGTTGTTCTTAGACTGTTCGGAAAGTATGGCCATGGCAGGATGTGAAGAGAGACGTCGTCAACGGTTCAACTTGCCTTTTGAAGAGAGCGGAAACAATCCCGCGCAAGCTCTGGCGAACCGGGCAAGGCATCATTGCGCGTGTTGGCCGAAGAGAACTTATCAAGAGCACAAATGCGTCTGTATTGCACTTACACCTACATATAAGAAGACACAGGTCTCACCGCATGTTCCTGGGTTGAACCTTGTCTCGATCTCTTCTCAACATGGCCAATTTCAGCACTTCTCCATATCAACTAGACCTAGGTGAATTGGGCTTTATCGAAGGTCTCAATGTGACCAGCAAGTCGTCGTCAAACGTACTTTGCCACTACTTCGGAGGAATCCCATATGCTCATCCTGCAGAACGTTTTCGGGCACCTCGACCTCTTCCTCTCTCGTATCGCTATGGTGCTAAAGACAAGCCTGCTAAATTCACTGGCCAGGTCGGAATATGTCCACAGCCAGGCTTCATCAGTTTGCCTAACCCTGATATCTGGAACGAAGACTGCCACCAACTCAACATCTGGATGCCTTCTGGAGTTCGACCTGCAGAGGGCTGGCCTGTATTCTTCTATCTGTTCGGTGGATGGCTTCAATTCGGAGTAAGACTTCTCAATGGTTTGTAGTTCTTGATGAGAATAGCTGGACTGATTCATTCATGATTACAGGATCCGAACATGGCTCCAGAGGCATTAGCGGAGCTGCTGAGCGAGACAGCCTTCAAAGCCATTATCGTCATGCCTGGTTACAGGGTCAACGCCTTCGGCTTTCTAGCAAGCAAAGAGCTAGAAGATGAGGCAAGAGCGAATGGCGAAACATACTCAAACTTCGGCTTCTGGGACCAACGCACGGCTTTGGAGTGGGCTCACGATCGCATTGCTTCTTTCGGTGGCAACAAAGACAACATCACCGTCGCAGGATATTCGGCTGGCTCATATTCGACTTTCCAGCAGCTTGCCTATGATGCCTATCTTCCACAGAGATCATCGATTATCAAGAGAGGTGTCGTATCTTTCTTTTCTGTTGCATGTATCGTGCTGACAAGCTTGCANGTTTGCATGCTCTCAAATGGTCCAGGTCTCCAGCCTCGTTCTACCGAAAACCGTCAGAAGCAATTTGATGAGCTCCTCGGTTGGCTCAATATTCCACTTTCGCTCAGTCCAGCAGAGAAGTTGTCTCGACTGCGCGAGATTCCAGCTCGTCAATTAGTCGCTGTCCAGAGCAGCATGAAATTCCATGAATTTCGCCCAGTCGCAGACGGCTCTTTTATCAATGACAACCTAATAAGCAGCATAAATGACGGTTCGTTCGCGAAACAGTTAAAAGATAGAGGAATCAAGATAATGAACGGAGAAGTTTGCGATGAGCATTACCTTTACGGAGCAAGTCCATCACTCCACATTCTCGCTGGAAGCTAACAGAACAAANNGGCGTGGCGCACCCCTGACTGGAGTTATGATGCTGTCTACGAACGTCTCGTCGCGGACTATCCAGAGTCCAAGGTCAAGAAGCTTATGGACCTTCGTGTACCAGACAAGAGACTACCCACATTCGCTGAAGACTGGCCTGACTTGTTCGGTCGTCTGTACGCCGATGTGCAAGTGCACGATCTTGAACGCGGGTTTGCGAATCGTCTTTCTCAAGGCGGATTGACTGTGGGCAAGGATCTTCTTCGCTATCGCATCGAGTGGCGAGCAAAGTGTGCCGACAACATTGCTCCTCCAGAGTGGAAAGTAACACATTCTACGGATCGTGCTATCTGGTTCTGGGGCGCTGGCTTGGGCCAGGGCTTGACTGCAAAGGAAAAAGAGATTCTCAAAGACTTGAATGCAGTCTTCGCACGTTTCGTAAAAGGAGAAGATGTGCAATGGAGTCAACAAGACCCAAAGATGGTGTACAGACTCAATGCTGCAGGCCAGATGGACATGTGGGATGATGACAGATGGGAAAGAGGTCTCGAAGGCTGGGAAGCCATGAACGGGTGAACATTACACGTATCAGGGTGGTTACTTTCCTGTGGACTGTCACAATGTCACACTATACGACTCTCCCAGGACAATATGTGGTGCTGTAGTTGGCTATAAAAATGCACAGTTAGTTTTCAAATCGAGACACGGCCACAGAGACATCCCTGGATAACGTTCTCTCAATGGACGCAACTCCTTTCTCCAAAGTATCGTGCATCTTTATAGCTATACTGTCACTCTTCTGTACGTGGGGATGCCCCTGTCTGTCTCATGCTGTCTCGTCAGTCTTGAGACCTGCATGTCTCACTCGACGGACCCTTGGAGAAATATCTCATATCCATCAGGGTGTAAGCATATACTTCCAACTGCAATAACGTCTTCGTGTTTCTGTATTGACCGGCTCATCGCCCCTGTACCAACCTTTCACTTGTCTCCCCGTACCATTCCGTCGGGCTCGTCGAACGTAAACCCGGCTCTCGTCTTTGCATTGGCCCTCACTCGCCTTCCGTGATCGACGACATACCGTCCTGTCCGCAGTCTTTCACTCGTCCATATCGACCTCCCAGTCGTCTCTACATCGACCCTCGACTCGTGACCAGTGATCGACCCCCTGACGACTATGCTCTCGTCGATCAAGTAACCTCACTCGCTCTCAGCAATCAGCCTCTTCTCGTCTCAATCTCTGTGCGTCAACCACTCATACTCACATCATGACCTGTTTGACACAAGAAACTGACAGATATACACAACCAGCAAAGATGAATGACTACAAGACCATCCTCAGCATGCGAGTCACAAGACTCACCTACCAGAGCGAAAGCTCGCCTTTCGGCCTCTGGACGTGGCCCAGTTCGCTCGACGGTCCCTCTTTTGCCCCGTGTTATGCGCCATATGGCGAACAATCACCCCCTATCGACTCTCACCCAGCAATCGAACAAACAACAATCGTCAAGAGCATCGAAAGTGATGTTCTCAAGCCATGGGAAAAAGGCTCAAAGTCCGGAAAGAAGATCAAAAAGGGCAGGGGACCTAAGAGTCGCGTCGTGATGAGCCCGGGAAGCGATGCTACTAGCACAGACATGAGCAACAGCGACAACAGTAGCAGCAACGAGATATCGACTGCTGCGACATCGACCCGGACATCGGTGCAGAACTCGCCTGCTTCGCGCGCGAGACAGTACCCGGTACTCGACATCGCCGGTGTCGCTCTTCCTCGTCTCGCCCCTTATAACAACTACCATCCCGACACTGCACAGGCTGCAATCGCACAGTCGAGAAGTTCGTCAGTCAATTATGATTTCTTGACTCCGACTGACGCGGGATATGTAGAGAGAAAGCACGACCGCGTCGACAACGAGGCTCCTACCACATCGTTCAAGGCACATAGGAGAGAATAAGCAAAAGAAGAGGTATATCCTTGACAAAATTCCTTCGACTCCCACATATAATACTGACCCAGAACTATAGCCATAGAAATGCACAGAAGTTTATAAAGTTCTGTGGATGTCCGGAAAGAGCCCTATATAAAGGGGTAAACAACAAGGGAAGGGGGTATGTAATTTCTGACATCTCCTTGGCTCCAGAATACAACGCTGACTATTTTGAATAGCCATAAAAATTCACAAAAGTTCTGCACTTCTGCAAATGTCCACGGAGAGCCCTGCTGCTGATGGGCTGTCACTGGAACATTGCATTTCTTGGAAGCATTCTTGCATTTTGATAGGGTCATGAGATGGGATGGTTTAGGGTGGGAGCAGTATGATATTTCGTTCTCGGTATGCATTCAGCAAAATGCAAGTTATCCAATCTGGTGATTTTTCGTGTTCTGCTTGGTCCATTCCTCAACCTTTGTCCAAGCCGAAATGCTGTAGATTGGTGGACGCCCGCCGGTAGACATTGTACTGGCTGCGGTAGAGGTGATAGAGGTCTCACTGGCTATGCTGGGTCTGCGTGAATCCTGATCGGTTGGAGGTGGTAGAGTTGCGGTGGATGTGATTGGAGAATAGGTGCTTGCTTCGCTCGCGCTGTATCTGTTGTCAGCGAACGGCAACAACAGTACGGATAGCAGACGACAGTACCGGCGATCGCACGTTTGCTTGTGTAGCTTTACCAGCTGGTTGAACTTGCCGACATCAACAGGGCCGAGTGTGGAAGTGTCGTGTTGATGGATTTCTGCAGTCTTTGTGATGCGCTCGCAACCGGTGCACATTGCTTCCAAAGGCCTGATGCCAATATCCTGTGGCTCCCAACATGCTCCTGGCGTGCGCTCTGCGCGGGCACATCGGCCATTAGGTGCGACTACTCGGGGGCCATAATGGCCACACAAGTGGTAGTACGGGGTGTGTACCAAACACATTGCGCCACTGCGCGCGAGTGCTCAAGTGACTTTGACTGCACGAAGACTGAAGAAGCTGAAAAAGTTCAAGGGAGCTGGGAAAGACTCAAACACGTCCCGAACGTGTTGGAACAGTCATATCATCGCCAACCCACCACTGTCTCTTTCACGTGTGAGATGTGCTGCTCTTCGTCCCCGATACGCTGCCAGAGTTGCCGCTTCGAAGATACCATCTCAATAACTCGCAAATGCAGATTGCCATGTGCGCACGTGGCGTGGATGGGGAAGCACGTTGTGGACATGAGCACATAATCGTGCGTGTTGGCCATACCGAAGAGTGTGCACCGACACGTACACTTATGGCATCTTTCTGGTGAAGGGGCAGATGGTGGAACATGAGGAAATATCTCTGTTTGCTATGCATACTTACTAAATCTGCGTAAATCCTTTTGAGAACGTATCATAGGTGCGAGGGCACAGCATTGAAACCACTTTCTGTCCCATCACAACAGCCACTTCAGGACATGCTGTGTTGTATGGACATGTTGGAGGCGTTCACTGATAATCCTACCCTCAGCTTAGGGTGTATTCACATCCAGTATGGCGATCTCCTGAAGTGTCAGGTTCTGTGTTGTGTTTGCTGCTTCCTATCAAAGTGTCCTTGCTGCACATCGACCTCATACCGTGGTGCTGGTGAATGGCAAATGGTTTCTGCGAACTGCTCTGTGGTAGACGGCGGTGCCAGGCACGGTAGAGTGCTGAGCGCAGCCGAAACGTCGACGCAGATGTCTTTTGCGAGATCGATGGACAGATCGAGCTGCGCTTTCCGGGGACGATTTCATCGCGTAATGCTGTGACCCGTAACGCTTTGCTTCTTTGCGTAAACTAAGCTAGAAAGGACTTCTTGCCCAATAAGACATGACCGGTATACCTGAAGTGTGAAGTTCGAGATGGAGCCTTGCAACACGGTGTGCGATGTCGTAGTTCTGATAAATCTCTCGTAATAGGACGTCAGCCCAGCAAAGCATGCATCCGCTTTCTTCCTGAACTTTGAAAAAATCAAGATCGCGGACGGAAGGAAGACCGTCGTTGAATGAGCAATAATCAACCTTCTCGAATGTTTCTCAAGCGTTGCTGAGTGTGCTGGAATTGGCTTGTAGGAGACAAAGGCGGCAACATGTCGAGAGGCGCAGAAGGGCTTGACAAGTTGAGTTAGCTCCGCTGTTTTCGTGACAGTCCGCCACAACTCCGAGGATACGTGATGCTCGGCGCCCTGTATAAATCACGCTTTTACTTGAGAAGAACGTCGTGGCCGCGGCTCTTGTGCGGTTTGCGTGAATTATGTTTGCTTTTATATGCTCATGACTCAATGTCGCGGGCAAGCAGACAGGCAGAAACACAGAAACCGAGGGTTGAGTAGCATTTTGCTCTACTTCGGCCAATGCGCATACCACCGTTGAGGACCTGTTTGAAGAGGCCAACAGAGAGTCGACGAACGAGTCGGAGTTTCAAGAAGCCTGTCAATATCGCCCCGAGAGCGGCATTATGAGGAATGGCAGACGGGAAACTCTGGCGGTAAACTTGACAAACACTCCGTGCTCGGGCAACGGCGGGCGCACTGTTACACGGGGATCAGTGTCATTGTAATCAAATCGTGCGCGAGCCCATTGGTTGCGATAAGCACAATTGATTAGGCCCGGCTTCAAGCCCACATAGGTAGTGCGGCGAAGTGGTCTAACAACGAAAGCAAAGAATAGGGCGCGATAGAGGCGTCGCGATTCTCTTTGACTCTACAGACAAAGGAGCACGCTTTTCTTTGTTGAACCTTGACAGAGATGTTCTTCGATACAGATCCAGGCCGGCGTTGTTCAACCAGACCCTGGAGACAGAGTTGAGGACCGGGCTTCCAGAATTCCTTGGGTTCAACAAGGCACGAACCTCAGCGCCGGGTTTCCGCTACAAAAAGGCGGAAGAAGTTTATTGGATGGATCAAGTCTGGGGATCGGTGACAAGGTGCAAGCCACTATCTCCAGCATTTGTCCCGGTAATCCTTCTGCGGCACGAAACACCAAGCTGCGAGACGAACAAGGCTACGAAGGAGCAAGTTGCAAGGCGCAAGGAAGATACGAACAAAGACAACAATGCAGCAGTGGCATGGATGCAACAGACAAAGGATAGAATCGAAAACATGACGAAAATAGACACAGCATCGAATCAACGATAAGGGTCCCAGCCTTTTAGGCCGGTCATAAGCGAAAAGCCGAGGGATAGGTCTTGGAGACATACGTAGTCGACGGGCTTTTTAGGAGATCGAAACAGTCAAGAGGCTCAGAACGGCCGGTGGGTGTGGTACATGTGTGAATGGAGATGGCATGGCAGCAGCACGGCAGAGACAGCACCAGGATTGAGCAGTGATTGGGAAGTGTGAGCGTGTGGGAGTCGAGGGGTGTGAGGGGTGTCAATAAAGACTGATATGGCATTGTTAGTGGTTCGGCGAAGATGCAACGATGGCGTCGTCGGCGCGGCAGGTGCGAGCGGGCGGCTGAATGAAGTACCTGTTTGGCAGGGACTCTTATCGCAGGCCGAGCTCGCGTGGTCAACACCCAAAACTGCTCGCTCTTGTGTTTCCTGATTCAAATAACTTCCCCAGCCTTTGTCCTTGCTCCGACCTTTGCTTTCATTCTCCAATCCCGTCCCATATCCTTCCTCGATCCATTCGCTAGCCGTCTGTCCCCAGCAGCGTGCATCCATTCTTCTTGTCTCTATCTTGATCGACTTCCCAAGTCAACACACACATCCACAACCGTCATCATGGTGAGTCACTGCCAAACAAGGCCTTCTGCACGCATCCAACAGCCACTGACCTCTGCGCGCAGCCGGATTCAGCATACATCTCCAACACTTTGACTGTGAGGACATCTCAGAAGAAGCACAGCAATGTGCTCTTCGAGAGCTTCGCTGACCACTACCACAGCTCAAAAAGTACCTGAGCCTTGAGCAGTCGCCCAAGCGTATCATTGCTGAGTACATCTGGATCGATGGCTCCAATGGCCTGAGATCCAAGTGCAAGGTCAGTCACACAAACAGAAAGTCGCGCGCTCGTGCGGATCAACATCCCGCCAACACGGCCTGCATCCAAAAACCGCGCACCGCGAACCGCGAGCGACTTTCGGTATATGCCTCATGCAAAATTTGTACTGACAAGGATTGCAGNACCGTTGACCGCTCCGACGAGCAGGTCGCCAAGGGTCGTGTTGGTCTCGATGAGCTGCCAGAATGGAACTTTGACGGTTCGTCAACAGGTCAGGCTCCTGGTAACAACTCGGATGTCTACCTCCGCCCCGTTGCCGTCTTTGACGACCCCTTCCGTGGCAAGCCCAACGTCCTCGTCATGTGCGAGACTTGGATGTCTGACGGCAAGCCCAATGCCTTCAACTTCCGTCACGACGCTGCTCTCCTGATGGAGGCCAACGCCAAGGAAGGTTTCTGGTTCGGTCTTGAGCAGGAGTACACCCTCCTCGATGTCGATGGCTGGCCGTTCGGCTGGCCCAAGAACGGATTCCCCGCTCCTCAGGGTCCCTACTACTGCGGTGTCGGTACCGGAAGAGTCTTCTGCCGCGATCTCGTCGAGGCTCACTACATGGCCTGCTTCTACGCCGGTATCAACATCTCTGGTACCAATGCCGAGGTCATGCCCGCCCAGTGGGAGTACCAAGTCGGTCCTTGCACCGGTATCAACCGTAAGCCGTATCTGCTGCCATGAAGCACTTGTATCAAAGACTGACATTGCCATCTAGTTGGTGACGAGCTCTGGATGTCCCGTTTCATCCTTCACCGTGTTGCCGAAGACTTTGGTGTCAAGGTTACACTCGCCTCCAAGCCCATCCCCGGTGACTGGAACGGTGCTGGTCTTCACACCAACGTCTCGACAGAGGCTATGCGTCAAGACGGCGGCATGAAGGTGATTGAAGAGGCCATGGAGAAGCTGGCCAAGCGTCACAAGGAGCACATGGATGTATACGGTGAGGACAACGCCCTCCGTATGACAGGCAAGCACGAGACAGCATCGATGGATAAGTTCACTTGGGGTGTCGCCGACCGCGGATCAAGTGTCCGTGTCAACCGTGCCGTGGCCGAGCAGGGCAAGGGCTACTTCGAGGACCGCAGACCGGCGTCGAGTGCCGACCCTTACCAGATCACTGGTATCATTGTCGAGACCCTCTGTGGCAAGGTCGAGGGTGCCAACGTTCACAAGACAGCCATGTCGGCCGAGAACGTTGAACTCGAAATGGTTGTGCCCATTTCCAAGCCCTAAATGGGATATTTCACGCGACCACGGCAAGCAAGAGAAACCCGGACAGACGGAAGACAGAGAGCAGAGCAGAGAATTGAATGGCGATAATTTTATACAGCAAGGGGAGAATGGAAGGCAGGTGTGCTTCTTGCACGCGGGATTTGTTAGACCCGCGGTACCTTTTAGTTTATTGTTGATTGTAGCGAATTGCATATTTCATCCGAACATCAAGGTCATTGCCAAGTGAGAGCTAGACAAAGATGGAGGCGGCGGTGTGGGTACGTGGTGCAGGCATGGAGCAGATGGGATGGGGATGGCGCAAGAAGCGGGTAGATACGGGAGTCAAGGGCAGAGACGGGAATAATCGTGAGTTGGCTAAAGTGGCTGCATGCATGTGACGGGCACGATATCCGCTGCAGCTGCAGCTGCGAGCTAGAGTACAGACGCCGCTGGCAGCTGGTATAGTCGGTAGAAAGGTGCTCGGCGAGCAGAGGCTTGGGATGGTGCGTGTCAAGGCAGACACACGCCCAGACGACCACAAGGACGTCCCGACAAGCTCGCGAAGGAAAGCGCCATGACGACGCCGAACGCGAGCAGCGCGAGTCTGCTCAGCAAACATTCGCAGCCCCCACTCCCGACCAGCAACCCTGCCCGCGCCAACACACTCACTCCTCGCAGCGTACCCTCGACGGCCAACAAAGCCGGTCCCGTCACCACGGCCCAGCCACAGCATGCCTCGACTTCCAAACCCATCGGTGCCATCGCCATGACCAGCAGCTTGAGCCAGACATCCAATTCCAGCATCCACGCACTGTCAGCCATGTCTAACAACCTGCTGGCCGCCTCGCCGAACACTAATCTGCTCGCCTTTGCTTCGCCCGCTGCCCTTGCCGGTCTCGACATGACCACCCCGTCTGCTCTGCTCGATGCCGCTGCCACTTCACAAGCCATGAACTTGAGTCTGTCCGACCTGGGCATCTCCTCCCACAAACCCAATCAAGACGAAGAACGCAGGCTGAAGCTGGACACCCTTCTCACAAAGCTCCTGGGTCCTCAGAACCATCGACGCTTTGGCAGAGTCAGCGAAGAAGGCGTGAGAAGAGTCGGACGATGGGCAGGACTGGATGTCGAGGTCGAGGCCAAGAGGGAAGCGCGCAAATTCGAGGGCAACAGACCCGTCGCCGTAGCAGGCAAGAATAATGTCTTGATTGACTTCCAGTTCAAAGACAACCTCCCGACCCACATCGACCTCTCCTTCTCCAGTCAAGACCAGGCTGTTACCGCTCACCAACCTGCTGCCGCAAGCGTTTTACTCGAAGATCTGACACCTCCACCTGGCGTCTCTGCCATCAACACCAAACTCGACCGCTTCGCTGCGAATCTGGAAACTCTGGCCAGATTGGACAAGCTCAGCGTCTACGATCAGCTCAATTGCTTCGAAGCAATCACCGGTGTCTATGAAAGTCTGAAAAAGCTTTACGAACACGAAAAACAGGCAGCCCGCACCATCGTCCAAGCGAAGCGTGGAGATTGTGAATTGAGGGCAGAGCGACATGTCTTGTGCAAAAGAAGTGGCCGTCCGCAGATGCATGCGCGCAGGAAGATTGGCTTGAGTCTGGACTACTGGATGGAAAAGAGCAACGTATACCCATCGCATTCTCCAGAAACTGCAAAGGACGCATCCGCCATGGACCTCGACCCCAAGCCTTCAGAGGCACCACGAGAGGAGATCGAGGGTACCGTTTTTGCACTCGACATCACAGCCGAAGCCGGAACTCCCGACCCGTACTCCTCTATCCGCGTCTCATCTTCCTGGATTGCAGACCGTATTCTCAAGTCGGCCGAAGAGACAACCGACCCCACTGACCTGCTCTCCGGTACGCAAAGTATCGACTGGCAAGACCCGGCCCCCACATACCTCTCCGACAATAATCAAAGCAACAGCGATGCTATGGCGATAGACAACAATACCAACACAGGCGCTCAAAAGCTGCCCGCTGTACGCTTCGTAGCAAGACTCAATCCACCACTCGCTATGCCCTGGACAGCCGCTGCCGCCATTCTGCAATCTGTCGGTGCCGCAAGCGTCATGTCCGACATTCCGGACATGCAGCGCACCTACGAAGGATCACTTCTCCAAAAACCATCTGATGTGCCACTGCTCAACAAACCCTTGCAATCTTCTGGACCCGCCGCCTCGACCACTACAAATGTGCTCACTCCTGATGGTGTGAGCGTGCAGCACAAGAATGCGCTTTATGTGCCCAAACAGGACTTTGGCTATGTGATGACGTCCATTCCATTCGCACATCCCCGTCAAGTGGTTGCGTTGTTGCCTGTATTGAGACAATGGGCTTACCTGGGAAGCTTACTCAAAGGCACCCTCCTCAATGAGGGAAGCAGCCCTACGCCTCCGAGAGACGAACCTTCCTTCTCCCTAGCTGATTTGCTCAGCGGGACCAACATCCACACAGGAAATGCCGTGGCAGTTGATATTTCATTGTCCACACAACCCTCGCCGACGCTGGAGTTCGTGTTCCCGGTCAGTGGAGTTGAAGGTGGGTTAGCGAGCCTTGGTGCCAGCATCTCTGCCGACGGACACGTGGTTGTGTCGTCGCAGAATGTGGCCAAAGGCAGTCAAGAAGAGCAAGAAAAGGCAGCGCAGAAGATGGCCAAGGCTCTGGAGCTCGTAGGCGATATTGGCGTGTGGGTTGAGTGGATCAGAAAAGTTTACGGAGGAGCATAGAAGAAGAAGTGGTGGCAACATTTGATACACACCCCTCTTCAATCAACATGGGGGAAACAACAAGATATTCTTACTCGAAATGTTTGTCTATGATCAAAGTCTATGACAAGCTCTATCGATAGGGGGGCCTTTGAAGAACATGTGCTAAGTTCTAGAACTCATGTGGTTAATGTCAACAAGTAGCCCCTGCCTTCCCAGTCAGCACATGGTAGTGCTATAGTATACTATAAGAATACACAGTCGTTTACTCCATCCAGACGTTTGGGCATAGAAGTGGCCTCGAGACAACAGCTCTCCTGGGCACAACACTTTGATCTAGATAATATCATGCATTTCTATAGCTATAGTATAACAGTTCTCTTCAGCACACGGAGGACGAAGAGGCAGGATACGGCAGGGAGGCTGAAGTAGACCACATGTGTTCTGATTCAGCACATGTTCCTTGAAGGGTCCCATTGATTCGTGCAGAGAAATGAACTATGTATAGAGAGCGTTTGCTTCTTCTCTACCGTAGAGAAGGGGGGAAAAAAGAGAAAGATATCATCTACTCGTAACGGTAGCAGTAACCCTCTGCAAAAGTATCCATCAATTCGCGGAAGATACGGTCTTCAGCGACAAAACCAAAGGGAATGACATCGTCCAAAGTCATCTCAGCACTGGGAGGATTGTTGCCTAATGTCGAAGTTCCCTTGATGATGAATTGACGGCGGTAGATGTCCAGATTTTGCCAGGTGGTCCAGACGTTGTCAATCATACCATGGTGAAGGAAGAAAAGAGGGTCGGCAGGTGAAGAGTGGAAGTCAGCGGCGGCTCCTCCGATGGACCAATGCCCGGAACCGTGGACGCCGAAGGCGTCTCCAGCGGCATAGCCTTGCATGCGATCTTGGAAGTCTTCGAGATAGATGCTTTCGAGGACTAGCTCAGTGACGTTGGAGAAGGTATTGTAGCGCTCGCTGAAGAAGGAGTTGAAATCACGTTCCAGGCAGCGAGGGTTATATTCATAATTGCTCTTGACGTTCTTGGTGTTAGGAAGATCCAAGGGTCCGAGGTTGAGGGTGACGTCGGAGAAGGGGCCGCTCTCGACGCAGCCGCCGCCAGTGCCGGGAGGCATATTGACGCCTTGAGTGTAGAGGTAGGTGTCGCCGCGGTTGGGAATGTATTTGCCGTTGGAGCCCATGCTGTACTCGTCGCCGGTGAAGAGAGGCGAGTCTTGGGGAGCAGAGGCATCCTTGGCCCAGTTCCAGTAGGGAAGGGTACCGGTATAGCCGCAGAGGTCCTTCAAGTCTTGCTCGTAGTGCTTGATGTAGTGTCTGTGCCATGCGAGGAAATCGGCCGTCGCATGAATTTCTAGGGTCATATTTATATGTGTAGCCACATACTCGTCGTGACGAGACTTGATGCCAGGATAGTTGGCAGCCTGGTCCTTGGGCATGCGCTGGGGAGGTGTGTTCATGAGGCATGTAGCGGCATCGGTGAAGGATTTGCGATCCCCCTTGGACATGTCCCTAAACTCTCTTCTTACGTCCATGGTTCCCCACTGGCAAGGAGAGTTCTGGCGTGTGCCCAGGTTGTACAATTGGTTGTCCCTGGCGATCTGAGTGACCTCTTCCCAAGCAGTGCCGTTGTTGATCTCAAGTCGCGTCCATTGGTCAATGCTGGGTGCCTGGGCAGATGCCAATGCACTGATGGAAGCAAGAGCGGCGACAGAGATTCTGAAATGCATGTTGACTGTTTTTGTGGTGACTTATTGATAAGCACAATAGCGAATGTGGTTGATCAGACTTCGAGCAAACGAATGCGACGAATGATCAGAAGAGACAGCGAGTGTGGTAGATGTTGAGAGCCCGGGAAGTGAATTGAGCAGTCGGAGGCTTACCTATATACGTGAGGCTAGTCACCTGTTTCTCTTCTATCTTCGGCGCAGATGACGATCATTGAGGGCTGGTGGCCCACTTGCAGAGAGGTCCTTCCCTGCTGCAGCAAAAAAAGCATGCATCGCAGAGTGCTCCTTCGTAATCCGAGCAACGAACAGGCCCGCCTTCTGGAAAGAGCGGTCCACGAAGCTGCAGCTCACGGGCCAAATGGTGGTTTGGAAAGATTCTTGCTGCAATTGCCAGTAATCGTGGTCGGCTCACGGATGATATAAAAGGCCTAATCCTCAACGGAGCAAAGTGATATCCCAGGCGTGTGCATCGGATCGCTAGAGAGCGCAATTGTTCTGGCGTAAGAGCACGAAAATAGTGCCCTCTATCTCTGACGATGGCATGGTACCTGGCGATCAATCTACTAGCCGGGTAGTAGTCGTCTCTGCCCTGCTTTTTTTAGCCAAGCCATCAGTATCTGAGAAGACCCTGCTCCGGTCTTTCATTGTGATCGCCCCTCTTCCAGAGAATGAAGTAGTGCTTCTGAGATCGGCTTGAAGACGGTGAGCAGACAGGTTGTTTTGGACGCTCAACATCGAGAGAAGTGACAGTGTCTTGTTTCATCTCCCCGTCGTGTGGGGTCCTGCAACGGGGCCTGGCTGCCGAACCGCGCCTTCGCGCTTGCGAATCTCTGCTGCTGCAAATCCCGCGAACATCAGATTGGCTGCCTGTTTCGTCAAGCTTAGGCCTGAGCCGCCTGTTCCTGGTCGTCCCTCTTGTTGATGCTTGCCCTGTTTGCAAGAAGAAGGTATCTGCCGCGAGCAGTCGAGACCAGTCTTCCGGCCAGGATCATGGTACAGTATATCTTGCCGAAGAAACCAAAGATGGATTCAATACCTCGTTCACGGCCTGCGAGCAGAAGTGCAGTTGAACCTCAGGCCAAGGAAGTCAGAAACCAGAGCTGGACAGTCAAGTCAAGTCATGCATGCTGTAGTGCAATATGCGGCACATTGTCCAGATCTTTGCTCTTGATTTAGGCAATTCGAAATTCGACATATTAATCTGCCCTTGCTTAGATGGAGATGTTTTCTAGAAGGAGCACACGACTCATGCCCAGGCTCAACTTGTAGGTCATCACCTTCTTTCGTTCCACGCGCATCAAGGCTCCCATCACCACTGCAAGCCATGTGGTGGACCACCTGCGTGAGTCTTTCCCAAAAGATGCACTTGCAGGACGCCAAAGCAGAGCGAATGCAACTCAAATTCCACGTTTCTGAATCCCGCTTCCTTTTGGGAGATATTCTGCACGACACCAAAACCAGTCGAGCTTGAGACATGGGTTCAAGATTATGCATGAAGCTCTTTTCACTGGTATGGGTAAAGCACAAACTTGTCGCCGCTTGTAAACTGCGGATAGTGCCATGTAGTTCTCCAGAAAAGAGTGTCGTCGTTTCTCTCTCTCTCTCTCTCTCTCTCTCTCTCTTGGATTTTCAATCTGGCTCAACTCGATATCGAGTCTCTGGAAGCGATCTTGCATACGAGCTGCACCTCACAAGATAGCACAAATGTCTGTCAACCAGCCGCAGCAGCAGTTCGCTGGACACGACAACAACACGCAGGCTGCATTATTGGTCCCGGCCACGATAACATTGGTATCGTCACTATTGCTGTATGGTGTCCGCATACGAGCCCGTCACTCTTCGCCTCTTGTCTGGACCGATGGCACGATCGCTGCAGCTCTGGTAAGTAAACATGATGCTTCTCGCTCTGTGGGCATCATGACCTGACTTGTACAGATATTAGCGATAGTAGACTTCGTTCTCGCCGCCATCGGTTGTCACTACGGTCTGGGTAGACACACGGTGCTTGTGGACTCGGCAAGAGTAGTCAAGGCTCGGCATTTTGGTTTCCTCGTACAACCTATCTCCATGTGGTCCGTTTGCCTGGCCAAATGTTCAATTGCTTGGACTGCCCTCAGGTTAAGACCGGATCGAGAGTGGCGATGGGTGTTTTGCTGGATACTCTTTGTACAGATCGTCTGTACAATTGCGGGCAATGTCACTCAGGCTGTGCAGTGCCAGCCAACATCTGCATTATGGAACGGTAGCGTGGAAGCGCAGTGCTGGCTGCCGGAGAGGACACAACTTGCTGGTCATGTTACNCTTGGGTAAGGAAGACATCAACCTCGGCGTAGGAAGCTTGACTGACACAAGCCAGGCTTCGGAGTCATTACGAGTATACTGCTATCCCTCACGCCTGTCGCCCTGGTCAGAGGCGCAAATCGCTCGATACACGAATTAGTCGCATTGGGACTATTGGTCGGAGTAGGGCTGTTCATCACCATGTGCTCAGTCGCCAACATGGTGTCGCTACACAACTACCGCACGACCGAGGATCCTCTCAAAAACTTGATAGCACCAACAACTTGGTGGCAGATCGAGCAAAACCTCAGCATCATGGTCGGCCTAGCTATCCATCTCCAGACACCTTACGAGGCGCTACTGGCAAGATGCGGATTGATATGTTCAGTCAGAACAGATTCGTCACCAAGCCACCGATTAAATCGTCTCGAGAACGGGTCGCAGACTCTGAAGAGCTTGAAGACGACTATACCATGGGGCCAAGTCTACGATTCGATGACCCACTTGCCGAGTATTGTCAAGACGACTGAGGTTGTGCATTCAACTGAGTTGGTGAAAGACGATAGTTTGCGATTCGGTACGCCAGCGAGGAGACCTTCGTGGTTCTAGTTTTATGAGTTTCTTGTTTTCTCATTTGTTCTCACGCACATCTTGTAGACCGCAACAAAGGCAACTTATCTGATATCTCCATCGCTCCTTCCATTTCCATACTGCATTATCATCGGCCATCCTACCAAAAACAAGGTTTGTGACCCCCGCAGTTGCATTCGCAAGCAGCATGTCAATCAATCCGTACGACCATTTTGAATCCTTTTCTGCACAAAAATATTGCAACTCTTTTACGCTCTACATCTCGAATCAAGACAAACACCTAAAGCGAAAAAAGAAATGCCATTCGCAGTCAAAGCTCTAGACCACGTCGTCCTGACCTGCCGCAACATCAACGCAACAGTAAAGTTCTACAATCTGCTGGGCATGAAGCATCAAGTCTTTCGCTCTTCCAAAGATGCACCAGGAGTAGAGAGGTATGTACAAGTTTACGATTCTATATGCTTTCATGCAAAAAAAATATGATATATATATTCAAACAACCAATCCCCCTGAAGCACAAAGACGACAAAAACACCACACAATCTCAATCCCACGTTGAAACTGACACCGCCTGCCTTCAAATCANNCAGACACGCCCTCTCCTTTGGCACCCAGAAACTAAATCTACATCAAGCGGGCGCGGAATTCGAGCCCAAGGCCATTCTGGCAAAACCCGGTACCGCGGATTTGTGCTTTGTGACCAGCACGCCCATCACAGACGTCTTGGCGGAACTGCAAAAAGAAGGATTGGAGATTTTGGAAGGTGGCAAGATTGTCGACAGGATTGGTGCTTTGGGTAAGCTGAAGAGCGTGTATACGAGAGATCCGGATGGGAATTTGATTGAGGTGGCCAATTATGTTTAGATGTGATGATATGGCATTTGCCTAAGTAATTCGGGAAAGGACAAATTCTTGATACATGCTATGTATCGGACTATGGCTACTGTGATTTCAAGATGTAGATCTTTGGTTCCATTTTTATGATGGGCCATCGTCCGCCAGTCAGCTTTTGGCCTGCCGTACGCGCTACCTCATTGTACATGTGCAGCAACTTGTTCACAGGCCGGGTGATACCGCTTCGTGTCGAGAGAAGAGGCGCACTATCCTGGTCTGCAGCCAATTTGCCGAGACCAATGCCAGAGTAACCATAGATGGTGTCGACGACCTCCCAGCTACCAATTATGCGCTTTGGATCTTCTGCAAGCACATAGTCGAATTTTTGCCAGAAGCCTGGATCCAGCAGAATTGTTTGGTTCTCCGTCTTGTCGTACACGAACTTTGATCCGGCGTCCTTCTCGAGAAAACGAGTCACACCAGTCTGGCAAGCTAGGTTGTCCATGTATACCCAAGTCTGGCCCGGTTTGGCATTGGTCGCAACCTCGTGGAGACGCGTAAGAGCTTGACCTCCGGGATAATTCAGACTAGAAATGTAGAGCAGACCAAAGCTACCAGCAAAACACAATAGGGTTGAGCAGACAAGACCCAAACTCAAGAGACGGTAGAGCAGGGTCTTGGACCGGCGAGTCCATATCCATGATGCTCCTGCGGCTGCTACACCAGTAAGGCCAGGGATGATGTAGATGACGAAACGCCACTCCTTGTGAGGCAGAACACTGTAGATCGCCACGAAAGCGAGCAGCGGAATCATAATGTCCAAGCTCGTCTTGCGGGTGGCGCGATTGACCAGAGCCAGCGGTATACAAAGTGACCATGAGATGGGGTTCAGCAAAAGGCGAGGTGTGGCGTTGACAAAATAGTAGTGCCATGGACTCACACCCCAATCAGAGGATTTGCCTTGTATGGTGTTGTACACGAAGCCTATCCACTCTGGCCACAATGGGAAACGTTGCCAGAAGTAAGAATCCACTGAGACTGTGACACCAAGTCCGATGACAAGACCAAAAAACCCAGCAGGGATGACCTCTTTGACCAAAGAAGTTCGACCCTGTAGTAGCAAGTATATGGTCTGCATAGCCAGCAGGATGGCTATCTCTGACCTGAAGATGATGCCTGAGGCGGTAAGGAGGTAGAGAGCGAGACGCCTGCGTTTGGAGCTTTNTTGTGTGCGTGTTGCGACTGCCTGAGCAGAGATGAGGTTGGACAATGCCAAGGTNNCGCTGATACGGTCAGTCTGGGTGGGAAGGTGCTCGATGAAAGGGCAAGACTTACTGATGCTGAACGCAAACATATTGGGCAGGGTGCGAGATGCATAGAACATGACATGGAACTGAGAGGCTTGGAGTATGATGTACCACCTTCCTGCGATTTTGCCGTATGCTGTGTCGATTGCACGCCTGAACTGAACGAGAGCTGCTGCATTCAGCAGCCCGAGCACTCCTCTTGNCTTTGGTAACACATTAGCTTTGAGACACATGGATATATCTCGAATGGTCGTCCTACCAGCAATCTGAAAGGTGGACTTGTGGATATCTTTTGATGATAGCATGTTCATGACAATCTGCAAAGGTCTGGTCAAGCCGGACATGACAACAGCGCCAACGAAAGTGCGAGGCACGGGTCCGGGAAATGTAAAGTGGTCATAATGCGAGTTGAAAAAGGCAGCAGCATTGCGTGTTGGAATGCCATGAATCAGAGTATCATGGATGGCCTGTATGTTGAAGGACTCTTCAACCTTGGTATAAGGGGCCAAGTACAGATGCACCAAAATAGTCAACGGCAGGAGGCCAAGCAGAACGACATCTGTGGGAGTGATGTTTCAGCAAGCGGGAAACTAGATAGTCATGGGAAATACAAAATTGAGGCATACCGATGAGATGGCGAGGCATGGTGCAGTTCTTGGCAGTCACGAAGTGAGGACAGCTTTGGTCGACGACTTGTGCGGAGGGCGGGCTGCAACGCGTGGTGGGGACAAGGAGACATGTTGCTGCTTTGAGCGCGCAACCCTTCCCCCGACCTTTACAGTCGCATCCAAGAACATCATGTTTTTCTTTGGCCTTGGAGGTCTGTTCTATGGTAAGCACGGATGCGATTCGATTGACGCGCACCGGAAGCTAACACATGTATCCTCTCANGTCTCGGTCTTGCTGGTCAACGCAATAGCCATCCTCTCCGAGGACCGCTTCCTCGCCAGAAGTACGCATCGCTCTTAGCATACGCTCAATTCCTGAATACACAAGTCTAACATGACATGCGCAGTTGGTTGGGGATCCGTACAACAAGAGCCCGCATTCGGCGGTCCAGCAGACAACACCAGCGTCAAGTCAAAAGTCATCAACCTGATTGCATCTGTCCGCACCCTGATGAGGAGTACGTTTCTCATTTGCACATCACATTGTTCTCGTCATGGAGCTGACACCAACACTCACNNAGTACCGCTAATCGTCATCAACACTCTGATCATCGTCTACGAACTTATACTGGGTTGAGCACATGTACGAGACCTGCGCCGTAGAACGACCAATGAAACATATACCACAACCTCAATCTCTCCTCGATTCCCCCAAGATGAGAATGCGCTCGAGACAGTAGCTGCGAAAACACCAAGGCATGCTGTTCCCAGCCGAGCCAGTGCACCATGTCAGCCCATGCAAGCTGGCTGTCCGACATTGCTTTGAAGAGGACACACTCCACGCCGGAACGAAGACATAGCATCTTGTGTAGAGTAAAGGATTGAGTGAAAAAGCCGGTCTTCAAATACATACATGATAATCGAACAAAACATCAACATAGATTCAAGCTGCCAACGCAACTTGGTCATCATCTGCCACCAACCAAAAAGTGCAACGAGAACGCCACCGCACTCTCCTTTTGTATATGTCCAACACTGCCCCGTGCATTACACAACCTGCGCGGACAGGCCTAGTATGGTATATGTACACTGATCTTCACATAACCGTCGACTTCTTTCTGCCCAGACTAAAGCGGTTTTTCTTGACATCCTTCTCTCCACTCGTTGTGTTGATGGCTTCCTCGGCCTGTGTTGGCATTGGGCTCCCAGGTTCCTTCTCTTTGCCTGATGTCCAGAACTTTGGTTTCTGGCGCAGACTCATCGAGCTGTGTCTGAATCTGCTGAGGCCTGGTCGATCTTTTCCATCGGCTGCCGGTGCTGCTGGGGTCGCTATCGGCGTCGACATGTCAGGAGCAGCATTTCCTGCACGAGTGGCCTCTTCAGCAGCCGTTTGCTTGCTGAGCTCAATGGCGGCAAGGTAGTCCTCGTTCTGCTTCTTCCACGCGTTTCTCGACGCCTCGGCCGCCTCCTTTCTCTTAGCATCTGCAAGCTTGCGAGCTTCTTTCTCTTGCGCTTTGCGATCCTTCTCTGCCTGTTTCGCCGCCTTCTTGTCCAGAGACCCAAACCCGGAGCCGAGGAAAGGTGATGTCGACATGGCGCTGAAGGTCGAGCGTTGCTGTGATAAAGCTGGAGCAGTGGACGCGTGAGCAAGGTTTGCAAAGGCACTGGGCTCCTCCTCAATCGGTGACTGCATTGTATGTGTGTTGCGAAGGCCATTAATCATCAAGCCTCCCTGTGTTTCTCTCGAGACTGAATCTCTATTTGGCATGCTAGCGGCAGCGGCAGCCTGCCTGGCCTCGGCCTCCTGTTCTCGTTGCATGGCTTCCACCGTAGTCTCTTGGTAGAACAGCACATAAGCACAAGCAAGTTGTCTGGCGTCTTGCACTCCAGGCTTCGGCTCACCACCAAAGAAGTTTCGTACGAAGCTCTTGTCAACAGGCTCGACCAGCTCATCGTCAAACATGAGCCATCCGCGGTCTTGAGTCTTAATTATAGAGACGTAGTGTCCATGATAGGGTCCACCTCCTATGTGGACAACAACAGCGTAAAGTTCGTACAGTCGGTCCGGGTCTTCTGCGTCGTCGGTGGTATTAAATAATCGCAAATGATAGGGGTATACAACTCGATGAAAAAGCTTTTGAAGTCTCTGGAGGTCCTCGGTGTATTTGAAACGTTTTAGGTGCAATGCCAGAATGCGTGGTAGTCGTTTGATCTTCATCCTCTTTTCGGCTTCCTGCAAGCCGCCACAGTTGTCGCAATGGAATTTGTTCCGTTCGCACAACATCTCCTCTTCGGAAAACTTCCGCAGACATGCCGTTACCGAAGAGTGCGCTTCCAGGTCAACAGACAGATCCATGAAGGCTTCATCTCTTTGTGATGTGTTTTCGCAGCTGAGGCAACGTGTTTCTGAAGTGAGGAGACCCTCGAACAGATCATGTACCCAGCCAGCGCCACTCATGCCAGCTGTGTTGTGTGCTTTTGCCATGGCAGACATGGCGCCTGCCATGCTTGGTTCTGCACTGCCGTTGCCGTTGAGAGTGCCGTTGATAGCCGGCAGCATCTTCGAGTACATCTCTACATTATCCACGACCTGATTCAGCAGCAGATTCAAGAACTCATGAGCGTCTTGGTGCATGGCAGAACGAAACATCTCGTTCTCCTTTCTTAAAATCTCAAGGAATTTGAGAGGACTGATGATTCCAGTGCGCGACTGGTGGCCGATGATAGACTCGAAAATGTCCTTTAGGGAAGTGAAGAGCGATTCGGACATTCCGTATGCGTTGGAGTTGCTCATCTGCATTTCCAATATAGGACCCGACCTCATGGCCACCTTTTTTTTATAGTCCGGAGAATCCTTGTCATCGGGCTTGGTGGCCTGGGCTTCGGGCGTGCCTGGCAGAATGATGGGCCTCCTGGCGGGCGAGCTAGATGTGAGGTTGTTTGTGGCAGCAGTCAGGAGGTGGTTTCCAGGAGCCGGCAGACCATTCTGCAGACTCATGCTCCGGTCTGCATCCGAATCGGTTTGCTCGGGCGAGGGGGGCAACGGAGGGAAGTTGAGGACATTTTCGCGAAAGGTTGTCGAGTAGTATAGACACTGTATTATCGAGTTGGCATNAGCTGTTGCGCAGAGGTTAGCGACCATCACTTCGAGCTCTCTGGAGTAGACGCGTACCATGTGCTTCCGTACTGTTTGGGCAAGTCGCAATTAGTCTGTGTCGCTCCTTCGACGGGAGTAGAAGGGTTTACGTACGTTTTCGAAGCCAAAGAACTTGTCGCTCCCATCCGGCCGTACAGGACCACCCAGATCAGCAATGTGCTTCTCTAGTGGGGTTGGTTGGGGGATGGTGGCATCTCTCTTTGGAGGCAGACTGCCTACGTTCGGACNTCGCTGGTGTCTGGGATGGTCGTGATCGTCAGTCAAACGTGGCGCAAAATCGTGGAAGAAGCACACGACACTCACTGCGTTTCCCTTGAGTTTGCCGAAGAAAGACATTCTACAGTTTCACCAGGGATGCGTACATCAAAGTCGGGCCAGGCGCGACTGCGTTCCCGATCCTCGGGCAAGCAATTGACCGATGTCTCGACGGCTGTCTCTGGGGAAGAGCGAGGGGCGACCGAGACTGGGTGTACGTGCGTGTCGTGCTGGGAGTGTGGCAGGACGAGAGCGCAGAAGAAAGAGAGAGACGACTACGAAGGCCGAGAAAGAGAGGCTCGAGGGTTGCGCAGAGCGTGAGTGAAGGCAATGCAACGGCTAAGTGCTGGACTCGCCTACTCGACACCCGAGCGGTTTCTGGGGATTGGATGGCGGGGAAAAAGGATTTGACCACTTTCCGACAATCGATTCCGTGGCTTGCAATGCCTCCTCCTTGACACCTCCCGAGCCTCGCTTCTTCTGAACCAACTGCTTCGTCTGGTGTTGGTTTTGGGGTTGCATTCGCTTTCGTCAACTTCGCGCTGTTACACGAGCCTTATCAGCGGGTCCTACCAACCATCATTCTGCGGAGGATTTCGCTGCTTGACATCACCGAGTCCTGACCGTGCCCCAGGGCTCGCTGATAGACCCGACGCCGGTTCAATCGGTAACCACGCCCAAGGGTACCCCCCAGCATCAAAACCTTCCAAAGCCGCCATAGGGCGAGACGCTTCCATGCGCCAAAGCTCAGAGGCCCGTGTCTTTGCGATGAGACACTGTTTAGTCACTGTGCAATGGTGAGCTGCCCGATATAACAATCATGAATGAGATTTTCTATTGCAGACAGCGAGTTGTAGTTGCCGAGCCTGTTCGCCATAGGTCGACATGATCGGCTCGTATGAATGTCTAGCGTGGGCTTCCATACCCACCGAACACCCTATTTTGACTTTGGCGCTCCCACGCGGCATCACGCGTGCAGCCAAGAGCGATCCTTGCGCAAGAATAGCCGCCCCTGCAAATCATCGCCTGCTCTGAAGCATCCGCCTAGAACGATTGTTGTACACTACTCGAGTACTATTCATACACGCTGACTAAACACTTTCCACCACTCAAACGCTTGCAACCACGCCGAAAAGAAGCCCAACGCCTCAGGCCTCGCCATCCGATTCAGTGTAGTTGATAGTCTGCTTGCGCCGAGGNNGTGCCAAGGGAGCCACCTCGATGCTGGTGCCTCCCGTCCACTCGCTGCCATTGGTAGGCGGATGCGCCTTTTGATAGCCGAGTCTGATTCGCCGGGCATCCTGATCCCACTGGGCTGCCTCCTTCTCATGTCGCGCTCGCGTCTCTTTTACCGCTTGCTGTGCCGCTTGCGTCTGCTCGATGTAGGGTCGCTTGACCTCGTCACTTGACATCCGCCATTGACGACCTACCTCAGTGCGGATCTCTTCTCGCAAAGCCTTAGCTGTGCTGTCACCGCTCGCTTTCTGCTTCGCCTGACTCAATTCCTCCTTGCAGCGTGCCCAATAGTCGTTCGTGAACAAAAGGTACGGGTTTACGCTTGCACCAGGCCTGGAGGGCTTCAAAGGGCGAGGGCCGAGTTCGGAAAGGATGGCATCAATGATTGCAGCCTCGTATGCTTCGTCCTCAACAGACTTGCTGTTGGTTGACGATCTGTAGGGATTCAACGGTGCTGGCGGATTCGGCATCACCGCAGGGAGATGTTGTACCGGCTCAACGACCTTCTTTGGCCTGCCTGGTGGTCTACCCGGAGGTCTACCTGGAGGTCTGCCAGGGGGTCTGCCTACCCGCTTTTGAACCACACTAGGCGTCCCTGCGTAGATGTCTCTTAGTGGTGACTCTGTACTAGCCATCTCGGATGTCCCTTCGAAGCCGGAGATCGCAAGGTTCTGTCGAGACAATACCAGAGGCTCTGGGACTGCCGTTTGGCCGATCATCGTGTCAATGACATCGGCAGCTGCTCTGAGTCCCGATAGATATGCGCCGTGGACAGTCGCAGGATGAGTACCGCAAGTGGCTTCTCCAGCGAAGTGAAGGTTCCCCACAGGCGCCGCCATAATGTCATAGTCCAATGGGCTGGTAGCAGGTCCAACAAACGAGTATGTGCCTCTTGCGAAAGGATCCCTCTTCCATCGTGTAACGATGACTTCGACAGGAGCAGGAACATTCTCAGCCCCGAACGTGCGCCTCAGCTTCTGCAGAGCTTCTTGTAGTAACGTTTCGTTGTTTGTGGTTTCCACCTCATGAGCTGCTCGACCAGACATGAGAGCGCTGAGTACTGGCCGACCGCTGTTCTTCTCGCAGTTCCACATCATGTAGAAGCGGCCACGACGGGCGGCATAGTCGTCAGGGTTCAGACTGTCCTTGTTCTCGGCGTCGTTGAGAAATCCGAACATGTCGTACTGGCTATCCCAGAAAGCGTGTTCGAAGACCATGACCACCTAGAAATCTTAGTTGTGATTACCTGAAGAAAGAAATGATGATGTTACCTTATTGAGGAGCCCGAAGCCCATTCGCTCAATGGCCCCTTTCTTCCAGTCTGGCAGACTTGGCTCGAAGGCTATGGTCTCGGCTTTGAGCACACCAAGTGGGGAGGTCAAAATGACTTGGTCGGCCTCAAAAACTTCTCCATTGGTGCACAACACTGTTGCTGAGCTGTCCTCCTCATCATCGTTGGCATTGTAGATGATTCTGTTCACGGCTGACTCGAAGCGAACGTCGAGAGGATATGGTAGCATCATGAGACCACGGGGCACCTGGATGTATCCACCTACCACTTCAGAATGTCGACCTTCGAACTCGTTACCGCTATCTTGGTCATGGCCACCCAAACTGAGATTGGAAACGGTAGCAGCGTTTGCGTATTCGAGATCGGCGTAGTGCCAGTTAAGTAGACGCATGTCTTGGGGTGTCAACTCGACCAGTTCTTGATACTGACGGATGGCTTCATCCATGGCTGCGCCTAATGTTGGCTTGTCCGACTCGTTGGCTATGGCATCAAGCGCGAGGGAATGTCTTTTTGTTATGCCAGGTCGCAATTGCCAACCAGCCGACCGTACAGCTTGTGCCGCTGTTCGGCTCGAGCTGTTGCCAGCAACTACCTGAGTCCTTCCTTGGAGCTTGGCGAAGCCCGGGGGCACAGCTTGTTGCCTTTCTTTGTTCAAAGTAGGAGCATTGGTCCTGTCCGTTTTGATCTCTACGGGATCTTGACAGACCTCAACATAGTCTGGGAGTCCCTCTAGTGTCTCTATAGGTGTTGGCTTCACGCGGAAGTCGCTCGCTCGCTCCAAAAGATCATTGTGAATCTTATTGACCATCATATCGCGCTCGTGGTTGACTGCGAGCCCATCAGAGTCGTACATTGTGATCTCATCCCACATAAGGTGATAGCGGAGGGCAAGTTGGCCACGCACGATTGCGTTCAAGGGATTTCCATGGTTGAAGCCAGTAATGATCTGAGCGCCCATCTCAGCAGTGTTTCGCAAGCCGTTTGGCAAGCTGTCAGGCACTTGCTCTCGAAGCGGATGTGAGTAGACGCGACCACCAACTCGTTTCCTTCCCTCCAATACGACGACCTTTGGAGGCAATTCTTCAACGTCGGTCCAGTGATCGCCGAGCTGCGCGAACAGCCCCTCAAGTTGTCTTGCACAACCGAGGCCTGCCATGCCAGCACCCACGACGACAATTGTTCTCTGTCTAGGTATTGATTTTCGCTTGGCGCTGAGAATGCCTGCATGAGGAACCTCGACACAACCAAAGTTGATGTAGCCATTTCTGACCAACCACCAATACGACGTATGTGCCAAGTCAAAGAAGCGTATGTCTTTTGCGCATCCAGCTGCTTCCTCCTTAGAGACGCTGACCAAGGGGTTTCGAACCCAAAGACGAAGGATGCCATTGCGGATGTTCAGATATGTAGTGACTTGGGCTTGTGTGATATGGTCTCGCAAGAGTCTGTACTCTCCCGGGTGCAGAGCGTACGGATTGAGGCGTGACGAATGAGCTGCTGAGATACACTGTCTTCCATATTCTTCCCAGGACATATGGATGGGGATGGATGATCTCGGACGAGCATGGGTTGTCAATCTGATGACCTTGGAGAATTTCTTCGTCTTTGGTGTAGGGGCTTTAGGGGCTGATTGTATGCGATCATCTCTCAGGGAAGAGTTTATCTCTGGATTCGGGCGTGCTGTGACTTGGATGTTAGAAAGTAGCGATGAGCGGCTGCTAGATGTGGCGTCATCTGAGGGACGAGTATCTTCAGAAGATAGAGCCTGTCTTTTTGTCGCCCTGTCGTCATCAGAACCCTGACTCTCGGGATAGCTATGGATCTCTTGAAAAGATCGTTTGTTAATCGAAGGCACGGAAGTGACGGATGATAGTCCAGTTTCGTCGGCGTCGAAAGAGCCATAGCGAAGAATGCCGTTAACATCGACCTTGGTCAGACTTGTCCCTTGAGCATCAGGAACGGTACTCAGAGGCTCGCTTTCGATGGAAGATAGGCTGGAGCCTGAATCTTCATCTCTTTCGAGATTGGTATATTGACCCGGTGGCCTTGATCGGACTTGATTTTGTGTAGTCGCTGAGGCTTCTGAAGCCTTCTCTTCGTCCAAGATTGTGGATACTATCTGCTTCACCTTATTCGGAAGGTTTCCCAGATCATCCAGGGCGGTGTGGGTATTACTGGATGGATCCATGTTGGCGATATCAGGATATGGAGGCAAATGAAGGGCGGGCGATATGATGGTGCATCGCTTCTCGATTCAAGTTTAGAGCATGCTCAGTTTTATAGCTCTGAGGAAAAGAGAGAAGATGCTTTGTAAGTATTGATGGGTCGCAAAGACTGATAGGCGTGGGCGCTGTATCGAGTGGGCGATATGTCTCGAATTGGTGATGGGTCTTGCAGCCGGTGTGCCCTCGGCGTCGCTTTTTCCGCGTCAACTTTGCTTCAACCTCACCTCAACTCTTCGTCTCCCATACTCCTTGCACGACGCGCCATATGTTCGCTTTTGCTGGCCCTGCTGTCAGATAGGCTCGCTGACCAGTGTCATGATTGTGATAGGCAGAATTATGCATGGCAGTATCATCATATTGTCGCATCGGTGACGATCGACCCGGCAGCTCCGCAGAGGGCAACTCCAACTCTGCTGCGCGTCAACAAACATGCGCGATTTCCAAACTATCACAAGCACAGCGTTTCGCACACTCTGAAAACGATTAGAGCCCGTCGCTTGATCTCGGATAATCGATATACGTAGACGTATCTGAAAGTCGCACAACTTGGATGGAGACTCGCGCAATACTTCAGAAATCCTTGGTCTCGAAATCACAAACTGATCCTCGTTGGTGGGATCCAACATCGCACCAGTTCGGCAGACCAAGCTTTCTTATTGTAGCTCCTCTTTCTGAATCGAACAATTTTGCTGATATCGCGTCTCAGAAAAACCATATACTCCAGGATACCGATCGACCATTCATATAAAAAAAAACACACATGCATATCTTTGACCGATATCTACAACGAATACATGAATGACTCCGATGCTGAGTCTCGTCGAGGAACACACACTGAACAGCAACGCACTCGGTTCCCGAATACGATTTTGAGGCTTGTGCCACATGCGAAGACTTGGAGGTGGAGGAGTACATTGAGGAAACCAATAGAAAGAGGCGTCAATACAGCGCTGGGCGAGCTGCTAGTCTAAAATTCGCTGCGTCAGGACAAGGATACTTGAGCTCTGCGAAACAGACGGTTGCAAGTCCAGGGCTTCGAGCGATCACGGCGGACCATGGAATTTGTCTTAGACGTGCATGCAGGCCTGCTTCCAAACAAACATATAAAAGTGAAAAGAGGTCAACGATCAGCCATGTACAGCTCAAGTCTTGTCGGATAATCTTCCGATCTTGCCCTAACTTGTGTAGCCTGCTCTGTAATTATAGGTCGATACCGACTGGCCAGAGAGATAGCCAATGTATTGAATGTGAGGACCTCGATCCTTTGATCTCCAGACCCAGCACGCCCATGAAAGTCGAGTGAAGTAGCAGAAGCCAATGAAACTTCTGCTATGAGTACCACAAAGGCACAAAGCAATCTGCCATATCAATCGCAATCAGTATCACGTGCAAAATGGCGATATTGAAACCTGATGTTTTGACCAAGTCGCAAATCAACTCCGCCCTCTCCCACTCACCCTGAGATTTGATCGACGCTTGATTTGATTGTTATAGGCACAATCTCTACAACATCTTACCGGACAATCGTCATTTCCAGAACCACACAATATCTCAAATACCAACATGGCGCAAGTGCGCAAGTATGCCGCGCTGCCCGACCTGGTAAACAAAACACCCAACAGCGGGCCGAGGGACCTGAAGCTAACAACCCAAACAAGNGACGAATCGCCAGACACATACGAGACTCCAGACCTGACAGACGACGCATCCACATTACCCACATCAACAGCATGGTCAGACACATCCGACACGGAAGCAAACCCCAGCATCAGCCGATCCAAGCTTCAACCCGACGAGGCGCGATCCCAGTTTCAATCTTCGCGGGTCGACGCACGAGAGACTGATTTCTCGGATCGAGTGAGCAGCAAGAGGAGGGCATATGTGGTGAGCAATAGGGAGCAAGATCAAGATGGCGACGACTACGACAGCGAGGACGAGAATGAGAGTTTGCAGAGGAAGCTGGCGAGGCTGAATAGGGAGATGCAGGAGGTGCAGAATGAGCTGGACAAGAGGAAGAACGAGTCCAATGGGACACAGGCACACCCGGAGGATGAGGACGTGGCTGCTCAGTTGGCTCAACTGAGTACAGCGCTGGACGGCATGCGCCAGTCGCAATCTGCACAAGCCCGTCTGAGCAAACAACTGGCAACCTCGACACCAGCAAAGGCAGATACTGTGGCAGTGCCAGAATCGACTCGTCCTGAAGAGGCCACCCAAGACATTGCCGACACACAAGCACTAAACAAGGTCGCCGACTTCGATGCCCGCCTCGCACTCCTCGAACGCCAACTCGGCATCACCTCCCTCGACACTCCCGAAGCTTCCTCTACCGCAAACTCAACCTTTACACCCATCCTACCCACCCTCTCGCTACTAGACCGCCAACTAGCCCTCCTCACCTCTTCCTCTTCTCAATCTCACATCGACACCCTGGCCCAAAAACTCCAACAGCAACAGACATCCCCCACGAAGCCAACCCCAGACGCCAACCACGACTCCCAATCTCCAGAAGACATGGCAAAACTACGTGCTCTCTATGCTCTTCTACCAACCTTGACGTCTCTGAGTCCTACATTACCTCCTCTTTTGACCCGTCTACGGTCTCTACGAACTCTACACGCCAACGCCGTGACAGCGAGCCAAACGCTCGACGAAGTGGAACAAAGACAAGACGAAGCAGACAAGGAAATCCGCGAATGGCGAGATGGCCTCAAAAAAGTGGAGGAAGCGGTTGCTAGAGCAGAGAGCGGTATGCTTAAAAACAGTGCTGCTGTCGAAACGTGGGTCAAAGAGCTAGAGGAGAGAGTCAAGAAGCTTGGGTAGAGAACAAACATACGAACGGAATATCTCCAAATAAACAAAATCTCAGCCACATGGATTTTTTGGGATTGGATGAAGTGATATGATTAAGTAAGAGTCTGATACAGTAGAAGAGTATGCCAACCCGATGGGAAAAAGAAACAAAGACATGCTATTTTGCTCGCCATGCCGGTCGAGAAGGTATCAAGTATGCGCCGTTGGAGATGCAAAAGGAAGAAAAACCACAGCCAGACACTTATGCCTCACCCTTCTCGGGATCATGCAGCTTTCTCTCTTTCGCGACCTTCTTGTCTTCATCCTCTTGAGCTTGCGCCGCAGCGTTTGCTCGCTGAGCATCAAGTCCAGTCTTTGTCTCGGTATGCTTCTTGCTGAGCTCCTTCTTTTGGATGAACAGACTGATAATCAGACCAAGCGCTGCAAAACATACATACATGATCCACATGGGATGCAAGCTCTGTGCGAATGCTGTTTGCGCGACCTGCTTTTGTCCATTGGGAAGGTTGTCGATGAGCTCGGTGTTGGCTCCAGCGCCACCTCCTGTCAACTGGGAAGCGGCTTGAGGACCAAGTGCTGCCACCAGGCGAGCTGTCTTGGTGTTCATCTGGTTCTGATACACGGTTTGACCAATGACGACAGAGATGGAGGTGAAGATTTGGCGGACAAAGCCAAATGTTGCTGTCGCTGTAGCAATATCTCTAGGCTGGACGCCAGTTTGAAGCGCGATCAATGGGGCTTGGAAATTAGGACNCTAGAATAATTGTTAGCTCTTGAAATGTAGAGAGATGAGGAAAGAACACTTACCAATGCCAATTCCGGCGATGATCTGGTAGATGATCAACTTGGCCCAGCTGCTGTTGGCTGTAAAGTCGACAAAAAGGCCGAAGCCCAGAACGAGGAAGACCATTCCGAACCAGATTGCGGGCAAGTATTGGCCCGTCTTGCGGATAAAGATACCAGTGGCCATCGAAGCGAAGGACAAGGATAAAGCTTGAGGGAGGATGTAGACACCCGACAATAGTGGGGTTGCGCCACGAGCAGCCTGGAAGTATAGAGGCAAGTAGTATGAAGCCGAGATGAAAACCATACCGTGAATGGCGCAGACACCAAGAACGGCAATGTTGCTCCTAGTCTGGAAGATGCGCAGAGGCATGACTGGGGATTTGGCAAACTTCCACTCATTGATGAAGAACAATACCATGGTGAAGACACCCATGATGATGAGGCAAAGGACAGTTGCGGAGTCCCAGGGGTAGGTGACACCTCCATACTCCAAGCCAAACAGGAACATGAGGACGCCACCAATGACGAGCAAGGCTCCAATCCAGTCGATTGCTTTTAGTCCTTCCCAGAGAGGAGTTCTTGGTGTCTTCAAGTCAAGGAAGAAGAAGATGATAACGAGGGCGGCACCGTCGAGGGGCAAGTTGATGTAGAAGCACCATCTCCATGAAACCTTCTCGGTGAAAACACCACCAATGACAGGTCCGATGGCTGAAGCCAATGCCCAGACACCTCCAATGATACCGAAGTAAGCACCTCTTCTTCTCAGACTGAACAAGTCGCTAATGCAGATGTTGACGAGGGTGACCAGGCCACCACCACCCACACCTTGGATCGCACGAGCAGCGATGAGCATTCCAATGCTGTTGGCAAGAGCGGCGATAAGAGAGCCGATGAGGAAGAGCAGGTTTGCAACAATCAAAATAGGCTTTCGTCCAAAGATGTCGGAGATCTTGCCCCATAACGGCACACTCGAGGCATTTCCTAGCAGGTATGCTGAACCAATCCAAGTATAACCTGCGGCCGAGTGGAAGTATTCTGAAATGGTGGGCAGAGCGGTTGTGATGATGGTGACGTCGAGGGCAGCGAGGAAGACGGCCATGCCCAGAGCAGTCATAATCAAAGCAATCTTGCCCTTTGATCGCTCTTCCAATGGCGTTGAATCCTTGCGCTCCAGCTGTGGCCTTTCTTGTGGCGGTACATCATCGTTTTTGGTGGATACTGAAGACGTGCTGTTGTTTTCGACGTCTTCTGAGAGTTGGTTGGCGGGTACAGAGTTCGTGGTCGCGGCTCCAGGACCAGCCTCTGCAGCGGCTTCTTCTCGTGCAACCTCTGTCGGTCGCCCTGTGTCGCTCATGGTGGCACAGATATGAGTTATTATGTCGGAAAGAGACTAGGGATCCTAGGTGTTGAGAAGGAGACAGGCAAACAGCGCGGCATGACTCTTTGCTTTTGTTCTGCAGATGATGCGAAAATGCACGCCTCCTCTACCGGCATCTCGGCCAAACATTCTAAAAGCCGTCTCGCTCTCCGTCCACCTCGGCCGACATGTCCGAGCAACTTATCTCTTTGCTCGCCATTGATCCTTCACCCATTTGATCCCTCGAACGACCGAACATCAAGACTTGTGTCGAAGCAATTAAACGAGTTTCGCACATACTCATCTCGAGACATCGCCGGTTACTGAGATTCGAGCATCGGTTGCATCACATCTGTCACTCTTCTTGGCGACAGATCTCTCTCCACACCTTGGTGAGGTTTGTTTGTCTTTTGGTGGAACGTGGGGGTTGTTCTAGAAGAATGACACTTACAACATCGCTCCACGATCGAAGAAGCCTTGTAGATCTGCCAGTCCTTACTCCCACCGCCATCATGTTGCACGACTTACCTATCAAGGATTCAGGCATCTCCTGATGACAAGAACACATTTCAAGATGGCCATCGGAATGGTTACACTTGGAGTAGGCGTCAAATCGGCATGCCCATAGTCACAGATCATAGCTGGCATTGCTCGGCAGCAATCTGAAAGGGAATCAAGATGAGGATCACAGTTGTGCAGGAATCAGATGGCAAACATGTCGATATCTCGCACTCCTCATGACCAATAGTTCTATCCTCTCGCGTTATCATTGCATTTTGTTTTGAGCAGCCGGACAAAACCTCCTGGAACTCCGATATACAGACCTCTCAACCATAACATGGACAACAGAGTTGGGTATATCGTCTGGACTGAGCAGGCCATGGGTGTCATGCTCATAGGCCAGCGTCAATGTAAGCTCAGCATGATTCTCCACGAGCAGAAACAGACTTTGATGCGTGTGATGCACTTCAAAGAGCGAAAACCTGAATCTTCCGAAATCATTGCATCTTCCGTTCGAACGACACAATGCACACATGCGCGCGACGAATTGTGCAGCTTGGTTCGGGAAGGAACAAAAACATCCACGCCAAACCCGAGTTGCCAAAACAACTGCAGCGTTGTTTACCAGGTACTCTCACTTGACACATGCCTTCTTCATTATTGGAGACTCGCCTTTCCTCTGCATTAAGCGCATTGGCGCTTGCTCTTTCGATCGCTTTGCAGTTGGCTTACACTCTCTCGTCACTCGGCACGCACTTTCGCTTCATTCAGTTCGCACTTTCGCTCCAGTCAAGTCGCACTTTCCCGTCACTCTCTCGTCACCAAGCGCGCATTCTCTCTTCAGTTAACACACATATTCTCTCCAGAAAACCGTCCATCTACAAGTGTTTACAACATCTTCATCTTTCACGATTACTTGGACAGCATGTGTTTCCATCGCTACACCGAGCACCCCTGCGGCCACCCGAGCACATCGATTGGCACATGCTCGATCGAAATCCTAGCCACAGCAGTGCCGTTTTGTGATCAATACAATGTTGTAAAGAACAAGTCATTGGATCTCTGTGGCGGCGACTACTGCAAAGAGGACAAGGAGACTGCCCATTGGGTTGAGAACGGATCAGCTCTACTGACAGCGTGCGAGGACGACCTTGCATACTTTAAGCACCGCCTCCAGACTCTTCACCGTCTGCTCCAAGCTTTTGAACAGTACAAACAGGCTTTCGGTGCCTTGCAAGAGAACGACACCAACAGAGCCCGTAACATGCACGACGAGTATGTGGCATTGCGCCAGACTTATTTAGACACCAGAGGCAGACGTCAACTCATCTCCGATGGTATCCANAAGGCCAAGGAACAGCAGCGAGCTGTTGTTGCAGAGAAGATGCGTAGGGTCCAGCAATACATCGATAGCCAGAGACCAAACTCTGGCCACCCTCCTTCGCCACAAAGCATTCCGAGAGTCATCCAGACACAAGCAAGAGGATTGCTAAAGCGCACTAGTTCAGGTCTCTGGGAAACTGGAGATACTTCTGCAACTCCTTGTCGACCTACCACCAAACTTGTTTCTCCAGTCAAAACCAAGCCAAAGCCGTCAAATCTTTCGGCCCCAGCCATCTACAGCCCTCCCTCTCTGGCGTCTCCATTTGCGGCTGAATTTCGCAAGACAGCTGATGTTCCCAAACCCTCACCACCTAAGAAGAGACGCGGAAGACCTCCAAAGGCCAGTAGAGTGGAAGACGTTGTTTCTCAACCTCAGGTCACCTCTGATACATCGTTCCACGACGCTCAAGTCAACAACGATGACTCGCCCATGGCTGATAACCAGCGTTTGGTGCCTAAACTTCGATCGGCCAAACGCAGCAACAAGAAGGAACCACCTGAACGGAAACCTTCATCATCAGGAGTACGCCGAAGCGGACGTGCCAAGCAGCGAATCAGCTATGCTGAATCACCAACTTCGTCTCCTGAACGACCTGTTCCAGATGAGCTCGAAGCTGAAGCAAACACAGTAGCCATCAGCCAACCTAAGAAATCAACGAGACTCACCAGAACTACAAGCGGCAAGAGTAAACCACAGAAGGAGAATGTGTATGCTACCGACGAGGAGGATGCAGCCATCAGTGTGGATGACGACGATGAATGGCAGGCCGATGGAAATATTGAAGAGGACGACATGGATTTTGAGCCTACGCCTGTTCAGAAAGTACGCTCGAACGCGAAGCGCGCCGCAGCATCTCCTCCCATGGATTCGCGTTCTCGTAAACGTCAAGCCAGAACTGTCCCTGACAACAACCATGGTCCCAGCCACTACCATGAACCAGCATCGCCAGACAACAACTTCCATCATGTGATCCCTGATCAGGGCAACAGATTGACGTACACCACAGCTCAGTCAACAAACTCAGCAGACGTCTACAACGTGCCATCGACGCCATACAACCACAACATGGCCAATGTAGACACGTCGAAGCTGCTGTATCATACTAACCCAATGACAGACGGAGTGACTCTCAATGCCACAAACTACCAGAGTCAGGATCCTAACGAGCCTGACATGTCACCACTACGTCGATCAGACTGGTTGAACGGACTGAACACGGCAGACATGGCACTATCACTCGACGACCTTGACGATCCCAACAACTACGACTTTGACGTCGATGCCATGAGCAGAGTCGTTGCCGATCTCGAAGCTCAGCAAGGCTAGATTGTTTGCGTGAGAAAGATGAAGCAATGGGATGAGCGATGGCAGTGCGCCAGGAAAACAAGAATGGGGATGGGTAAAGCAACGGGGATGGAAGTGGGCTAATACGAGTTCCGCAAAAGCGACACGATGAGATTGTCAAGAGAGAAAGCATGGAGGAAATCGACGAAGGACATCATAAGCAGTAGTGTAGAGGTAGCATTATCAGGTTTACCTTCCAGTATTCAAATCAAGTAACTGGCCACATTACTTGCTCGCATGGCCGAATTGTTAATGTATCTGTCAATTACAGCCTTCCTTCTTCTACAACACTCATGAGATAGGTATCTCGGTGCCGCAAATGTGGTACGAGAGCCACCTTGAGTCAAGTTCGAAAGGAACAAGTTCGACAGCATGGCTGATAATTGGGTACGAGACAACATATGGAACCAGTCCACTAGTTTCTGCGCATGGCCCTCTTCTTTCTGCGCTCAAAGTCTCTGCCGATATCACCAGCAGCACCGCCTCTACCACCATCATCGTCAACCTTTCTCTTCCTACTCCTCTCCAAAGCACCGCCCACACCACCAGCACCAGTTCGTTCACCCTTCTTCGTCAACCTATCAATACGACCAATACCCTGACCCAACAAATCCCACTCTTCACCACCAAAGCCACCACGCTTATTTCCACCCTTCTTTGCTCTCTCCTTTTTACTTTCTTTGGGCAGACGCACCAAGTTCGACTCTTCGTAGGCAGTACGCTCGGCCTCTTCCTTGCGTTCACGGGCAGACTTGTCGCGGCGGCCGCCGGCGGTGATGGTGCTGCCGATGGAGGGTTGAGCCGTGGGGGCGCCGCTGAGCTCGTCGGCAACGTATTCGTCGATTGTGTTGCTGCGCATGGGTTTGCGGTCGCCCTTTTCGCGGCGTGGAGAAGGGGGTGCGGGCATGGTTGTTGCGTTTATGCGGGNGGGTCTGTAGATGCCGTCGCTTGAGGCTTCGGGCTTTGAGGAGGAGGAGGAGGTTGCTTCGTTTGCTTCCGAAGGGCGAGTGAGGGCGCTGGGGTTGGGGCGGAAAGCGAGACCGTCGTCGGAGTCTGCTTCTGAGGCGTCATTGTCGTCGTCGTCGGAGTTTTCGTCAGAGTCGGATGCTGCCGAGGCTGCTGCTGCTGCGGCGGTTGATTGTTTGGCAACTGCGGCTTTCTGTACGGCACCGCGGGCTTCGTCTTCGGCGGCGCGGACGACCTTGTCGATTTGGTACTTGAGTCTGTCTTCCAAGGGTCGCACGCCCTTTTCCAGGTATACGCGGTGCTTGACAAGGTCTTTGACGAGCTGGTTGTCGAGATCGCCAGCATTGGTCTTTCCATCTTTGGCGCTACGAATGACGGCCAAGTTGCGAAGAGCCAGGGTCTGCAGATATGAAAGGAAGAGCTCGTTCTTTGCGTCCAGAAGAGTGATGCCGTTTGCCGGAGGAAGAATCGAGTCGCTAGTCGGCAGCGCCGGAATGGCTGATTCCAGAGAGCCCGTCAGGCTGGGGAGTATTGATGCTAAACTTGTATCCATGTTTGCTGTTGCCATTGTGGTGCTATGCTGGAAAAATAATATGCGTTCAACTTTTTGAGAATTTCCCAAGCATGCGGCGACTTTTTCGCCGAGAGCCCTGATTTGTTTGACTTGTTTGTTGCAGTCTTCAATCACATGAAAGCAGGGTCCACTTTGACACATTCACCTTCAACCTTCTTCTTGATTTACAGACTCTTGATTGGCAAAATATAGGGGTATCATAAGTACTAACTGATGAGAAGAGCAAACCCGCGTTCTCGCACCCCATCATGTCGACGTATGCTGGTCCCCATGTGGGATCATGTCCGAGCACGCATTTCAACAAGAAAGAACCAGAGGCATCATCGCTGTCGTAGAATTTCTTCCAAAAGGTTCAGTATAGGCCATTATCGGTAACGGGGGAAATGGAGTTGAAGAGGAAAAGGCTTTGCGCACCTGTGAGGAATTCTTCGCTTCATGGCTGTTAGCGTACTGTCACGAGCGTTCGAAACCCAGCCGAGACTTACAAAGATAGAGTAATGTATCCGTCACGGTCATCGTCATACTTCTTGAAGACATCCGTCATACGCTTCAAGCTGATACACGCCTGGACGAACAAATCAAAGCTGAGCGTCTTCTCGCGTCCACCTCCATACGATTCATCGCCTCTCCCGCGTGTCGTTCTCGCAAACGTGTTGAACAGCAACTGAATAAATTGAGGACTCAGACGATAGCCAAAGGCGACGAGAGCATCCGCGAACTCTTGGAAGCTGATATTACCCGAGCGATCGACGTCGAAGCGGTCGAAGAGGTTGCGCCAGGCGGCCAGGAAACCCCATAGGCCGCAGAACTCGTCAAAGTTGATGGTACCGCTACGGTCCGTGTCGAACATGCGGATCATCATGCGCACAGTGTGTGCGTCGAATGCCGTGTAGTCGCCGTTTACCAGAGCGCTGCGCAATGAGGACTCGCTCAGCTGGCCATTGCGCTCCTTGTCTACGGCCATGAACAGCGGCCATAATGCCTCACGGCTGTTAGGGTCAGGGTTCTGAGGTGGTGCGACGGTAGGTGGGCGCTGGGCTTGAGGGATCGGAGGACGGTTGTGATATCCAGATGGTCGAGGACCTTGACCATAGTTGGCTGGAGGAGGTGGTGACGCGAATGCATTGCGTGGAGGGGGAGGAGCACCGCCAGCAGCGGGAGTAGCTGAGGGCCGTAGCCACTGTTACTGCTGTACCGCTGCTGCTGCTGATGTTGTTGCGGCTGCTGAGGCGGCGGGTAGTTGTCATAGCGCTGCGGGGCGGAGCCCGTGGCGGGAGATTGGTGACTGGGTGGGCGCGAGTACGACTGTGACTGCTGAGGCGGCGGAGGCTGTGGTTTGTTGTGGTAGCTGGCTGTCGACGACTGTCTCTGGGGATGGTTTTGCGACAGCATGGCCGCTGCCTGGTCGGGTTCGGCGTGTCTAGGAGAGCCATCAGCCGTGCCCGATGCGCCCAGCGTGCGAATGCGACCAAACATACGCTGGAAGGGCGTCTGGGTTGCCCGAATATCCTCGGTTGTATGCCATGTTTGTGTGTGTCGATGTCAATCGAGTGAAGAAGAGGAAGTGAGAAAGGCGGCCGGCATACGCATCAAGTAATCATCTGCCATGGCTGAGCTGCTGAGCCAAGGGAGCTCAAGTCCGCTTCCTGATTACCAGCCCCACCTGTCGCCCATGACTCGACCACATACCATCCTCCCGTATTACTGCCGTATTGCGTACGCTCATCTGAACTTCTTGTCTTCTTGTTCTGCGTTGACGCGCGTATTAATTGCATCCCCTATAAGTACTATCTGGATGCTGCGTTATAGTTACTGTCACTAGTTAATAATTCACCCCAATCGTTCGACATTCACTCCCTTCAACTTCTTTTGATCTTGCTCAGACATCCTCGCAATGTTTCGCTGTGTCCATCAACGCCTTGTGCATCTGTAAATCACCATGCAACCATTACCTCACCACCTCTCTAATCCTTCGTTCTCTTTCCACCTCCTCCTGCTTCTTCCTCCGCCTTTCGTTTCTTCTCATCTTCTTCTTTAAACCCTGGTCCGTTGAACACGACCGGCGTTTGAAAGTTGAGTGGACTCGGCATCATATTGTTGTCTCTCCCGAACCATGCATCGGGCCAGAATGATGAGGGACTGGGCAAGAGATGGTTTCCATCCATGACCCGACTAGGTAATGCAGAGAGCGGTGTTTCGATGTGATCTCGCTCACGGTTTACATGTGGATTCGTGCTGATAGGCGGTGCCGGTCGCGCAAACGGATTAGGCGGTCCAGATGCACCCGCAGAGAGGACTGCATTCGTAGATGGTGATGGAGGTGGAAGAACTACCCCTTGGCCAACACGCATCGGCGTCGCGGTTGTACTACCATCTTTGGGTGATGAATCTGCTGTCGCGCTGCCTCCATCTGATTGTTCACTAGGGATCTGCACTTTCAATCGTGGTCGTTTTGCTTCGGCGGCTGCACCTCCTGGGCGTATGGGTCCGGGTATTGAAGACATGGAGCCTGTGCGTTGAGGAGGTCCTGGAGGAGGCGCTTGCATGGTAGGATTAGACGTCGCTGGTGGTGGTTGTGCAGCAGTTGCTATTGGCTCGGCAGGTTGTGGGCCTGCCTCCTCGATCCTTTGGCGTGGTGCAGAAGAAACATCGACTGAATGTGAGCGGGGAACTTCGGTCTTTATGACCGGATCCCTGTAGTTGGAAGCACTTCCACCCCAATGCTGAGCAAGGAGCGAGCGGCTATCGTCAATCGGCGTAAATATACTATGCGATCTCGCATGAGCTGGCAAAGGTCTTGGTTGGGGTAGTGGAGGACTTTGGAAAGTGTTCTGGTCAGGTTGAGGAGAAGGTTGTGCGCTGTGTGACTGGTTCTGTTGATATTGCTGCTGTGGTGTCGGAATATGTTGCTGGGCGCCTGGATGGACCTGGCTCATGAAGTGTGGAGGAACCGAAGACTGCCTTCTCTGTTCTTGCAAATATGCCTGCTGAGCAGCAACTTGCATTTGTTGTTGAGTAGGTGGAGGGTAAGCGGCGTAATATTGAGCAGGTTGGACGGCGAAACCTTGCGGGGTAGGTCGCTGCATGACAGGGTTCGGGGGAGGAGGATGGTAGGGAGCGTTCGGAGAATAGGCATATGTAGGCTGAGGAGCAGGTGGTTGCGACGGGGTGCCCATGTGTTGAGGCACCAGGTTCGAGCTAGTACGGCGGAAGTGCGAAACGCGCGAAGAAGGACGTGAGCCGTTCGGCGGCTGAGGAGTAGCCATGCGCTGAGGGAAGGCGGGCATGGCGCCATTTGGGATGGGCGGCGAGGCAGAAGGCGTGGAGTTTCTCATGTGCTGCAGGCCGGGCTGGTGCTGGAGAGGGTGTTGGATCATGGCGGGCTCTGGCGGCGAGTGCGATTCGTGCTGGTCGACGGGCTCCTCGTCTCCCTCCTCATCGTCGTCACCACCGCCTTTGCCCTGGAAATCAGCGGGTCCTTTGTGTTCGTGTGCGCCGCCATANNCTGTATAGAGTCAGCGATGGTTCGCAAACGAGATTGCTGGCTGCAGATGATAGCATACATATTGGAAACGGGCGACGGTCTCATGAATGTCGCCGGACGAGAACTCGTAGAGCTTCTTGTTATTACCAAAGATGATGACAGCGACATCGACAGAGCATAGCACGCTCAACTCGTAGGCCTTCTTGAATAGACCGCCTTTACGCTTCAAGAAGGTNNACTGCCACAGCCGTTAGCACGATAGCTCAAAATAGAAGGGAGGCGGTGGTCCGTACACGCTCCGATTCCTGTCGTCCTTGATGGGACGGATCTCAATCTTGCGTCGACCCATTGTCGATGTGCACGCGTGGAAGGCGTGGACAGTGAGTGCAGAAACGGAAAAGGTACAAATTCAACTTTCATGCGACAATCAGGATGGTCGGACGCGCAATAAACGGATGGCTGTCAGAGGCTTGGCTTCCTCTGTTCTGGTCTGCTGGGAGCGTCTCGTTACCGCTTGCTGAACATGCAGCGTATGCAAGTCGTGTCGTATGTGCTTGAGCTCCTCGTAAACCTGCGCAGAACAGCTGCGAGTTAACGCGTGATAAGAGTGTATCCTCTGCGTCAGATCGAATGCGAAAAGTCAGCTAGAGCCACATGCGGGAAGTGGTGCTCCTGAAATAGAACTTGGAAGCTCGGTCGTAACCACCTAACGCTGAAACTTCCCCTCTGCTTGTCCCGATGTTCAGAATGCTGATGTTATCCAGATGCCAACTGATGTTAACAAGCAGCCATTCGTAACGGTACACCGATCGCTCCTTTCACCTCTTCCATGAAACTCGTGGCACCCGAACTTCCACCCTTTCGTCCCCGATACCCGCCATTGACCATTTCGGCTACCTACCACCCATTCAGTCTGCGGCAACTCGGCTTGTACCTCCCTTGGCGCTCGTTGTGCTGTCAGGACTGACCGCGCTTTGCTGCATTGAGGCTGGAGCAGGCACCGACTAATATGAAGTGCAAGGGCAATTTTCTGTTCGTGCGAGTCTGTTGTCGCCTGTGCATGTCGTTCTATGGAACTTCTTCTGCACACTCCCTCCGCACGCAACTTTTTCGAGCTTCCAACGTCGGATATCGAAAACGATACCTACTTTTCCGTGATAAAATCCGAAACTCTATACTCTTCTTTCTATCCATCACAAATACGACCTCTGTCAGCTACATCTCCTAGACACACGACAGCTCTAGAAGATCGAGGTAGGTAAAGTAATCATTCAGTCATATAACAGCTCTCTCTTGTACAGTATGCATCTAGGATTGCTGGGGGTCGTGACCCCAGTTCTTCAGCGACTTAGCACTCTTGCTTTCCGGATCCTGTTTTGCCTTTCCTTCCTGGGCCAGATGGCGCTTGTTATACGCCACGACTTTACGCATATGGCTAATGTCACCTTCGTCGTATTTGCTAGGATCTTTCTTTGGGTTCTTCTCCAAGATTTCGATGATCTTACGACCACNTACAAAAGATTGGATTAGATTTCGTTGCAGCATTCCACGGATTGATCTCGATTGTACTTGCCTCTCGTGGCCGATGGTTTCACCCGAACCGTCATCCTTAGACCACCCTGCACCAGCAGAGTCCTCACCACCGAGCCATTCCTTCAGCTGGTCTGGACCCATGTTGACGAGCTCATTGAACTCCCTAACACTGCGTCAGTTCTGTATCCTCCTCGGGTCAAGCCGAAACTGGCAAACCCAAGACGATTGCTTACTTGATGACTGTATCGTTGTCTTTAACCTGAAATACAGTCAGCATCGTGATTGAAAACATGGCACTACGTTACAACGGCTCCACCACTGCCAACCTCAGCATCTCCGATGTAGCATGACAGGAGGTCAATGAAGTATAGCTGGTACTCATCGGGAGTATGGCTAGTATGACCGACAGCAAATTCATTGAGCGAGATGCTTCTCTCTGCCTGCATAATGCTGGACACACCTCCGGGATATGGCGTGTATGAAACCAAGCGATATAGGTTGCCAAAAGAGGCTTGGTGAACGTACCATTTTGGGAGCTGAAATTGAAAAGTTGCGGGCTGGTTGGTGGTTATATCGCTGGAGACGTAATGGAGATCTTGTCAGTCGAGCAAAGGTATACATGAGATGCACGGGGGAGTAGTGTTCTTTGAAGAAGCAGTTCAATTCATTCCAGTTACAGCTTGACATCATGAATGACATCATGGAAATTTAAGGAGATCATGCTCTACCACCTATCATTCTCATGAGTGTATGCAAGAAGTGATGTTTTTGATACTCCAACTCGCTGACCACGAGTAGGTATGCATGAAGTTCCAGTATCGGTTTTATGCAACCAACTGCCGCGATAGTGCGTTCTTCATCGCAATCTACAGATAGCATGCTGCAATCTACAGGGTCGCATTTGGCATTTCACATGCTTGGCCTTTGCTCAGAACTAGGTTTGCGGGTATGGGCCGTTGGCGTTAGAGAGCCTTTGATTAGCGCACCCTTGGCCGCCAGAGTTAAATTGCTATAGAAAAAGTGTCTCGGAAACACTCGTCTTGCGGCGCGCGACTCGCGGTTGATGGTACATTCAGGGACCAGGGGTTCCGACTGCGACGAGGGCTGTAGGAGCAGGCGGGCTGTCTTGATCGCCAATGATGTGCTGGCACCCTTCTAGGATCCGGTTACAGGCCAGATTTTACCGCTGGCGACGTCGCCGGAGGTCAAGAAACAGGGACATCAGTCAGTCGTTGATGCACGATGTTATCAGATAAAGAATAATGGAGGGGACCTCGACCAACAAGGTGGTTTCGGCTAGCACGCCCGCTCGAATCAGCTACTGCAAGCTGTAAGTTGCTCAGTGCAGTGCAGCACATCCAGGTAACTAATAACTGCTGGGCTGCATCCCTTCTGGCCATTCATTAGGCCAGCCAGCTGCTCCATGTTCTTTTCTCCCCCAACTCACTGACAGCTCTTCGACTCGAGTTTGACACTTCATACAGTTTCACCTCGGGTGGCTTGACGGAAAGCAGGATCGACCGCGGGCAGGACGCACCTGGTAGATTTGCATACAAGGTTATTTTATTAACTTACTCAGTCCTCAAAGGTACCGCCAGTTCCCCGATTTAGCTATTACCCTTCTTGTCTCACCCCACTTCCCTCCTTCTCTCCCTCTCGCTCCTCTCCTCTTTGCGCAAGAGTCGAGTCCACCATTGGCTCTTTGCTTCCAGAACACATCAACTAACGCTCTCAATTGGTCTGCCAGCTACCCCGACGTGTCGACACATGCTTCCAATTGTTTCTCGAATATTCATACAGTATCTCTGAAAACCGACGAGCCCGCGACTTGTGGCCGCCGTCGCCATGGTGTTTCTTTCAAAGGTCTTCAAGAGCAAGGATGCAAAGGCGAGCGCAAAGCACAAAGTACAACAAGTGGACTCCAGTCAAGGGCACATGCCCCTAGCAAAGCCTAGATTTGTGTCGACATGGAACAGCAGAGAAATCGAGCCGGACGAGGTTGATGAGCTCATACAAGTGTGCACCCTGATTCTCAAATCAAGAGGTATGCAGCTCTCATGGCGTCACGGACCACGATTTGCTGACTGAACCTCCTANGCCGAGGCACTGGACACACCCTTCTTACTCCTGCCGTTCAGACCAGAAACCGACACCGTGCCAGCAAAAACGTTTATCAACAACTTCTTCAAAAGCAACCGTGATGGGGGCAGGAACTACACTGGCTCGAGCCTTCGCAGAGAGCTCGTTCTTACCGACCCGGCAGTACGATTGATCGCCCTTAGAACCTTAGCTCTGGCTAACGTGAGTGCANNGATTCTGTGCAGCATTCTCAAATGGTGCTGGAGTCGCATGCCTGGTGGTGTTGTAACCTGGCCAGTCTATCATGGCTTCTCTCTGGGTGAACGTGGTTTGTGCTCTCTATCTGCATGAGCCTATACAGTCAGCTAACTCGAGTCAGATTCAAACATGGCAAGAAACGCCTTCCATACCTTTATTCCCATGAGTGTCGATTCCAACGCCAGNAAAAACATCATTTACAACTTCTTCGACCTCTTGACCGCCATTGCCGCTCACGGCAAAACCAACGGATTTGGCGGCAGAAAACTATCGCGAATGGCTGGTTGGTGGGCATTCGAGCACTCGGACGACGGAAAAGGTTTTGAGGGAGGCTACAAGTCATGGGTGACGTGAGTTTTTCGTCCTCCGTGCACGCTGGTTAATGCTAACTGTCAANNAAGCTCTGCGGATGCTTCCAGTCATCTCTTTTTTGGCTACCTCAGATCTCTGAATCCCGAGGCTCTGGACGGCTTCACAGGCATCAACGGTCTACCACGATCTATCCAGGCATTGTTAGCTCAGACCGAGTACCCTCCGGAAGCGCCTATGCTCATGCAAAAACAAACACCCAAAGTCGTCATGCTTGTGGACGCCGTTTCTCCTGGTCCCTTTGCTTTACTTCGCAGAGCCAACAATTTCGAATACCGAGACGAAGATCTGCAGATGCTGTCGGAATTTGCTGATCCTGCTCAAGCACTGACCGAAGAATGCAGACGTGTTCTTCACTGCATCACCTCTGCAAACCAGTCTATGCCTGTAAGATCTCAAAGCAACATGAGTATTGGTTTGGAGAGTCTCAACAATAGGCCAGACGAATCTTGGTCACACTTCCAGGACTTTGGCTTCTCTTCGATCGGTGACGACTCTAATGATCTTACAAGTAGCTCATCTTCACCAAGCCTAGAGCCAAGACTGTCAGGACTAAGGTCTGCACCCCGTTCCCGCGCCGATAATGGCGGCCGCCCAACGACACCCTCTTGGGCCGATTTTCTGAATTCTGGATTCATCGATGAAGGCAACAACGTAAGGTCAGCACCTATAAGGATGTTGATGCCACCAGACAAGATGCTTCCTCCGATCAACAGTGGACTTCCAAGATCATCCAGTGGCTATCAAGAGGAGGATTTCAATCCAGGCGAACTAGCTAGTATCACAAAGTTCGATCTTGATGATTGCTTCTGGTGGGTCTGGATGACCAGTCTTGCTAGCGAGGAGCCTGCTGCAAGAAAGGCGGTGTTTGGTCGATGTGCCCTTATTGAGACTGGCATACTCCACGGCCGCTGGATCCTACTTGAAGAACAAATCAAGAGCGCTGCTCCTGAGCCGGGTGAGGGTGCATATATCGCTGAGAAGAAATCACGCTTTGGTTTCAGTCGTAGGTCGAAACAAAGCCGTAGAAAATCGGCCACTCTACCGCCAAACAGATATGACAGTCCTCAAGCAGAGCAACAAGCTGTGCCAACAACATCAAACATATCCAGCATCTCTCCGGACCAGCAAGCAAGAATCAGGGCTGCAGCAGCCACTCTTGCTCGACAGCATGTCAAAGCAGATGAAATACCAAACGGACAGCGACGAGGACGACAAGATGATGCTTCTTCAATGAAGACTAACAGCGTCTTGACACTGGGTCTGACGAGTGAAGCGGCACCAGCTATGAAGTGGGCCCACACATTCGACAAGGAAGTGGTACGCAAGCAGTACCTGGGCGATAACTTCGCTGGCAAGGGAACGCCTGTAGACATACATGTCCCTGATGATGCTTCTATGCTCGCCGAAACACAAGGATCCATGAAGCCTTTGCCTCCGCCTGATGCTCGGAAACAATCAGTCTCTGTCTCAGAACACGAAGTACACGCAACTTCAGGTCGACGAAACGCAAGCGTAGAAGATCTCCGCGTGGCTCGTTCGCCATCTGCCAGCGCCGAACCCCTCTCACTCAGTGCTTCCATCATCTCTGAACGGCCGGTCGTACACAACGCTACAGAGGTGCCGACTGTGTCCTCTGTACCCAAAGAGACCCAGGTAGGAAGAAAGCCGGTCCCGGAGCGTACCAACAATGTCCACAATCATCCCGCATTCAGGCCCTCTTTAGAAGAACAGAGACCTAAGAAGTCGGAGACTTCCGCAGTCAAGGCCGCAAGAGAAGCCTGGGAAGCAAAGGCTGCTAACTTCAGTCCTGATAAGATGGCTCACGAGCACAACAAACGTCCCAATGGTTTCAAGCGGATGTTCAGCAAGAGTCATAAGAACGACGACGGCAAAGGTCAGCAGCCATCAACTTCTATGACCAGTCTCGCTCCGCCTTCTGAAACGAATCTTGGAAGGAAGTTGTCTCTGCTTCGCAAGAAATCTACTACCCCGACTCCCCCAGCACAGCCCACGATGCCGACCACTGAACCACTGTTTCCTCGCCGTGCAGTAGCAAACAACCTGGCAGCGCCAATCTCGGAGCCAAGTCCTCCAGAAGTCAGCCCATTGGAGCCCGCATTTTCTCAGCAACATCTCGGAACTGATGACCACATGGTCTCCCCTATGCACTCCGAGCACAGAATCAATACCGACGAAGAATACAAGCGTTTTGACCAAGGACCTCTCTCGGACGCACCTGCCTGGACACCTCGCGAGTCTATCGATTCACATTTGCAAGCTCAAGCAGAGGCTGCTCACAAAGCAGACCTGGAGGCGGGGCATCTGAATGCGCCTGGTGGATACCCTGAGACTCCCATGGAAACTCCGATGGAACAGGGCTCCAGTCACCAACTCGAGACTGAGCCGGTCTACGATACTGCCCAGCCAGTTGCAAACAATCTCGATAGATGGGCACAGATCCGAAAGAACGCTGCTGAGCGCGCAAACAGAGTGAGTGAGGACCAGATCTCTCGCCGTCCATCTCACATCACCACTGGCACCGAAGATGAAGGCGATACCAGTGGTGAAGAGACCATCGAGGATCGAGTCGCACGCATCAAAGCTCGTGTTGCCCATCTTACTGGTAACCTGGAGAGGGCACCAACGAGCACGCCCCGCTACTAATTTCCGTCGTCATCTCGACATCTCTATTTCCTTTCTGGCTACCATCTTCTTACTGTCAAATGATGGCAGATGTCTGACACGCAAATCTCTCTAACGCCTGCGACGAACCAATAATACCCGCACACGACCACATACGGAATTTGCTTTCACTATAAGAGCACGTCAAGTCTTTATCGTCAGTGCATTCTAATAATTTTTCCCTGGTTTTGCTCTTTCTGGCGATACCAATCTGCACTCTCTGGTCTTTTGAATTTATGTTTTCCTTTTTCTCTCTTTCTCTCTTTCTCTTTCTTCTAATGGCTTGTACATGTTGCTACGTACCTGCTGGGTTCCAATGAAGCATTGCGAGGAAGGCGAGATATGATTGTACACTATCAAATAAGATCAGCAATGAATTTGACTCAATGTCCGATCAGGTCCTAGTGATGTTTGTATACCAACCCCACTTTTATGGCAGGTGGGGAGAGCTTGAGGTGGGGGATGACCCTGCTTGATGATGCGGTCATCACAACAACACTTCTCTTCATGATGAAACCAACATTGACAATAACGATTGCAAGTATCGAACTTACCTAGATACTTCAACAATGATCGAAGGCGAAGATCTACTTCTGTGCCCAACCTGCGGCACTCAATTCGATGCACCCGCATCCAGTCCACCATCAGGTTACTGTAGGATCTGCGATGTAAGTAAACGTGCACCAGATCCATTCGTCAAATCCTAGGGTTTATGAAGCTTACTGTATACTTTTTTGCAATACAGNGATCCTAGACAGTATATCCCTGCCAGTGGGCAAGCGTGGACGAGTCTGAAGGCCGAAGTGGGAAAGCACGAGACCAAGTGGAAGCAAGACGAGCAGGACAAGCGTATTTGGTCCATCTGGGCGGAACCAAAGGTATGTGCATCACTTTCAATTGTCTGAAAATGAAGACCGCGAAGGCAAACACGAACGGCGAAGAGGGAAGGACGTCTGGGAGCTCGTGGCTTCCTCGGGTCATCAATCAGTCGTGAATCCACAACAACAGATATTGGGAAGGTGCGAGGTGCTCGTATACAAAGCGTCGAACTTTCCTATGCAGTCTCTCGATTTTTCTTGATGGACCCACCCCACTGACTCTTTTCTGCCAAAACCAAACAGCTCGGCATCGGCCAACGAGCTCTGCTTCTACAGACCTCCCACGGCAACATTCTCTGGGACTGCATAGCTTACCTCGATCAACCTCTCATCGACTTTGTAAGCACATGAATAAAATCAACTCCAGCAACAATACCCTGCTAACCAAGAATAGATCAACTCTCTAGGTGGCCTAACAGCAATAGTGATCTCCCATCCTCACTTCTATACCACACACATCTCTTGGGCATCTACCTTCAACTGCCCCGTCTATGTCCATTCCCTCGATAAACTATGGCTGTCTCGTACGCCTCTTCCAACCACAAAGAGAGTATTGCTAGAAAAGCAGTTTGAAAAGATTGTGAATGGCGTCACTGCTATACAGGTAGGAGGACACTTTGAAGGCAGCATGGTTTTGCATTGGGACAATCATCTCTTCATTGCGGATACCTTTGTCAATGTACCTGTAAGTTTTGATTTCTACGTTTCGTCGTTTTCTATCGAGTTGGATGCGTATTGTGAGTAATTAGCAAAAAAAGCTGACGATTGCTGGGCCTCGCAAAACAGTCGGGTTTCTACCGCAAAGACAGACCCAAAGGCACGACTTCGTTTTCGTTCATGTGGTATGTACACGAACTTCCCTCCTCCTCACATACTCGCTCTCTACCGTGTCATAGAGACTCAACCGACTGTATACAGGAGCATTCCAAACATGATTCCTCTGCCTCCAGACACAATCCACGACATGTGGAAAGCGGTCAAACCATACGAGTTTACAGCAACACATGGTCTATTCACCGGCTGGGATATCAGAGATGACAATGTCAAGAAGAGCGTACTAGAGAGCATGAAGATTCAGGTCAGAAACCAGGGATTTGCCGAGCATGCTCTGTTGGACGAGGAATGAGTGGACGAGACCAGCGTACTGCTGCAGATGATGTATTTTGATCCATTCGAATAGCTACATAATTTGGTGACGCCGAGATGTGCTTAGAACAGGATAATATTCGACGCATGATATGCACAATGCCGCCTAGAATAAAAAATGCTTCCCATATGGATAACAGTAGGAAATGCTAGAAACCCGCTTGCGTGGAACAGAAAAAAAGTATCGACAAGAAAGTAACAAGAAAAGGTATGGGTATCTTTTGGGATCCGCGCTACGTGGCTGCGTAGGAAGAAAAAAGGTGGGTGAGCTTGAAATATGTGTGCCAGTCGGTTGGATATTCATTGCCGAGCTGTGATCGAAGAGAAATGCTTAGAGATTGTCGTAGGTTCGTGGAGTATTTCGTAGGTTTCAAAAGAGTGTATGCGTCTGGTTGACAGCTGTGAATGTTCATATCGAGGTAATGCGTGCACCCATGGTATTGCGCTTTGGTCGCAGGTTCATGACGGATTGGAGTTCACGGATCATGTTGGTACTCGAGTCGCGCTTGTCGCGCATTTCGGACAGACGGACTCGCTCCTCTTGCATCTTAGCGATGCGTTCCTCCCTGGTCAAGGAACTGCGTTGGCGTGGTATGTGCAGAGATACGCCCTCAAAGACTTCTTCATCAGAGCCGGATCCTGCAAGACTTGATCTGTTTGACTTTGATTCGCCGTTCAGAGCGCGCAGGGCATCAGCCGGTCCGCCCTCTTCAACAGCAGTCAATCCACCAAGGCTTGGGGCTGGCGAACGAAGACCACTTGATGCTTGCGAGATACGACGCTCCTGCTTGTCGAGATTGCTTGCAAGAGACGCCTTGCCATTCTCCCAGGCTTGCATCAAGATCTTGAGATCGGCCCCGATAGACTCGTACTGCGACATCAAGTTCGGGCCAAGATCAGTCAAGTCATCTGAATCTTCGATTGCCTTGGTGGACTCTTCTCTCATCAAAGCCATCTTCGCTTGTAACGATCTGATGCCTTGAGAGAGGTCGGTGATCTTGCGGACCTGTGTGCGTAAACGCTCGCCAGCGGGTCTGGTAGAGAGCCTTGCCTCTCTAGGAATCGTGAATTCCTCAACTTCACGAAGGAGTTCACTCAACTTCTGTGCCCAAGTCGCAGTAGTAGTGCTGAGTGAGTTCATGATTTTGGTTGCGGCCGACCAGCGAGCGAAATCGGGATTACCTCCGTCAGCCTCGAGGGACATGAGGGAGCAACAGACGACTCTTCTGAGAGTGCTGTACTGATAGCTGACAACGCGGAGACTTCTAAGGGATTCCGGGTCGTCTTCTTCCAGAGAGACAAATGCAGGGCTTACAGCCTCCTGAACAGCGTGGTGAGGGATGTCGTAGACATCCAGGTATTTCTCCATGTCATCCTGGTTTAGCAAGACCTTGAGCGAGACGGTTGCATCCCTGAAGGCAGGCAATGCTTCGGTGTAGGCTTTGTTGAGGGCACCACGCAGTTTGGCGCACTTTCGGTTGACCTTGACATCGTCGAAGCGGGAGATTGGAGGGAGTGGGGTGCTCCTGCGATGTATTAGCAGATGTCATAGGGATCGCCAGAAGCCTTCATACAGTCTGTAGCCCTTGGAGACAAGCTCTACCTCTTGGATCAGAGATAGGGCAGCGGAGGTGGTGATGTCAAAGCCACGAGCATTGGTAGTCAGCGAGGAGACACTATCCACGGCCTGGTGTCTGAGGTACTGCAGCCACTGCCGACGAATGTATGCGTAAAACAAGACGCCAGCTACGGCAGCGCATAGTAGTGCTAGTAGGATACGACTCTTGCTCAATCGAGAACCGCGAAGCCAGTTGAGTAGGAGGACAAGGACAAAGGCAACGCCGGCGGTAGCGGCGACACCTGAGACGTTCAACGAGGCATTTGGGGTCAGGTCTGTGTGGCCGAAAGGAGCACCGTTGATCTGGGTAGTGTGCAGCGAGCCGAGATCCGGATATTCGTTGAGGAGCTGCGAGGCGACGATAAGATAGCGGAAGTGTTCGAGGAAGCGGTTGTTCTCAGCTCGGCCGATGCGAGAGTTGACGGCACGCTATGCTATGTAAGAAGGCGAGATGGAGTGGAAGGGCAGGCGGAGAGGCAGGCATACCGACCAAGCGTGGTGAAGCTTGGAGATGGTGCCCTGGGCAGGGAGTCGCAGGTTTAGGGGCTGGGTGAAGCGCTTGAGCGAGGGCTTCTGCGGTGCGACGGACGGAGTGAAGGGAGGAGTATGCGAGGGCTCGTGGTTGAGATAGTTGAACGAGTCGTCGGCGGTGCCATGGCCNNTGCAGCTTCGCTTTAGTGGGTTTGTCCGGTCAAAGAGGAAGGCGCGTCTGCGTGACCGACCTTCGAGCAGCGCAGCAAGCGGTCCATCGTCTTCAAAGTAGCTCTCCATTCACGCGGCCGATAGCACTGTCCCTGTGTAAGTGTGGTCTACCTCGTCGCGCAAGAGGGTCGAGATAGAGCCAGCAGGTGTACAAGACGGAGATCAAGGTCACAACAGGCCCAAGGCCATCATATCCGCGCATCCAGACGTTCTTGCCTTCTAAATGAGATGCGATCATGCAACGTGGAGTAATTAGCGCGAAGTCTAACTGCACGGCTCGAATGCAGGGACCTGCCAGACGCGTTCCCGCCATGCCGGCTGAGTGCCACGTTCAACTGACTCGTCTGCCCTCCGCACTGTTCATCTGGTTGTATACGCGAGCAGGAACACCCGTCGGCTCGTTGCTTGGGAAGACGAAATTGCACCTGGATGTATACGTCTATTCATCAAACAACTGCATTATTGCCTCTCGCCTAATACACATTACATCCGCCACCTGTTCTCCTATCCCATCATCAGCCCTGCATCTCGCAGCTCGGCCAAGTCACCCCCTTTGACTACCGCCTCCAGCACAGCCTGGCTGAACCTTCTCCGTTTCTCCACTTGCTCCCTTTCACGTCGAGCTTTGGTCTTGCTGCTGCCCGAGGGTGCCACTCCGGTCAACAGCTTCTCGCTATCTGATGGCGTGTAGTTCACAAAACTGCCCGATGATCCTCGTGGGCTATGCATCTGTCCTGATGACTTGCGACTGTGCCCTTTCGATGAGGGTGTCCGCCGTTGACGCCGCCGAGGTGACAGCGTCTCCGATGATGGTGTCCTTCGCTGACGACGTGATGTTGACGGTGTGCGTGACTCTTTTCTCGATCTGCCAATGTGCATCTCGCTCACCGTCTCCTCGACTCGTGACGGCGCAAGTGTAGGATCATAACATATCCTCAGGCCTGACATTGATAGGTCGTTGTGATTGCTGGGAATCCTTGCTATTGGCTGGGACCTTATAGGTTGATGTAGGTTGATTTCGCTTTCGTCGCCCATCCAGGGACTGAAAGTTGGCGAAGGTTGGTGAATATCTTTTGCATCGAATGAGTTCGCACTCCACAGTCTGTTGTGCTGAGATGGTTCGGGGTACACGCTCGGAACCACGGGTGAAGGCTCGTTCAGTGCTGAGATCGGATATGCAAGTGTAGCAGGATTGCATGTTCCGATCTCCAGACCTTCCGCATCAACGTACTGGTTGAACACGTTATCATACGGTGAGGTCCACTGAATTTCCTTGCTCAATGATCGAGCACGATTGGGCCGTATGGGCAGTGGTCGAAAGGGGTAAGTGTATTGATGAGTAATGGATGCCATTGCAAGGATTCTGAGGGGTAATGTTGCTGCGAGGGAGTGTAATGTTTTGGTCGGAGACAGCGATACACAAGCCAGCTCATGCAAGGTATTATATGCGGCATTGGGCAGACCAGTCGAGTGGCTGGGGATTCGTATGGAATGAGACCTTTACAATGACCAGTCTTCCTGATCTGGTGCGTGTCCGAGTGATCGGGCTTCTTTGTTCGTTCCATGGGGCTACATTCCTTACCTTCCAGCCACCTGATCTGGTCTGATATGAAGTGGTGCTGCTTTCGCTACAACTCGTCTCCGGGTGTCATTGATTGACGCTGGCCTCATAAATCACAAACCCTTTCGGTTAGCTCCAACCTTCCTTTCAAATTAGTATGGAGACACTTTCCAGTCGTGTTCTACCAGGACAAGATCCAGAATGACGTGTCTTGTCATGCGAGGAATGCTAGCCATCCACAGTGGAATGTGTCAGTAATTCTGCCAAGTAGTCTCCAACCACCTGGGTCCTTTGTTCTGCAGTTGGTCTAATCATGTGGCCGCATTCAGAAGGGCTGGAAAGACGGTGCGGGACTCTTGAAGATGCAAGGGAAGTGTAGGTTGTGTATATACAAGGGGTTTTACGTGGGAAGTAACAGAAGTCTACTTGTCGAGGTTCTTCAGCTCGGGCATGAAAGCCATACCTTGACCACTCTTGCTGTCCGGTTCAGCCTCGCCAGACTTGTCGCCTTCCAGAACACCTCCAGCGCTGCGATCCTTGACGTGCTGTCTAAGCATGGCCAAGACCTCGGAGTTCTTCCATCGTTGGGGAACAGGGCGGTAGGCGGGCTTGAAGAGACCAACAGTCTGGGCCCATTCGCCTGTGCCAGGTGGGCGAACAGGCTCATCTTTGGCGGANNGCTTGCCCTGGGCTACAGAAGTAGCCTGCTCGGGACCACCTCCTTCGGCGTATTCCATGGAAGTAGGAGTGGGCTCCTGTGTGGCCCAGTAGTAGATGTCCCAGTCGTTCTCGTCAAGGAAAAGATCGTATTGTTGGAGTTGCTTGGGGGTCATTGTTTCGAGGTAGCGATCGGCAAAGGTGGACATGAGGAGGTCACTCTCTAGTGTGCCTCTTTTTCTGCTTTGGTCTGTAGAAGATGTACTCGTTAGCAGTGGCTTGGCTTTGTCAGGAGGGCGTGAAAGTGATTGGCGACGAACNNATAAGAGTCTAGCCCGAGTGGTGTTGGTGTCTTCGCCTGTCCTCCTCAAAGGCTCGACACGGAAGGAACCCCNCTCGAGTTCACCTACTTCAAGATCGGAGTTGACGCCAGACTCGGGACTGCCCTGCTGGGTGCCTCCGGTCATTCTCTCAGTGTTCTCGGGCACAGAGTCCTTGGCAGTGAAGTTGGGGTCGGTGCTGGTGATCAACTCGGGAGGAGCGTTGTCCTTGCCAATGCTGGGCATCTCGTTGGCGATGGTCGAGGTAGTGTTGGTCATATGGGGATTGAGAGGCGTCTCCATCTGAGCCTTGCGGTAGACATCGACGTTGTCGTGGATGCGAGCTTCGTGTTCTGCACCGAGACGGGCAGTGACGGAGCTGAAGGGACGCACAACGCGAGGGGCGGCACGAAGAGATCTGAGGACAAGTCTTGCTGAAGACATGATATGTGTGTTTGGTGATGTATGTAGGTGTAAAAGGTCAAAGTCGAGATCGAGAGAACGAAGAGAGCTGCTCTCGTCTGGGGTTCGAGAGTCGAGATCTCAGGCGCAAAAGCTCGACGTCATTTTGGAATCATCATCGAACTTCTAAAGTTTGTCACAGCTAGTTATCATCTATGGCAACTCGTACTATCGAACTCTTTTCACCTAGCCATCAATCGCATTACTGCTACAATGCTTTCTTCCTCTGCAAGGTGTTGTCTGAACATCAGTCTTGTAGTCCTGCTAACAAGACAACCAAACGCACAGACACCTGCACTCGTGTCTGGAGCGTCCTTGACAGTGACGGACTGAAACTTGACATGATGTGCAAGTCAGTCATACTCATTCAATCAGTGAAGTGCTTCTCTGAGGTCAATAGAACCGTGTTCGTCGCATCTTGAGTCCGTTTTTCGCAAATTCTTGAATCAGAGACGGATTATTGGCAAGCAATGGTTGCCTCATTTCCTGTGTTTGTCAAGTACGAACAGATGAAGCCCGTACATGAGACTGGGAAGGAGCAGAGTAGAGGATGCTGGGGATAAGAGGGTATGTGCAACAGAATAGCAGCTTCCCTGTTAGCACTCATCCAACATCTAAGCCTTGGATCTTCTTTCACTATCCCAACTTTCAACTCTAACATCCATCCCCGACTCCATCGTTACATGATCAATATCCCTGACACCTATACCCATCGATACAAGGCCCTATCACCATTCTTCGTCCCATCGTCAGCAGTATCACCATGTCTAGCGATCCCACCCTTGCAGTCCCCGTGGACACAGGCCGTCCTGGAGCATCTCGCACAAGCTCATCCCAAAGCGTGCAGCGTCCTGTTGAACGCATCGATGACCGCCAGGACCTCGGTACTGTCGTCAAACGCGGAACCAGTCCAGCACCAAACGGTCCAGCAGAAGTGGGTGCAGGCAGTACAGCAGACGAACGTCCCACGAGCATCGCCATCCCGGCCACTAAGGCTTCGAGCACCGGGGACCTCAGATCTGGTTTGGCCAGTCCAGTGATCCCTGATGGTGCTGTTCAGTAAGCCGCTCGCTGTCTTGAGCCCATAGGTTGAGAACTGACCTGTTCGCTCAGATCACTCGTTGCTAGTATCCATGCCGACAACCCAGGCAGCAAGACTCCTACGCCTGCAGACATTCCAATCACCGTCCTTCGCGCTGGCGTCACCCACAAAGTCTTCAAGGTGCCCAACTACCTGCTCACCAACAAGGTCTCCTTCTTCAAAAAGTTGTTGGCAACTACGCCAGCTCCTACCGAGGAACAATTGACTTTCGATGATCTTAACGAGTTCGCCTTTGCACTCTTCGTGCGCTGGTTGTACGGTGGTCTTCTCCAGGGTCCCCATGACTTCCATTCGGTCCAGCACTACCTCTGTCTGTATGTGATCGGTCAGAGATGGGATGTCGAGTCGCTCTGCAACGACAGTAAGTACACCTCGAAGGAGAAGGATAGGTCCCAGCTCACAATCGATAGCNNCATCGACCTGATCCGCTTGTACTACCATAAGAACAATATGACGGCACCTACCTTCCGCCTCGAGTACATGTACACTTTCACCAAGACGCCCAACCACATGCGCAAGTTCTTGGCCGAGACAGCTGCTTTCCGCGCACTCTGTGGTGAACCTGCAGCCAAAGGTGTCTACTTGTCAGATTCGATGAAGACGCTGATCGGCAAAGGAGGCGACTTCTCAGTAGACTATGCTCACTCTCTCATCAAGCTCACCAAGGACGATTTCCCCGACCCCAGAAAGGGTTCCAGATGTGATTGGCACGAACACGCTGACGGCAAGCTTTGCGCAAAGGAGGATGTGGAGCCATATATGACATCGTGATTCGGGTCTCATGAGGATTCGAGGAGTGTGCCACGCCGAGTTTGCTGTTGCTTCCTGGCTGGCCAGAGAAGAGAATTGAAAAGAGAAGACACAGATAAGGAGAGAGGCTGCGATTGCTGATACAGTACCTATGAACTATTGCTGCACATAACACAGCGGCAGCTCTCCAACCTGGGGTGACATGAAATGCATTATACCGTCCATCTCGTCTAGATGAGGTGCTTGGATCTGTGAGGTTGCGTAAGCTTGTGATGTTGACGTAATCAACTCCAGACACATACCTGAAGTAAGCACGCAGGTAGACAATCTGCCATGCGCCCAGACCGACCAGCATACCCATGGTGCCAAAAGCGAACCACTTAACACGCTCGTTGGTGCTCTCATTGGTATCTCTCAACTTCTGCTCGCGAATACGAAGGTAATCCAACTCGGAGACAACCTCGGCAACCATCTCTTCAATTCTGCGCAACTCCGTCTCGACGGGCTGAAGCTTCTCGCCGGCTTGAATGGCAGACCAGTCCTTTGCATCGGCGCCAATGTCGATGTCGAGTTCAACGTGACGGCTGGGGTTCGGGACTCCGGTGTCTGTTTTGTGGGTGCGTCGTTAGTCTTGTATGGACGAGTGTAAGAAGCATCGAGCAAACGCACTTGAGGTCAAGATGTTCTCGAAGCAGACGTCAAAGGCGGAATCGGCGTGAGAGGTGAAAGCGTAGCGACCTTCGCCGGCGACGTCGCGAGGCCTGTGGTAGTCGTTGCCGACGGCATCCTTGATNNCTAGACGAGAGATGTCGTGTCAGCATTCGACTCTCCTTTCTGTACTAGACTTGGAGGCACTCACGTGCAGGTTCAAGACCTGGCCATCTCCTCTGTGTCCGCTGATGGTTGCCGTCACGACGACAAGCTGGTCCTTTGCGACAAAGTTACGAATGCAGCGTTCCTTGCTCGCCGACTCTGCTCCGGGATGCGCCTGGATGTCGAATTTGAGGGCGAAGCTGAGGGGCAGCAGTGCCAGTAGGAGCAGTCGCACCAAGAAACTCGTGCGGGATTCCATCTTTTGCCTGTCGTCTCTTCACCGGATCCTCTGGGTCCTCGTTTGGTTTTGTCCGGGTGGTTGGGCGTGAGAGAAGCAAAGCTCTCCTTTATTTTGGTAAACGTTGGCCTTTCGAGAAACGATGCCCCGGATCTCCCTGAGCTGTGCTCCCTATCCTTTGGTGCAAACACGCCAAGACCCCGCTCCGCTCGACCCTGATGCTATCAGTAGCACCCTGCTTGACCTGCTCTTTCCAAACTCACATCTCTTTCTCGAGGGTTCGCTCGGTGTTTGTTTGAGCCTTGGTCACACTATCATCATGCTCTGATCGTCGCTGGGCTCGAGGGCTCCGTCATCCAGACGATAAGTCCGACTTCTTCGGCTTCTCGAATTTCTAAGCAGCTGCATGAGCGGGGCCATCCTTGGAGCATCACATACGGCTGTCAAAAGTAGGGCGTGTCATGCAGACATACAAACAAATACATAGCACAACAACTCCAACTTGTTATCGTTGAACATAGCAGTGACCATGTCTCAGCAAGAAGCATTCTGGGTACACACAGAAGATTGGCACACGGCTGGTGAGCCCTTCCGTATCGTCGCGGATCTACCACCTCATTGCACCACTACCGGCAACACGGTATGGGAGCGGCGCCTAAACATTATCAATCAGCCAAACCACCCTCTGGATCTCCTGCGCCAGTCTTTATGTCATGAACCAAGAGGTCATGCTGACATGTACGGAGGCTTCATCGTTCCACCAAACGATTCTGGTGCCCATTTTGGCGTCCTGTTCTGGCATAGAGATGGATTCTCTACAGCTTGTGGCCACGGCACAATCGCACTGGGTCGATATGCCGTAGCCAAGGGGCTCGTAGAAGCCGTCCAAGAAGGCGCGGTCAAAGTCATCATAGACGTACCTTCTGGAAGAGTTACAGCAGAGGTCAACTTCAAAGACGGCAAAGTGGCATACGTGAACTTTGTCAACGTTCCCAGCTACCAATACGCCAGAGACTTGCCCGTCAGCATATCAGTACCTGGCTCAGAGGCTTTGCAATTCAAAGTCGATCTTTCCTGGGGCGGAGCCAGCACTGCATCTGTCGATGTACGTGATGTTGGTGTAGAGATTAAGCCGACCAACACTCAACGCTTTATCGAACTTGCCCGTCAGATCAAGGCTCAAATCCGAACACATGGAGAGCACAAGGGCACATCTCTGTATACTGTTTCCTTCTTCGAGACCCTCAGCGACAGCGACCAAGCCATCGAACAAAAGAATGTCGTAGTCTATGCAGAAGGCGCCATTGACAGATCTCCATGTGGGAGTGGCACTGCTGCTCGTGTAGCCGTCTTGCTAGCACAAGGAAAGTTGCACGGAAACAAAAAGCTCATCCAGCATTCCATCGTCGACACGACCTTTGAAGCCAGGATCATCTCTCAACAGCAGGATGAGGGATCAGAGTATCCAACCTGCATACCAGAGGTCAGAGGAAACGCTTTCCTTACTGGCCGTCACAGCTTCTTCATCGATCCGAGCGATCCTACCTACCCTGGTTTCTTTTTCGAGTAAAGGGCATGTTCAACACGATTGAAGAAATGTAAATGAATGGGAAATGATTTTTTACCATATCATGATACATAAAGACAACCGTCAAACTCATTACATCGAACCTTTTACATCGCCTCGTGACGGTTCAGGGACTTCTGTATAGCTATCCTCTAGGTGCAGCGCTTCTAGTACAATCTCTTCAGACGGCTCAACGCGTAAGTATGTCTTGCGACCCTTGATGATCCAGAAGACAATGGAGACGACAAGCATGACGCCAAATACGGCAATTGCGTAGTTCATATCTGCCCCTGATGGATTGGGTCCACCAGGGAAGAAGAAGAAGATCGTTGTAACGACACAGTAGACCACACTGATCCAATTGATCACAGCTCCATATTTGCCGAGTCCGAATTGCCCGCCAGCGGGCAATTTGTTGCAACCCACAAGCAGCAGAGTCAAGATGGGCATGGCGTAAGAGACTGTCAAAGCGATGGTGGCGACACTCAGAATGGCCTCAAGCACCGTGTTTGCGAACAGATACAAAAGGCCAACCAGACCCATGAGCACACCTTGGACCAGCAAGGCCTGTGGCGGAACCTTCCACTTCTTGTTGACCCTCTTGATGTATTTCGAGAAAGGTAAACCGTTGTCACGAGCAAAGCCCCAGGTCAAGCGGCTACCGGTTGTGGTGATGGACATGCCCTGACCCAAGCTGTTCATTGTGAAGAGCACCATCAACACGACGGCACCTTCGAGGCCAACGCAGTCTTGGACGAGCTGCATGAATGGCAAGCCGGTCGGTGTGTTGATGACTCTGTCGAAATCTTGGATACAAAAGAGACATACGACCATGAACAGGAATCCAGTGATGGCGCCGAGGACGACCGACAGCCAAATGGCACGGGGAGCGTTGACGCGAGGATTGGGGAGTTCTTCTATCATGTGGACGANCCTTGAAGCGGATACATGTCAGCGTGCGCCTCAGTCATGGAGGGCTAGTACACATACCGAGTCAAAGGCTGTCAATCCATAGGCCGCTTGAACGAGACCAGTAAACCAGACCACTCCCGATGGCCATCCCGTCTCGTTGATCCATGCACCAAATGCAAAAGATGGTGGTTGAAACTCGAGCCCTTGCTTGGTGCCGACAGAAATGAGCAAGGCGAGACTGAGGATGAAGAAGAGGGCAGCGAACTGGATACCGACAATGTTGTTGAACCAAGGCAAGATCTTGTCGTTTCTGCAAGCCACCAGATTGAAGCCTGTAAACACGACCGTGATGCCCAAATATACCAGGAATTCGACCCATCCTGTTCCAGCACCCTTCCAGTCCGGATCGTACATGAGCTTGATACCAAGCAGAAAGTTGGTTGCAAAGGCCACGAGCGAAGCATTGAGTGTCCACCAGCCAAAAGTGTTGATCCAGGCACACATGTATGACGCAAATCTCCCTGTTGGTGTATGCCATAGCGAGTGCATCCAGTAAGCCTGACCAAGAGCAGTAGGCATAGCGCTGCATAGCTCGCCCAAGCTAAGTGCAACGCAGAGGTTACACACAAAGACAAGCACAAGACCCCATAAGATTGTGATAGGACCGCCATTGTTCAATCCAGATGCCAGGTCTTGGGCGAATGTGCCATAAGTGCCCAGAATCGAGAAAGCGAGGGCGAGCATGCTCCACGGCGAGAACTTTCTTGTAAGTTCTTCTGTATGGCCCAAGGCCACCATATCCCGGGCATCTTCGTAGCTTTGGTTCCCGACGTCAATGGGTTTTGAGTCCATGACCTCGTTTTTATGTAGGAGTTCGCTCATCAATTAACGACTGTGGAACGAGTCAACGAAGTTTGATGTGTCGAAAGTTTAATCACGGAGCAAAGAGCTGTTGAATACCACCCACGGAGCAGAGTGCGAAGCCTTCAAGTGTTATAGTACAGCCATGGTGCAAAAGATAGGCGTTACTGCAGTACTTGCCGTCCATCCAGTGTCCACCCACGACCTCAAAACCAAAAAAGTGATAAGAAGGGGATGTTCAATCTCATGACCAATTCCGAGGCGTAATTCTGTCTTCCCCGCTTCTCCCTTGAACTCTACTTGCGAAGACATCCTTAAAGCAACCAATCTAGAGGGCGGGAAACACAGCCTAGATCCATAGCATCTTGGAGACAACGGCCACGGACCAGGGATATGATGGGCACACAACTGCATTTGGAAGGTTCATGCGAATAGTGTGGAGTGCTCCGGCCGGTTATCTGTGTATTTGCGTGCGTCCTCTTCTGCACCGGTACATACGGACGTCGAAGCAGTACCAAAAGGGGAAACTTCATACGATGGTATCTTGCCTGTCGTTTATCGTCCTGAAGGATGCTCATATTATTGGGTAGACGGCTTGAATCATGGATAAGCTGAATGAGAGAGCCTTGTGTCAGAAAGTTGATGTCAACGTCTGTTCGAGCAGAACGCTTCCTAGACATGCTCAAGCAACGACAATGATCATAGGTCCTTGACCGACGCGACTCACAGTCGGACACGCAGTTGAGAGGGGATGGTTGTTGAGTTGAGTTAGTTGAGTTGAGTTGGAAAGGAGAAATGGCTAGTGAACATATCGTCTGTGCTCACGCGTGCCGTCATGCGCAGACTCCTCGCGCATTAATTATTTCCGTACTAAAAACAACGAAGACATCACATCAAGCTGACAGTATCTCTTCGACCACACTATGATCACCGTACAATACTCGAAATCGCCACACGAACATATCCGCCTGGCAAGTCAAGAGGGTGCACAGAACTTGGCTATACTTGAATATCTCGCCGAGGGTAACGCGAATATCGTTTACTCCTTCCAACCAATCACCAACAACGTGCTTCCTCATGGCCTTCGCCATAAGCTCCTGCGATTGAGGAAAGATAAGTCCTTCATACAACCCACGAAGGCTCAGTCCTTGACTTTTCAACAAGAATTTCTTCCGTTGTTTCGACCCAACAACCTCGTAGAGCAAACATTGATCACACTGGATGAGGTGCTCATCAGACATCTCAACCAGGAGCTTGAAGAGCACGAGGTCGCAAAGCTTCGAAAACATATGCGTCACGGTGACCGATTAGCAATCGACGAGTATGGCTTGCTGATGACTGACATGACTGCTAGTCATGGCGAGTATTTGTTCGAAATCAAGCCCAAGTGGTTACTACAGTCACCCGACGCACCTGAAGGCTCTAAGAGATGCAGGACTTGCGCGTTGAGATTGCAAAGGGCTCATGCAATGGCTAGAGGCGCCGTAATGCCGAAACCAGGCGGGTTCTGTCCCCTTAGTTTGGTTGACGTGGACGTCGAAGAAAGACAAACGGCCTTCAGGAGCATCATTGAAGCACAGGCCGGTGACCTGTCCGATGAGTCTGGTACGTTTCTAAAGGGCGGACCGTGCAAAATCGCTTTCACTCGTGCCTCTCTCGTTGCACAGCACAAGTTCCCTCACCGCAAATCAATTGACTCAAGTNNTTCAGTGAGCTCGGTTGTCACCTTCCTAGCCGAAAAGGGATATCAAGTTCTCGAAACTCTTCGCAAGCACCAATCGCAGTTTGACAAGTACGGTCTACTGAGCCTGAGCGCGNNTGAGTGAATCAATTGATAACACCCGACGTTCCTAACAACAAGCAGCCAGGGAGTGTCAAACGACTACTCAAAAGCAATGACCCTCCGTGATTGTGTGTTGTTTGTCAAGGGCTCAATAGACACATTCGAGAACACAGCAGACATCCGCCTAGCAGATATGGATTTCAAGCATGCTCATCCGGACAAGGTAGAAAAGTGGATGGAAACTGAAAGAACTCTCATAGACGAAGGCTGGTACACGAACACTGAGATTGTTGAAGGGCCTGGCTTAGCGTGTTTGCTTACTCGAAGATCACTTTGAACCATCTAAGCATGGCTTTCGGAACATGGGAGTTCTTTGTCCTCAATACCAGCAAGTAATCGAGGCGAGCCGGTTCGTGGAATATCGAAGATGCATGTACCCGCTAGTGTGCTAGTAAGTTCAATTGCAGACAGATGTTTCAGTTCAACAATTATGGTGCGTTCAGTTTCAATCGGATATGGCGAAGTATTTCTGCCTGAAAATCATCACACGATACTTTGGTACAGTCACGCGAGGGACGACTGCGGAGAAGAATCCCACATGCACTTGAAGATCGCTGAGCCCTGCCGGTTCTTGGGGGAAGTGCGGCTTGAGCGTCTTGGTGCGACTCGATCGTCGCTATGTTGTTCTCACTCGGCAGATTGGGCATTATGATTTTGCATCAAGCTCAGTTGGTTGAATGAACTATCGATATTTCATTGCTTGCCTTGAGACTTCAGGTGTAACCCATCCCCGACTTGACGACCACTCCTCTTATCTCGTAGTTCGACGAAGGTACACAGTTGTCGCCAAGCAGCCTTGCCATGGCATGGCGAAGCATTCCGTCCGCAGCCTGCAGATAGGATTCGACCATGATCACCTGCTCATAATGTCTTGATATATATATTTCTAACTTTTGCCATTTTTCTTGAGTCTCGAAAAGCATCTTTTGTGTCGGTTAACCAAACCTAAATACCTACAATCATCATCGTGGCCTCGTCAAAATCTCCACAAGACCTTGACCCAGACTCAACCTCGACACATTACACTCGCACACCTATCATGACTACTTTCGCGCAACATCCGAATGATACGACTCCAATCGTAGCTCCTTATGTCATGCAGGAGCCACGCACACAGCAATACATACCGCCTCAGGCCAGCCAACAGCAAACACTCAGTCGTCAGCGTCCAGCACCACACATGCAGCCATACCCAGACCAAGATCAACCATATCAACAGTCAGGATATGTACAGCAACCAGACCGAGTGCAAGCGCATGACCAGCGTCCCACCTACCTAGCACCGATAACGAGCGAGTCCGACTACAACCAACAGCTCAGACCAGCTCTGGCCCAGCGGCGTAGTGAGGCAAGCTTCCGATCTGCGCATTCCCACAAGTCGACACGCTCAACAGGCTCCCACCATTCGCACCACTCGACAAAGTCAAGCCATTCGCATCGATCTCACCACTCTCATCACGGTGCGAGTGGTGAGCGCAAGGGTCACAAGAGGGACCGGGATATAGACGCCAGGCCGACCATGGGAGACAGTGTGATGCTTGTGGTTAATCACTTTCGGGATCTGCTGTCCGGCGATAGACGTTGATCGTGTTGGTAGAATCGAGGGAGTTGGCGGATTACGAGTTACGATACCATAGGCGTTTGGAGAGTGCTAGATTGTTATCGAATCATACCTACCCGCATTCTTTGTTCCATGCCAGCTTTGTGTCTCTGCTTTCTTTCTCATGATACAACCATCAGCTGAATCGTCATGTGCTTTGGCCCCTTTGAGAGGCGCGACAATGTATGCAGATCCTCATCAGCTACTGTGAAGTACCTGAACGAGTCCTTAGGGCGGACCAGCGCGTTGGAAGAACAAAGCCCCAGCCGAGGTTTACCCGGTCGCAAATACAAGCAGCGAGGGGCCACGGAAAAAGAGGGTTAGAAGTGTCGGAAAGCGGCGTGTTGATTCAAGCGGATTTTTAGATCAACGCGCGCGGGCAGTCTCGCTTGCTCATTCGTGATCTTTTGAGCGGCTGCCTCGCTACAAAAGCCCTCCGTCTCCCACCCTCTTCATTCTGTTCCATCACAACGCGACTTTCTTCCCACTTATCTCAACCACATCAACGACTTCGTGTCTATACAGCAACTTCACCTTTACCTTTTAACCAAATCAACTCAACATGTCTGGACGTAAGTAAACTACTCTATGCACTCCCATTCACTCTTCTTTATCACGTCGCCGCCGCCGCCGCCGTCGCTCCTGATTGCGGAGGCGCGTCGTCGCGTCGGCCTTCATCGACGCCACCTCGCATCATCATCACAACATCTCCTGATCTATACTAACATTCCATCTCAGGTGGCAAGGGTGGCAAGGGTCTCGGAAAAGGTGGTGCCAAGCGTCACCGCAAGATCTTGCGTGACAACATCCAGGGTATCACCAAGCCCGCTATCCGCCGTCTCGCTCGTCGTGGTGGTGTCAAGCGTATCTCTGCCAGTAAGCTTCACCCAATCTTCTCGTCCTCAAACCATGTCACTAACCCATCCTTTNNAGTGATCTACGAAGAGACTCGTGGTGTCCTCAAGACCTTCCTCGAGGGTGTTATTCGTGACGCTGTCACCTACACCGAGCACGCCAAGCGCAAGACCGTCACCTCCCTTGACGTTGTCTACGCCCTCAAGCGCCAGGGCAGAACCCTCTACGGTTTCGGTGGTTAAATGCTGCCATGGCACCTGGACCTGGCTACTGCCTTTGGTTCTCTTCTCTTTACGAACTACTTTGATTACTACTACTTTGCTTTTCACACTCAACCGGCGCGGGGATACGTGAGCATGCCGTTGATGCAGCCACTGGGACATGGTTCATGGAGTTATTATGGTACATGGGTCACGAGCAAAAACAACTGCTCTCTTTCAGATGAAGGAATGTCTATCAAATCACACGAATCAAACATGAATGGCACATGGCCTTCATGAATTATCAACTTCAAAACAACTTGTACCGAATCGCGTGCTTTCTCATGTCTGCTTTGAATGTTTTGCAATTTTGTACAATTCGTCGACTGCTGCAAAACAGTCTGGTTTACTAATTGAGCCTTTGTGCTGAGAAGCTTTATCGCTCCATCTTGATTCTCCAAACAAATCCAGAACGCCTTTTGCCATGCAATCCCAGTGGATATCCCTTCTTTCTTTCCCAATCGTACACGGTGGATGCAGAACATGAATTATCGAGTTCATGCGACAGCGCCCTCCTTCTTGATCTCCTGTCCTAGCCTGAACTTTGGCTCCATGAGGCCAATCTGTAATGCACCTCTTGTTAGCAAACACTCTTGCNCAAACCATCTCCTTTCTGCTTCTTCTCCTTGTACATCCTTGCCCTCCCTCTCCATTTCTTTCTCTTCCTAGCTCTNNTTATTTCCCTGCTGCCGAAAAGAAAACTCACCATGCTAAGCAACCTCCAAGCGGGCTCGCTCGGTTGAGCACCCACACNCAACCAGTACTTTGCGCGGTGAATGTCGAGCTTGATGTCCTTGAACTTTTTCGCCGTCTCGTTGCCGTCGGTGGGCGTTTTTGGGATGGGGTCGTATGTGCCGAGGACTTCGAGGGGTTTGCTGCCGCGTGCGGTTCTNNGGTTTTTTGAGGTGTTAGAAACTTGTGGGTCTCCTTCTTTTTTGGTTTTTTCTTCTTGTATGTCTCTTGTTCGAAAGCTGTAGTATCAAGGGAGGGGTGGGATAGATGGTGCTGTTCGAGAAACGTGGGTATTGGGCTTGCGCGCGGAGGAAAGATGGAAGGCGTACCGGGCGTGGGCGACGACGATGTTGTNAAAGGGCGCATGACGCTTGCCGAAGCGCGCGAGACGGATCTTTAGAACCATGGCGAAATGATCTGGATGTGTTGTCCTGTGTTGTGAAGAGTTGGTGGACTTACTATTGCGGAGACTATTCTGGTGCCCGCCGCTGCTGCAAAAGACGACTTTCGCGATGAGCGAACGAATGCCAAGAACAGCCGCTCCCCGATGGTTTGCGGGCAGAGCATCAATTCATCAGCTTCACTCTTGCCTTTACGTTCCTTTCACTTTCGATTGTCACTGTCACTTTGCCTTGCACTTTCACATTTCTTCGGTCACATGATTAATTTCTTGGTTCAGCTGATGTCTTTGTTGTCCCGTATATTACAGCATGACTCCTCGATAATCTAAGTACATCCTGAGCTGCCTCGCTCGAGGTGGGTATAAAGCTTCGAATTAACCAAACTCCGTATTGGTGGTATGCACTCTAGTGGTCTTCCTGTCTGGTGTCTGCATGAAACCTCAGCCGACAGCTCTCTTCACTACTAGGCGGCAAAGGTTAGTGATCCATCAAGTTTAGGTAAGAACTGCACCGAAGAGATGTCACCTTACGATTTTGAACATGCGCCGCCAGCCCATCGCACCTTCCATTCGTCTCGGCGACCTTCTTGTTCACGTCTTGGTAGCTCTTTATGGTCATGGCTTCGAATTGCTTGTAGCGGTCAACTAGCCCTCTCAATTCCACAGGTAGGCCGTAGGCAGCACGCCATTGATTCTCCATCATTCTGACCAGCTCGTCCGTGGTGACTGAATTGAAGCGAACTTCATGCCTTTGAAGCAGATCGATGTGATTCTCGATGGTTCTGCTAATGTAGTCCAGTTGAGGCCTGATCTCGGTGATCGAGGCTTCCAATTCGGTCTTCATCCTTTGATTTAGTTCCTCGAGTCGTGTGGTATTTGCGCTTAGTTCGTTCTTTGAAGCGAGGTCCTTGATTCTAGTCCCCAATTCCTTCCATGCATCGAGGTTCTGCAGGTCTTCTTCTGTTAGGCCTCGTTTCTCAGGAAGTTCGTCTTTGATATTGGCTTGCAATTTATCCAAGTTGACTTGTACCTGGTCTAGCCCCGATTGCATCGCATCCAGTTGATCGCCGAAGGCCTCGTCTTTCTCAGTGGCATCGTTTTTCACTACTTCCACTAATCGCTCGGTTGCTTTGAGTCTGAGTTCGAGTTCTTGTAGAGCAGGAGTTGGGATCGTGCTAGAAACCGCAGGAGTGCTAGACAGAATGGTAAATTGCTGATTTAGCTCCTGTAGATCTTTGCGAGTGGTAGCCAAAGTCTCCGAGTTGTCTTTTAGCTNTGGTTTCAACCTCGACGTTGAATATTTGCTGCATTGCTTTGACTTTTTGAACTTGCTCTTCGTGCATCGTTCTGCTTTTCTCGAGGTTGTTTTCGACTGNNAAGATCGGACGGCGTCGACGAACTGAGTTGTCTCCTTGTGTCTTGTCTTATTCTTCTCCATCTCCACTTCCAAGGTAGAGAATCGAGTTCCATAGCTCAACCTGTCTCTACGATCGTCTTGCTCGAGTTTGACAAGACGATCTTCGGNACTTTTGGCGGAATTTATTTCGCGGTTTAAAAGAAACTCCTGTTTCCCCAACTTGCTCTTCAGATCATGGTTCTCTGCGCGGAGTTCTTCTAGCTCCTGCATTCCTGCGTGGAACTGATCTTTGAAACTGCGGAACTCTGAACGAGAGATGCAGTCTTGGTGCGAGGCTGATCCTGCTTGCTCGGGAAAATATCCACTCAAAGCTTCCAGCAATAGATTAGTAGCCTCTGCGGTCTGCGAAGTGGTGGCTTCATGATCTCTCTGCGCTTGATCCAATCGAGTCGTTTGTTGAGTACTTATGGCGGGAAAGTCTTTGTGTCTTGGAAGCATGTTTTCATAGACCGCTTCGACATTTTTGAGATGCTGATCGGCCTGGTTCTGCTTGGAGATGGTTACTATGAACCTCTCAAGTGTTTTGGGCAGACCCTCCATGTTATGATGAGAGTCGGTGTTGCCGTTTTTAACAGGCGATCGCGACCGGGGAGTGTTGTAGCCAGTCTTCTCTGGCGGATGTGGTTGCGAGATCGATGACCGTCTGGAACTAGGGTTTGAAGTCTGTCCGTTGCTCTGATATGCCGACCCGTGATCAACCCGAGCGATCTTCCTGGATATGGGTGGATGCCCAGGGTATGAGCGTTTCAGATTCTCTCCAACCATGTTGAGAATGTCGTGCTGGCCAAAGTCAGCAACTTAGTTTGAGCTAGGGAAGGGTTTCGGGGGCGTTGTGACGGCGAGTCATGTACTCGGGTGGAAGTGAAAGTGAGAGGGAAACAGAGGAGGAAGAACAAGAGGTGTGTGGATGTATTTGTTAGATAATTGATTTGGGAATTGAGGCAGAGTATTCTGACCCGAATGGTAGGAGTGAGTACGGACATGAGTGATGTGAATGGAGTCAAGTGAACATCTACCACAGCATGTGACCGTACTGATTAGGTTGGCGTGGGTGCGGAAATGACCGAAGATGTGAAGAAGAAAAAGTCAACAAAAAGTGAGAGCAGACTTACTCTGAGAGGAGGGATTTGGGGATGTGCGAGCCCAATTGAAGCTGTTTGTCAAGTAACATAAATGATAGCAGGCCGGGCATGAAACAAAAATGCGGGACCGAAGTGGAAATGTTGGTTCGACGCGGAGAGTCTGCACGAGGCCGATGTTGCACGACAGATGATGGATGTTGAAAGAGACGTGCAGGCGAAGGTAGTCGGTTCACGAATTGTTGATGATTCGGAAACAAGGTACTTATTTCGCAAAGTGTTTAATCGAGCTTGGAGCTTTGAGCGGTGGGTGAAGATCAGAGAGAGGCCATGCCCGTGAGTTGGACAAGACGAGCAGAACAGTGACAAGTCACTCACCGTTTGCCAAAGTGAATGCGCAATCACTGGGGCCCCCCTGTTCTTGAGGGCAAAAGGCAGCAAGATGGTTGTGGCGCGTAAATGCATCCAAGACCGCTCGGCTTGAGCCGCAGTCGAGATGCGAAAGCTGCGGAGCGTTGCAGCAAGAGCTCTTGTCGCATCGCATCCCTCTCAATCACCTTCATACCTTCCACTAACCACTCACACTCAATTGCATTTGTCCACCTCTAGTTCATCCCCCACTCCGATCACAAGGTCAACTTTCACATCGCGACACGAACCAACAGCCTCAATTGCAATGGCGGCGCAAATCTCGACCATCGCCGAATCGAAAGAGGTGCGCGGCCTCAACCTCATCGCCGCCCACTCCCATGTCCGCGGTCTAGGTGTCCAGCCAGACACTCTGGCCCCCAAGCCCGTTGCGGAGGGCTTAGTCGGCCAACAGAAGGCTCGCAAGGCAGCTGCTGTCATTCTCCAGATGGCCCGCGAGGGCAAGATTGCAGGCAGAGCCGTACTCATCGCTGGCCCGCCTTCCACCGGAAAGACTGCCATCGCCATCGGAATGAGCAAGGGACTAGGCGAGGACGTTCCATTCACCATGTTGGCTAGCAGCGAAATCTTTTCGCTGGAAATGAGCAAGACCGAGGCCCTGGAGCAGGCTTTCCGCAAGAGCATAGGAGTTCGTATCAAGGAAGAGTCGGAAGTCATTGAGGGAGAGGTCGTCGAGATTCAGATCGACCGCAGTGTCACGGGCGGCAACAAGCAGGGAAAGCTCACCATCAAGACGACCGACATGGAGACGCTGTACGACATGGGCACCAAGATGATTGACAGCATGACCAAGGAGAAGGTCCAGGCTGGCGACATCATCTCTATCGACAAGGCTTCTGGTCGCATCACCAAGCTCGGCCGCTCCTACACACGCTCGCGCGACTACGACGCCATGGGCCCCGACACAAAGTTTGTGCAATGTCCCGACGGCGAGCTCCAGGTGCGCCGCGAAGTCGTGCACACCGTGTCCCTCCACGAGATTGATGTTATCAATTCACGAACCCAAGGCTTCCTGGCTCTGTTCAGCGGTGATACCGGTGAGATCAGATCCGAGGTTCGCGAGCAAATCAACACAAAGGTCGCCGAGTGGAAAGAGGAGGGCAAGGCCGAGATTGTTCCTGGTGTCTTGTTCATCGACGAAGTCCACATGCTCGATGCCGAGTGCTTCTCTTTCATCAACCGTGCCCTGGAAGACGAGCTGGCACCTATTGTCATCATGGCCAGCAACCGTGGTCAAACACGCATCCGCGGTACCAGCCACATAAGCCCTCACGGTCTGCCGCTGGACTTCTTGGACCGTCTCGTCATCATCAGCACCCAGGCATACTCGCCCGACGAGATTAGAGAGATCTTGAGCATCCGTGCACAAGAAGAAGAGGTGGATGTGTCAGCCGACGCTCTCGCTCTTCTCACCAAGATCGGTCAAGAAACTGGCCTGAGATATGCCAGTAACCTCATCACTACCTCACATCTGCTGGCACAAAAGCGCAAGGCAAGAGAGATTGAAGTCGTGGACGTCCAGAGGAGTTTCGAACTGTTCTACGACCCTAACCGCAGCATGAAGTTTGTGTCCGAGTTCGAGAAGAGATTCATCGGCGACGAAGGTGGTGTCGAGCTGGGTGGCATGAACGGCAACCCCGATGCTATGGAGATTACTGCCTAGTTTCGTGGATATAACATGGACTAGACGAATGCATGCAAGGGGCGTTAAGGGAGTCACAAAAAGAATCGGAATACCAAGGCTAGCAGGGTTGTGTGTAAGTGTAACGAACGTTTGTTATATAGATGGCAAGAGAAGCATTGGCTTCGGCATATCTGACTAAGAATTTGAGCGTGTGCAAATGTCATAAAGGGTCGTGTCTATTAAAGTGCTGTATGTGCTGGTGCAGGGTCTCGTCTATTCAGACACTGAGAAGGAAACCACGGTCATTCGTCATATGTACATGCCTGAGATGCCCCAGGCAGCTCGAATGACAGCGATACTGTACAGGCTGGACGAAGCAGAGCCGCACACCTGGTTTGTTTTTCTGTTTTGCCTGTTGTGAGAGGCTGTCCTTGAACGCCAAACCCCCAGGTTAAACCCCTAAGGAAAGAAAGAGAAAAAGGAAGAAACATGCTAGACATGAAGAGAATGAAGGGTTGGGAACAGGCATGCATCAGAGGCTCAGCCTGTCAGCACTGAGGCGATCCGCGCTCGTGTCGCGGCGCACCATGCTGAGCTTGTAGAATCTNNTTTCTTCGCCCGCAGCAGTCCTGCCGCCAATGTACCACTTCTCAGCCCCGAGAACGTCTCTATATCCCATGCCGCCTTCGGAGCTGCTATCAGACCCCCTGCGATTGCGTCGAGCTTCTGAGGCTGTGGGGTAGCTGGGCGGTGGACGATTTGGAGGGCCATATACAGGCATGCCGGCCGAATTTACACCCAGACCAGGCGAAGGAGGAGACCTTGGGCCATGGGTAAGCGGCGAGACATTGTGCTGTAGAGGAGACAAGGCTGGATGCAGCGGTGTGGGTTGCACAGGAGCAGCGGAGGGTTGGTTGGAAGAGGCCGACTTGTGATTGATAGCACGAGGGGCCGAAGCAGCATTGGGAGAAGATTGGGAAGGATTTGTTGCAGAAGTCGACGACCAGACGGTCTGAGAATGTGAAGTGCCGACCGCTGCTGCGGCTGAAGAAGTGGTGGAGATGGACGGATTCGACTTTGGCAAGGCGGCAGAGTGGGCACGGAAAGCGGCCCAGAAGTTGGAGAAGAAGGGACGGTTACTGCTCATGGCTGGCATGTTCGGACCCTCAGGTCATGTCTACTCTCGAGCTTGCTTTCCTGGAGGGCCAGTGGAGTTGTGCGAGATTGTGGTTGTTCGCGGCCTGCGGCTATCGAATCTGGGGTGTGTGAAAGACGACGAGGTGGATGGGCAATGTAGACAGGCACGACTGCGCGCCCGTTGTGTCCTGCGTCCGCGACAACGTCTCTTCTGCAGCAAGACGTAGAGGAAAACAAGAGTGAAGTCCTTGATCATGTATGAGCGAAGGATCACCTACAGGAGCGGGCAGAAACGGATCCCAAAACGCATCGAGATGCGCTACGTTGGTGAGGGGTGCCCCGGATTTTCTCGGGTTCCGCTTTCATTCACTATGACAGCGTCTTGCCGGCTATGAACTGAACGATATCTATGATAGTTGGCAGAGAGGCTGTATAACAAGTTGTCGATTGGCAGTTCCTTACGGCCGGCTTGTCGTGAGGGGTGGGAGATGGCATTTCGGGGAGAAGACATGCAGAAGAGCCATCCAAAGCCCATCTCTCCACACCAAGGTGGTTTCTTTTTCCAAGCCTCTTTTGCTCGCTTGACCGAGCCGACCCGCCTAGTGAACGACTTCATCGTCCTCATGCATCTTCCTGCGTCTTGACATGTGCATCACGAATGTCGAAGCACCGCGCAGCAAACAGGACACAAAAGGAGGAACACCTCCCTGAAGCTCCCTAGATCAAGCTTTCCTTGAGCCTGGTACGCGTTTCACCGATCGACATGTCGGCTACGCTTTGTGGTGCCCCTTCAACTGGCGTGCAGCTGTTTCACGCGTCCTTTGCTTTCAACAGCGCCAATCCTTGAAACCATATCGTAAAATGTGGGTGTGAGTGACTACTGTAAGACCATGTTGAATAGGAGTCATGCGCGCCGGTGCGATGCACCGTCATGCCCATCGTCACCGGGCGCCTGAACCCTGTTTTACGTCTCGTTGGTTCGCGTCCGTCTCACATTCCTTGGTGGCGTGGCGCGTACTTCCTTCCCCTGACTATATATTTCTTTGAACAACCTCTTTCGTCTGTTTCCCAACTTTCCGCTCGCTGCGCAAACAAACCTTCCCCTCAGTGTATCCCTCCTCGAGTGCGCCTCTACCATCTCCATCTACATTATATCATCATGAACTTCATTCTTCCTATTCGCATCGTGCAGCTCATCCTCGCACTCCTCGTTCTTGGAACGAGTGCCTATGGTGAGTGCGCTTTCCGTCTGGCAGCCATCGCATCGCTTTACTGACAAATGTTTGCTTGTAGTCACCAGCGTCTATCGNNCAATGGCTCACCCTCTTCGATCAACTTCCTGGTCTTCTCATCAGTCTGGACGCTTCTCGCCATGATCTACCTCAGCCTCACATCGTGGAAGCTCGAGCGCTTCGCACACCCATGGATCATCTGTGGTGTTGAGAGCTTGACAATGCTCTTCTGGTTTGCTGGATTCATCGCCGCCGCAGTCTTCCTCAGCGACCTCATTACTTGTGCTGGACACGCTTGCAGTGCTGCTAAGGCCGCCACTGTTTTTGCTGCATTCGAGTGTAAGTCTGCCCCTGTTTGCAAAATTCAGACTCGCGTTGTTGACAATGTCATGCAGGGGCTNTTATTCGCCGTTACAACAGCTCTGGCTGTTATGGCTGTACTTGGAAGGGGTCGTGCCACCAAGGCCGGACCCAACACAATGGGTGCTTGAGAGCGGCGCATACATGACCTCGTACGACGGTGATGCGTGTCACGATTGATGGGTCTGATTTCAAGGCGGCGGCGTTATTCTATGGCTGGGAAAAGACAAGATACCCTGGGAGCTCTGGTAACACTTCGGAAGTAATATGGTCAGATCGGCAAGGGATGTTTTCTTTCACATGCAAGTGTTCCATTCAAGCCACACCCTTGTGGCGGTGCTCGATGACGCGATTAATCAGCATCGAAGCCGCGCGAAACACTCGAAGGCAACGTCCTTGTCGCAAAGGCAGTTGATACCAAACCACAAATCAATATTGCTCTCACACTCTAGCACTTGTTCCCCGTGTCTATCCTGCATCATGGCAGACGCAGTCGAGCGTGAGCCTACGCCCGAGGTACTAACAGAAGACGAACAAAACAGCCTCGCCTTAAGCGTACAATATCACGGACGACCTATAACCCTCACGCTCTCGACCGATGCCACTATCGAAGATCTTTCGACTCTGGTCGCCGAAGACCTCCAGATCCCGCCCTCGAACCAAAAGTTCCTCATCTCACCAAAACCAGGTCTCCTCCGCCCACCTTTCAAAAACCCGATCCTACGTCTCGACTCCCTACCACAAAAAGCGAAAATCACACTCCTAGGCAGCACAACCCAAGAAGTCGCCGACGTCGACTCGGCAATCGCTACTCTAAAACAAAAACAACAGGCACGCAGAGCCGCCCTCAACGCCGGCCGCAAAGTCCAGGCCACCCGCCATCGCGACTGGAAGACCGTGACCGAAGAAGCAACATACACATTCGCCACACTACGCCCCCTACCACACCTCCACCAGCCCGAAAAGTCTCTGCGGTTCCTTGAGCGTCTGCGCGATGACCCGGGCATCAAAGCCGCAATGCGCAAACACAAATTCAGCGTCGGTCTGCTGACGGAAATGGATCCTGCCGAGCACACGACACACGAATCGCGGACCTTGGGATTGAACAGAAACAGAGGAGAAGTGATCGAGTTGCGCCTGAGGACAGATGCATATGATGGATACAGAGATTACAAGGTCATCAGAAAGACCTTGTGCCATGAACTTGCGCACAATGTGGTCGGCCCGCATAATGCAGAGTTTCATGCCTTGTGGAATCAGATCGAGAAGGAGGTGGAGAAGAATGATTGGTCGAGAGGGGGTCACTCGCTTGGGCAAGAGGAGTTTTACAACCCTGGCGATGATTATGTCGACGACGATGATCACTGTGATGCCGGTGGTTGGGAGGGAGGATCTTACGTTCTGGGTGGAAGTACTTCGACTACACAGAACTCTGCAGAACCTCTAACTCGACGAGAGGCTATGGCTAGAGCAGCTGAAGAAAGAGCGAAGAAGCAGGAGAACGTGCAGAAGGCGGCTGAGCATGATTCTAGTCCACCATCGAGTTGATTGGAGGCAGCGCTTTACGACACTTTCCTTGAATTCTAGACAACAGCGTAGCATAGCATAACATGATGACCGACAAGCACGAATAATGTCATTGAACGAAGAGCTTTTGATTACTTGGTTCTACTGCTGTAAAGGCTTACCGTCCAGCTTGCAAGCACTCGTGCCTGGTTCGCCATGTCTTACCTCCATTCCGAGATTGCAAGGAATGCTGCCGCCGACCTCGAGCCCGCAACAACAGATTCGTGCTTTTCGTCTGGCTTCATCTGCTGTCGTGCGACTGAGATGGTGAAGGTGTGCAGAGCTCACCTTGAAGATTTTGGGAGTCGATTGACACACAACGCCCAGTGGCATCTAATTATGGCCCGAATGCATCGAATCCTGTCATCAGTCAGCTCTGACTTCGATGGTAACCCACCTTATCCCAAGAGTCGTGAAGCGATTCTGGTCGGTCATCGCAAGTCCCTTGTTGAGAAGGTCAGGCGAAGAGGGGGGGCGCTCAGCATGGTGTTCACAAGAGAATCGAGTTGGCGACTTAGGATGCAAGAGCCAAGGTCGAGCGACATGGCGATGGAGAGCGCCGCGAGCTGACAGTAGTTATGAAGTGTCGCACGTTACAATGTTGAATTGCTCATTTAGTTGAAGCAATTTGATGGGAACCGCACCACGGGATGTGTAACTGTATTGGAAAAAAGGCGGACTGCCGAACTAGGAAATCCACCCGGAAAAGATGCTCGAGAATCGTAAAGCTGTATAACGCGCGAGTGTCTCTGGGTTGTGTCGCCAAAATAGTTGCAGAAGCACGTCTCAAGATTTCTGATTCTGTCTTTTTGCCGTACGACGAGCTGGAAGCCGAAAAGACCCGAGAGATTAATCTGCTGATGCGCCCCGAACGAACCGTGAATAGCGTGGAAGAGCGGCAAAGATGACGAGAAAGGTGAAGAGGTACATGATGATGGTTGGGCAAGATAACCGATGGGCCGTCATGTCAAAGCGTGCTTTTTGAATTCCCCCTGGTCATTAGTAGCGCTTCAGCGGCGTTCGTATCTGTCAGCACCGCGCTCCTCGCCGTAAGCACGACGGCCGCCAGAAGCAGCAGCGTCGGCGGCGGGAGCTGCAGGGTCAGCATAGCTAGAAGGAGCCTCGGCGCGGGCACTGCCACGGTCGTAGCCATATCCGCCGCGTCTGTCGTCGTCACCTCCGGAAGCACCACCGCGTCCAGCGTAGCGGTCTTCGCGGCCACCTCCGTATCCACGGGAGCCACCGCTGTAGTCGTCACGGTCGCGACGGCTGTACGAGCCGCGTTCTTCGTAGCGATCGTAGTCGCGGCCACCACCGTAGCGGTCATCGCCGTAGCGATCGCCACCACCGTAGCGTCCGCCAGATCTGCCACCGTACTCTTCACGTCTGCCGAAGCCGCGGCGATCGTTGTAGCGGTCACCACCACCACCGAAGCGGCCAGGAGGGCGACGATCGTCAGCTGAAGACAGAGTTAGTTGAGAGGCATGCGTGATGAGGACGGGGTCGCTTACTTCTCTTGGGAGGGCCAAAGTACTTGCCGGGGGTAGGGGTTCTGGGTCTGGAGCGACGGGCCTTCTCAATGCTCAGAGTACGGCCCTCGTAGACCTCACCCTGGAGACCAGACTTGGCAGCGTCTGCCTGCTCACCAGTGACCATGTTGACGAAACCGAAGCCACGCGACTCGCGGGTGTGAGGGTCGCGCATGATGCTGCAAGTGTCGACATCACCGTACTTCTCGAACAGGCGGCGGACCTCCTCCTCGGTAAGGCGGGGGTGAATGCCAGTGACGAAAAGGTTGGAGCCAGGGTTGGCAGCTTCTTCCTCGTCTTCACGGATCTGCTGGGCGGTGCTGGATTGGTTGTCAATGACATGTTGTAGATGGATGGCTGGTGTGCTGTTTGGTGACGTACCGGTCATCACGGGCAGCGGCGGGGGAAGCGCTACGGAGTCTGCTGTCGCCATCACGGTCGGGACGAGGGGAGCGCGAGCGCTCACGAGGGTACTGAGGCTCGTCTGGATAGAGTTAGTTTGCTGATGCAATGGTGAACTGCGAGTCAGAAGTAGGTACCGTCGTAGTCGCGGTTCTCGTATTCCATTTTGCGGTGATTAGATGAAAGTGGGAGAAAGGGAAATGGGATAGACAAGATCAATGGAGAGAAACGAGGAAGGGATGATGCGATGGAAGTCGCAAGGTGTGTGAGGAAAGGGATGGAGGACTGGTCGCGCCTGCCTCGTCTAGCTCACTCTGCTGTTTGCGCCTTCCTCGTCTGGGCGCGTAACTTCACTCTGCCAAGACTCTGAGCAAGCACGTGACTGTGTGGAGGATGCCCGCAGATTCGGAGGAGCCCTTGTCCAGCGGCTGTTTGACGTGTTTGCGCAGAAGACAAACTCGACTGATCGAGAATCAAATTATAGTGAGTCCATCTCTCTGCCTCGAGTCCCTCACACTACATCGCTTGACTACTCTCCAACGCCAACATGATGACGACGCTCGCCATGAACCCGTTCATGACCGACGCGAGGCTGACTCTCAACAGCAGTCCTCAGACTCTGCCGTATATTCGAGATCTTCAGCATGGCCTCGAATGGCCCCTACTATCAGCCCGTCCAGGCGCATGACCAACCAGTTTCGGATGAGATGCGCCTTGCCCAAGGAATCTTGGACTATACAGCCTCGGTCCCTCAAGCATCCATGTACCCTGAGCCCAACTCGGAATACCATCATGCTCAGCAGCTGGCCTCAGACCAGGATGTCGAAGATCACGCCCAGCTGCAAGGACTTGTCGAAGCTGCGACCAGCGCTGCCGCCCAAGAACAGATCCGCCAACGCAATCAACAGCTCCAGTTCGCTCATTCAGACCAAGATCTAGCCTCTCTGCTGCGCGACCCCTCTGCTAGATTGTCGGCCTCAAAGCGGAAGCGTTCCAGTTCTCTCGACAACGATGATCCAGCGTCTGCGAGCGAATCTTCCAAGCGCCAGAGACATTCTGAAGATAACCGTCACCACTCTCCAAACCTCGATGCTCGAGCTGCTGGTGTCCACTCTGCGGCCGCTTTGTTTCGACCTGCCTCGGACTCTTCCAAGAAGTATACTCGTCCTCCCATGTCCAAACTGTTCACCTCGCTCGAACAATCTCCGGAGAACTTTCTGTACCTGCAGGCTGCTGCGAAACAGTACATGCTTAACACCGATTACCCCGATCGACAGGCGTGTGTAGGCAACAGAGGAAGAGGCGATAACGAGATGGTCAAGGCCAGAATGTACCAGTGCGTGCGCGAATTTCTTGAGGCCGAGGGTTGGGGAGAAAAGTACTTTGGGGAGAACGCACCTCCACCGAATGACGGAGAAGCCAACGCACCGCCTCAACCTCGACGATACATCTGGCCGCGCGACAGGGACCGAATCATCGCCCTCTGTACTCCACTTCTACGTCGCATGGTCACAAACGAGCGGCAGAGACAGTACGCTATAGAGACACGCAAGGGCGGCAAACCGGACAAGAATTCGCAAGATCCCACTGATCCTCAGATCCAGCAACCTGCTCAGGATCAAGACGGTATCTCCAATCCCGCGCACGACGGCCACTCGGAACCTTACGATTCGCGTCTGGACACTACACCAGCTTACCACCTCTACCTCATCGCCCCCGAGTCCGGTCAACTTGTGCGAGACCGCATCTGTTTCACAATGGAAGAGGAGTTTAGCTGGCAGTGGCTAGTCGACACACTGTTGAGCAACTGGTGCAGTGCGCTGCAGGTTGTCCAACCNCCACCGGACATCGCAGCCACCATACTCGAGCGCTTTTCCATCAAAGTCCTTACTTCATCTGGTTTGACCACTGTTTCTAGCGAGGGTGAATGGCAGCTGGCTGTTCAGGACATTCATCAGACCATCTGGCTGGATAACATCGTCAAGGTTGTCGCCGAGGGCCCAGCTACACCTTAGAATTTAAGAGGTGTTTTTCTTGAATGAAAGCAGTGTCTAGAAGTGGCATGAGACGACTGACGATTGACTTACGTAGAGGATTTGTACGTTTCTATGCTTGCTCACGGCTCTGTTTGTCTTCGTTTTCCTCTGTGATGTAGATACAGTACCATAGAATACTATCAGCACTTGAATGCAAAGCACTTTTGTAAAGTCTGAATATTTTCAGGTGTCCAGCAAAAGTGGCAGCCTACAATTTCAGCGCTTGCTTTGTCATAAAGGGACGACGATCTAACAGACGCACATCAAAGGGGGGATTTGGTTTACACATAAGCACAAGTAGTCACTTTGGCATCCCTTCACGTATTAACATCAGAGTGTACTGAATTGAAGATTTTCTTTGATTGAGGTATTTCTCCTTAAAGCCATATTACAACAAGCATCTATTGGTATCCAAAGAGTTGTATAGGTCCATATGTCGGACCTTTGAGAAGAATAGAAGAAGAAGTGAAGAAGCGAAAAGCAAAAGCAAAAGCAAGGAAATGTTCATGTCGTAAAGTTCGTTGCGTCAATCATCATCGGTATAGTTTCTTTTCCCGGGTAACTCCAGGCAAAGCAGACAGAAAGAGAGCAATGAAAAGAACACTGTCCTCCTGTGCCGAAACGATGACCCGAAAATGAAATTCGTAAGAGATTCGCTTTTTTCTTCTCATCAATCATATCGTGTTGTTCTCCTCATCTGAAGAAGAGGTTCGTAAAAAATGAAAAGCGTAATTACAGCTCAAAGTGCAATGACTTAGAGCATTTGGCCAGCAATATCGCGAATTGCCCATCGCCAGGCGTCGCCAGATTGACGGCAGCCACCATCGGCGGGGAACCAGGATTCGCATCTGCGGCGCCAGACGTGCTCCTCATCACGTTGACGACGAATGAACTCGGGACCTAGGTCGAACTCTTCGCCAACAAGCCACTCATCACCACCAGCAACTCGTGCGCCGTCAGGAGCAGAAGTGGGGCCCTCTTTGAGATCCTCTATGGCGGCGAAAGGATCCTCCTCGTCCTCGGTGACACTAGGGCTGTTGTTCCTAGAATCTCCGGCACGCAACTTGAGCCAACACATGCGACGAGGATCAAAGACCATCCCACCGACAACCTTAATGTTCTGGTTGGAATAATCGGACGCGAGTGGGGTGATAAGGGCAGGTCTTGGAGGCGAGGGCGGCAGGGGACGTGCAGTCATGTAAGAAGTCTGTTGTGCATCATGGGAGGTCGGAGTAGGAGTTGGCAAGAGCGGGCCGAGCTCGAAAGGAGCCAGACTGTTCTCGTTGCCTTCCCAGCGGAGAGTCTGAGGGTTGAAGGTCATGCCCTTCTCAACGATTGGCTTGCCGACATTGGCAGTGCTAGGGGCGATGAGCTGAGGACGCTTGGCCTTGATTCTGGAAGCACTGGGGCTGGTATGGGGACTGCGGGCGGCGATTTGAGCCTTCCAATTGGTGCTGACAGGCATAAGCGGTCCCTCACTCTTGGGACGGCCGGTTCCTGCAGCCCTGAGGCGTGATTCGCGTGCAATACGGCTTGCTGCAGTATCGCGAAGATAACGCGGGGTGTTGCTCTGGTCCTGGAACCCCTTCATGGGCATGGGGCTGCGAGGTGTCACTGGCGCGGGAGTCTGCATACGCTCGGGCAAAGGAAGCTTAGTAGATCCTGCAACATCGATCCTGCTCGGAATGTTGCGAACAGACTTGGGTGCGCCCCTGGCGGAGGGCTGCTTGAGATACTTGGATTCCTTGGTCGACGAGGTGGGGAGATCATCAAAGAGGTCGAGCTCGGTTCCGTCTCCAAAGTTGCGCCTGCGAGAAGGCTTTGTCACGGTGCGCTTGGAGGCAGCCTCTCTTGCAAGCGCGGCTGGTGCAAGATCTGCACGGCGACCAGAACGCGAGGGCGTATCGGGTACGTAGCCGGATGAAAGGCGTGAGTAGGAACGAAGCGGAGGTGATTGACTTCGTTGAGGTTCGGCCTCGCGACGAAGGTGGTACGCAGAGGTGCGCGATGGAGGCTTGGTAGTAGTGTGGTGCGACTGAGCTGAGGAACCGGCTGGTAAGAATGGGACGGCCTTGACGCTTTGCTGAGGGCCACGCAGAACGGGCATAGAACGCTTGTTGCGCAAGAAATTAGAACCCGATGTAGAGGGTTGAGGGCGTTGGCGTGTAACAAGGGTAGCTCCAGGCTCGAAGACAGGTTCGAGACGGGAGGTTGGCTTGGAAGAGGGGACAGGCCGCGGAATGCGTGTAGCAGAAGGCTTCTCGGAGAAGGTGAGGGAGGTGGTGGGCGCACGAGTCGACGACAAAGAAGACCTGGTCTGTCTTTGCTGGATGTTGCGATGAAGAGTGAGTTTGCTGGGGTCGAAGACGTTGCCAGAGCCAATGTCGAGGCCACTCTCAAAGTCGTCCTCATCCTGGGGCTGCGAAGTAGGAGGGGCCTCGACTTGTTGTTGGCGCTTCTTGAGCATCTTGCCCAAGTCAATAGGTCCTTCAGGAAGCTCGAGACCACCAAAGTCGTCCTCGCTTTCGGTCATGACGCTGCCGAGACTAGGGCTCATCGCGGAGCCCAACTGGGAGCCGGAAAAGCTTCTGTTGCGCTGGTCGCGACGTGTGCCAGCGAAGCGTATACCTAGACTACCCTCGGTAAAGTCATCAAAGTCATCGTGTTCTTCATCGTGTTCCTGGTGTGAAGGCTTGGGCAGTTTGAGTGAGAGCGGAGCGTTGTTGTCGATTTCCAGATCATCAGCCCAGTCGTCGTCTTGACGAGGCGGAGGTGCTCGGCGAGAGGGCGCGTTTCCTAGACGCTGGATTTTGCCGCTCATCAAGGCAGAAGGGGNGACATTGTTGGGGATAGGGATGCCGGCGTGGAGGCGGGCGGACTGGATTGCGTTGTTGGCCGACGAGTCGTCGTTGGGCGCCAGCATGACATGCCAGTCATCATCAGCAGCAGCGGATTCGGAGCGCAGCGAAAGGCGCGAGGAAAAATGGGTTTGCACAGTCGAGACGGAGTTTGTGAAGAGATCGCCCTGGAAGTCAACGTCGTCGTCCCAGCTCTCAATGTCGGCCGCGGCCATGGCGGGCGGTCAGTCGGCAAGCGAGCGACGGCAGCGAGGGCGTAGAGTCGTGGTGAAGATCGAGATGGGGGAGCGAGAGACGATCGAGGCGCTGGGAGCGACAGTAATGAAGGTGCTGGCAGGAACGGGGGTGCATTGAAGACGCAGCGAGCGTGCAGAATGCAGGATGGGCCAAAGACGACGCGGGATGGCTGGAAAGCTGTGCAACGCCTGTCGAGATATGCAAGTCAGGGCAGGTGCGCCCGAGCTGCCAGAGCCCGCCGAAAGAGCCCAAGCACCACCTTTTTTGCTCTTTCCGCACTGCTCGCCAAGAAGGGTCTACCTTCCCGCCAGCGCTGCCGGTACTAGCGATTCAAGCGCACGTCACAATCTCAGTAAACAATCAATCAATTCCACGCGACTTGACACCTGCTTCAGGCCTCTCTTGCATCAGAAGCTGCCTCACGTCGCTGCGCGGCTGTTGCCTGAAACGTCCAACTCGCACGCGTTTGCTTGCCGAAACGCTCGCCAGCAAACGGTCAAAAGCCCTGAGGGCGACGTTGTTGTCGTTGTTTGTATCCCGCCGCCTCTAAACAAACGTCCCCGCCCGGCATCCGCTGCCTACAGCTCCTCGCTACATCAGCCCTCGACCCAAACTAGCCACCATCAAATCTTACTCTGCCGTCATGCCATCACTTCCAGACCCTAAAGTCTTGCGGCTGCCGCGGACTGACGTCGACAATGACTTCGTTCTCGTAAATGTACAACAGTCTGGGTCTGATCTTCTCGACTTGAAACTCGTCGCTACTGATGGCCAGTCTCCTTTCGTCACCTCCGTGCGCCGGGACCAAATCCACAAGTTGCAGGCTCCTGGTTCGCAGACCGAATCGGACCATTGGCAATCTATCCTGTCTTCTGTCTTGTTTCAATCTATTCCAAATGATCCTACTTTGACCGGAGTAGAAGTCGTGGCCAATGTCTCTTCATCTCAACTTACTATAACCATCCGTAACAAGATTAGTGGCATCACTGTACGTTCCCGCTGCAGCATCTGTTACTCACCCTATATACTGATATCCGTANNGCAACGACTTGGCGCAATTACTCTCGACAAGGATGACGACGAAGATATTCAACTATACGACTGGACGGGCTTTGCTGTATCCCGAGCTGATGGACTGGCGTACCAACTAGCAGCTTTTCAATCTACCGTGGCCGAGCATCAGAAGACAATTGATGACCTGACCACCCAGTTGGATGACTTGGTCAAGGCGAAGAAGTCTCACCAAGATGAGATGCTCAGGAAATTCGCAGCCCTATTGAACACCAAGAAACTTAAGATTCGTGATCAGCAGCGCCTTTTGGCTCATGCCAAGGTCGACCCCAGAGCCGCAGATCAAGTTCAGCAAGCCAGATCTGGGACCACTCGTCGTAAACCTGATATGTCTCGTNNTCAAGCAAGCGGAAGGCCGATGCCAACATCCAAGAGCCTGAAACAGATGACGACGATGTCGAGGAAACGGATCTGGGGAAGCGCATGGACGAAGAAGACGACATGCGTCAGGAACTTAGTGAATCCCTGGATTCTGACAAATCCGAACTTGATACTGAGGATGACGATAGCGATGGTGGCTTTGCTCCAGCTCCCATGCCGTCACAGTCGTCGCACTCTCAAGCACGCTCTCAGGTCTCTGTTGGAGCCAAAGGAAAGNGCATCGGAGACAGTCGCGCTTAACGAAGCCAAGACGAAGTCCCCTGAGGTAGAGTTACCGCCTAGAAGGCAATTGCCTTTCTCCAAGAGGAATGACCTGAGGCCTGCTTCGCAAGTTCTTCCAAAGTCTTCTTCGCAGACTCTTTCGCAATCGTCTGCCACCATACCCTCTTCGAAGCCACCACCAGCAATGGACGACGACGACGAAACAGACGATGAACTCTAAGAGTACCATTAACACCAGAACACCTTCACTGTTCTTCACTACCGAGTTGCAAGATCAACAAATTATCAACGCACGACAACTTGGTATGTAAGCCAGTACAAAAACTCGGTCATGAATAGATTGCCTTGGCTTCAGGCTCTATTTACAGGTTGCTAAGTATTAGCGTATCATCGTCCATCGGGTCCTCCATACCGCTCTCTGAATGGTAACGTATTCGGAAGAGTTGAGGGACTGCTTCCTTCGAGTGTCTGGAAAGCCACTGTCCTCGGTGTCATAGGGTTCAATGCGTTCGACGTTGCTGGCGGCAGTGGGTACTGCCATTCAGCCTGTGACCGTATCTTTTCCCACTCTTGCTCGTCAAGTCGGGCTGTCTCTGGCGAGTATTCCGGTATCTCGGTCTCTTCGACATCAGCTGCTCGGGCCAGCTTCTCTGCTTTGGTAGGTACACAGGAGTAAAGTGAGACAGCTAGCGTCACGGCGAACAGTATTCTAGAGACTACAATCAGTCCTGCAACACCTCAACGTGCATAGGAACTACTCACAANGAGGCACAGCGTCACAGCAAAGCCGGCTTTTGCTTGCTTACAGTATCCAATGTTCTTCGTGTCCGATGCGACATTGCAACTTTTGGTGATGTACCAGGGCGCGCCTTTCTGTGGATGGTGCTTGTCGGTCATGTCTGATGCTGACTGGCCATATGCACTGTAGGCATACAGGACAACCAGCAAGATGTGGACCAAGGCAGAGAGTATCGGGATGAGAGCACGCATGAAGAACAGGACAGGTTTGACGAGCATTATGAACATCGAAAGCACGGATATCACGACATTATAGTCGGTAATNNACTGCTCCGCGGTTAGAGCCTGGCAGTTATATGGGATGACAAAATCGAGCTTAACATACAATTGACTCCAGATGATAGGAGGACTGATCGGTCTGTGGTTTGCGTATGAGTACAAGATTTCGGTCGGCGAACTGTTGAAGCCGTTGTTGTATCCATCTGTCCAGAGCCGAGTTCGATATGTGTTTGGTTGTGCTATGGCGAACAGAGCAAGAGCGGCCACAGTGAAGGNGAACTCTGCAGCGAAGAGGTAAAGCATGGTCTTTCGTGACCTCCATTTTCGTGCGATAAGCAACATTGTGGTAGAAGTGTGGCTCGAGGAAAGTAACAGCGGTGCTCAAATGTTCAGCAAACTCGACAAACGTCCGTCGAGTATCAAGCCTCACACCTCGTCGGTGGTCAAGCGCCAAAGGAAGAGAGGGGAGTCAGGAAGAGACGCTGACCTCCCAGGATGCGGGAGCAGACATGATTTGTACAAGACATGCGGTACAACCTACACATATGATCTACGTTTGGTCCCACGCTGTTATCACCATCAGTAGCGAACGAGGTAAGTTGTGTAGCCGCCCGTCGATGCAGGCGTGGCACGTCTTGCGCTTGCTGTGCGTGCATGTCGCCCAATCAAGTGGCTTCTTGATGCGCTTGGCTGGGTGTCCTTGCATGTCTTTCTCACGTCCTGCTTACCATCCAATCTGTCGCTCCGTCTTCACTGAACCACCCGCCGGTGTCTTTTGATGAGGTCTAACCATACTCGACACTTTTGTCTGTCGAAAATTGGACCATGTTGTGAGACGTTCGAAACTGGAAAGACTTGTGGGAGCACGAGCAAGAAATCTGGTAGGAAGTCAGTGTGTAAAAAGAAATTGGCACATTACCAAGAGATCAAGGCTTGAAAAAGAAGTTTACGCTGGAGCATACTAACATTCGCTTTTCGTCAAATCATATAGTGCTTCTCAAGGAAGACAACCATTGTGCATGGAAAAGGCAGTCGTGACCCACCCGAGCAGGGTGGTCCCCTCAACAATATCTGCCAGCGAAGGACGTCAACATACAAACGATTGCTCATCTGCGAACAACTTCCAATCACATCATCGAGATACAGAACCACGCCTAAGGCTGCAGATATGACTCTAAAGATGCTCTACGGGACAGCTTGGAANAAAGAACGAACAGCCAGTCTGGTCAACCAAGCCCTCCGAGCAAGCTTCCTCGCCATCGACACCGCCGCCCAACCAAAACACTACCAAGAACATCTCGTCGGCAATGGTGTTCGCTCATTTCTATCAACAAACAACTTGACCCGTCAAGATCTATATCTGCAAACGAAATTCACCTCGATCAATGGTCAAGACCCTAATAATCTACCTTACGACCCATCAACCAGCATCACAGAGCAAGTCAAAGCTTCTGTTGCCTCTTCCCTACACAACCTCCGCCACACCGAAAACACAGACGAAAGCTATATCGATTGTTTGGTTTTGCACAGCCCTCTGCCAACCACAACCCAAACCATGGAAGCTTGGGATGCCATGTCCTCCTTCGTCCCCACAAAAGTACACTCCTTGGGCATCTCAAACACTTCGCTTCCAATCCTAAGGCACATCTGGGACAACAGTACTATAAAGCCAAAAGTAGTCCAGAACAGATTCTATGCAGCGACTGGATGGGATATCGCGCTCAGAGAGTTTTGCACGGATAACGGCATCATGTATCAGAGTTTCTGGACGTTGACGGGGAATCCTGAGATACTTGGTGGACAGCTTGTTCAAACGGTTGTTGAGCAAGTGGGTGTTAGTGCAGAGGTTGCGCTTTACTCTCTTGTTCAGGGACTCGGTATTACGCCGATCAATGGTACGACGTCTCACATTGAGAGCGACGTGGCTGAGTTGTTGAAGCTGGAGCACTGGAAAGCGGAAGGTCACAATACAGAGACATGGGAGAAATGTGTCAGGATATTGGATACAATGCTCAGAGAGTGGGCATCTAGTCTGGAGAATCGAGCGAGATGATGATTCATATCATTCCTAGAGTATCTATACCGACCTAAAAAGGGAGCCCTTGTAAAGCGTGTGTCAGACGATAGAGAACATGTGGTTAATGTCAATAAGTAGCTCCTCTCCCATTCAGCACATGGTGCTATAGTATACTATAAAAATGCACAGTTGTTTACTGTATTAGACGGTGACGATGGAAGCGGCCTTGAGATACCAGAAAACAAAATTCGTTTTGAACCTCACTGCTAACTACAAGTATACCATATGCAAATATTTCCTTCATCCCATGTGTTCATTGGTTAAATCATATACGTCATTGTGCCTCAGACACTTGCTGTACGCCTCTTGACACAAACTGGTTTCTGCGCGTAACAAAAGAGCAATCTAAAACTCGTTCTCTGACGCTCGCACTCGCGCAGCAAGCCAGGTGTGTCCCAGAGTCCTGTCGTAGTCGACTGACCTGGATCAGCGTAGCAGGAAGAGTACCACCAGCGTCCAATCTTTGCCACCGTCTTCGTGATGTCTTCGTCATTGCGTCTTTCGTGTCGTTCGTCTTCTTCGTTGTTCTTGTTGCCGTTGCTCTGCATCCATTCGGTAAATCGGAGGTATTCGGGCTCTGCCTGTTCCGAAGTTCTCTTCCGCTGGCTGCCGGAACTCGAGCTGCTGCTATCATGGCTTCTGCGTATCCGTCCAGCTACGGGGATACCGACGACACACTTGCGCAAGTTTTCGAATTCGCGCTTGCCGAGAAGCGTGAGGAAGGCGTCGCCGTGGTTCCAGAGACTGATCTGACTGTCTTGTTGGTGCATGCGTATCTTCAAGTCGCGGATGGCCTTTCGAGCGGTGTGGCCCATATTCACTAGATCCAGGTCCAAGACAGACATCTCGAGGTATCCCGAAGGACGCATTGTGCGTTTGATCTCATTAAAGCATATTTGGTAAGCGTCATCTGCGGCGGCGACGGGAAAGCGGAAAACCACCGCCGAAAAGTAATTATTAGGGAATGGAAAAGGTGTAGAGATTGATGGGTGTGAGACGTGATGGTGGTTGGATAGCGTTTCCCAGGATGATGAGTTCGGTTCAGGACCGAGGTTGTAGAATTGACACTTTGGGTAGGTCAAAGCGCAGTTGTAGGACCACTCTTTCCCAAGACCGTCGACGATAAGAATGCGAGTATGATCACCGGTCATTGCTTCCTCGTGCGCGGGGCTGAACAAAAGTCGCCCAAAGGATAGCCATTTGCTCGTCATGAGTGCTGCAAATCTCAACTCCGCAGAGGCAGAGTTGTCCACTGCTCTTTCATATTTGCGAGATATTGGCTTTCGTGGACTTCGTGGGCTAGAAAGAGCAGGTGCAACTCGAGGACTTCCAACTTGGCGAGGCGACAGAGGCTCTTGGGACCCGGTCTCTTCTTGATCGATAAGGTAATCGGAAATCGAAAAAGTGGTGCTTGGGCGGCTCGTGTCAAAATTCGAGCCTCTTTTACTGGCCTCGGGATTCGAAAGACTTCTCGGTGTGTTTACCTCGTTATGATTTGTGGCTCTGTAATCGACCATGTCACCGTACTGAAACGGTGCACCAAGAGAAGACGTGGTTGATGCTCTCACCTTGGGAGGCAAGACCTCGTCCAGTAAGTTGTCATATTCGTTCCACACTTCGTCCTCCCNCACGAATGATGATCTTGTGATGCAGGGGCTTCCGATGCCAGAACTACTTGTGTAGGACAGCTCTGAATCTTTTCTTGGGGGAAATGCGATGAACTCTCGTGTTTCGTCGGCGATCGAAGCAGCTTGGTGAATGTCTGAGCCATGACTCGGGGNGTCTTTGGCAATAGCAGCATTCTGATGAAAAGGTCGAAATTGCGAGCTCTGGCCTGCTCGTACAACTTGTGGAATCCTACCAACAGACCGAAGTCTAGCTTGAGGTACGTCCTCCTGATATGTTGAGCCTGGCGCGTTGGGTATCTCTACAAGCTGAGGAGCCTTGACTTGAGTTATTGTTTTTGCTTGGAGAAGAACAGGAGAACCAAAAGATGTTCTCTTGGAGGGTGCTACTTCCATCGGACTAGGCAGAAGACCTTCGTGTCTTCGATCATAAGACACAAGCGAGTTGGTTTNTTTCAGATCGACTTCAGAGCCTTTCGAACTTTGGGAAGAACGATTGTCGCCACCGAGAAGCTGCTCTATGGCGGTGAGATCAAGATTCGTGGTCTGATCAATAGAGCCAAAGTGTAACGAGTTAGGTACTTGCTGACTCCCAGACTCATTTTTCGGGCTTTGATTTGTGATTTTGGACTTGAATCGCTGCATCAATGTTGGGCTTTTGCTCGGTGTGGGCGAGCTCAACCAATGGCCTTCTTTGCCCTCACGTCCGAGCTCAGAAAGTGAAGGCTTTGTAGCACTGACTGGAGGTGCAGCCCCTCTCGAGGCTGATGAGTCGGCATCGTGCTTGGTCTCATCAGTGCGGTCAGATGTGGCACTGTTGGTCGTGCCTTGTGCATCTAAGTTAGATCCTCTCCCACTTCCACGAAGGATTATAGGCTCTCTTCTTTCTTCCAGAAATTGGTCCAGGTTATCCTCACCCTCATCTGCCATACTCTTCTTTCTGCTCAAGAACGAGAACCCTGAGTGGCTGGTCGAACTGTCTTTGCTGGAAGACCGGGTGCTACGGCCGAAGATGCTGCTCCCTCTTCCTCTGAAGCCAAACTTGCCGTAGCCCTCGTGGCCAGTACCCGCTGCAGGGCCTTTCTTAGGCCTCTCGGATGCCATTGGTGGTGTGGGCGACTTTGTGTGGAGGTTCGACAGTATGCCCATCCTGGGAGACCTCAAAGTATTTGGACTCGGCCCAACCATAGGTGAGTCTTTGCGACTCAGAGGAGTGCCCGTTTCTGAGCGTTCGACAGGCGTTCTAGGTGTCATGGGGTATGTTTGAGATTTGTTGCTCTGACGAGAAGAGCTTCGATGAGAGAATCCAAATGTCCGTCTTGGGCTTAGTGGTGGCGATTCTACTCCCGCTTCATATGATCCTCGAGATGATACTCTTGTGATGTGCGAAAGGTTGCTCTGAACTACGGGTATGTCCAAGGAGAGACCTAGACTATCGATGCCGTCCCTGCTGGGTCGTCTAGNGGGTATCAGATTATTGCTCGACAGGTTCTGGGGTGGGTCGACGTTGAGGTGTGCGAACTCTGGCGGGATACCTTCAACAAGTGCTCCTTTAGAAGTGCTACGAATTGTGGTTTTTGCAGTAGCGGAGCTTTTCTTGTCGTTGTTAGGTGTAATTTTGTCGGAGAAAGGATTCGAGAACAATGGTACGCCTTGTTCGATTGGCTCTTGTTCGTCTTTGGTCTGGTCTTTGGGTCTGACGGCGCTGGGTCTTCCAGACTTTTGACGTGATGAGGAGCTGATGCTGGCTGCATATGTCTTCTCTTTCTTTGCGTGAGTCTTCACAGCAGTACGAGCTAGATCCAAGCTATCTCTGTGACGTGCAGATCCCAGAGTAGATGTAGCCAACGAAGAGTGTGAGGAAGCCGAAGTAGGTGTAGATTGGTGGCTGAACGGCGAGTCGGAATTTCTGCTCGATACATCTGAGAATGGAGCCTGCATGTCGACCACAGGACGTATGACTTTGGAATCGGTACGGGAACTGGACGTTCTGGATTCTGGATTCGGTATACGGCTAGCGGTCTTCAAGGGTCCAAGTCCAGAGGTAGGAGGAAGAGTCATACCAAATATGGCCTCTGGAAATGGATCATCGTCGCGCTGCACTTCGTGCGCCGTTTTGATCAGGTCCTGATGTTCTTTCATGCTCTCGGGATCAGTCTTGACGCGCAGGACATATTGGTCAATTGTAGAAGGCTTTCTACGTAATGCCGAATGAGGACTATCTGATGCTGATATAGTCGAGCCTGATACTAAAGATGGCGTCCTTGTGCTCAAAGCAGGAGGACGTACGGATCGGCGAATCAGGGACTGTGCTTTGCTAGAGCTACTCTGGATGGATGGGGTGGCCGAAGGAGGTCGTGCCTGTACAACGCTTGGCGAAACATTTCTGGACAGTAGGCGAGAGTTTGTGACTGTGCGACTCGAAGTTGTCTGGCTTTTGGGCATGTGGCGAAGGCTCGGATGTGTGGGAAGAGGCCGTGTTGGTTCGGCCACAGCATGCTCTTTAGGAGATCGAGTCGTGACCGGTAAACGAGTTATTGACCTCCTAAGGCTCTTCGTTTGAAGTTGGCTTTCCGAACCCGAGAGAAAATCCGGTGCTAGTGAATGGGTTGCCATGCTGTCTTGTACCTCGTGAGGCATGTTTATAGAAGTGTTGAGAGTAACCTATACCAGAGTTGGGGCCAAGTCTGCGAAATGGATGGATTCCTTGGTGTTCTTCATAGTAGGTACCAGAGTTATCGTTGATCGATGCTGATGAAGATGTACTAAAGATCGGAGATTCCAAAAACACATTCGAATATGATTCTTGGGATTTGACTCCACAAAGATCGAAAATAGAAGAAGCACGATGACCGTAACCTGTATTAAGGTATCCTTATGCAAGCACGTTTGGTGAACCCCCCAGAAGAAGATTCTATGCCGAGCACCGCCACCGGCAGGACCGAGAAATCCGAGAGGGAAAGAGAGAAGAATGCTTGGAAATATGACGCGGTCTTGGTCGGTGTTTGCAGTGGCAAGGTCAGCTTTGATCAGATTTGCAACGTGTACGAGGGAGACTGGATAGGTTCGATTAGGGAAAAGGGCTTCTGAGCAGGCGAGATGCTCAAACCTAAAGTGGGGATGGCGCAGGGCGGCAGTGGCTTCGCTCGCGTGTCTCAACCGCGGGTTTGCAACGGTGTGCTAGCCGCAGATCAGACCGACGTTTTTTTGATATTCACTTGGGCTGGGAAACGTCGATGACAATCCAAGAGGCACGACATTTGAAGGCGGCGAGCAGCTGGCTATATCACTGTGCCATCGTTACAGTAAAAAGTGACAGTTCGACCGTCTTCTGCCGCAACGTGAAATGCTGCATGCCGCAAGCGCTCGTTCCTTTCGACACTGGACCCCGCCAGCCGCGTAGCTGTATGCAGGCCCAATATAGCATGACTCTCACTCGCCAGTCTCTCAATGCCTCAATCTCCAGAATGTGGGTTCCAGATTACAACACACGTGCTTCTATTCGGTGAATGTTCGATCGCAAGATGGAAAAAACACATCATCACTCGTTGACCGCACCCGGAGTGGCCGCGCGAAACGTTGTTTGGCCAGCTCACAACCGTGGCTGTGTGCATATTCCTGCATGCACGTATGCACTCATCGCGCCAGCGATTCGTTTCACGCTCATTGCTGGTTCAAAAGCTTCTGGTTCGAAATCACACAAGACACTCAGCTTGGAGAGTGAATACCGTGTTCTGATGTTGTTGACGGCTCGAGAAGTCCACGACGGGCGTTCATCGTCGGAAGCTTTCCACGCGAAGATTCTGCAGCATCGAACACCAATTGCAAACCTCTTCTGAAGCCACATCCCAAGCAGATTCAAGCACGATTTTCATTGGAAGATGGCACACCTTGCCCGCATGGTCATTCAATCATGTGATCTGTAGTGGTGTATGGCGACTCGCCAACAGGCCCTGAAGAGACTGATGTTGCTGGACTAGCTATCACTCTAGCTATCGGTAATATTCATCCATATGGCACACTGCATCTTGTACATTCGAGGTTCAGTATTGCTGCATGGATATGTAAATACAGTTCGTTGATACATCGCTAGAGACTCTAGTCAAGAAACCCCTCCAAGCAATTCTAACATGAAACGCCATGCTCAAATACAATGTGATAACCATCATTATGAAGATCAGTCGATCTATTGTTGCGACTAGAATCTCGTTGTCGTTAGGAGAACTCGACACGAGCGCCTTGGTTGGCGCTGCGTTGTGCAGCCCGTTCTGCTCTTCGTCTTTTTCTGTTAGTGTCAAAGGCACTGAGGTCTGTTCCAGTACCTGTGTCATAGGTTCCATGGCTGCCGATGCCGCTGGTCATGCCACTGGGAGCCATGTTGACAGGACTCATACCTGTACTGTGGACAGGAACTGGCGGAGGACCCTGCATAGGCGGCAGGTTCAGCTCATCCGCATGTGATGAAGCTGGTGGTCTGGCTGCACTGTTCGCAGATGGCACGGCGCCTTGGGCACGTCTGTACCTGGTACTCTCGTCTTCTACTCCGGAGCTAAGACTTTCGGCTCTTCTCCTTCTCTGACGTCTCTCTCGTCTTCGCGCCTCTCGCTCTGCTGCAGCTTCATCTTCATTCAATCGACGAAGTGTGACATGGCGTCCATCGTTGTGCATCTTGACCTTGACGCTGACTGGTGGGGAAGCAACGCTTGTTGGGCTATTGGTGGCTTTCATCTGTGACATAGCGTTGTGGTGATGTTCCGGTCTTTCGTGGTAGTCAGGTCTCGAAGGTGAATGTGATGTGTTGACAGCAACAGGACCTGCCGCTATCGGCTCTGCAGGAAGATGAATCCTGGATATGTTGTTGGACCTCGCGAGACGGGAAGCATCCGGTATGATGGCGCCTTCAGGCATTGATACAGGACCAGGCTGCGTCGGGTATGCAGGACCAACCATTGGCGGCGTCAAAGTTGCAGGTCCATCGTTGTTTGACAGTCGAGTCGTGCTGTACTGGTTGCTTGCTGGTAAAGTTGCTGCGGAAGCGGGCAAAGGAGGCATGTTGCCGGCAGGTAGGTGGTGTCTCGAGAGCTCTGGGTTGCTACCTGCAAACCCGAGATCATGTGTAGCTTCGGTATCAGCAATGCTCGAACTCCTGTGTCTGTTTCGATCTGTGTAGCGTCGGCTGTTGGCGCGGTTGATACGCTCAGCATTGTGTCGTTCTTGCTGGCGCATGTCCACAACCCTGACATTATCTTTCTTGAGTTGGCTCTGTTTACGCTTCTCTCTGAAGTATCCGAGCAAACCCATGGAACCGATACCAGCTATAATACCAGGCTCAGCAACCTTGATTGGCCGGGAGGGTTGATCATCCTCGAACGAGCTCCGGCTATCGTATGAAGAGAAAGAATCGCGACTCGTGCGTGAACGAAGAGGTTGCGTGAGAGGTGCTGTTACCGGAACTGTGCTGGCTCGGTCTGATCTGGTGATTCGTTGAGGCTCAGGCGATAGAGGTGCTTCCCCACCTTGGACTCTCATCACATCAACTCGGTTGACGGTCTGATTTCCACCGACTGTAGGAGCGTACGAAGAGCCGGCATAACTTTCTTCATCTTGCGGCTGTCTACGCGAGAAGGCCCTCTTCAATCCGTGGTATGCACCCAGTCCAGCGCCGGCACCTAGCAATCTGTTTCTCCAGGTGTTGCCCCTGGGGCGGCTTTCGATTATCTTTTCCTCTTCGATATATGAGCTGGAAGGGTAAGACCTGTGTGAAGGAATCTTTGCTCTATCAGATGTTTGAACCCTTCTGCTTTGCGAACGTCGACGAAGCGCTGCCAATCCAGCCAAGCCTGCGCCAAAGAAAGCCGTGTTTCTCAAGCCGTGGTGACTAGCGTTGCTACCAGTACTAACAGTGCGTCGAGTGCGTCCAGTCCGGCGGTCATCGGTGATTTCAGTCCTTGTTGGGCCCGAAGTGTAACTCGAATAGTCGTCATAGTCGGCAACTGGTTGGTAAATGTAACAAAGGACAAAGTACAAGACGATAAGCGCAAAGACGGCCAGAGCGTAGAGGATGAACAAGTATCTGGGAGAGCCATATAGGGTCATACCGAGGGGAATCTGTGCAAGACCGAGCAGGGCGATTGCTCGACCGAGCCATTGGTGAAGCTATAGACCTTGTCAGAGCCGCAAGCAAATATGAAGATTTGGATGACTCACCATCAGCTTGAGAGGAATCTTCCATCGTGACTTGCCCTTCTCGATACGATGGATCAGAGCACCGCCAAAGAATTGAACGAGCACGAGAGTGTACAGAGCGACGCCAATGCCGTGATGAGGATTGGACAAGCTTCGCTCAGGGCCCACAGCAAACCAGCCGAGGATCAAGACAACAGTTATCAAGGCGACCGTCAGGATCTGGAGATAGATGTGGAGTCTGAGGGCAAGTCGAGGGTTTCGGTAGTAGAAGCGAGCGACAAAGATGGCCGAGGGGACTATGAGAAGAAACACGAGAGCAGCAACAACTCCGTGGCCAATGATGAGACGGTGGTACTGAGGGAGGGCGGAGAAGCGACTGGACATNNGCCTGCAAGGATCAAAGAGTCAGGTATAGAACGAGGCTAGCCAAGTCTGGGCAATCTCACTGTTCAACTGCATGGTCGCAAAGTTCAGTCCCTGGAGGTTGGGCAGGAGGAACGTGTTCTTGGTAGAGATCCAGGTTCCATCTCCAACAAACATGGTGCTAGAGTCATAGACACTGCTACCTGGCGCGCTGATGCCATCGGTCGACATGTTGTCGACACTGTGCAAGCGCACTCTGGTGCTATAGGCGTGCTGTATGCTCGGTCAATGCTGGCGTGGTTGTCGCTGCTGAGTGAATAAATGCTGAGTTGTGCTGAACAAGTGCGTGATTCGTTGCGTGTAAGTGGTCGTTCAAATCATAAAGTCGTGATAGTCGTTTCCAGCCACAATCGATTACTGATCTCAATCGATAAGCACGTGTCGACACTTTGCAGAGAAGTCGCGGTATGGAAGCTTTGTGAACACAGGCTCAAAGGTCAAGGGTTGTATGTGTGCGCGTAATTACAAAACGAAGAAGACACGAACAGAGAAAGCAGGTGCAGAACAGGGAAGTTGGGCAGCTTCTGCATGGTGCCGCAGCTACTTGCAGGTTTCTCCGTAGAGACGACATGGATAGTGATTGGCAGGAGCGTTGACCGAGCAACTCGCTTGTCTCGTCCCCGCGCTGCTCGGCCCGCTGCGACCTGCGTGCCCGGTGCACATTTTGATCATTACTGTGCACGTTTTGTGAACATCCCAGCCTCTCCAACCACCTCCATCACTATTTCCTGTTTTGCCATCAGAGACGCGGCACTTGAATCTGGAAAAGGACCAATCATAACATTTAGCCTTACAGATTTTCTACGAAATACACCAACCATGGTCAAATCAAAGGAATTCCTCAAGAAACCGAAACTTCCTAAACAACAGAAAAAATCNAAAGGTGCGGTCCTCGAACTTTTCCATGCCATCACCTCTTCGAAAGTGTATTGACTGTCTCAGATCCTGTTGACTGCAGATGATTTCCAGGAGGCAGCCGACGTTGAGGAAGAAACCGGCGGCAAATGGAGAGCTGGCGACCCTGCCAAATCAAGCCGTGCCTTTGTCAGAGCTATCGAGATCTACAACAATGGCTTGCAAAGACATCCAAAAGATGCCGATCTAGCCTACAACAAGTACGAAACTTGTTCATCACGGCACTCAATCACAAACCTTTGACTAATCTGTATCATCGCAGANGCTCGCCTCGAGTTTGAACTATCACAACAGCCGACTCTGGTAGCCAAGCTCACAATTCCTCTGCTCGAATTTTTGCAGCAGGCTTTGACTTCTCATCGTTATGCTCTGCAACTCAATGCCGAGTCGGCCGATGTTCTCTTCAACACTGCTCAGGTCATGATCACTATTGCAGAGCACGTCACAGAAGCAGGTATATTCAGCGCACAAGCCGATTCGGTAGCACTTCTTCGTGAAGCTCTTGAATTGCTATCGGCATGTTTCACTCGCCAGGAGATGCTCGTGGAAGAGCAAAACGCAATTGCTAGGGAGGCAGAAGGTGGTGTTGCAGTCCAGCAGCAAGCCCCACCAGCTGAGCCTGAGGCTTCTTCTTCTCGAACAGCAGAAGATGCAGGCTCCGAGGGCGAGGAGGAAGGGGAATATGTTTCTGTGCAAGCATACATCACATCCTCTGATCTTCTGGACACGGCACGTTCTAGTCTGACTGCCTTGACCCTACTCATCACACTCGACGACCCTTCCAACGTGTCTCCCCTGGCAAAAATGGGAATCACCCTGCTGGAGGACAAGATTCCTCAATACCTTTGCCAGATCGAAGCCCAGGAGCGTGCCCAAGAGGAGCCTGAAGTCACTCTCGAACGTGCCCAGTTCCACGCAGCCCTCACAGTAGCAGACCTCAAGCTCGGCACCGCAACTGCAGACGACAGCCTCAGCCGTTTGCAACAAGCCTTCGAACCCCTCGACATAACCACAAACGTAGCAGTGATGTGTACCTATTCCGACAGCCTCGTCGAACTCACAACCACAGCACAGAACTTCAGCCCTTCGAGCGCAGCAACAACATGCTGGTCCACCCTATCCAAAGCACAAGATCTCTACGCCGCTGCAGTAAAGATCAACGATGCAGAAGCCAAAGCTCGTAAAGCACGTGTCTACGAGTCTCGTGGCGATGTCGAGTTGTTGCGCTTCAACCTCGCCACCACACCTGCTGCTGGTCTCTCAACCGCCATTCAGAAGAGTGCGCCTACATTGATCAAGAATGCACAAACGTACTACCGTGGTGCCATGAACCTATTCCGTGCGGAGGGAGATGCGGAAGCAGCTGCCAAGGCGGAAGTCAGAGGTTTGATTGCCGCCATGCTCGAAGGCAAGCTCAATGGAAATGTCGAGCAACAGATAATCGCCGCACTAGGCCAGAAAGGAGAAGCCGGAAGAGCTGTGGCCATGGACATGCTGAGAGAAAGCTTGTTGCCCGAAGACTGGGATCAAGGCGTCATGTAAGATATGAGATGAGAACAATCTGTGGAAACATGTCAATAAATTTGGAATATATAGGGGAGTGGTAAAACTTTTGGAGAACATCAAAGATTCCGTCTCCTGTGTAGAGAATTGAGACAACAACAAGCCAGCTCACAGTGATGAAGTGAATTTTGGTCGAATATATACTCACTGAATGACGGGATCCAGCGTTCGACTCCGGAGGTCATTGATAAGTTGGTGGCTTTTTGCTCTCTGTCTAACAGGTGGTGAAAAGGATCTATAGTTTCTCATCTACACGACTAACTAGTCTTGGTCTTTCGACCTCTATTGATAAAAGCATCTGCTTCGTCCTCGCTTGCCGTGGTATCACCATCGCCATAGTCTCGCCAGTCACGCTGCGGAGTCTCTCCGTATGGTGCAACATCTTCGACTTCATCCTCCTTCTCGCTCTCCGTATCCGGCTCGGCGAAGAAGATGCTCGTTTGACGTGTGATTTCATCGATGACACTGCCTCTTCTGGCAAAATCGTGTGATTCTTCACGCTGCAGTCGCCTTACACTGGGGCGTACTACCTCACTCGAAGTGCGCGGTGCGCGTGGTGACATGTTACCAAGCCATCCACTGAAGCGTCTGGCAAACGACGGAGAAGGTGCTCTACGCTCCTCGAAGCGCGAGCCCATTGGGGACTGATTCTTTGAGTTTCTACCACTTTGCGGTTTGTCGAGTGGAGAGAGCAGCGAGTTGGATTCGAACTCATCCTCGTCTGATTGTTCTTGCTCTTGCTCTTGCTCAAGCATTGACTCGAGGTCATCGTTGCTGAGCATGCTGCCCAACTGGCTCTTTTCGATCGAAGGGGTTGGCAAAGCATGGGGATTGGGCCTCAGGCTCTGTCGTGCGTCTTCCACGATCTTCTCAATCTTCATGCGGTTAGCGATGAATTTGAGCTTCGGGAAGGTGGCTTGTTGGCCGTTCTGGATCATTCCCGCCAGACGGTCTTTAGACGGATCAGCTAGGATGTGCCAGAAATCAGAGGGCTTGGACCTTGGCCAGATGGTTATGGTTCCGGAAAAGCGTTGCAGCCACACCTCACTCCAATCTTGGCCCATCGGTCTTGGGAGCAACTCTAGATGTCTAAGAACCTTGAGCCACTTGGTTAGATCTAGCTTAAGATACTGCTCGAGAGCAGAGCCGAGGAAGCCTCCTCTCCAGCCTCGACCGCGTCTATGCGTCACTGGTCTACCGACACTACCGCGCGAGGAAAAGAAGAAGAGGTTGATGTGAGGATTGACCTGAGAGACAATGGTGAAGTTGACGTTGAAGTGCAGGTTGAGAGCTTTCAGCGGAATGTCAGTACGCAGCGATCCATCTTTCCACTTGTGACCGAAAGCGTAGGGCTCCAAAGTGCCATCTCGCTTTTTNNTTCGCATGAGTACGACAGGGTTGAGGACACCAGGAACGGCGGCTGAAGCGATGACAGCAGACCAGACAACACAATCTGGAGCTGTCAGATAGTTTGCAAGAATAGTGGGTGAGTGCGGGTCTGAAGGCACGCAGGACACATTAAGAATGCGACCCGTCCTTTGGAAAGCCTCGAGGAAAGTGAGAGAACCATGACAAAACCATGCGCACCGTCTAGCCCAGTCGACGGAGTCAAAGCGAGCACCAGTCTTGTACCAACGTTTGGACCACACCGAGAAAGGCTCTCTGCATGCAGTGATCCTGGCGGCCAATGCAGGAACCAGTGTGGTTTTGAGCTCCTCATCCGTACGAGTGCCGAGCAACGCAGCGACAAGAGCGCCTCCCGAAGTACCAGTAATGATTGGAGGTAGAAGGTCAGCGTCCAGAAGGGCTTTTGCGATACCGAAGTGATAGTACGCAAAGGTTGCGCCGCCAGACAAACAAAGAGCGGTACGTCCGAAGTTGGTGCTGATGTGCTTAACCATAGCACGCTTGTCTTCGAGCGAGAGTTTATCCGAGTCTAGCAACATCTTTATACAATCGGAAGCTTCGTCGATGAAATCCTGCACGAGATTTTTGGTGCCAAAGTATGTTTCAGAGTAGAGACGGGGATTTTCGAAGCCAGCAAAGTTGTTCTTGACACAAGCTTCCACGAGACCTCTGAGCTCGTCGACTGCACGTGTACCAGAAGACATGGGAGACATGGCAGGGTTATCGTTGACTTCGGCTTGGACCTTTGCTTTCAAGGATTGCAAACGTTGCTTGACGCGACGGATGGTCTTGCTATCATAATAAGCATACTCGTCTGCAGTCTTCCATTTGTCGCTGCCCAGGTGACCATCCAGCTCCTCGGCGGCCTTGATCCAGTCTTGATAGTTTGACTTGTGGCGTAAACTGGCGCGCAAGACTTCACGCTTTCCACGCCAGGTGACGATCTGCTCGTAGAGGGAGATGTAGAGCCTTGTGAAGGTGTATGAGATGCCCAGCGCCATGATCCAACCCAGAACGACAAAGAGCAGCGGCCATTTGAGCAGGTTGTATGTCCATCCTTCTCTTGTTTCGTCCTTGCCTCGACGGGGAGGCAGCTTCGTCTTCTTCTCTTTCTGTTGTTTTTGGCGGCCCTTGACCTTCTGGCGTACAGGGGCCCAGTCGTTGAGGGCAGTGAAGAACTGGGGCGGTTGACTCGAGGGATTCAGGAGATCTTCTTCCGAGGGGGAGGTAAAGTCGGGAGCGGCTAGGGCTTTGGCGAACTCTTGGACGTCGTCCTCTCCTATAAAATCATCATCGAAGTCGGGGATGGTCGTAGGGTCCCACGCTGAGGGATCCCAGGGGTCGGGGCCGTCTGTGTGTTTGGACGTGTCGGCCATGCCGCAGATGCAACTCGACGTCTTTCTGTCACGAGACAAGGCCGCTTCGGCTCAGTTGCATGCTTGGGAGGACTAGGAAGGCACGACTGGGGAGAAGCATATTCCACGGGGAAGGTGCTACGTCACTTTCATCTGCTGTATTGACTTTCGGCCCGAGCCGACTAACCCTAATGGACATCAAGGTCGCCGCTGTCTCGCGTTTGCCTCCCACAGTCTGAGCAGACAACAATGCTGCGGGACAGCGGCTTGTCTGCGCACAATGCCATGGTCAATCGAAAGGCCACCGTCGCCAATGACGAGGTCAAGCGGCCTGCCAAACGGGTGAAACAGGAACATGCTCCAGACGCAGACTCGCCCGACGATAGCGAACTCGCGCCACTCGACATCGAACAGCACAAAGCAACTGATCTCGAGACGGCTCTTCCTCCCATCGATACCGACAAGGACGCCATAAAGGCTTACGAAGCCACCCGCGCCGCCGAATACTCCGAGTCCCAAGCCGATCAGCCAAAATGGATCCCTGGCCAGCGTTCCATCTACGTCGATGCCTTCAACCTGGCCCTTGATACTGTCCTCGAGGATGAGAGTCATCTCTTTGACGATGCTGAAAAGATGGTCTTCGATACATGGCGTGACTTGAACTACGAGGCTCAGTACCTCTACGTCCGCCTGTTTCTTCGCAAGACATCTGCCTGGCATCGCATCAATCGCCTTGGCTATCACAGCGACATCTCCGACCTCCCCAGAGCTGTCGAGACGTTACAGACCTCCTGCGACCTTCCGCCGCCTACCGCAGTATTGCTTCCCGTCCCTCGCGATTTCGATCAGCCTGATGACGCTCGATTGGGACACTCCTTCACTTTCGCCGACAGGTCAGAAGAACACATTACCACACTGGAGGAAGCTTCATCGCTCCTTCTATTGGATGAGCTCAAGTCGCTTGCCAAGGATGCAAAGGTCCAAGGCAAGACCAAAAGAGAATTGCTGAAAGCTCTGAGAAGGGCAAGCGGGAAACAAGCCGGCCTAGGTTGGTCTTCGCTCAAGCGATCCGATACGGAAGACTCTACTCTATCCGTGGCAGACGATGATGAAGATAGTCGGGAAGGCACCCCACTACAGAACCGTGATACTCACTTTCTCGAGAAGATTATGGCAGAGACAGGGCCTTGTGTCCGACTCTCGGATCCTGCACGGAGACTGTTCGAACGTGTTCATCTTGTCTTCTATCGTTCCACTATGTGGACGGAAAAGTCCTTGACAACAATCATACTTGCCAAGATTTCACGCTTGAACTTCCCGGAATATCTCGTATGTCGCTCATCCAACATATTTGCATCCAGACCTATGTTGCTCGAGTTCGAGGCTTCGCTGAGAATACAGTTCTATCTCGACAGCGTTCTCGAGTTCAATGGTATACCAAGCAAAGAGAACTTGGACACAATCCTCGACCTCTGTGACCATATCCTCCCGCGCTGGAGAGAACTACTGCGAGAGGAGCAACAAAAAGAAGACAGCATCTACATGACTGGTGAGGGTGCTTACTTGCGACGCCTTTCTCCTGCCTGGGTCTACACTCGTATCATCCACAAAGGTGCATATGTCATGGGTAAGTTCAAGGACCACAAGCGTGAGTACGAAACCCTAGAAGAGTTACTCAAACAGAAACTCTTCCACACTTCCAGGCGAGGTGACTGGTATCAGCGAAAAGCTTTACTGGAAGAGCACTACATGCATGCTCTGATGTCCGCTCAAGGCCGTGGAGAAGAGGCTCAGAAGAAACACTGGAAACGTGTCTCTCTTCAGACTTGCGAGGAAGGTCTTCAAGATCGTCTCGTGCACCTGATGTACCATCATGATCTCCAGAAACGAGTGATGAAGCTAGAGAAGGCTCTTCGTGTACCTATGCGAGAGCAACACGACTTCAGTCATGTTCGACTGGCGAAACCTGTGGAACGTATTTTCTATGGTACCAGGATACAGCGAGCTGAACAGCCCAACGAGACGAGAAGGGGAGGCAAGACTATCTGGATTGATCCTGGAGAGAACGAAAACGAAGGTGAATGCTCAGTGGAGGCAATGTGTCTCTCCCAGTATCGCTCGCTTGGCTACCGAGGATACCATGCTGAGGGCGGCATTGTACGGACATTGTTCGCTTACCTCTTCTTCGACGTACTCTTTGTCTACATCCCGGACGTGTTTCAGACGCCCTATCAGACGTGCCCCTTGGACCTACACACTGATGCATTCTACCCTTCGCGCATATCCGAGATCAACCAACGTCTGAACGAAATCAACAATGGCGAGGCACGGAACCTGATCCAGCGAGTGTGGGATGAGCACCATGAGAAGAATACGTGCGTCGTGGGGTTGAGTTGGTCTTATGAGCTGGAAGATCTTCTGTCCATCGCCAATTGTTTCCCTCCTGCAGCTCTCAGTACCGTGTGTAAAGTCATGGCACAAGAGTATGGACAAAGAGGAGGAGGTGTGCCCGATCTCTTCCTCTGGAAGGAGAACTCCGACACGGAAGGAGGAGAGGTCATGTTCGCCGAAGTGAAAAGTGAAAATGATCGTTTGAGTGACACACAACGCTTGTGGATAGACGTGCTCACAGGTGCGGGTGTCACGGTGGAGTTGTGCAACGCTGTAGCCAAGGAAGTAAAAGTGGTTGGCTAGCTGAAACCTCATGACTTCAATGAAATGTACGAATCCCATCCAGAACCTTTTTGCACGACACATCTTTCCTTTCTTATGGTGCTGCCAATAAACTCAATCAACTTTGCGGAGTCTCCACTGCCAACATCTTCCAATGGCAGCGGCACACTGACATGCCCTTCACTGGTTCTGCAACAACATCTCGATACCTCGCCACGTTCTCGAAAAATCCACACACACTAACCTGCAATACTGTTTCACGAGATGGACTCGAGAAAGAAACCCAGAGAGGAAACTCCGATACAGGGTCGTACCAACGACCATGCAAGAGGACACGACTCGCGGGCGATCTCTGAATCTCGCGTGTTGAGATCAGCGACCATGATGTTACGTGTGGCGGCCATGAGGCGCAGCACTTCCCGGTTTGAGGGCAGACTTTCCACATCGCTAAGCGCTTGCAAGTCCGCCCGTCGAACCCGCAACTCATTTCGCGAACCGGAAAGTGGAAAGAAAAATCACGACTTCAGCTTTCGAGGCGGGCTTCTCGAGTCTTGACACTTTTTTCCGTGACAAGCTGGTGCCGTGCTGCGTGAACCATCACCCCTACTTTTCCTTCATCACCCTTGTATGCTACTGCAGGTCCTCCCGCGAATGCAATTGCATAATAGATGAGGGCATCGCGATCCTCTCGGTCGACTCCTATGTTCTGCCTCGTCACAATTCCCAGGACAGCCCTATGTATATCACCCGGTGTGGAGTGGAAGGTTGTTGAACCTGACGGAGATCGAAAGCTTGTGATGTCATGCTTCGCGTGCTTGCGCGAGAGAGCACTCTGAGACAAACTGATGTCCAGCGTTCCAACGGTCTTGCCCATCTGTCGGGGTCTGTACCGAAACTCTACAAGATGTTACTCTCCGAGCTTCGAACTGGACGACAGTCGCTGCAAAAATTCCGCAAAGGAGGCAACAAGGCGGCTCGACGGTTCGTAGCTGCCAATGTTACTCAGGGAACTTTCTCGAGCTCTCTCCAGCTTCATGCATCATAGCTCCAGTCCAGGACCCTGGTCGGGATGCAATGCTGCCGTTCTTGCAGGGATAAGGATGCGTATCAGACGTCACCCGTCAACGACGCGCGCCAATCATCTTAACATTCACGCTTACACTTGCTGTCCTTACCTGAGACTGTTGACAGGTCGCGGTTGCGGCACTGCTCCCGTCTTGAGGTGTTTCTCCGTATCGGCGCCTTGTGTTGCACTAAAGCCTGTATCGAGCCGATGAGACGGCACTCTCTGGTGCTCTGATGGGCCTCGAGCTGCACAGCTCCCTCGAAAGCCCTCGATCCTCGCCTAAAGCCACTTGTGGACCGCCCCGTCTTCTCCGCATCGTCGATACAACTACCATGCAGCCACTCTCCAGCCGTCACTCCATATTTCGGTGGCTGTGACGTTGAAACGCAGCTCGAGAGCAGGCCGAACCGACATCTCACCAGCCGCAAAACCTGTAATGCCACCGTGAGGCGCTACCTACCTGGCATTTCTATACGTCACACGCTTGCTGGACAGCACCTTGCGAGCCAACAGGAGTGCTAGCTTGCTCCGTGCTCGCGGTAGGTAGCTTATATGTTTTCAAGCTCCCTTCCCTCGTCTCAATTCCTCTATCAATCTTCTCCCCCCATTCCCCCAAATAACTTAATCAAAATTGTTGTATGACCAACAATCCATCTTCCTCCTCTTACGCCTACTACTCCTTTCCTCCTACACCAAACAGAGCTTCCCCTTCAGCGAGCTCTAAATCTAATTCCCCCACTCCCAAAACAACCAGAACTTTGAAGAACATGGCTCCTTCTCCAGCAGCAGGCAAGGCCACTGGTGGCGCCCCCAAGACCCCTACCAAGTTGGGCAGAAAGCCCCAAAGCCAAACTAGCCAGCCTCCCAAACTCGGACAGCAGGCAGCTTCAGGCGCAAGAAAAGCATCCGCCCCCGAGGGTGCTAAGCAGCCAGAAGTTCCTCAGACTTCCGAGAAGCCCGAGGTCGGTGACGTGCAACAAAAAGCCGGCGAGGCCGCGCAAGGTGCACAAGACAAGGCTGGCAAGACTGCCGAAGATGCTAAGAGCAAGGCTGAGGGCGCTTCTGAAGAGCCCAGCAAGGTCGAGATGAAGGACGACACCGAAGCCGCATCCACCCAGGCTGGTGATGATGAGGACGAGGATGATGACGAAGGCCCTCTGAGCAAGGTTTCCCAGGCTGGAGACAACGCCAAGGGCCAGCTCGAGGAGCAAGCTCCCCAACCAATTGACGACTCTAACGATGACAACGATACCGCCGCTGGTGCACAAGACACCGCTGATGATGACGACAATGACGACACCGAGGACACCGCCGACGACGACAAGACCGTCAAGGCTGGTGACGAAGCAGACGACAACGACGATGATGTTCAAGACACTACCGGCAAGGTGGCTGACGACGCCCAAAAGACTGGCAAGCAATCCGGCGGTAACCTTCTCAAGGGTGCCAAGGGGCTCGCTGGCAAGGCCTCTGGTCTCGCTGGCAAGGCTGCTCAGGACCCCAAGAAGGCAGCTCAGGATGCCTCCGAAGACGCTCAAGATACCGCAGGAGATGTCAAGGACACCGCCGAGAACACTGCTGAGGATGCTGCCGAGGGCGTTCAAGACACCGCCGATGACGCCAAGAAGGTTGCAGGTGATGCCACCGACGAGGCTGGCGATGCTGCCAAAGACGTCAAGGACACCGCTGAAGACACTGCCGAGGATGCTCAAGACACCGCTGGTGATGCCACCGACAAGGCTGGCGATGTCGCCGACGAGGCCAAGGACACTGCTGAGGACGTCACTGAGGGCGCTCAAGACACCGCCGAGGACGCCACCGAGCAAGTCAAGGGCACTGCAGAAGACGCAACCGACAAGGCCGGCGAGACGACTGAGGACGCCGAAGACACTGCTGAAGACGCCAAAGACTCCGCCGAGGACGCCGCTGATGAGGACGTTCCCGAAGTCAACGACATCAGCGACCTCCCTGTCGACCTCTCTGTGCTCAAGGGCCTCGAGGTTGCAGAAGATGGTATGGTCAACGATCAAGACGGCAACCCCATTGGCAAGCTTGCTGAGGGTGACGCTGAGGACCTCGCTGGCTACCCAATTGGCGATGATGGCGAGATCCTTGATGACGATGGTGATCTTGTCGGTCGTTGCGAGCTTCTTCCCGAACAGGTCAAGAAGCAGATGGCCGACCTCAAGAGCAAGGGTCAACTCCCCAAGGGTGCCGAGAACTTCGTTGGTGAACTCCCCGACACCGACGATGCCGAGAAGCCCAACCTTGCCATCTTCAAGGGCCTCACCTGCGACCCTACTGGTAACATCTTCAACGACGACGGTGACACTATCGGTCAGGTTACCGATGGCAACCCCGAAGAGCTCATGAACGCCACTCTGAACGAGTACGGTGAGTTCCTCGACGATGATGGCAACGTCATTGGCCATGCCGACATCCACCCTGATGCACCAGAGGACATCTACGACCAAGTCCAGCAGGCTGCCGATGATGCACAGGATGCTGCCGACGACGCTCAGGACAACGCCGACGACACCGCCAAGGCCGCTGACAGAGTCGACGACGCTGCCGACAAGGTTGACGACGCCGCTGACGATGTCAAGGATGCCGCTCAAGACATTGAGGACGAACTCCCTGGCATCGAGGCTCTTCAAGGCAGAGAACTCAACGACGCTGGCGAGGTTGTTGATGACCAAGGCGAGGTTCTTGGCCAGATCGACGACGAGTCTCTCAAGGAGAAGCTCGAGTCTGGAGAACTCAAGGCCGAAGATCTCAAGATCAATGAGGATGGCGAAGTCGTTGACGCTGACGACAACGTCCTCGGCAAGGTCGGTCTCGCAGAAGGCGCTGCCGAGAAGCTCGGTGGCTCTCTTCCTTCTCTCGACCTTCGCATTCTTGATGGCAGAAAGGTCAACAAGAAGGGCAAGATCCTTGACGACGAAGGTGACCAGATCGGTGAACTCTCTGAGGGCGACCCCAAGGAGTGTGCCGGCAAGAAGGTCAACGACAAGGGTGAGGTTCTCGACCAGAACGGCAAGGTCATTGGCAAGGTCTCCGTCACTCCTGGCGAGGCTGCTGAGACCGCCACCAAGGACCTCCAGACCGAGCTTGGCGAGAACGCTCCTGACGAGGAGCAGGATGAGGATGAGGAACAAGCCGATGAGGATGAAGAGCCTCAAGGTCCTCAGTTCAAGATCCCTGACCTCGATGTCCTCGAAGGCCTCAAGGTCAACAAGAAGGGCAAGATCCTCAACGAAGATGGCGAGGAGATCGGTGAGCTCACCTCTGGCGACCTCAGCGAATGCGCCGGCAAGAAGGTCAACGAAAAGGGTGAAGTCCTCGATGCAGAGGGCAACACCATTGGCCGCGTCAAGGCCCTACCTCAGGAAATTCCTCAGGAGGAGATCGAAGAGGCCGAGGAGGCTGCCGACAAGGCCGAAGACGCTCAAGACGCCGCAGAAGATGCCGCCGAAGACGCAGAGAACGCTGAAGAAGGCGCCGAGAATGCCGAAGAGGGTGCCGAGGATGCTGCCGAGGACGCCGCCGCCAACCTGCCTCCTCTCTCTGTTCTCGATGGTCTGAAGGTCAACAAGGCCGGAAAGATCGTCGACTCCAACGGTACCATCGTCGGCGAGCTCACCGAAGGTGATGCCAAGAAGCTCTCCAAGTCTGGTGTCAAGTCAGACGACCAAGGTCAGTTCTGGGACGACAAGGGCCATGTCATCGGCCGCGCCAAGACCGTCCCTGTCGAGGATGACGAAGAGTCTGAGTTCGCCGGTCTCGAGGGCTTGATCGTCGTCAAAGACGGTTGGGTTGAAGACGAGAACGGCAACCGTGTTGGTCAACTCACCGAGGGCGACGCCAAGAAGCTCGTCGGTCGTGCTGTTGACGAAGACGGTGATATCCTCGACAAGAAGGGCAACGTCGTCGGTCACGCCGAACGCTACGAGGACCCTGACCAGGAGCCTGAGCCTGAAGAGGAGCCCATCGACCTTTCTAGCCTCAACGGTAAGGTCCTGAACAAGGCCGGTTTCGTCATTGGCGATGAGGGTGTACCTGTCGCTCGCCTGGTTGAAGGCAAGGCCAAGGAACTCGCTGGCAAGAAGCTCGATGACCAAGGTCAGATCTGGAACGACCAAGGCAAGGTCATTGGCCGTGTCGAGTTGATCCCAGAAGACGAGCGCGAGGCCAAGCCTGACGGTCCCTTCGCTGGTCTTCAGGGTCTCCGCGTTGTTGCTGACGGCAAGGTCGCTGACGAGGACGAGAACATTGTTGGTGAGATTGTTGAGGGCAACGCCAAGCGCCTGATCGGTCTTGCTGTTGACGAGGACGGCGATGTCATGGACAGATATGGCAACGTCAAGGGCCATGCTGAACCTCTCGCAGACGAGGAGGAGGAAGGTCCTGTCGACAACTCTATGCTCGACGGCAAGAAGCTCAACAAGAGCGGCTTTGTTGTTGATGACAAGGGCATCCCCATCGGTAAGCTCATCGATGGCAACGTCAAGGAGCTTGCTGGCCGTCAATGCGACGAGAACGGTGACATCCACAGCGACACCGGAAAGGTTGTTGGACACTGCGAGGTGCTCCCTGAGAATGAGCGTGTCTCCAGAGCCGANGGACCTTTCGCCGGTCATGAAGGTCTTCGTGTTACCAAGGAAGGCTACGTTGCTGACTCCGAGGACAACGTTGTCGGCAAGGTCACTGAAGGTGATGTGAAGAAGCTTGTCGGCCTCTCCGTTGACGAGGACGGTGACATCAACGACAAGTACGGCAACGCAAAGGGCCACGCTGAGCCCTACGAGGAAGAAGAAGCTGGCCCTGTCGATAACTCGATCCTTGATGGCAAGAAGCTCAACAAGCAAGGATTCGTCGTCAACGAAGACGGTATTCCTCTTGGTAAGCTCGTCGAGGGTAACGTTAAGGAGCTTGCCGGTCGTCGCTGCGACGAAGAAGGCAAGATCCACGGCGATACTGGCAAGGTCGTTGGTCGTTGCGAGGTTCTTCCTGAGAACGAACGTGTTGCCAGACCCGAAGGTCCCTTCGCTGGACTGGAAGGCCTCCACGTCAACAAGGAGGGCTACGTCGAGAACGCCGAGGGCGACCGTGTCGGTATCATCACCGAAGGCAACGTCAAGCGTCTCGTAGGCCTCACCGTCGATGAGGATGGTGACATCAGCGACAAGTACGGAAACACCAAGGGTCACGCCGAGCCTTGGGAGGAAGAGGAGCAAACCGCCGAAGACCTTTCCGCCCTTGCTGGCTGCACCGTCAACAAAGCTGGCAACGTCGTCGACTCTTCCGGCACCATTATTGGCCGTGTCTCCGAGGGCGACCCGTCTACCATGGTCGGCAAGAAGGTCGATGGCCAAGGTCAAATCTGGGACAACGCCGGAAATGTCATTGGCAAGGCCGAACTCGCCAAGGGTTCCGACACCAAGTCTGAGGGACCTTTCGCTGGTTTCGACAGCATTACTGTCAACAAGGAGGGATACGTTGTCACTTCCGACGGTGGCATCGTTGGCCGCGTTACCGAAGGCGATGTGAAGAAGCTTGTCGCTCACAAGGTCGATGAGGATGGTGAAATCCAAGACAAGAACGGCAACCTCATCGGTAAGGCCGAGAGATGGGAGCCTGAAGAGAAGGAGAGAAAGATCAACCCCATGTCTGGTCGCCGTGTCAACAAGGAGGGTGAAGTCCGTGATGAGAACGGCGATGTCATGGGTAGACTCACCACTGGTGACCTCGGTCACTGCGTTGGCCTTGAGGTTGATGACAATGGCTACGTTGTTGACAACGACGGCAACAAGGTCGGCGAAGTCACTCTCATTGCCAACATCATCGAGGACGAGGAGATTCCTGAGGAGGAACTCACCGAGGAAGAGAAGGAGGAGCGCCGCAAGAAGGAGCAAGACCGCGAGATTGCTGAGAAGATGGGCACCATCTGCACTCAGACCCTCGAGAGAGTCCAACCCATCTGCAAGCAGATCACCGACGTAAGTGCTTACCTGTTCCATGTCTTCACTAGGACCATTACTGACTTACCTTTTCTCTACAGNCACATCGAAGCCGCCGACCGTACCCCACGTGAAGAGTTGGACGAGGAAGATTTGGTCAACAAGGTCAAGCCTCTCATCGAAGAGGGTGGTCGCATCTTGCAAGAGTGCAACGGCTCTCTGCGCGGCCTCGACCCCGACGGTCGCATCGCTGCTCAAGCCAAGGGCCGTGCCGGCACCAAGGAGGCCACTCCCGAGGAGTACCGCCTGGCCGACACTCTCAAGGAGTTGACAACCACCGTCGTCACCACCATCGACAACGCAAAGAAGCGCATCAGCGACATGCCTCACGCCAAGAAGAAGTTGAACCCTCTCTGGGGTCTGATGACACAGCCCCTCTTCCAGATTCTTGCTGCCGTCGGTCTTTTGCTGACCGGTGTCTTGGGTCTGGTTGGTCAGCTGCTCAACGGCCTTGGATTGGGTGGACTTGTCAATGGTCTGCTCGGTGGCCTCGGTATCGACAAATTGCTTGGTGGTCTTGGTCTCGGTAGCGTTGCCAACTCTCTCGGCCTGGGCAAGAAGGGCAAGAAGGAGGGCGGTGGTGGCGCCAGCAGTCTGCCCATCGTTGGCGGTCTGTTCGGCAAGAAGTAAAAAATGAAACATGACGAAGTTCGACATTCTAATCCTGAGCCTGACGGGATGCTGAAGAAGAGAAGACAAACAAAGAGGGGGAAACTACACCAACCACTTCTGGAGGAAAGTGCAAGGGATCGGGGGTCTTCTTGCATCCGACTGACTGATTGTTTTTGGAGCAACTTCCCTTTTTCTGGGTTTTGATTCTGTTTTTTCGAGCCCCGGCGCTGGTCTCCTTTCGCTTTCTTTTGACGAATTTCCTTTGTTTAATCTGTTCAACACGTGTGTTTGTATTTATACCACTACTCTGTTTGTTGTTTATTTGGTACCCTAGCTAGGTAATTTATGCTCATTTTGCAGTATAACAGTCTCACATGTCTACTTTATTATCATTGCAAGACTCTCTCCTTTATCGTGTTGCTACCTCTCGAACAACAATCCAATCTCTCACAATGAAGCCTCTCGGACCATGTTGCACAGTGAAGTTTTGGCTTATAAAAATGCACGATACCTTCTAGGAAGCAGCAGCATGCACCGAGAGTCGTGATTACCTTCGGACCTCGTCTCTTGTACGAAGCATTTATGCGTTTGCACAGTAGCTACAATGTGACTGTCTTCATCAACACACAGGGAGATCATATCACTGTTATGCAGCAGATCACCTTGAGATGTTTTTGTTAGATTGTGTTCATTTCCTTCGGATCCCTGTTGACATGGACGTGTTTCTCGTAAAGCAGCGTGACCAGAGCGTGTCTGACTCGGGTGCTTTCTTCCCCATCCATGCGAGTGAGTGGCTAGCATCTGTATGCAGAGCCGAGCCTCTCTACTCAGCACAATATACTTTTTCTATTTGTGCACAACTATCTATTCCCGTCCGTGGCGAATGTCTCAATCATCTATGATGCAAATCAGAGTTTCTATGATTGCGGCATGTCGAGTATTTCAAGCGTTTTGGCTGTTAGATCCAGATCCAACGACGACAAGTCTTATTGACTCGTGCTGGCTTCGATCCCTCGTTGAGTTCATGTGAAGTGTACTCGTCCGTTCACAGCCGCAGAATGGGCAGTAGAGTGACGAGCCTGCAGCGTGGCAGGTAGAGCGGAGACATGCGCGCTCTATATTTGGGGACGTGATGCGATCGTGCTGGGTGATGGATGGGGTCGTTCGTATTGAGAAGCAGCAACTGGGAAGAAGGATTTAATGGTGGCGCACAGATTCGGAAGCGGTGGCCGGTGTGTCGCGTGCATGAGTCGTGAAGGTTGAGTTAAGCTTCTTCCTGCCGAAGGAAATGACGATGACCGGCCTTAATTTAGCAAAGCGTTAGCGGAGGATGGCCTTGGGATAGAAACATGTCCCGCGTAGCAGCACCCGCATGATCACCTCACGGCGACCACCATGGCTGGGAATTGCTCTGGATCCATCTCGTATAACCCTTGGCAGCATTGTAAGTGTTCATGATGCAGGTGTCGTAAGAGGCCCGCGCTCGCGCTCGGAGGCTGGGGCGTGCCCGCTGAAGCCTCATGGCTCGAGATATATATTCCACCACCCACCCTCCCAGTATTACTGTTTTATCATCAGCCTCTTCCTGTCAACATCTCTACCAACGATATAAACGACTACAAACGGGACCAGCCACATATATACACTTCAAACTTTCAACATGTCTCCTCGCTCAGCAACTTTGCTCTCAGCCCTTCTGGCTGCCACCGCCGTCTATGCTGCTCCTGGTGCTCCCGCTCCTCTTGAGAAGCGTGCCGATTGGGTAACCGCCGTAATTGACGGCAAGACCGTGTCGTGGGAGAACAACTGGAACGTCCCCGCTCAGTCCACTCCTCCCGCTGTCCAGCCTCCCCAACAAACAGGCTCCGGTCAGAACAACAACGGAGGCGATTGGATAACTGCAACATACAATGGACAGACATTCTCTTGGCAGGCAAATGCTCCCACTGCTGCCCCTGCTGCTTCGACCCCTGCTTCGTCTCCCGCACAAACAACCGCTGCTGCACCTGCTCCGGCACCCACAAACAAGAACACCGACCCTTCATGCAGAGACGTGCACATCTTCCTTTCCAAGGGCTGGAACGAGCCTTACCCTGGTCGTCAGGGCAAGCTCGCTGGTGCCATCTGCTACGGTCTTGATTCTTGCGATTACGAGGACATTTTGTTCCAGAACCCCGAGGGCAGTGACTACTGCACCGCTGTCAAGGAGGGCGACACCAACGGCATCAACCAGATGACCGCCTACGCTCAGAAGTGCCCTGGCTCCAAGCTTGTCCTGTCTGGTTACTCTCAGGGTGCCAACGTTGCTGGTGATATTCTCGGTGGCTCTGACATCTGCGGTGGCCCCAACCCCGGTCTTGACCCCTCTACCAGCCCCGGTAACCAGCTCGGTGCCGTCCTTCTCTTCGGTGACAACAGACACGTTGCCAACCAGCCCTACAATGTCCTCAGCGGTGCCGATGTTAGCTGCAACGATCCCCGTACCACCGACTCTCTCAACCGCCTGAACAAGTTCTCTGGTATCATGAGATCTTACTGCGACCACTCCGACCCCGTCTGCGCTGCTGCCGGCCCCGGACCCTTCGATGTCAACAACCACCTCAACTACTTCGACCTCTACTCTGACGATGCCGCCGGCTGGGTCAAGTACGTCCTTGGCTACTAAACTGTTTCATCTGTACTCTTATTTCTACCTCTCACATTGATGAGAACTTCCTGTCGATATTTGAAGGATTTATTTTAAAAGTTGTAATTTAATGAGCAACTAGAACTGCCACCAGTAATGACTATTCTACCATCAATTCTCTATTCCCTTTTCACTGCGATTGTCTTACTGTGATGTGTCAAGTCTCATTCAAATCGACAATGTTACCAAAGCACGAATGAATTGAACTTTTGATGTCCAATGACCCTTCTTTGCAAATCTTTATCTCTACCAAGTCTTGGACGCGTACGTATATCTCAGACATGAGTGGGTCTTGTCTCTGCCACAGATCTTCGTGGAGTACGTCTTACTTTTACTTTTACTTTTTCTGAGTGGATAACAACATGATTGTGATAGTCAGAACCCAGCATGTCCATTCTCAAAAACACATTTTTTCTGCAAACAATGGCATCGATCGCGTGCCCATCTGAAAAACTTCCCTTCTTTCACCTTCCTCACAGCAGGGAAACAAGTACAAGGCAAGGCAAAAATCGAGCAACCTTGACCTGCAGTAGTAGCAGTACGACAATGATGTTCACTTGTTGGACCAAGCCACGCCATGCGAAGTCCAAAGGATGGCAAACGGCCTTGCATGGCAGGATGGTGTGCATTGCGCCTGTGCTGTGCATCATGCATGTATCATTGTACCGCAGCACCTCAACAACCAAGCCTTTCACCTTGTCTTCCTTTGCCGACCATCACCAATTCAGAAAATTGTGATCTTGCAATGACTTGCGCGTTTCCTTGGTTGTCATCATTTAGAAAGCACGCACGACCATCAGGCAAAGCAGTCAAGGCGGCTGATGTCTGTCGGCCTTGTCCCGGAACCTTGTTGAGAGATCCAAAACAAAACAAAAAAGAAGAAAAAAGAAAAGAAAATCATACATGACGATGTCACTGATTCTCTTGTGCAAGTGCCTGGTTCGGATAGATGTGTCTAGCTTGCTAACCCACCCTTTTTGCGACCGTTTTTCTCTTTCGCTCAACTCCGAAAATCAATCCACATCTCCCAAGCCATTATTTATAGAACCACCAGTCGAATTAGTGCTTGGATGACACCTCAAGGTGAGATGGTGGTGTGGGGTCTGGCGTACTGCATGTGGCCGAGTTGCCGATGAATCTCTTGGTTGTCTTGGAGAGGAAGTCCCAGAGCAGGGAAGGTGGATGCGATGACGGAGGTTGCAGTGAGGAGGGCAAGTCAGGCAGGGTCGCTCTGCGTTGCCGCATTCATGAAGACATGATTCAATGAGGTAGGCTCCGAAGATTCAATTCATGACAAGAAGACTGCACAGACTTGCTGCCTCGCAAATCGATACAATGGTCTGTATTGCTGTCAGTACTCGAAACGGCGGAGGCCAGCTCTCTACCATCTATCCTTCTTCTACCTGAAACGCTCACATACGAATAAAGAGGGCAAGATACACCAACTTGCACTTGAGAAGCCAGCATCTATATGGCTCACATATCGCGTTTCAATTCACGAGAAAAGAGCCAGCCACACCCTACATGATAGGATCTCGCATCTCACATCTTCTCATTGGTCGAGATGTTTCATCTTCCAGCCTCTTCCGTTAAACACTCATATATTTGTGATCGAGAGGATGAGATAAACAGACTCGGTACACATGGTAACCGACACGGCTAAGCCACGAGTATCACCAATCGGCACAGTCGTGATATTGAATCTCCCTCGAGAGAAGTTGCAGCGATTCTGCTTCAATAAATCATCCTACAATTCGCCCCCATGCGTGAAACCTGCAATCGTGTTCATCCCAGCTGGGGGTCAATGATCAAGTTCATCTTGCAATGACAACCGCTATTGGTCGCCATGAAAGAGGTCAACTAGCAACTGTCCTGCATGGGTCTCCCGAGTGTCTCTGGAAAATATGGACGAAACAAAAAAAGTTGAAGGGCAACGACCAATGAAGATGGAAGCAGCGATATTTCGAGAGATTCAAGGCATTTGCGATTGACATGGTAAAGAAGGAAGAGGCGATTATATATCAGAACACAAGGAATGGACGACTTGACTCTGAAAGTTGCAAGGCTGGCTCCCGAGAGAGAGTCAAGGACCAAAAGAATTAACAGACACTTGGCAGCGCATTGCTCAGAAACCATTTTTGAACCAAGAAAAAGAATACAAGTAAAGTACAGCTACATGGGGATCTCTGATTTTTCAATTCTTGATGCTAGACTTTCGTACACTCCGTACAATACTACCATTGGCTTCTCGCTTCTACAAGCCTAGCTTCTCAAGGTACTTGGTAGCGAGCTCGACAGCCTGGTCGGCATTCTCAGGCTGAGTGCCCTGTCCAAGCGAGGTAGCACCCTTACCACCAGCCTTTCCACCGAGCACACCGGCAATCTCACTGGCCCAGGCAGGTGCATCGGCACCCTTCTCCTTGGCCTCTGCGGAAACGTGGCAGCCGTGGACGACCTTGCCATCCTTCTCATCGGCAGCGATGAGGTAGATTATCTTGTCCTTTTGCTTGGAGCTGATGGTCTTGATGGCCTCGCTGATGGCCTTGGAGTTGGCCGAGATGGGGACGCGGACGACCAAGCGCTTCGACTCGGGGTTGTCGGTGAAGTGCTTGGCGATTGTGTCGGTCACGGTCTTGTTCTCGGCCTTGAGGAATGCCTTTTGCTGGTCGAGGTTTGCNNCTGTAGAGCACAAGGTCAGTAAGCGAATTACAAATCATCACGAATCTGGTAAACTTACCTTTGCAACCTTGGCGAAGCGCTCTTTGAGTTGGGTCTTGGTCACAGCAGAGATGGTCAGCTGGTTGAGCTGGACCTGCAGCTGCTTGGCCTTCTGCTCCTTTTGAGGGCTGTACTCCATCTTCTCGAGCAGAGCGAGGTCGTCCGAGAACTCCTGGGCAACTCTCTGCACCTCATGGGCAGTCTGACCAGTCACGGCGATGATACGGCGAATACCCTTTGCGATACCACCCTCCTCAAGCACGATCAACTCCTTGATCTCACCAGTCTTGTCAACGTGGGTACCACCGCAGAACTCGACACTGACGTTCTCCCACTGGGGGTTGTGGACATCCTCAAGAAGCTGCTCAACGGGCACACCAACACTGACGACACGGACGGGGTCAGGGTAGGTCTCACCGAACACGGCACGGACACCCTTGATGTTTCTGGCAGTAGCGAGGGGCACTTCCAATGAGTAGACAGGGCTGTTCTGGCGAATATATGACGTGCTCTTGGTCTCGACTTCCTGCAGCTCCTTGTCTGACAATGCAGCTTTGTGGCTGAAATCGAAACGAAGCTTCTCAGGAGCGACGAGCGAACCCTTCTGGTTGATGTCGTCGCCGAGAACTGCGCGGAGAGCAAAGTTGAGAATATGAGTACCGGTGTGGTTGTTGCGGATGGGGTGTCTGCGGAGTTCATCGAACTCGCAAATAACGGAGTCGCCAGTCTTGAAAGTACCGTAAGTCATGTAACCGGTGTGAAGAACGTAGCCAGCATAACTTTGAACGTTCTGGACGTCCAACTCTGCTTCACCATCAATCAGAATTTTACCAGTATCGTTCTCTTGACCACCCTGCTCGGCGTAGAAGTTGGTCTTGTCAAGAATGACACCAAACTGCTCGCCCTCGGGAACCTCGGAGGTGCTCGACAGGAATTGCTTGTTGAAGTAGATGGCCTTGACGGTAGCGTTGATGTTGCCACGACCAAACTTGGGCTCATCGTCTGTCTTGCTAACCTCGGTCATGGTGTCGAGCTTGCCCAAGTCGTGGACGTCAAGCTTGACCAAATCGGCACCAGCCTTCTTCTCGCCCTTGCTAGCCTCCTTAGCCTTGGCCTGAGCAGCGTTGACCTCCTCCTCGTTGATAGTGAGGCCGCGCTCCTCTGCCATGAGTTGGGTAAGATCGACGGGGAAACCGTAGGTATCGTACAGACGCCAGACATCAGAACCAGAGAGTGACTTGGTGTTGTTGTCCTTGCACTGCTGAGCATACTTCTCGAACATGGCCTCACCACGGTCGAGGGTCTTGGCGAACGAAAGCTCCTCCTCGTTAAGGATCTCCTTGACGTCTTGCTCCTTCTTCTTGATCTCGGGGAACATGTCACCCATCTGGGCGACCAAGGTAGGGACAATCTTTGAGAAGAAGTCACCAATGTCCGTGTTCAGGTACTTGCGAGCATAACGGGCACCTCTACGCAAGACTCTGCGCACGACATAACCACGTCCCATGTTGTTAGGAATACCACCGTCAGTGATGGCAAAGGTAAGAAGTCTCACGTGATCAGCGACAACACGGTAGGCAGTGTCAACACCGTCAGCATCCTCGCTGCCAAACTTGCCCTCGTAGTTGCGGACACCAGTGATTTCTTGGATGCGGTCGAACAGAGGAGTGAAGACGTCGGTATCGTAGTTGGAAGGCTTGTCTTGTAAGATACTCACCAAACGCTCGAAGCCCATGCCAGTATCGACGTGCTTGTTAGGCAGGGATCGCAGTGACTTGTCGGATTCGCGGTTGTATTGAATAAAAACGTTGTTCCAGATCTCCAAAACATTGGGGTCGTCCATGTTGACGAGATGTGCGGCATTGCGGCCTCCAATTCTGTCGTAGTGGATTTCACTGCAAGGACCGCAAGGGCCCTGGTCACCCATCTCCCAGAAGTTGTCCTTCATGTTGCCAGGAAGGATGTGGTCTTCGGGGACACCGACTGACTTCCAGAGCTCCTTGGCCTCGAGATCGGGCTCCAGACCACCAGCCTTGTCGCCCTCGAAGTAGGTGACGTACATTCTGGCGGGATCAAGACCGAACTCGTTGGTGAGAAGTTCCCAAGACCAAGCAATGGCTTCCTTCTTGAAGTAGTCGCCAAAACTCCAGTTACCCAACATCTCGAAGAATGTNNCTGTACCAATCTGTTAGTCTACCAGTCTACCAGTTGATCGGATGATTTGGTTAGAAAAGCTCACGTGGTGGTAGCTGTCCTTGCCGACATCATCCAGATCNNCTAGATCGAGTTAGATGAGTCAATGGAAATGTAAGCGGGACATGGTTACATTGTGCTTTCCGCCAGCACGGATACACTGCATGTGTTGTTAGCATGTTGTCGACGGCGATGGACAAAGTCTTGGCTTGCCTTNTTGCGAATTTGTGGCACGCTTGAGCGAGGCGAAATCGGACGAGGGGTCTACAGTTCCAAGGAAGATGGACTTGTACTGGTTCATGCCAGCATTGGCGAACAGAAGAGTCGGGTCCGAGTGAGGGACAACCGACGAGGAGGGCANCTATGCAGCGATTCAGCTGGGAGTTGCGGCGAAACAGAGACCCCCGAGGCGGGACATACCAAAGGTGTGGCCCCTCTTCTTGACGAAATAGTCAATAAAAGTGCTTCTGACCTTGACAGCATTCCATTGCTGCTCGGTGGGTTGGGAAGCCATGTTGAAAGCGCGTGTTGTGGTGAAGGAAGGGTATGGGAGGTGCGAGAATGTTCTCGTGGACAGCTGAGGTGGAATTTGAACGTGAGTCAACCCACGTCGGCAACAGTTGAACAAGCTCGTGATCATCCACGCTTTCTCCTCGACAAGTCGCGCGCGCACTCGAAGACGACTGAGATATTCGAACAGTCGTATTGCAGCTCTAGACAGACTACCGGAGTGGACGGCGGTGATGCGGGATGAACACAACCAGCGCGGAGGTCATGGACCGACACCGAGACTCAGCTACGGCTACAGCTACAGCTACAGCTTCAGCTCCAGCACCAGGTGCCCTCAGGGGCTCAAGCGCACAGCAGACGACTCGTTCGATGATGATCACCGTTTTGCGAAGCGCTTCAATCTACTCAATCTAGGTATGGCCCCTCTCTTTCTACTGCCCACTCCTCCTACTGCCCACCCCTCCTACTGCCCACCCCTCCTACTGCCCACTCCATCCACCGACGCTGACTTCTCTACAGCCAACAACCATGACAAGCTCTACATTCCCGTCTCGGCTAGACCGCAGCTCCACACNCCCCTGACTCGCCCTCCTCCTACCGAAGAGCACATGCAGCTAGACGACACAAAGGACCGCGTCTACATCCACAACCTCGACGACGAGCTAGCCGACATTGAGTCCGACGAAGAGAAACTCATCTTCCTCCCAGACATTGAAAAGAAGCTCAACGCCATACCCAGACACATCCTGCTCGGAGACAAGAAAGATTCGCATCAAGAGCTCGTTCTCTACAACCTACCGCCGTCCTTGTCCGTGCCCATCGAGCAAGACAATGTGCGAAAGGCCATACTCGAGGCTCGTGAACGCGCAAAGGAAAGGGCAGCAAACATGCCTTCGTTATCCTCCAGTCCTGCAGATGGCACGCCGCCAGAAGAGCAGATAGAGACTGCTCATGGCTATGACTCTCCGGACTACGGCTTGGATGAAGACACAAACGACATGGAGGAGGAAGACGACGCCATGGATCTATCATGAGACAGAGATACTCCCATTCGTGGACATCACCACTTCCCAGAAAGCATTGTGCATTTCTATAGCTTGAGATATGGCCACTTTTCACTGTCTATGGCTACATGGGTAGAGCTTGCATTCTGTGATAAGTGGTATTGCATTGTCTAAGTCTCTGCCAGTCCAGCCAGCCTTGCTACCTAAGTTTGTCTATATACTCTGGCCATATTCTCCTCCAGGCCTCCCCTTTGAAGTGAACAATAGAAAAAAACATTATATCTAAGTCTGGTATCCTTCGTAAAAATCTTCTAGTTGCGTGCTCGGCCCCAATGTCTCGGGAGCCAGCGCCTGCTAGGGCTGGGTGTTGCGATTTGTGTCGTCGCCGCCGACTCTGTGCCTCCCAGCGTCAAGCTTTCGGGTAGAGCGGTGCGTCTCGCCTTTTGGTAGATGGCGGTACTTGTGATGGTCGTCCAGAGCGTCGTGTAGACGTCTGGCGCCACTGAGACTTGCTGAGTCGTCCATTGTGTGATGGTTGTGTCTGCGGGCGCCGTGATGGCTCGCTCGATGCTCGTCGTGATGGTCACCCATTGTGTTGTCGTTGCGTCGGCCGAAACTGCCTGCACGATGGTCGTGAGGACCGTGGTCTCGGCGAACGATGGCATTGTGGGTATCGTCTCGACGTTTGCGGCAGGTGTCGTCTCGCTGTTCTCGGTAGCCGATGGCTGCTCGGTCTGACTCAACTCTGGTATCGGCGCTACCGATACCACTTGTCTGAGTTTCGTCGTCACGGTACTCCACTCGGTCGACGTTGCATCGGCAGCCACGGCCAGAACTAGCGTTGTCAACACCTCGGTCATTGATGGCAGTGGCTGTGAAGAGCTTGTTTCAGCAGCCGTCTCTGCAGTCGATGCAGGCGCGGCCGATGTTTCAACGTTCGACGTCTTTGCGGCAGTCGACGAGACTTGAGCGATCGATGAACTTGAAGCAGCCGAGGAGGCCTGGTTGCTTGACGAGGTCAGGGCGGCGGACGAGATGCTCTCGCTCGACGAGGTCTGGGCGGCAGACGATTGCGAAGACGCAGAAGCCGACGAGCTTGAGATTGTGGAGGAGGACTCGGCGGTCGTCGAGCTCTGCTCGGTCGATGAGCTCTCGGCGGAGGACGAGGTTTCGGCGGTCGATGACGTGGATTCGCTCGAAGAGGTTTGCGTTGACGATGTCTCTGTGGTCGTCGAGTCGACAGCAGATGACACGGTCGAGGTAGTCTCAGCAGGCACCGTCTCCGTCGATATGGTGCTAGCACTACTAATGAATGTCTCAGTTTGTGTTGGGTTATTAGGATTATTGCAGAATGCGGGCAGTGCAACCTTTCCAGAAGATTTTGCAGTCTGCTCGAAGACTTTGAGAGAGTTGATGGACCAATAGGCATTCGAGAATGCCCCAGGGTTGTTGGCGACGTAGTCGGTGCAGGAGCCGCTCAGAGCAGAACATGTAGGGTCGCTGCTCCAAACGCTACCAGCCCAGTCGCCACAGAAGGTCACATCGAAAACAATTTGGTTGTTCGAGAAAAATTCGGGGATATCACAGCAGCCTGTGAATTGCGAGAGTGGCTTTCCCCAAGTGTAGTCCGGGGAGGGATTGGCGCTTAGGACGTTTGCAGGAATGGCACCACGCTGGAAGAACCAGATGCTGATCGCTTCGTCGGTCCATTCCATGGCGTAGACACCACCTCCCACATTGTTGAAGCCGTCACCATAGGTGTTGTATTGGTTAGTGGAAATCTGACAACCCAGGTTGTTCGTCTGGTCCGCTGCGTTGACATAACAGTCGTCCGAGTAGAGATTGCCTGTGAAGTTGCCATTGTCGTAGATGGAACAGCCGTCTGCCGTGTGCAATGTCATGGCGTTGTGGTTCTGTGTGTTCACACCCTCGATAATATCAATCTCACCACCATTGGGCCAATTAGGTCCAACCATCCAGAAGGCTGGCCATGAGCCACAGGCATTGCCTGGCATATGCGCAAGATCGAGGATGACAAGACTGCCAGAGTTGTAGGCGTTCTTGCTGGTCAAGCGGATACTGGGACGACCACTGGGCTGAACGTTGGTATGATCGACGCCAATATAGATCTGGTCGTTTGCGTTGCCAATCAGACCGGTGTTCCATGCTGTGCCTTGGTCAATATACTGGACGAAGCCGTGAGTCGGGTCCGAGTATGTGAAGAAGTCGAACATGTCGAAAAATGCTGCAGAGTTGTAGTCATCTTGAAGAACATAGCCAGCTATGCTCAAGTTGACGAACGAAAAGAGAGAAAACAAAAAAGGAATGAGTGGCATGTTTGTGAGCGAGTGCATGGTGCAATAGTAAAAGAATGATTGCGCNNACGAAAAGAAAGAAGGCTCCAAAACAGAGCAACACGAGTGCATATATAGCGCTGAGTACCCACGAGAAGACGCCGCCTCATCGATGGCATAGTAAGATAGGCTGGCCCCTTTGGGAGGGTTGTAAGAATGTTTATTGCGACCGTTCAAACGGCTTCAACGCAGACCGGGCGTGGCCCTGATAACTGCCATGGTGGTGACCTACCTGGCGGTCTGGTCAAGAAGTACACAGCGTAATGCTCAAACGGTTCTAGCATGTGTGCTCGTCGTCCTCTGCGCTTGTGAGTTTCTTGTAGGCATGTACCTATCTCAAATTTGTGATGCATGTTGGGCGATTCTGCAGCTGGCAGGAGCACGTTTGGTAGATCTCCCTATAGAGAAGATACACTTGGTATAACATATCGTGCTGTTCAGCAGAGCGGTACATACAGTCGTTGTCGCATGCTCGTGGTGGAGTCCAAGAAGAATGTGCGTGAGGTGGTGTGGATGGTCGTTGAGCAACCCCCGAACACCCCACTCTCCCAGGTGCTACGGAGCCCGGGTGATGTGACCAGGAGACCCCCGATCGAGTGTAAGCGACTCCCTCCCCACTCGCTCAATGCGGTTATACTGTAGCTATAGGAATGCATAAAACTTTCCACAAGAGAGCCGCATCCGCTAAGAGAGTGACTTTCTAGGGGAACTCTGTGGCCATGCTTCTAACCCGGAAGCAATCATGCATTTCTGCAGCTTACAATGTCAATATATCATCCTGGGAGAGCCCATCACGATGGCTTCGATGCGCTCTCACTTCGGAGCTCCCTACCAGGCAGAGCTCCCTAGACGTCTTGGCAGGCACAATTTCCGTATGCGGCCAATCGACCAAGCTGATGTCTCAACCAGGGGCCGAATCCACCTCCTGCCTCGTATACCATTTCTGCACGGCATTACCATTCCAAGATCTGGTGATGGTGATAAGTTGATCCTGAATCTCGTCACAGTGTACTATTGCCTTGGTGACATGGCCTACGAAGCACGTCATGGGACCGCTCTCTATCGTCTATCTGACTTTATCACGTTTTCGTGGACAGCAACATGAATTTGACTCGTCACAATCGATTCGTAAAGGCTATCAGAGGACATGGATCTTCGGCACTGTACGCGCATGTGCCTGTAGATCACGAACCGGTAGGGAGGTTGCCCTCTCGACATGGGTTGTGCTCCGAGAGTGCAAGGGAAAAAAAAAGCCGTTTGGTGATTGCTTGCCGCAAAGTCGCAACGGTCTCATGAGAATTGGTCTCCATGTCAGCCAGCCAGTTGCTGCGCTAACGGGGATAAAAGAAGCGAACGACGACGGGTTTCCCAGAGGATGCACTGCCTGAATGTCTCGGGTTTGAGCCTCCCAAGGGTCTGGGGGTCGCGGTTGACTGTGCGACTATCCGTAGGGTTCTGATAGTTCTGATATACAGATATGTGCAACGCATGGTTCACCAGGTTGGCGCATGCCTCGTCGTCATCAATGCATGATTCTGATCACTTTGTCACGTCTCCCTGGCCGACCGAGTTCTTGTCGTCTTGTCCTTGAGCTGCGGCCTTCTTGGCTTCTTCTTGGGCGAAGAGGTCTTGCCAATATGACTCTTTGTAGCCATCCATTAAACGCGTGAACTGTGGGCCACTCTTTACCCAGCCCTTGACACCTCCTTCAAGTACCATTGATTGCATTTGCTCGTCTCCAGCTGCGTCGATGAACTCCTTGAANNCCTATTTGAATCAGTACAAAGGTGTTGTATTAACCCATGTAGATGCTGCTTACCATGCAGCGCAACGAGGTGCTCTACCGTTTGAAGAGCNCGCCTGTTACAAGATCAGTCAACTGGAAGCTCAGCACCTTAGTGCAATCGACTTACATGTAAATACCACCCATTCAATGTCAGCCTTGTATGCCAGTTCGTNACCTGTGAAAGAGCATTAGTAATGTTGCGAGCAAGATATAGATTGAACTTACAGCATGCCTCTGTTCCACCAAAACCCTTGAGCAGGGATATTTAGACTGCCACGAAGACATCCACCCTCAAAATCCATCCTTCTAAGATCGATAATGAGCAGACTTGCCACGCCCCGTAATGACAACATCTGCATCACACGGTTTCGAGGCATGATGGCCGCTTCAGCCTTGGGCTCCGGAAATTCTGTGTGCCATGGCTTTTCGGTAGTCATCTTGATTCGATAGTATGTGTTATCCTTTGTAGGTGAGTTTGTCTGATCTAAAAGGTTGATTGATGTTGTCGTTGGAAGATGGCACATAGAGCAAGCACAAAGCCGAAGTCCGAAACAACCGGCTGAGCTCGAAGCTCAACATTTCACCCTCGATTCAAGAGCTTTGATCATCATTCTCTTCCCCGAGTTCGGTTTCGGACACGTTTATACAAGGCAGTCCAGGAAGAAATGTTCACAAAATGAGCCTTCTTTGGGCATGATTAAAAGCGCTTAACTGGGTATTCCGACTTTTCGTAACAAGAAACAAACAGACATGACGCATCTATTGCAATGACTCGACAACCAGAGCACTGGCACCACCACCACCATTGCAAATACCGACAGCACCGATCTTTCCCTTCTTCTCTCTGAGGACACCAAGAAGGGTGACAACGATTCTGGCACCACTTGCGCCCAGAGGGTGTCCAAGGGCGACGGCACCACCGTGAAGGTTGACCTTGTCCTCGCTGACACCGAGAAGCTTCATGTTGGCAAGAGCGACAACACTGAAAGCCTCGTTGACCTCGAAAGCGTCAACATCCTCCTGCTTGATGCCAGCGTGCTTGAAAGCCTTGGGCATGGCAAGAGCGGGGGCGGTGGTGAACTTGGAGGGCTCGTGAGCAGCCTCACCCCAACCCAGAATCTTAGCAATGGGCTTCAAGCCGAGCTCCTTGAGCTTGGCCTCAGAAACNNTCAGAACGACGGCAGCGGCACCGTCGGAAAGAGGAGAGGCGTTTGCAGCAGTGACAGTGCCATCCTTGGGCTTGAAAGAAGGTCTGAGAGTCTTGGTCTTGGCCTCGTTGAAGTTCTTGGGCTCGTCGTCCTTGTCAATGGTGATGTTGGGCTTGCCTCTGCCACCGCTGACCTCGATGGGAGCAATCTCCTCACCGAACCAGCCGCTCTCCTGGGCGTTTTGGGCCTTCTTGTAGGATCTGATGCAGTAGTCGTCCTGAGACTCTCTGTTGAAACCGTGCTCGTCGGCACAAGCCTCGGCGGCGAGACCCATGTGCTGGTCCTCGTAAGCGTCGGTGAGACCATCCTTCAGTACAGCGTCAACGAGAGACTGGTTGCCGAACTTGGCGCCGGTGCGCATGTTAGGGAGGTAGTGAGGGGCGTTGGACATGGACTCGGTACCACCAGCAACGACGATGTCGGCGCCACCAGTCATGATGGTTTGGGCACCGAGGATGATGGCCTTGGTAGCGGAAGCGCAGACCTTGTTGACGGTGGTGCAGACAACCGAGTTGGGGATACCGGCGCCGAGAGCACACTGGCGGGCAGGGTTCTGGCCGAGGCCGGCAGAGAGGACATTACCGAAGATGACCTCCTCGACGGCCTCGGGCTGGACACCAGCTCTCTGGATGGCATGCTTGATGGCGTGGGCACCGAGCTGGGTGGCGCTGAGGCTGGAAAGAGAGCTATACAAAGAAAGGGCTGGTTAGAATTGTTGAGCATTGAAGGATAGCGGGGCTCTCTACTCACCNNCCAAGAACTGACCAACAGGAGTTCTGGTGGCCGAGACAATGTAGACGGGGGTGGAAGGAGCCATGTTGAAGAGTGAATTGAGGGAAGGACGTGAATGGAAGAAGGAGAGAAGATGCAGGAGAAGCAGGTAGAGAAAGTAGAAGGAGCGATCAAGGAGGGCCAGGAAATCATGCCATGTTTAATTTCAAGGGACAATATGGGGGTCCAGTACGCTGTTGCCAACGCGTTTCGCCGCAGAAGTCAGGCCGATCTCGACAATATCTGATCATCAAGATAAGATACCGTTGACAACACAAAGCGGTGAGTCGAGGTGAAGCTTGACTCGCGGCTGCCTCTTGGGTGACGATCTTGTTGGAGACGAAGTCTCGCGGCGACTGTCGCATTCGAGCTTCAACTTTTGTCGCGTCCACTGTCGCCCAAACACACCACATCTGCTGCCATGGACGACCTTTACGATGAGTGCGCCGATTCTCCGTCTCCTCGTACACGCAAAATACTAACTCTTTGCGACAGGTTCGGTAACTTCATCGGCGAGCCCGAAGACTCGGATGTCGAACAGGAACAGGATGTCGATGCCAACGACTATCTCTACGACCAGGACGAGCCGGATGAGGTAACTGCTGCTCACGACCAGCAGTTGATGGAAGTTGATGGTATGTGCCGCCTCAGCAGCAAGTCCCAAGGAGGAACTGACACTGGCGCAGATGAAGGTCCCTCGAATGCCGTCGTTCTCCACGAGGACAAGCAATACTACCCTACTGCGCAACAGGTCTATGGCCAGGATGTTGAGACTATGGTTCAAGAGGAGGATACACAGGCCCTGTCACAGCCCATCATTGCTCCCGTCGTGCAGAAGAAGTTCACTGTCGAAGAGGCCGACTTGCCTCTCGTTTTCTTCAGTCGCGACTTCATGACCGACCTGATGAACTTTCCCGACCAGATCCGCAACGTCGCTCTTGCTGGCCATCTTCACCATGGTAAAACGGCTTTCATGGACATGCTCGTAATGCAAACACACAATATCCAAGAGAAGCTGGACAAGCGAAAGGGACGCGACAGGGACGAGCAGCTGAGATATACCGACACACATCTTCTGGAGCGTGAAAGAGGCGTATCGATCAAGACCGGTCCTATGAGTCTGGTTCTACCCGCCACAAAGGGAAAGTCACATCTGATCAACATGCTGGATACTCCTGGTCACGTCAACTTCGCCGATGAGGTCGCTGCTTCGCTACGTCTGGTTGATGGTGTCGTCCTGATTGTCGACGTTGTTGAGGGTGTTCAAGTCCAAACCGAGATGGTCATCAAGCACGCTGTTTTGAACCACCTACCACTGGTCCTGGTCATCAACAAGATGGATCGTCTGATTCTGGAACTCAAGCTGCCTCCTGCCGATGCTTACTTCAAGCTTAAGCATGTAGTGGAAGAGGTCAACACTGTTATCGAAAACACCATCCCTGGCCAAGGCGAGAAGTATCGTGTCAGTCCCGAGAAGGGCAACGTCTCTTTTGCTTGCAGCATGATGGGCTGGTGCTTCACCCTTCCGTCCTTCGCCCACATGTACGCCGAGACGTATGCTGGCAGTGGTCTGGACGTGCCCGAATTCAGCAAGAGACTGTGGGGAGACATCTACTTCAACCCTGGAAGTCGCAAGTTTACTCGTCGTGGTACAGAGCCGGCCAGCAAACGCTCCTTTGTCAACTTTGTCCTCGAACCCATCTACAAGCTCTATTCACACACCATCAGCGAAAGTCCCGAAGATCTCAAAAAGACATTGGAGAGCCTGGGAATCCATCTCAAGCCCACACAACTTCGTGCAAACGCCAAGGACCTTCTGAAGATGGCGTGCGAGCAGTTCTTTGGTCCTGCAACTGGGTTCGTGGACATGGTTGTTGACCACGTTCCATCACCTGTTGAGGGAGCCAAGCAGAAGCTCGAAAATTACTACACTGGCCCTACTGACACCAAGACAGCCGAAAGCATGCTCTCTTGCGACCAGGATGGTCCTCTTATCGTTCATGTTACGAAATTGTTCAATACCACAGACGCAACTGGATTCAACTCATTCGGTCGTGTCATGAGTGGTACAGCACGTCCTGGCCAAAAGGTTCGCGTACTAGGTGAGGGATACACGATCGAAGACGAGGAAGACATGGTAGAAGCCACTATTTCTGATGTCTGGATCGGTGAATCGCGATACAACATTCCTACCAGCGGTGTGCCTGCTGGCAACTTCGTTCTCCTCGGAGGAGTCGATAACTCCATCGTCAAAACCGCTACCATTGTTTCACCTAAGCTTCCAGAAGATGAAGATGCCTACATCTTCCGTCCTGTACAACACTTCTTTGAGTCTGTATTCAAGGTGGCTGTTGAGCCTATCAACCCTTCCGAGCTCCCGAAGATGCTTGATGGCCTCCGCAAAGTCAACAAGTCATATCCTCTTATCACTACCAAGGTGGAAGAGTCGGGAGAGCACGTTGTTCTCGGAACCGGTGAACTCTACATGGACTGCGTTTTGCACGATCTGCGCCGACTATACGCATCGATGGAGATCAAGGTCTCTGATCCTGTGACGCGCTTCTGCGAGACGGTTCAAGAAACATCAGCCATCAAGTGTTACGCATTGACACCGAACAAGAAGAACAAACTCACAATGGTTGCAGAACCCCTCGATGATGGCATTGCCCAAGACATTGAGAGTGGAAAGGTCAACATCAGAGACCCAGTACGCAAGGTCGGCAAGTTCTTCGAAGAGAATTACGGTTATGATCTGCTAGCCTCGCGCAACATATGGGCCTTTGGGCCTGACGATATGAGTCCTAACATTCTACAAAACGACACATTACCGTCCGACGTGGATCAAAAGCTTCTCAAGAGCGTTCGAGACACGATCCGTCAAGGTTTCTCATGGGGTACCCGTGAAGGGCCACTCTGTGAAGAGCCCATCCGCAACACAAAATTCAAGATCACCGACGTCAGTCTCGCACCAGAGGCAATTTACCGTGGTGGTGGTCAAATAATCCCCACAGCCCGTCGCGCATGCTACAGCAGTTTCCTGATGGCCAGCCCGCGACTGATGGAACCAGTATATAGCTGCTCCATGATCGGCAATGCAGACAGCGTGAGCAGTTTGTACACGGTCCTTGCCAGACGTAGAGGTCACGTCCTCTCCGATGGCCCTATCGCTGGTACACCCCTCTACAAAGTCTCAGGTCTGATCCCTGTGATTGACTCCTTCGGCTTCGAAACCGACCTCCGCATCCACACTCAAGGACAAGCCACACTATCACTTGTCTTTGACCGCTGGAGTATCGTGCCCGGTGACCCTCTGGACAAGAGCATCAAGCTAAGACCGCTGGAACCTGCTTCTGCACAAGCAACTGCCCGTGACTTTGTGCTCAAGACACGTAGGAGGAAGGGTCTGGCCGAGGATGTCACGATCAGCAAGTTCCTCGAGCCTGAGTTGTTTAGGAGTTTGAAGGAGAGTGGTATCTTGGACCAACCTGCGTAGAAAAGTTACGAATACTTGTTGTAGAATACAGGGCAAATGATTATATCTTCACACCTGCATATCAAACACATTATTGTCTTTTATTTCATCTCAGCCCCCTCTCGTCTTCTCCTAACTCTCCTTTAGGTGTCCTCACGACAGCGCCCTTGAACCCTTCGCTTAAATCCATCTCATCGGCTCCCAACTGCTCCATAGGGTCCTTACACAAAATCCCCAACAGCGAATCTACGGTATCCCTCACTCTATCCGCAAACTCCTTGGCACTCAAATCTTCCTTGCCTATCCAAGCTCTAAAAGCAAAACAAGCGGCTTTGTAGACGTGGTGATACAGTAACTTGTACTCTTCATCTCTAGCCTCTTCCTCTGGATCCACCGCCTCCGCCGCCAACGTCGAAGTAGACACCCGTTTCTTTCTCTTCGAAGCGCTGAAGCCCCAGACACGTAGGCCAGCCAACACAACTTTAGACACCATATCTTTATTTTTCTGCTGCAGGACTTCTTGCTCTGAAGATGATGATGTGGCAGGTGCGGGAGTTGCTCGCGATAACCCTGACGCTACCCGTTTTGTTTCTGGCAGCGTGGGATCGCGGCGCAGACTTGCTATACTCGGGCTGCGGCTTTTTGGTCGTGTGAGGAGGGGTACGGAGCCCCTGCTTGCTTCTGACTTTAGACGTGGCAGGGAAGGCAACAAGGAAGGACTGTTTGAGGGTGCGGCTGCGGCTATTGAGGCCCCTGAGTGTCGGTTTCGGCGCGAAGAGGCGGCGGAGAAGGTGGAGTCGAGGGCGGTCTTGCGTTTTTGGCGGAGGGTTGGTTCGTCCCAGGGCCGAGGGATGAAACGACCGTCTATTGTGCTTGGATCTGAAGTCCCCGGGACTGGAGAGGTGGGTGGTGTGATATCCGTATCGTTGAAAAGTAATAAATCAGAGGATAGAGGAAGAGCATAGAGTCCGAGTTCCTGGCTTGATGAAGAAGCTTCATCGTGTGATGGCGAGGCAAGGTCTTGTTGGACATGCTTTCTAGCAGCATAAAAGAGTATCTCCGTTATCCGCGGCTGAAATGTTTTGCTTGCATCAGCGACTTTTACTGCAGCTAGAATGCCCAAAGGTGATTCGACGGTAGCGCTCTGCCACCATTCTTGCCCTTGGGGTTCTGCATCGTTATTGCTGAGCAGTAGATTGCTGAACCAGGTTCCAGTCTCTTCATCTGCGGTCCAGACATCTAGTCGATTTCCACATATCAGGTGTAATGGTATCCGCGTGGTATCGACATGAGAAAGAAATTGCAAGGTGCAATCGTTCGGTAGTCCATGTTTCGCGGAAGGCGCGCTTATTCGTACATNCTGCATCTCCTTGAGCATATATTTGCATGGTTACAAATACTCTGAAGTCTTACCTCGTATCTCATTGCTATCATCAAGTCGTAAATTGCCATTCCAAGTGTCCATCATTGGGTATTATCATGAAATGCTGGCTTTGAACATCAATGTTTTTCGAGGTGACGTGATGGAGACGCGTCGTTTCCACTCTTGTCCCAAATAGGCAACTACAAACCATGACTCCAAGGAAAAACACTCGACATCTTGAGAAGGAAGCCTTTTATAAGACATGTGATACTTTTCCGCCCTGTATTCTTGTCTCCCTGTTATTGTTCAACTTTGATAGTGTAGCATATAAATGCACAATAACTTTTTGAATCAAAGCAATGTCCAAGGAGAGACACCATCTTGTAGCTATCTGTATGGTCACTTATCTGATTCGGCAAACGACTGTGCATTCTTATAGCATACTATAGCACATCGGAATGGGAGAAAGATTATGACATCTTCCTACATAGAGTCATAAAGTTTCTACCATACGAATCTAATGCTACCTAATATTCAGACACAAGCTCCGGTGACCTCGTGAACAGACTACTCACTTCTGCTATGACCGCGCAGTCTCGTCCTCGCACTACTTCTGAGCCGGTCAGAGTTGAATCAGCAGATGAAACTAAGCCTAAGCACATATCGAGGAGGACCAGTAAAGCTCTTAAAGAGCTGATTTGATGGAATGGCATTGCTTTACGAATTTGCTGGAGTATGAACCCAAAAATGAATCGATGAACTTGAAACAACTTTTGCAATTGTGCCTTTTGACTGGTTTTTGTGCTCTGAGCAGAAATTTGGCAACAAGTGCGTCGGCAGTAGACCGTCGTCTTGTCGGCTTCCTGCTTTTTCCTGCGCTTCACAGTCGGCAAAGCGATGTACCAACAATCACAGAGGAAAAGAAAAATTGAATAAGTATTGGGTATGTACGCTGCTCGCTCCATTTTTACAGATTCACAAAGAACGCCGACCATGCAAAATGCTCCCCTCCTCCTGTTCATTGTCATTGCCTGACGGGGATGACCCATCGTTCGTCTTGGTCGTCTTCCAACTCATCAGAGTCCCATCCATCTTCCTCGTCACGAACAGCCAACTCGACGAAACGCCTAAACGCTGCGGCAGCTGCTGCGTCGATCTGTTGCTGGTTTTGAGGGACTTGCTGGTGTTGAGCTGCGGGACCTGCTCTTCTGCCGTCTAAAGCGGCCACCCTTCCACCTCGTGCGCGTCTTCCTCCACCTCGGCGTGCTGGCTGCGGTGCGACCTCTGCTGCTGGTGGTTGTATATTATTGTCTTGAGCGGGCTGGGCGGCCTCGGCGGCATTGTCCTGAGCATCAAGCTGTTCCGCAAGCTCTCTTGCTGCAGCTTCATCCTCTTGCCGTTGCAAGGCTTCTGCTTCTTCTCTGTCTGCGGCCTGGGCTACTGCTAGAGCCTCTTGCTCCCAACGCCGCGCACCAACAAAAGCAGCCTCCTGGCCCTCATCGCCCTCTTCCAGCTCCCACAACTTCTGATAACACTCTGTACCTGGCTTGTTGAAGTGTTGGTACGGATTATCGGGGCACAGCCATGCGCCGCACAGATAGCAGAAGTGAGTAGCGCATTGAACGCAACGCATGTGGTTACAACCCATAGTCTTCTGTGTGGGGCTGCTGCAGGTGGGGCATGGCGAGGTATGCGTGCGTATATAGTCGTAGCTGGCCTTCTCCTCCTCTGACAACTCCGATGGGTTGCGAGGCCAGCAACGTGCGAAGTCGCCATGCCAACCTGCATAGCAAGTTTTGCAAAAGGCAAAGGTGCACTTGCTGCAAATAGCCAACCGGTCAGAGGGAGAGTGACCCTTCTTCTCTGTGACATTGTCGTCATTGCCTTCGTCCTCACTCGATGACTCTGGGTACAATGTCAGGTCCTGTGGTAGAGGTGGGTATTTGGTGCTACGAGCAGGACCCTGGCACCAGGTGCGCGGGCAGTAGACGGTTGTTTTATCGGCTTCCTGCTTCTTCTTGCGTTTCATGTCGACAAAGCGACGTACCATGGGCTCTTCGAGGCCCATCTCGAGTAGCTCTCTCGGGTGTAGTGTCTTTTCCTTTCTCCTTCTCTGCTGCGCAGCAGGCGCCTGAGGCGCATCCTTGCCACATGTGGGATCTAAGCACTGCACTCTTCCAACGTCACCCTCGGTAATGCAGTTATTGTAGAAGTCTTGCAAGCAGGTTTGACAAAAGACGTGACCACAGCGACGCATGCGATAACAGGAAGAGCCCTTTTTGGGCTCTAGGCAGATGCCGCAGTCGAAGGTGCCAGCGTCAAACACAGCCTTCTTGGTGTGAGCGTTGTAGTCGAGCAGAGCAGGCTTCAGAGACGGCGACAGGTCGAGTCCGGTGGTTTCTAGGTCGAAGGCCTGCTCGGCTTGTTGTTGTAAAAAGTCGATGTAGGAGAAGAGAATCTGGCAACGACCATACTCTTCCCATAGCTTCTCGCACTCACTTTCCAGCTCTTTCAATTTATCGTCGGGTAGCCATTGTGGAGTGGTGGAGAGGGCGATCTTTGGCGGATTCTCGACAGGGTAGCCTTCAGGGAGGGAGAGCCTCAACTGGAGCGGTGGGAGGTGTTCGAGGCGATGTACATGGTCAAGGTGAGGAGCGAGGGAGGTAGATTTGAAGTGGCCGTTCTCCGAGTCGGGTGGGGAGGGCGGTGGCGCTGAGGGAAAGCGCAAAGCGAGAGGATTCGAGGGATTGACGGGGAGATGTAAAGAGGCGGCAAAGTGATCGTTTGCGTCGACGAGCAGTTCGGGGTAGATGGCCGAGATGGTCGACAATTCCTCGTCCCTTTCGTCTTCAATGTCCATGGTGCCCGAATCGCAGTGACTCGTTCGTGGCTGGGTGCTATGAGCAAGTCATAAGTGCAGGTGAGCCGCGTGGTCACAGGTATATATACGGGCGCAAGGTATGGCAGGTATGGCAGGTAATGGAAAGTGAAAGTCGGGTGTTGCAAGGGAGTAACAAGTGTTGGGTGGCGCGGTGAATGAGTGATGGCTTTGACGGTGTCTTGGTTTCGCCTCGGTGACGGCTGGCAGAATCTCACCGCCTGGTCAGCACCCGGGCCGAAGCGTCTTATCGCCGGCCCGCCGAAAGGCTGAAGGCTGCGTGCTGCCGTGTTTCGTCAGAGGGTGCGAGCTCCCAGATGCAAGCTGCTCGTCGGGTGTCTCGTGTGTCTGTCACTTGTCACCAACATTTCTGAAAGAGACCAGTCACCATGGAAGACCCTCCGTTGGCCTCGCTCTCGCTGACCCATGTCCATTACGTGAGATGCCGCGTGCCTCTACCCGACCCATACGAAGCAGCTAATTCTCCGTCTCAGAATCCCAATGACCCAATCGCACACGCCTGCGCCTTTCTAGCCCTCGTGCCTCAAGCTCTGTGTATCACATATGCCACTCTAATATGGAGCACTCGCGAGGCTGAAGTCGGCCTCATGTTTGCTGGTCAACTGGCCTGTGAAGCTCTCAATTGGCTCCTCAAGCGCACCATCCGGGAAGAGAGGCCAAGCCGTATGCATTCTCACACCCTTTCGCAGCCCATCTTCTTACTCACTCTTCTCCAGGGCTTNACTGGCAAGGGCTACGGCATGCCCTCATCGCATGCACAGTTCGTCTCGTACTTCGCCGTCTCCTTGACCCTGTTCCTCATGTTGCGACACAACCCTCACGCTCCCAACACCTCGACCACCCACATCCCAACTTCTACCTTTGAGAGACTTGCCCTGTCTGTCTTGGTCATCGCCGGTGCTGCTGCCGTCGCCCAGAGCAGGATATACCTCAACTACCACACCGAGAGACAAATCCTGGTCGGCTGTGTCGTGGGCGCNTTCTTTGCCGTCTTCTGGTATCTTGTGACAGCATACTTGCGCCGCTCAGGCTGGCTGGATTGGGTGCTCGACACTTCAATCGCCAAGTTCTTCCGACTCCGAGACCTGGTCGTCTCCGAGGATCTGGTTGACGCTGGCTGGGAGAGGTGGCAGCAGCGTAGAAGCAAGAGAAGCGAGCAGAAATCTAGATAACTGTACATATGCATACACATGGTGTCAAGATCAGCTGTAAAGACGCACAGCTCTTTCGTGAGCAAAAATGTGGCCATGGAGATGCATGAAAAGTGTCGTGCAGTGATAGTCTTTGGCAGAGAAGAATTTTTCTCATCCTCCAGGCCAACTGCGCCTTACTGCTGTTCAGACAGAGTGAAATATTGGGAGAGGATTGGCGCATTCCACCAATCAGCAAGAAATAACATGTCCTCCTCCGCGCCCATGGGGCCCGACATCGCGTTTTAGTCGGCCGTTCACATGTACGCAAGAGCCAACAACTCCACAGTGCCCGCATTTTCCTCGAGAGATGGCCATCACGTGTGGCTCTTTCGGAATTCCAATGCGACCTACGGCCACACACGGCCGGAGTCCTCGACATGCTTCGGGTATAAAGAAGACTCACTCAGTCTGTCCAGCTTGCATCTGTCCCTCGTCTTGTTGCTGTACTCTCCGTCCCTCGTTGCTCCCGTCTCTTCCCACCAACAAGTCTAATACCTCTAAACTTTCCTTATCGTTATCGGACCCTCCTCACCACTTACTCGCCGCCGTGCATCGGAACCAATCACGTCGTTGAAGATTCAATTTTCCTCGCTCTTCCTCTCTTCAAAATGTCCAGCTTCAGCGTCCCAACTCTAGCATCACAATACAAGATGGCTTCAGATCACTCCTCGCCCTATGACACCTTCAGACATCCTCTGGAGCTGCGCTATGCAAGTGCGTAAAATCTTCACCCCGCCAAGCCCGATTGAATCATCAATGATGATGCCCTTCCACACGGCCAATGCCTTGAGTCAATGGTATACTGATTCAATGGCCGCTCTACAGGCAAGGAGATGAAGCACCTCTTCTCTCCCCGCATGCGCGTCAGCACCTGGAGACAGCTATGGATCTGGCTGGCCGAGTCACAGAAGGAGCTTGGTCTTTCCATTTCCGATGAGGCCATCAACCAGATGAAGGTCAATCAGATTGTCCAGGATGATGAGTTCAAGATTGCNCGCAAAGGAGGAAGAGAGAAGAAGGTCAGTACTTTTACTTTTCGTGACTTCAAATCTGGTGTTTTCGTGACGTATTTTGTGCTGCATGCGTGTGATCCACGTTTTCTGGGCTTTCAGCACGAGTCGCCTCGTCACAGGCAATCTTGCGATATATGCTCTATCGTGGAAATCATAGTCCTGACTTTATCTTCTAGACACGATGTCATGGCATGGGTCCACACATACGGTCTTTGCGCTCCTGCCGCTGCTGGCATCATCCACTGGGGTGCCACTTCATGCTACGTTACAGACAACGCCGACCTCGTCCTGATGCGTGACGGGCTTGACCTACTTCTCAAGAAGATGGCCACTGCTATTGACAAGCTCTCCGCTTTCGCCATGCAATGGAAGGACCAACCCTGCCTTGGCTACACTCACCTTCAGCCCGCTCAATTGACCACCGTCGGAAAGAGAGCATGTGTCTGGATCCAGGACTTGTTGATGGACCTCCGGGCTATCCAGAGAGTTCGTGATGAGCTCTGCTTCCGCGGTGTCAAGGGTACCACCGGTACTCAGGCATCTTTCCTCCAGATCTTCGACGGTGACCACGCCAAGGTCGAGAAGCTTGACGAGCTCGTTACCGAGAAGGCTGGTTTCGCCGGCTGCTACCCCATTGCCACTCAAACCTACTCCCGTAAGGTTGACCTCGAAGTTGGCAGCGCCGTCTGCAACTTCGGTGCCACNTGCCAACGTATCTCAACCGATATCAGACATCTTGCTTCCTGGAAGGAGATTGAGGAGCCCTTCGAGAAGGACCAGATCGGTTCTTCCGCCATGGCTTACAAGCGTAACCCCATGAGATCCGAGCGTTTGACCTCTCTTGGTCGTCGTCTTGCGAACCTCCACGCTGACTTCATTTCCACTTACGCCTCGCAATGGATGGAGCGCACTCTCGACGATTCTGCCATTCGTCGTATTGACATTCCCGAGATGTACCTGTGCGCTGATGCCCTGCTCATTCTCATGAACAACATCTTCAGCGGTCTCGTTGTCTACCCCAAGCGCATCGAGAACCGTATCCTTGAGGAGCTTCCCTTCATGGCTACGTAAGTATTTCTTTTTCGCATACAATCCAGTTTCTTTGCTGACTTGTAACAGNNTGAGAACATCATCATGGCCCTTGTCAAGAAGGGTGTTTCACGCCAGGATGCCCACGAGGAGATCCGCGTCCTCTCCCACCAAGCCTCCGCCTCCGTCAAGCTGGAGGGCAAGCACAACGACCTCATCGAGCGTATCCGTGCAACACCTTTCTTCGAGCCCATCATCGGAGAGCTCGACGCTCTGCTTGACCCTTCAACCTTCACCGGCCGTGCTCCTCAGCAGGTCGAGAAATTCTGCGGTCCCGAGGGTGATGTCGAGAAGGCCCTCGCCAAGTACCGTGCCGAGGGTATCGAGGAGAAGGTCGGTGACATTATCCTTTAGATGTGTCTCTCTTTATGATAAGGATTGTTTTTACTTGCTATGAGACGCTGGAATGATTGGGGGAGGTTCACAAAAAAGTCACGGTAAATATTACAGCAAAAAGTCACCCATGTACCTAATTATGAACATTTTGCAACCTGCACTCATCTTTCTCGCTCCTGTAGAACCCACTTCCTGCCTCCCCGTACGTTAAAGTATGCCCTATTTGTTGATAGTACCGTGCTTTTTTATGGTTATGGGTTCTACCTACTTTGGCACATCGAGAGGTTGGATAACATTTGTCCATGTTCGGGAGTCACCTAGGACGGTGATTGATTCATTTTTCTTCCTGACAAATAATACGACGGTCGCGCTAAGACGCGTGACGAAAGCTTGGCGTGTGCCGAAGTCTCAAGGCTCCAATGCGACAACCAAGTTCGAACCACATCAACAACCCATCTTCAATCTCATCATCGTTATCGTCGCAAACATATTGCTCACACTCTGATACGGCACCGACGACTTGTACACCGCTCTCAGTGATCTTCAGGATCTGCAAGCCAGAGTTGAAGGGTGTTACAGGCCGCTGGGCTGTCTTGCTTGTTGATTCTTCTCTCTACCGTCTGCACCGGCGACTCGCTCACCAACTATACTTCAGCTCACGCTAGAAGGGTGAAGCAGGAAGCTGGGTAGTTACGGAGGGGTCTTAGAACTGCGCGGACCAACATACACGACCTACATCGAGTCAGGGCTGCTCGAGACATCCCAACAAAGCCCGGGTGGGAGGGAATCTCGCTTTATCGAGGGCCTTGTTGGTATTGAACCCTTTTCGTTGAACTGATTGTTGTAGGAGGAGCCAAGCATGCCCAAGGGGAAACGATCCGCTCGAGCCTCGTGGCTGTTTCGCAACAAACCAGCTGTAGCCTCAGCCAACAATACCTTTGGCCGCTTCAATGTCTCGATCAATCATGATGAATCCAAAGCCGAAGGCTCCATTGCTATACAACATGCCGTCCATCTCGAAGGCTTCCCTTCCGAACAGACCCTTGACCTTGTCTTGCGTCCCGAAAGCATAGTCGCTTGTGAACTGTTTCTTGACAACCATAGACTGCCTCCAGAAGTGCTCAACCTGATCCCGACGAACCGTAATGACATATGGAGTCTGTCGTTGACGATGCATACTCCTGGCACTGTTATATGTCCTACAGCGCCCCTCCCCTTGTCGTTCATATCGACCAGCTTCGGACAGCAATTTGCTACCTTCGCTCATCTGTGTCGAACAACAAAACTCCAAATATACCTAGGCAAAGACCAACTGCAGGCAGAGCATCGTGTGCGTCTCGAGCGCTTCGCTTCTGCCATTGCCTCCCGCAAACTCCAAGCCAATCCCATCGACCTACGAAGCCTTGGTGGCGGAGGTGGAAAGCAAGAGACAACATGGAACTATATACATCGGCCTCTGGAGGAAGAATCACAGGCAGAAGTCGGTGCTGCGAGGAAAAGAAACCGTGTTGGTGAGTTTCCATAGATCTCTTTCCTCTCAATCCTCCATTTGCTGCAGCATACATCGTCTGTAGCTATAGAAATGCACAAAGGTTTTCAAAGAACACATGTTGCCCGAGAGGGCCGATGATATGTTGCCTCTCGGTGGGAACTGCTTTGTTTGGCAACACTATTGCGCATTTTTATAGTCCACACATCCACTCTGTATCTCTGTGGCATGAGCGTCGGAGTTACAGACTTGTGCACGTAGGGAGTTCGGATTTGATAAACATTTCTGACGTGCTATGTAGATTCAGACAGCCAGCAGCAGTCGGGAGAGCCGTCTACAAAAATACAAAAGTTCTGGGACGTGGTGCCACCAGGCTCCCCCACGGAAGTAAACACACCAAGTTCGCGACATGTTACCCCTACTTCTCCCTTCATGTCGCCAACAATCGAGAGGTCACTCGAAGACGACCCAAGTCCATCCATCACAGGCGAAAGGTCCGACCTCAGGCACAACGAAGAGAAGAGACCAGGCTTACGAGCCTACACACCACCCCCTGCTTACCCAGCAGGGCTTGAAGCTACCTGCACACCATCACCTGCGCTTGGAAAAACAAGTTCGCCAGCCTGGGGATCTAGTATAGAGATCAAGCCCACGTTCCTTCCCCCTCGATCAGCAACTCATGGCTTCGCAGCTTCNCCTGAGCTTACTCAAGCCTTAGGCGGTATACTCCAGCAAATGCTACCCAACATCATCGAAGGAGCTTTCTCTTCCATCATAGGTCCATTAATAGATGCCCGTCTCGAAGCACTAGTAACCCACAAAATGGAAGCCCTGGTGCGAGAAAAACTACCCCTCCTCACCCACCGCGCTCTCCACCAAAACATGGAAAAGTTCATCGACGAACTCGAAGACGGACACAAGAGAGCCGAAGTCGAGATTGCAGAGACGGTCGACGAAGCCAAGATTGAGCTCAATGAAGCTCGCGATCGGGGTATTGACGATATAGAGACTTGGGCTCAGGAACGCTTGGGCGAGTTTGAGGGTGACGTGGATGAAGTTACCAAGTCTGCTGTTGAAGAGTTGGAGGATAAGACTATGGTTTTGAAGGAGCGATTGGATCAACACTTCAGAGGTCAGTGTAGGAAGATGAGGAGGGTTCATGAGGGTGTGAGAAGGAAGTCTATATAGCTTTCTAGATAGTGTTTTGTCTCCAACACGTTTACTGTTGTCAATCATCAACTGACGCAATACAGATGACAAGAAGTCTCAGTATCGACATCGAGAGAGCTCGGGATTTTCCTCTTACCTTCCTGTCGAATGATCAACTTACACATTCACTTTGGTCGAGGTCTCAAGCCTTGGCTGTTTTTGTTGTTGACTCCTTCTTACCTTGCTTTAGGGCAGCACTAGTTCTCTAGCAACCGACGACCACCTTTTCACAAATTTCATCATTACTGCGTATCTTTTACCGATACTCTCCTCGGATGCAAGCAATGACTCGACAAATCTACTGCCATATCTGTGGCGGGCTCGTTCTTGGAATGCGACGACACTTGGGCTGGGGGCGAGTCGTCATGCTGAGCACAGGACATTGCACTCAAGATGGTATCGAGATTGATGAGTTTTATGCCCTATGGGTTGCGCCAAAACGGCTACCGATCTGGGTGAACATCCGCCTGGAGAAGCTGACAGAGGTCTGCTTCGCTTTCACTCGTCCTACAATTCCTATGCGCGCACATATTTCTTGTCGGAATGGGATGAGGAAGTCGAGCCAAGCGTTACCATCGTGCCATCCAATCATTCCTCACTCCTTTAGGTTGTATACCTCCATCTCACCCGTCAGGCCATATCCCTCCATCTCTTCCTCCAGGGTTTGAGTCGTTGAGACCCCAAGAACAGTTGTACGCGAGGGTACACTGCTGCGGTTTCCCCCTCGTCGTTCATCTCCTCCAGGTTTCTCGTCGCTCACAAAACCAGCTTCTCCCTCGAGATGATCTCTTACATGTTCAAAACACGGGAGCAAACAGCTTCTCCGGGAAACAGCGAGGAAAATCAATGCAGACTGAGAGTCTGAATGTTGTGGTCCGGCTCGAATTTTCCATTCAACTTGGGCATTTTCGTACTGGTATCGGTTCAACAGCTACACGCGATTGTATCATCGTGAAAACAGTCAACACGATGGTTCTGAACACTTCTTCAGATCAGAACTTTCACGCCAAGCCCTCAAACAGCTTAATTTAACTGGGAAAGATGGCAAAGATAACAATAATTTTGAAGGAAGTATTACTTTGACACTTCGTCGGCGCATGAGGAATGCATAGTTATGCAAGTTGTGATCGTCGTTCTTGGCAAGTATTGATGCTATTCTCGTTTGCAGATCAAACATTCAACCTCTATCTCTACCATGCTGGGCAACGTGGTGACGACCCATGTCTACGCGGACATATCTTTTGTCCGCAGATCCATATTTTCTTCCTAGATAACCTCTCTTGTTGCGTCGAACCCTACCCCTTCTTTGACGCAAAAGTTCAATCACCCCTCTACTGAGGTCTGATAACATGCGGTGGTCATGCATGAAGCACCAGCAGCGTGTCTGGGGTAACTCAAACTAGCTGCTGGCTTCAGGTATATGAACCGTCTGTATCCATCGACGCCCTTGTAAGATGTTGTGTGGAGCTCCCAGCCTTTCTTGGAGCCCTGATTCCAACTGCAGCAGATCACACTTGAGGCCGATCTTTGGTAGGGGTAGTGACTGACTAGAACGAAGCGGCGGTATGCGATAGATTCAATGCCCTTGACCGATCACCAAGGATGCCTGCTTGCTGTTTCAGCACAACTCGTATCGTTGTTCACTTACATCAGAAAACGTGACGTTGGTACCACGCATCGTAATGTGGAGCAGGAACGAATCAGGCATATATACCCTGCAGTTCTTGCTGTTCTCAAACTCTCACATTTGAACAATCAAACAACCAAATTCACCTCTTTCCAAAAACATCCCACACACACATCAACATGAAGGCCTCTACCATCTTCACCGCCCTCGCCGCAGTCCTCCCTGCATTTGCCGTACCCACTGCTCGCTCTACCAGTGACTCTTTTGGTGGTCTGGCCATTCACTCGGGCTCCCCTATCCACCTCTCTGCCGTAAATGCGAATGGCAACGCCTTCTGGCTCAACAAGGAGACACACTCTTACTGTCCCAACACAACCGTCGCCTCCTGCCCCGAAGGCAAATACACCTACTTTAACAACGGCAACAACACCCTCTCCCTCAGCGTCGAAGTCCCCGGCGGTCAGCGCGTCTATGTCGCTGAAGATGGCAGTCTCGGCTACACCATTCCTCACGGCAGCGTTGGCGGTGGTCAAAATGTCAGCTACACTGGTTTCAGCTTGAAGGACAGTGGTATCCATTTGCAGTATAAGAACAGCGATTGGATTGCCGTGCCTGTTGACGGTGCGTACAAGGTTTATGCTGCCGCTGCTGAGAATGCTCCCAAGAACGGTACTGGCTTCTCCTTCAGAGTGCAGTCTGCCAATGCCACTTTCGGTGCTTGGGAGTATTAAAGAATACACCTGTTTCACGACGAGCAAGACTGTGTTTTGCAGAGAAGCACCATCACATAGCATAGATTTGTCCTCGAATTAAACTCGACTCAAAACATCCAACTCACCACCGTACTACTGTTTGGTCGGCATCTTTAGGGGTATTTCTGATTCTGCATATACAATGTTTGCTTTGCCGATGGCGCGTCCTGAGTTCGAGATCTGTGAAAATGGGTAAAAGCCCTGCCTTCGGTTGCTCGAAAAGTCCAACTTTGTCGATATCACCACTACATACCCATCTTCTCCATCTTGTAACTCCGTTGACTTTCGATGCCTTGACTTGCCGTAAAGAAAACAATCAACAGACTCATAGCCGTAAACTACAATAAGAAACAGTTGCTCATTTGCAGGAATCATCCCATCTCCAAAGAAGACCCACCAAGCTAAGTTTTACCACCGAAGAAAAAAGATTCTGAAAATCTGCATCAATTGGCCCTCTGCGTCTTTTCTGCACAACCACAGGATCCAGGAAAACAAAAGAAGAATGTCAACTGGATGTATAGGAATAGCCGAAGGCGGGGCTCGAACCCGCGACCTTGAGGTTTGGAATATCTGATAAGATAAGAGCCACACGCTCTACCGATTGAGCTACCCCGGCAGGTCTGATTNNGATCAAGTTGTGTGACACAACTGGCTCGTTGACTTGTGGTGTGAATACAGCTGGACCAAAATATATACCTCAATTTTTGGAGGCAGTGTGAACGTACCACGACAGAGCCTCTTAGATCATACGATTTCGCTGAATAATGTGATCATGAAGAACACTGGAGTATACAATCAAGTACTAATATTGAAGCAGATCTTATTCTTGTGACCGGCTGCCTCTACGTGTTTTGTGGATTCGTTGTGCTGCAGTGCAGTACTCTCACAGCATCCGACAGGTCTCCTTCGAAATATTATAGTGGCAGTATGTGTGTGCTTACAGATACACTAGTTCTACATGAATACTCAGAGATGCGATGACATACACCTCAGAGGTAGTTGCAAGTATTAAACCATCAGATTGCACATTGGTGCAGTCGCAAAGTAGTTGATCAGGGTCATACCAATAGCAATTATACTTTTAGAAAAAAGAAAACCTAACCTAACGAACGTGAGAATCCAGCAAACCTCAGTAACAAGCATTCAATAGATTTGATTTCCAAATTTACATCCATCACGACTGTTAAACAGTAGGTAGTAGGGATTAAAAAGTAGAGACATGGAACAAAACTTCAGGCTGATTTCAACTCAAGAATCTTGGATCGAAAAGATTCGATTGAGCAGATAATCACCGTGATACAATCACATCAAAGTAGCAAAGATGTGCGCATCTCATCTTTACTAGTAGCAGCGGACGGGCAAGACCATGGGTGAACATGCAGGTGGCCGTAAGTCATGCTCTCCGATCCAGGTCAATTCCGGGCTTCACACAGAGATCTACCACTTTTTTCCATTCGGTCTTTTTACGTTGGCAAAGACCACAACATAAAACCTAGATGCACGACAATATGCGCTTTCGACACTACCAAGTGCCTGCAAGCCAAAAGATTCGTGTTGCAGGCTCCATGAAACCAAAAAATCACCATTTTTCCGATCCCTTCCTCCCAATTTCTCACTCACTCTCCCGATACCGTCAGCGATGCAAAAGAGAGTCGTTCTGACTCGATCAGACAAAACATACGACGCCTAAGAGATTCGAACTCTTGCTCCCGAAGGAAATAGATTTCTAGTCTATCGCTATAACCACTCAGCCAAAGCGCCAGGATATCAAATTGATGAGAGGGGCACCAATAACACTCCTCGGCTTTTCACATGAAACCGTCAGGAGCGGTGTATCATTGAGGCACAGTGTCGTTGAGTTATGTCTGGAGTGTGGTCGAAACCGGTCGGGACTGTGACGAATAGCGGAGGCTTCGTGCGTTGCAACTCGCTAGAATCTGACAGCAGAGCAAGGTCGACTGCTGCTCTTGGATCCACAGCTCGCAAGCAACCCTGTCTCCGTGATCCGCGGCTGCACACAGCGAGGGGCCGTTGCCCCGCATGCCCCACAACGAGGTTCCTCTCTGCCTCTCTGGGGAAGGATGGGCAGACACAAGTCCGCAACTAGCAGTAAGATGCGGCAAGTGAAGGGGATTCGGAAGATATGGCCGCCGAGAACTGCGGGTCTTGGATTGAGATGTGGTGTGGGGCCTTGAGCTCCTCTCAAGAGAAGTGTTGATATGAAAGCTGTTGAGATCTCCATCTCAAGTTTACACGTCCTTCTTGATTTCATCACATCTTTAAAAAGTACGAGTGTGATTGAACAATGGCCGCAAGCGAGATGAAACCAGCATTTGAGAAGGTGAGAGCGTCAAAGACAGGCCAGATTGTTGTATCATGAACTCATAGCCATTATAGGTCATTGTCGTCGGAGCAGGACCGTCAGGACTGCTCTTGTCATTGTTGCTGATCCGAGCCGGTATAAAGGTCCAACTACTAGATGCTGCTCCTACGTTAGACGATCAGCCTCGTGCAGCACACTATGGACCTCCAGCGATTCCAGATCTTCGACGAGCAGGGATCCTGGATAGGATCAAGTGTCAAGGCTTGACGCTCAACACAATGTGTTGGCGGAAGCTTGACCAGACATACATTGCTGGCATGGATTTCAGCGAGACTTTGTCGAATGATCCCGAATATGGTGATGTGAGAACTGTTAGCCTGGCTCTACAAACACTGGACGCTTTGATGTTGGAAGACTTCGAGAAGGAAGGTGGTCAAGTCAGCTGGGAGCATCGTGTTTTGGATGTCCAGCAAGATGGGTCGAAAGTCTGGGTCAAGGTACAGACGCCAACTGAAAAGGAAAAGACCATCGAAGCAGATTATGTCGTGGGATGTGATGGCGCAAACAGTGTCGTCAGAAAGAGCCTGTTTGGAGAGGAAGGCTTTCCAGGATTCACATGGAATCAGAAGCAGATCGTTGCGACGAATGTGAGTGGTTCATCTGTGACGAGGGAACTCTGATTGACCAAAGCTGTGCAGACGTACTATGATTTCCGCAAATTCGGCTACCTTGATGCGAACTTCATCATAGATCGCGATCATCTATACATGGCAGCTATCATCGATGACAAAGGTCTGTGGCGCGTAACGTATGGCGAAGAGCCTGGTTTGACACGCGAACAACTGCTCGAACGTCAGCCGAAAAAGTTCGAGACCATTCTACCAGGAAATCCAAAGCCTGGCGATTATGAAATGGTGAATTTCTCGCCGTATCGCATGCACCAGAGAGTAGCCGACAAATTCAGAGTTGGAAGAGTCATGTTGGCAGCAGATGCGGCACATGTCTGCAATCCTTTGTGAGTTGGCTTGAACTCATGAGAATAAAGTTGGTTGCTAACAGTTGCACAGNNTGGCGGTCTTGGAATCACTGGCGGGTTCGTGGACGTTGGCTGTTTGTACGACTGTTTGTACGGCATTTGGACGCATCAAGCCGATGATTCAATCCTAGACTTGTATTCGGAAGTGCGACGACAGAAGTATAAAGAGATCATCGATCCAATCTCGACAGAAAACTTCAAACGTGTCTTCGACCAAGACCCGGAAGTCGCGGGAGAGAAAGACCACTTCCTAGTTTTGTGTAAGAAAGCAGCCGAAGACAAGGACTTTGCGCGACAGATGCANCTTGGTAAGCGCAACACTTGTCTTCGACATTTTAACAACAAAGACTGACACATGCAGGCATCCTTTGGAATCCGTCATGACTTTACTCAATACTACCGTAAGAATAAAGGCAAGGGTCCTATCATTGATGATGCGAAGTCGGATTTTAGCGCTGAACACATTGAGGAGATTGCGCCAACAGGAGCGGACTGAGTGGTCCGTAGTCGTTCCTTCTACGCGCACGATGTTTCCTGACAGCCAGCATCGCGTAGTCAAGGTTAAAGTGCTACCGTGGGAGAAATTTCAGAAAGAAGAGAATGAGTGTATGAAACTACTATGATTACAAGCTTCGTCCACCTACTACCTGGCATAATCATAATTTTGTAAAACAAGACAAAAGAGAATCTCAAGATACATCTCAAGACATCTCAAAGATCAGCTGTCGTCCTGACTTGGTACGAGTGAGATACCACAATTCCGTTCGTGGTCCTGTCGTCCACTATGTGGTCCTCAACAGTCGATGGTCGATGAGCCAGAATCTCATCCATGCTATCCGTATCGGACTCTACATTGGCTGTCACCTGCGCCTTGTTCTTGTGTCGGTGTAGTTCAATGTCGGCACGAAAGGGATCAAGGTTAGAGCCTTTCCGGCTGTGGTCGGTCGTTCTCTCGTCAGTCCTGAAGTAATGTCCAGGCTTGGAGTCGTGCGTGCTTCCCGAGAAGATACCACGGAAGTAGGTTTCGGCGAAAGGCTTTAGAGTAGGCACACAAGCGCATACGATCGACATCATCGTCTCGATTGCTGANNCCTACAAGATAACGTATAATTAGCATGAAATCTATGTGGATATCGGTACGCTACCACAAGTCATAGTAGGTACCAGTATCTGCCTTGTCGCATCGCAGGATGGCACTTACCAAACGACAAAATCGGTGATAGTATAGGTGAGGTCGGCGTCGCCTTCTTGAAGATAGGCGATAATACTTCTGAGACGGATGATGCTGACAATGCATCCGGCAGAGCCCATGGCAAAAACCAGGGACAAGGTAATCTTCTTTCTGCGAGTGAGCTGGAGATCCCAGACAATTGGAATTGGAAGCGCGAGAATTAGGAGATCGCTGACAGAGTTGCACACAGCGTTGGCGATATCTAGAATATTGTTAGTAGGAGTGTCTGGGACTCAAGCAGTTGCTACGAACAGAANAGCTGGGCGATTGATGCATTTTCCTTCAGCAAAGATGTCNNCCTGGATACAAGTTAGAGGACAATTCTTCCTGGCCAGTAGTCTTGCATGTTCTCACCATTGAAAGTGAACTGGCGTACAATCAAAGATCTCCGTGAGAATACCAGCCACGGAATAGCCAACGGCAAACAAGAAGACAGCCCACCAACGCCATATGAAGTTCTGGATCGGGAAAAGACGTCGATAGAGCAACATAATGGCGATCTTAATGGAAAGCATCGACGAGCTGTAGAAGACCGAGGCGATGAGGTACAGCCGTAAGAAGTGTGGACTGAAGAGGGCGACGGGAACATCATACAGATGCCGGCCCATGCCCAGATGAACCAGAGCCTGGTATAGAGCTATGGCTGTTATGCATATAAGGAGAGAAACAATCATCGCCCCTGTACCCAGAGTTAATACATGGCGCATCACACATGCAATAGGCTCCTACGTACAGTCGTCGTAGCCGACAGATTTGACAATAAAGATTCGAGTGTAAAGCCGAAGCATGACAACAACAATCATGATGACCAGAACGGCTATGTTGGTCGCTGTCTGCTGATAGCCGATGCTGGGAGGATTGATGAAGTTGGGTGTTGTGCCATTCGGAGGTTTGGCTGAAGGCACTTGCCAGTAGTCTACGTTGGGGTCCATGTCGCAACCTCGTCCTGATGGATTATGTCTCGTCGGAGAGCGCGAGAAAGAATTCACTCTACCTTGGGATGGTTGAGAATCTGCGTGAATGAAACGAGGGGCATACTCGCGTTTTGAACCTGATCATAGAGAGTATTTTTACTCGGTCATCAGAAATCGAGAACCACCCTTGGGTCCGTACTCTTCTCACTTTTGGCTGATCTCTGGGGCAAGCGTAAGGACAAGGGTTGATACTTTGCTCTCGATATTGAAGGTGATACTGCGGTCTTTGGCTCGGCTACAAGCGTGAAGTGCTTGTCTCACTCCTTGAGTCAGGTTGTGATCTGGGCGTTGCAGACACTAGAAGCAGGGTTCGATGCGAGTTGAAGCACCGAGATGACATTTAACGGCTATACAACCCATGTTTTGTATTGCAGACATGTAAAGCGTTCACCAAGCGGTATCGCCAGGATATCATTCAACGTGAACATGTTCATCTGGAGTGATGTCCAACTTCCAGTATCCAGGTATGTGGACGCGGGTAGATTGATAGATTAGGCAACCGACATCGCACGAACAAATATCCGCAGGGTTCCTACTGCGGATGCACGGCCCAAGGCGGAAGGACTGAACTCTGACTCTGGAGAAGAGGTGTGTCGTCGCTACGGCCCGTGACACCCTGAGTTTCTCTGAAAGTACCAACGGCGTGATAACAGAGTGTGCAGACGACAGAATGCCCCAATACGACGGCGGGAAAATGTGAGCAAGTGATGCCTAATACTGACCTCTGTCAGCTCGACATCGGGAATGCATCGTTTTGAGAAAAAAATTCAATGTACGTCTTAGTCGGTGAGAGTGTGCAAGAGTGGTGTCTGTCAGGCAAAGTTGTGGAGACATGCGGTTTTGACAGAAATGTCCCGCTCTCGACGCGTCGTGCTGAATTTGACGGCGCTCGTCAAATCTGTCTTCCTTTATCAAACATGTGCTTCATCAACGTCAAACCGAAAGGCTGAGATGTTATCAAAGCTACCGATCCAGAGTTGAGGCAGGTCCACTCATCTCAATCGATCCTGACTGTGAGGACGAACAAGCTCGCATTGGTCGCTTTCAGGCCGAATCAAGCGGATAGCGTAGACGGGAGCTAGATTGCGAAATAGATGAAGGTGAGGTCAGTCGTTTCTGACTTGACAAGGCGGCAATTCTCGGCATCTGCAACCTTCTTTGGCTGTTCTACGCCACGAACAACTGGCGGTATGGAGTTTATTTGACAGGTGTTTGGGTCGCGAGTCAAGTCCTAAGGCGTTCAAACTGGAGTTTGCTGATCTGGAGAGAAAACCTGTGCTCATCCGTGCTGGACCGTCTGTACGAAATACTGCATGTTTAGGCGATACATTATCATGGCCTCAAATCTATATAGACCTTCTGTCTTCTGGAGAGCCTGAGTTGACAACTGCACATGTTCATAACAATCTCCATTGTGGGAAACGGGATAATAGTATATCTATCCTTGCACACCTATCAAAGAACGACACTACATCACCATGCGAGGATCCAAGCTCGAGATCTTAGCTGACTTCGCAGCACCGTCGAAGACAAACTCAGAGATCAATTTGCCGGTTCCTGGACCATTTTGGATGCCTAGATGATTGTCAGTAGAGTCTAGAGAAAAGTCAAAATGGACGTCCAACGTACCCCAGCATGTGTGTCCAGCTGCTATCAGAAGACCCTTTACTCCAGTGTGTCCGATCAAGGGTCCGTTGCCTCCTTGGACGTTCGGCAGGTAGCATGCCTGTCGTGCAGTAACTTCTCCGTCTCGCAGTTCATCACTGATACTGCTGACATAGTCGACAACGTCCTGGCATCTCTGTTCGTCTACCTCAACGAGATCGGAAGATTTTGGGAGCGGTACCAAATGGTCTCCCTCACCACAAGCATAAACTTCGTTCTTTGGTCTTGTGTAGATTTCCGGCGAAACATGCTGCTCGCCCCGAGATTNTTTGGCCTTGTCGGTTGCACCTCCGAAACCAGCCGGTAGTTTAATCTCAGTAAATAGAGCGTATGCACTGATCTCGCGAGTTGGGCGGATGGTAACACTGTGGGCTCGAGTAGCCGAGATAGGGGCGTCAGGATACACCTCTCTTGTCCATGGACCAGCAGAGATGATAATGTCCGTTGCTGGAATGGTGACCTCCTTGTTGTTGTCGTTCTTGTCCTCGTAGGTGACGCTCTCCACACCCTTGCCATCCTTGGTATGGTTGATGCTCTTGACTGCGGCACCAACGCGGACGTCCGCACCCTTTTCAGCGGCCAAGTCGACCATGGAGGTGGTGAATTGGTAAGGGTGAACTTGGGCAGTGGTTGAAGGATCTCCCATCTCGTCATACATCCTCAAGCAATCCGGGTGAATCCAATCAAGGTCTTTTGGAATGCCTCTGGCCGCCAGCTTCGCCGACACCTTTGGCGGGTTCTTCTCGAGACTGACGTTGTTCTTTTCTCGGTCGGCAGGTCTTTCGTTCTTTCCATCCATCTCATTGTCTTTACCCTTAACGGTGTCTGTCGGCTTTTGCAATTGACGACCTTTGCAGTCAACCGAGCCACAATGAACCTGTCTGTAACCCCAACGCTCATCACCGCCATACTTGTCGGCTAGTTGCTTGTGCAGTTTGTACGAGAGTGGTACAATGGATGAAGGATATGCCCACAAGGCTAAAAGTCCTCCAGCTTTGCCACTTGCTCCTCCAGCAATTTTTGTCGCTTCCAGAAGAATGACTTTGTGCTTCTCCGGATTATACGAAGGGTGATGAGTTAGGAAATAAGCGGAGGTGGCACCGATAATACCACCTCCAATAATTACGATGTTCTTTTGCTCGTCTCCGGCCATGATGGATTGTCGATGGAAGTGTGTGATCTGGTGTGAAAGGTGACGATTTTGACCTTGAAGGCTAGACGACAAAGTTCTTCTGAGAGAAGCCAGAGTGGCGATAGAAGGACTTACTGATTTCCAGAATCCCAACAGAGAAGGTGGACGAAAACTTGCGAATCGCGTTTCGCCTTACTGTCGCCCGCGCGAGGGTGACGTCAAGCGGGACAATGTTGGTCAGGGTCGCACCCCGCAACGAGCTGTCTCTGTTCCCACTTCCTCAGCTTCTGTCGTCTGCGGTAGTGAGAATTATTTTCTGCATTGGAAGCTGATCGTGTGTTTTATTATCATGTATGTACAATCTGATATTGGCCAAATAGACATCTAAGCATCATGTGCCGTCTTTCGCAGCCAGGCCTTGGTCTTTCCCCAAACACCTGTTGCCATCCTGGCCTTCTGATAATCCTCTTCCTGAACATTGTGCTTCCCCACGATGTTCAAGAAAACCTGATCGAGAGTGGCTTGTGAAACAGCATAGAACTCCATGCCAAGCTCCTCTTTACTTGCCTCCAGCTTCTCAAAGAGCGCACTGATACTTGTACCATTGCGGCCGTCAGTTTGTGCGATTGTCGTTCTAGCCCCTTTCTTGTCATCGATGGAGCCACTGGAGTCGTCCATATCGGAAGCCGGTCGATTCGGCACTTCGAAGCGAATTTGACCATGGAATGAGCGATCCTCGATGCTTGCTGTAGGGAAGTTGCTGCTGATCCAGTCTTTGATCTCGACGAGCTTGGCATCAGTCGTGTGCGGCGCGTCTTTGTGGACGAGGTGAACGTAGTAGGAATCACCGTGCTTGCGACGTAGGTAGTCGCTAGTGCCTACAGCGAGCATTCGCCTGGCCATGATGCCGACGCGATCACCTAGCGCATCTGCCTCTTCCAGACTGTGGGTGGTCAATACCAAGCTGCGGCCAGAGCTGACCGCGGACAGAGTACGCCACATGATTCTCTTTGCACCAGCGTCCATACCAGAGCTACCTTCGTCGACGAGAAGTACCGAAGGGTTGCCTATCAATGCGATTCCGAGGGAGAGCTTTCGTTTATTGCCACCAGAGAGTTTGGAAGCCATACGACTGCGGAAGGCGCTAAGACCGACAGCGTTCATGACCTNGTGACATGTTAGCACGTCGCTCTCCTTATGCTATCTATCTTTAAGTGCACATACCTGTTCCACGTTGTGCTCAACATCCGCAACGCCACGAGCTCTGGCGTAGAAGTATAGATGCTCGGACGCAGTCAAAGAGTCCATGGCGTCAAATTGCGGACATACACCCTGATGCAAACGAGCAGCAGCACGGTGTTTCACGATAGATTCATTCTCCAGAAGGACGTCTCCACCACTAGGGTGGACATCGCCTCGAATCGTTGATATAGTCGTACTCTTTCCAGCGCCGTTAGGGCCGAGCAGTGCAAAGATTTCACCACGCGGCACACCAAAGGCCACTCGATCGACAGCAAGATTACTGCCGTACGATTTGCTGATGTTACACACGCGCAATTCGTCCTTGCAGTCATTGACACGAACCGCCTCGCGGTACACGTCCTCATCGGCATATTCGCTCTCTTCTGCGTCTTGGGAGCGGTTNNCTGTAGGACACAATTAGTACAGTTCCAGTAAAACGCATAAGATACAGCCACAATTGCAGCACTGATAGTGCTTTAAAGTGTTGTCGGAGACATCACTTGGTGGCCGATGTCGAATACGTACCTTTCTGCTAAGGAACGCGGGTCTGTATCCACTATCGTAGTAGACGAGGAATCCAAGAAGGAGAAGAGACTGGACTGTCAGGTAGAGGATTGGACCTCCATAGACGGTGATCCCGCCGGGGTAGCTAGCGCGCTCGTTTCCACGACACAAAATTGAAAACTCGTTGAAGGTTAGCAACAGGGAGCGCAACAAATTCCCTGAAGGTGTTATAAGATTGAGCGTGAAAGAGATGATGTTGACATAGGAATCAATCTTTTCAGTCGGGGCAAACGTGATGGTGGCCATGTAGGCGAGGAAATAGATCAAGAAGAAACAACACTGCATGCCTGCAGCGAAGGCAAACGAGGCCAGCTGACTGGTGACGAACAGAGAGATGACATAGCTGCAGAGCAGAGCTGCCAGGCCGTACAAGAAGAATACGACAAATAGTGTTCCTGGGGCGTAGAGGGCACTATCGCAAATAAGTTAGCATCGGTTCTATCGACTTATCGTGATGCAGGATGTAATGCAAGAGCTAGCAGATATCCATTGAGAGCCTCGGCCATGGCAGGCCCTCAATGAACGCATCCAGTTTTCTGGACGAAATCTTGCATTCTGGCGGCTGAATTGCGTCCAACAAAGATCTTCGCATACGTACCTAGAGACACCAACAAAGATGACAATAGCGACAATGCTGACAATCATCACGAATATAAAGTCGAAAATGGTGTATGCGAGCCAGAGAGGAAAGGCTCTGATACCATTTGAGTAGTGCAGTGCTCGTACTTTGGCAACCCGCTCACTGGTCGGATAGAGAGCGAAGAAGCCAGGGTAAGCGGACATCGCTAGACCAAAGTAGAGGATGAACTGAAGTGTATCTCCAGCTGATGGAGCCCATGGTACCTGGAAGGCTTGATAGGCTGTGATAATCGGTGATCCAAGCAAGCTACTATCCAGAATGTTCTGAGTCAAGATTGCGTAGCTGAGCTCATAGTTGCCCCTCCAAGCGAATAGAGGAGCGCCGCCTTGAGCGTCGAGGAAATAGCCTCCGGGAAATACGCGGCTGTAATTGGCTTGGACGTAGTCGATGAATGCGTCAACACTCGCAACCGGCGCAACAGCGCTGCCGAGCCCAGGGTATAAAGAGTTGAGAAGCGTTGTAGGAACCTGAGAGGCTGGACCAGCGGGGAAGTCCAGAACGTCGTCAAGACTTGCAAAAGAAAGTATATCCTCAGTCGAGCTGGATTCCTCTGGCGAGCAGCTGAGTGGCCTGAACCCCTTCAGAAATAGAGTAACAAGTCCTCCAGCGATAATCGGGATCAGAACAGCAGCCATGTAAGGCAGATAGTTGCGGCGCAGGATAGTAGCACGCTTCCGGAACAGAACCCAAGTCTGTGCGCCGAGCGAAATTCTTCTGCCCTTGGCCAATTCAAGACCCTTTTCCGACTGGAGAGAGGATACGTTAGTTAGCGGCGTGGCATCGTCGTGAAGCGTGTGATCATTGTTGAACTCTGCAGACAATTTGAGGAAGACGTCTTCGATACTCGGTCCGCTGACACGGTAGTCAGTAACGCCAAGTTGTTCAAGACGAGTGACAAATATGGCAGCAGCGCTAGAATCGGGTAGATTGTACACAACGTGATCGGCATGATTGCGGCGAGGTATTGAAGACCAGTCCTGGGGCTCTTTGAACTGATGTTCAGTGTAAATCTTGACACGGTATCCACCACCAAGTTCGTGTTTCAGAGCAACAGCTGTGCCAGTCGCAGCGAGGGTACCTTTAGACAAGATAGTGATGTGGTCCGAAAGTAAATCCCCCTCATCGAGGAAATGTGTCGTGAAAAGCATGGCTCTGTGACCTCGCTCGGCGAGAAGGATATCCCAAACCTTGCGTCGTGATAGAGGATCAATACCTGAACTCACTTCATCGACCAAACAAAGATTGCTACCACCCGTGAGCATCATTGCTAATTGCAGCTTTCTCTTCTGCCCGCCTGACAAGGTCTCGGAGCGAGCGGAGATCTTGTGAGCAAGATCGCATTTGGAGAGCAAATCTTTGTGGTCGTTGCTCTTTCCTTTCTGTCCTTGTGCCTTAAGTTGGTTAAAGTAGTAGACATGTTCTTCACATGTAAGCTTGTCCCAGAGCACATTCTTCTGTGGGCAGATGCCGACACCCCCAGATCCATTGATATCAATGGTTCCGCTTGTGGGTGACTGTAGTCCTGCGATAAGATCCATCATCGTGCTTTTGCCTGCACCGTTTGCTCCCAGAAGAACATGAATTTCGCCAGCACGAATAGTGAAGCTGACGTCGTTGACGGCATGCACAGTCTCCCTCTTGCTTTTGCTGAGTTTTGACCAGATGTTCCTGTAAAGCCAGCTAGGCTCGTACTGCTTTGTAAGACTAGTAATGCGAGCAGTTTCTTTCTCCGCACTGTGATGCATGTTCCTGGCTTTTGATGCGGTACCGTACAAAGCTCTCTCGATGAAGGCTCCAATTAAAGGGTAAATTAGGATCTGTATGACACACAACACAAAGAACACTGAGCCTGACACTCTCCATGGGGCTCCAGGAGGTGGTTCAGAGAGTACGGCAGCCAGATTATCTCTTTGCCAGTAGGCCATGTAGATAATGAATAGCGTAAAGTTCATGGGTGGGAACAACAGAGCCAAGATGACGATCGCACCTGTCTGCTTGGGTGTCTGAACCTGCACAATGATAGCCAGCACTATGCTCACGATCGTGACGGTGATACCAGAAAGTTGGGCCTTTCGGAATAAACTAGCGAAAGCGATGGACCAGGAGCTCAAAGCAAGTCCTGCCAAGATGAAATAGCCAATGAGAATTCCAGTTTCGGAAGATGGATAGTTCAGTCGAGTGACAATTGCACCGGATATGACCCAGCCTGGGAGATAGAGAATGTCGAAAGCAAGATGGCTAGAGAGTAGACGAGCAGCTTGTGGCTGCCATCTTCGTTGATTCGGCATCATTGCTTCAATGAGCTGAGACATGCCAATCTCGCGCTCCGTCGCCATTTGACCTGATGGATGTTAACACATATGACAACAAAGATACAAGCTTATGGTGCGCTAAACATGTGACGCGCATTGCTATAAAATTGCGCAAAAGTCTCGAGGAACGGGATTTACATGAAGAGACGAATTTTTGTCGGTTCTCTTCAGATATATCTCTGTCCTCGATGACAACTGGATTCTTCATGGTGCACACAATGCTTTGTATCCTCATGGAAGGAAGGGGATAGAGAAACTCACCAGTGAGTTGGTAGCAAATACCGACAAAGCCGATGAAGTACGCGAGACCGAGAATGCTGATTAGCGTCCCCATGTACAGTCGTGTGATGTTTCTCTCCCGCTCCTCAGGAGTAGAATCAGTATAAGGGTATTGCTGAGGTAGAGGGATCGAAGAGCCATCCGAGGAGGCGATAGCTGCATCGATTGCATGTTGAAGTGGCAGAGCATAGATCTCTGCATCGTTGTTTACGGTATTCACAAAGATTCTTCCACCAAGGGAGCCATCGGTCCGGATTGTGTAGTTCCACACACCACCATTGCTAGGAGATCCATGGAAGCTCACTGCGGCAAAGCAACCAGAAACTCCGCGAACAGAACTTTTGCATGTTTGCAGAAGCTCGACTTCGCTGGACAATGTTACAGGAGTTTTGCCGCTCGCTCTGACGGTGTTTGACAATTGGTCGATTATGTTTGTAACCTCAGAGGCCTGACCGTTTGCAACAAATGCCACAGTGCTGCGTCCACTTGTTCCTGCATTGAGAGCTTCTTCGAATGTCCGAAGGGTAGATGGAGAACCAACTCCGAAATCTGAGGGCGGTACGAAGAAGTTTTTACAATATGAAATGATGAAGAAGAAGATGATCGGTGCCAGAAATGCGCGGACAGTCGTAGTGAACCAGTGGCGACCCAGTACAATCAAGAGATTCTTTTTCGTCAAGGTCCATGTCTGAGCGAAGAACCCCATGATTATGCGATTGCTTTGCTAGGAAATCGGAATTAGGCAAACATGTGACGCGAGAAGTAGGCAATCAAAAAGTAGATGATACTCGGAGTCGCAGAACATGAAGCACGAATACGGCAGCCTGATCATAGAAGACATACAAACGCTGCCCTCGGGGAGGCGATCTCCAAGGTGTTGACAATGTTCGATTGTCAACTTCGGGCAACGACTAAGCTGTATTGGGTATAGCTTCCTCGGCATCTGAACGCCGAGCGGCTTGTCGCGTGTGTCGTTTCTCTTCGCGTCAAGCTCATCTCGCTTGACGAGAATCACCTTCGAAAGACCTTTTCTGAGGAACAGCATGTTGAGAAGAGCGAGAATTTCATACAGTACAAAGAGATATGCTGCTCTTACTGATGAACGCCCCATACCGAACCTACAGCCTCCATGAGCCGTCGAAAACGGAAAACTCCGCCAAGTCGTCATGCCGCTCGGCGTACGTACGAGCCGCCAAGTCAGAAGCCACAAACGTTTCGCGAGAAATGACAGGGATTAAACTCGACATGATGGATCGAGTACACAGGACAGGAAGATCAAGAACGAAGAAACCAACACATAACTGAACCTATTTGATGAATCGACACCGGCTTTTCCTTATACTAGGACCGCCTCACCAACTGGCAATAGCTCTCGCGTAGGCTCCGTCCTTCCATACTAAAGAGAAGCCACGCTCAGCAATCCAAGGAGCCTCGATCCGAAATACCAGATCGACATTTAACTGGACTCTGGCTGATTTTGAGCGACGATGAATGACCCTAACTTGATTCGAGTATACCAAACTACAGAACTGCTACTTGCTACATTGGCTTTCTCCCAGTCATGAGATACATTGGAGTAAAGAGACCTTCCTTTCCGCCAGCAACCAGAGCATTACCACCAGCCGACAGCTCTCTTGCGGTCTCCGCTGTACCGGAAGGTGCCATTCTAACTCTCTCGAGCATTGAGAGCAGCATCTCCATCGCAAATCGACCAGCCTTCGTCATACGCAATGCACCAAGTACATCCCATAGTCCAGTAGCATAGTTGATGTCGCCACTCAGCGGAGCATACCAAGGTCTTGCATCTTTACGCTCCGCCAAATCCTCATCATGTAGAAGGGTGAATCCTGCCTTTAAGAAGGCCTGCTGTGCTTCCTTTCTGGTCACCATGTTGGAGATACCGTTTCCGCGCTCGATGCCATGGCGGATTGCACGATGAGCTGGGTCGCTCTCGTCGTAGCGGTCTGTCATTACCCACTCGTAGATGCCGACCACTGCTCCTGGTTTGGCGACGCGGTACATTTGCGAGTAAACGCCTTCGAGGTCTGGAGCATGACAAGTGGCTTCGATGGCATAGATGGCGTCGAAAGTGTTGTCCGGGAAGGTCAAATGCTATACTCTAGACGTGAGCATGCGCTACTCTGAGCTGATAGAAGCTACACTGACCATGAAGTTGTTTTGGACGAAAGAGACTTTCTCGGAAAGACCACGCTTGGCTGTAAGTGCAGTGGCTCTCTGGATTTGGTAGCCATTGTTGTTTACTCCGACGACTTTGCAGCCGGTGAATGTGGAAATTTCTCTTGCTGGCCCACCAACACCACAACCCACGTCGAGCACGATAAAGTTGTCTTTGATGCCAATCATGTGTGCAAGGTAATGCTCGTGGCGAGCTAGTGCCTGTACCAAGGATTCCTTGGGAGCGAATCGACAGAGATGGAATGACTCTCCCCAGCCCTCGCAATACAGATCAGTCGCCAAGTCGTAGTAGCTGCGATGCGTCAGATTCGGCGGAGTTTGAACCAGGTTCTAGATGACTTACTTGTTCACGAGAGACATGTAAGAATCTTGTCTGGACTTTCGTGCTTCATCGCTATCCTCGGTCCAGCGTTTGACGTATTCGTCTGTAATAAGACGATGGGCCTGTCCATCTTTACGCAGCATTGAAAGAAAAGCGTTGCGTTCAGTTGCGGATTTGCCGTGCATCAGCCTGGTGAGTTCTTGCTCGTTATTTGGTACTGGTGTAATAAGCATTGTCGATTCTGAAGGCAAGGATGAAGGGAGGAAATGAGAGGTTGATATTGTTATGATCCATTACCTCGCACGGGCGAGCACCTCCTCTATATAGCCCCTCGAAGACTCAGACCGTAGTGATCTCTATGCAGCTCTTGCAAGCAACAGTCATCGTACGACATTGCAATGCCGTCTATCGCTCGTAGTCCTCTGGTCGTTGTTGTGAGATGTTTGGAACAGACAATATTCAACATGCATGAAGGTCGTACGACTTTCTCTCGCGTGAGCATGATACCAGATAGGCACTACTCGTAGTAGATGAATCATTCGCAACTGTAGGTGCAGGTGAACGTGCCACATGCAGTGGAAACAGACGAAGGACATGCTTCGTAGATAACTGTTGAGAACGATGGTGTGTAATGCTGGGCCGGAGACCACGGAGACCGAGATTTCCGTGGGTTCCATGCCGTTCTCCTTTGATTGGTTGTTGCCCAACATCTCAATTTTAGAAGACATTCTGACACACGGTAGAGAAAGTATGCAGCTCAGGAGAAAATGTCTCTGTGTTTCTTAAGAGTGACCTGACCGTGCGAATCTTCATGTTCGGTTTATCACCGACACTCCTCTCTCAAGATGGAATTGACACATCTCATCGTCGGCTTGGCAATCGCCTTCCTCAGCTACATCGTATTTGAGTGGCAGCGACCAAGGACAGGCGTTCAAGAGCCACCCGCTCTTCGCGCAAAGATTCCAATTATCGGACATATCATCGGATTTGCTACTGATGGTCTTCGATACTTTGGAAAAGCTTGGTATGTCGATCGGAAAACATCTTACCTATGAGCATTTACTAACGATATGCCAGTGATGGATCTGACGAGGCTATTGTCACAATCGACTTTCTTGTTTCGAAAATTTATCTGGTCAACAAGTCCAGTGCGGTTGCTCAGGTCCAAAGAAATGCAAAGGTCGTGACTTTTGACCCTTTTCTCGACTCTGCGGCGGAGCGCATGGTCAATGTTTCGCCTAAAGGCCTCAAGCTGCTTACGGGCAAGGAACATGGAGGTGGTGACCTGAACAGAAAGGTGTGCCACACCCACTCATTTCCTCTGCTCCCATGTGTTGTGGACTGTCATGATCTTACGTTCACCCCTCTCGCGTATTGATTCGAAGAGAGAATGTAAGCTATAGAACAGCGCAGAACTTGCCAGAAGAGAGTACTGCCCACAGAGAGACATCACTTCAGCATATCTCTTTGGCCATACTCCCGATTTATAAGGCAATCATGCGTCTCTCTAGCTACAACATGACAGTCTTTGACACAAGAGGAGACCATCGAGCATCCACACTAACAAACCCGACATTTTAGATTGTAAAAGCGATGCACCCCGCTCTTCTAGGTCCCGGTCTCGACATAGCCAACCGAGCAATGATCAACAATCTAGTCGAATCAGTAAACGAGCTCGACTCACTAAACAACAAAAGTTTCGACCTATACGCCTGGGCCAAACACGCCATCACCATCGCAAGCACCGACGCCGTCTGGGGCGAGCAAAACCCACTCAAAGATCCCGAGATCGAGACAGCGTTCTGGGATTTCGAATCACATCTACGTTTGTTGATTGTTAACATTCTTCCTTCGATTATTGCGCGCAAGGCATATCTCGGGCGAGAAAAGGTGGTGGCTGCGTTTGTAAAGTACTACAACAATGGTGGTCACGAGGTATCTTCGGAACTGGCGCAAGCACGTTGGAACGTTCAACACGACAATGGCGCCAGCACTGAAGACATTGCTCGTCTGGAAACTGCAACTGTGCTGGGTGTGGTATCGAACACTACCCCCGCATCCTTCTGGATGCTCTACGATGTATACTCGCGACCAGCCTTGTTGACACTTCTCCGCGACGAGGTGCGCGAGCACGCACTCAGGAAAAACGAAGCTGGAGAAATGATCATCGATCTCGCTGCCATGAGGGATAATTGTCCAAATCTTTTGGCTACTTTCCAGGAAGTCCTGCGTACGCGCTCGAATGGCGCGCCTACACGCTTCGTCACAAACGATGTGGTACTAAGCGACAAGTACCTGCTCAAAAGGGCCGCGTCCTCATGATGCCCGGCATGAACGTCAACTACGAGCCGACCATCTGGGGCGACGACTCTCAAACCTTCGACCCCACCCGCTTCAAGAAGGAGACTTTGAAGCAAAGACCCACCAGTTTCATGTCCTTTGGAGCAAGTCCAGCATTGTGCCCAGGTAGACATTTCGCCAGTGGAGAGATCCTCGGGATGGCGGCAATGATGCTCCTTCGCTACGACATCATCCCTGAAGGCGAAAAATGGACAATGCCCAAATTCTGGAAGGGTGCCATTGCTGCTTCATTACCCTCACCCGCCGAGCCATTCAACGTCACCATCACACCAAGATCAGAGTTTGTCAACAAAAAGTGGGCGTACGAGTCGACTGATGGAAAGGGAAAATTCCCTCTTATCACCGGATAGCCAAAAATTTTTATGGATAGAAACCCAAAGAGATTGGGGTGTAACACAAGCAACCGTTCATCCAATCAGCTGACCTCTCAAAAGATATGCACGTCAAACAGAAAAGATGATTGAAGAGTGGAAAATTATTTGTGTCGTCTCTATGTATGAATCTATGTTTGGGGTTCGTCATTTTGTGACATCTCAGTAAAAATGCTTTGCTATGCTGTTCATAACATCATTGCAGTCGACTCTTCTCATCGCATTGCCCACTGTAACCTCTGATCAACTCTTCCATCCCTCTCTTCTTCCTCGACTTTAGCCTCGAGTCCAGAAGCAGGAGGCAAGGCAGCCATGCGCCTAGGCACTTGTGGCTCTAAAATGTCTCCCGCTTTGGCAACAAGCGGTCGAAGATATCTCGATTCCTTTCCTCTCATCATGGAAAGTTTATTAAGCATTAGATGTAAATACTGTCGGCCTTGCATAAAAGTGTCGGATGTATCGCCGGAAGACACGTGCAGGACATCGGCAAGGCAGCCAGCGATATCCGAGAGCTTCTGCTCCATGCCGATGCCATGCGAGTCTAGCACAAGAGGAGTAGCTCGCTCGGTAATGTTGACGGTGCGGCGAGCGAGTTCGATGGGGTAATCGAGGCGTCCAGTGCCTGATTGTCCTTTGTCGCAGACTAGGCCGTTGCTTACGCCCATTTGCCAAGCCAGTACATGCAGCCACTCTCGCGATACGCTGATGTCTATTCTGGCAGTTTCCGTGATGTCAGAAAGTGAAAGCGCAACCGTGTCGAGCGAACGTTGTGTCTCTGCCAACCAGGGCTCTGAGCACAGGGCTTTGCGGCGGGCACTGCCTTTCCATATACTGACAAAGTTGTCGTCGATGGCGGAGAAAAGGTGAGCTAGGTTCACGAAACCGTGGAGGAGGCGAGGGTCTTCCGATTCAAAGGCTAAGGGTAGCTGAATAGTGGGATGTAATCGGCAGTTCTTGCGGCGTTGTATCGAATATGCTCNTGCGACAGTTGATGTTAGCGACTGCAGAGATAGACATGGCTAAGAAATAAATCACCTCTCGGTTATGAAGAGCAACCAGTACAACCGCCTCCTCCATTGTGCTTCGAGGGNGTCAAGTTTGAGCATGGAGTTCTCATCGTCCATCTCCAAATTCTCAACGAATGATATGGATTCTTGCAAGTAGTGCCAGGCCTTTTCACTGCTCTCCTTGTTTCCATAGTAGGCAAAGATGAAGAAGCTAGTCATGACTGTGACAGTGGTCGCGTTGCCGATGTAGTCAAATTCTCGTCTGGTCTTGAGGCATTCTTCGACGAACATGTCAGCCGCTGATGCAGGTCTACCAGGCAGAGGCTCCATCTCAGGCACATGAATTGCCGCGTCCAGTTGCACGATAGTAGCAGCGCACAGAGCGCAAAGGAAGGCGTATGTCTCTGGGGGCATGTAACTCGTAGAGCTGTACATGTATGGGTCCAGATAGATTTGCTCGTCGACTACAGGCATGATGAAGTAGAGATGCTCGAAGAAAAGCTGAACATAAGGCAAGAGCCGCTGATTTGGTATCCGTGGGACTGCAGGCTGCGGTTCTGACGGCGGGACATAGTAGTGTTGAGGCCGAGATGGTTGTGCTGGCCATTGCTGGTTCATGTGTTGGTTGATGGGCAATGCTCGAAGATCCATCTGAGGCAGTCCGTGGCTCTGTGGTTCCGGAGGTCCATAGTAACCATAGCCCGTTGTGATGGGCTCCGCAGGGGTACTTGTAGGAATAGCACTGTCGATAGCGCTATGATTTGACATTGCAATTGGTGACGAAGATGAGCTCCCGTACCACTGGCTTAGACCATCCTGCAGTACGACCGGACTCAAGGGGTTGTCGGNGGCAAGCGTCGCAGATTGATCAATCTTCCTCAGTGCATGCAACACTCTTGCACTCCTGAGACCTTTTGGGCCCTTCTTCTTAGGCGCTTGAAGGTAGGCGCAGCGAATAGTAGCCTTTCGACAAGGACCACACGGGCTCTCTCCATCGCAACGAACTTTACGCTTTCTGCAGCAATCGCATGCTCGCTTCAGTGATTTTTGAGTGTGTCCAGAGGCAGATTCTCCCGAGTCATTTTCAGCTGTTGTGGCCATGCACATGATCGAACTCTGAGAAATGGCGTAACGGGACGGAGCACCGTGAACCGGATGTGTCGGGTTATTTTCCTAACGACTTTGATCTAACAGGTCTCCAGAAGCAAAAAGCAAGCATGAGGGATCTGCAACAGATGACAAGCTCCAAGCGCAACAGCACCCGGATGTTTTTGTAAGAATAGTGGTGCAACAAGAGATGCGAGATGTCGGACAAGGGCTTGGAAGGATGACATGCAGTTGAAATGCGGGGAAGGAGTTTGCAAAAATGGCTGGCCAAGCCGCCGAGGGCAGGCCGAATCTACCTGCAGCCTGCCGCTGATCGGGAACCCCAGGCTCCTAAACAGGACCCCCAACCAGGCATCCCCAACCGGAGAAGGGCTATCGGCACGAGTGCCGCGTGCTATGGATGAGTCCGTGCCGTATTGGATATTTACTCCTACTAGAAAGCCATGTTTCGAGGTCGAGAGTGTTGAGCTGGGTACATGAGACTGAGTTTCGATGTGTAATGTGCGTCCTCTCTGATCGGACCGGAAGCTTGAGTGGTAGTGGTTGAGCAGTCATCATATAAGGGTCTTTGTTTTTGTGATCCGATGCAATCTCACGACCATAATGGGGCGCGTTGTCAAGGGCTGTGCTTTACGATGAGAGTGGACGTTCAACGCCCTACATCGAAAAGCCACCAGTGTCGCCTACAGTGACTGAATAAGGCAATGGACCCATGGGGTAGTCTCATCTGCAGGATCGCGATATGGAGAGAAGCACTCGCAGGCACGGCCCAAAATCAAAGTCAGGTATGGTGGTTCTGCTGCAGGTTGGGATCTTCGTGCTTGACGATGTCGACAGCGGCGCTGCTAGCAACAAAGTCTTCTAGCTCTTCGCTGACCGTCTTGAGTTTCTCCTTGACAGTAGCAGTGCCTTCAAGACCGACAATATGCCGAGCAGGTGGGTTGTCGTGGCCTCCAATTGCGGCAACTGCATGCACGGTTTCAGCTACCAGAGACTCCTTCATACCTTTTGTCAAGGGAGCGTAGATGGCGTTGATAGTGTCAGATTGGAGCTGATCGCCAGTGGTGGGCTCATCCGAACCCTCGAGGCGGTCGAGCATGCCTGCTAGGATATCGCGGAACAGTGGAGCAGGGTTGTGGTCGGCAGCATAGGCAGACATGGGAGGGGCAGCAGTTATACGATTGGTCAAGACAGCAATTTCCATGTTGGGTTGTATGATGGTCATCTTGATGTTGAATGGCGCAACCTCGTAGGCAAGACTATCACAGTAGCCCTCGATAGCCCATTGACTGGCACAGTAGACAGACATGCCCGGGGTGCCCATGTGGCCAGAGAGGTTGGACAGCATAACAATATGGCCGTTCCTCTTTGTGCGGAAGGTGGGCAGGATAGACTTGATGACATTGACGGGGCCAAAGAAGTTTGTCTCGAACTGGTCGCGGATGAGCGAGTGGGTGCGCGTGGTCTGGGACAGCTCCTCGACGGTCCCGACCAGCGTCTCGGAGGTGCAGCAGAACAGAATGTCGATGCGGCCAAAGCTGTGGACGGCCTCTGCGATGGCGCTCTGGCACTGACCCATGATGCGCACATCAAGACCGACGACCCTCAGGCGGCCTGACCATGTTTCCTGCTCTTTGACCTCGTCGAGAAAGTCGCGGAAGTGTGTTGACTGCTCGCCGTTCTTCTCAAACTCTAGCGGAGGCACGCCGGCGACAATGTAGTCTCCATGGTCGAGGAGATGGCGCGCCAACGAGATGCCGACTGGGGAATTGGCGCTGGTCAGGAACCACACGCGCGGCGAGTTGTGCGTCGGGAACTTTGGCTGTCGAGGCGGTTTGGGATCCACCGCTGCACTTGTGCTCATCGCTCCATCGACTGCTTGTTACTGGCAGAGTGTCAAGCACTTGGACAATCGAAGCTTGGAGGTCGCTCCGTGCCCACGTCTCGACCATGGCCTTGGCAGCGACATCAGCCTACACTCTTTCTCTCTTCCCACACTGCCAAACTCGAAACACAGATTTGTTGCATTGACCATAAAGATCATGACTTGCCTACTCCATCACTCTCCAGGCACACAACTACCATCCCTCCTCATACATCCCTCAGGACACTCTCCACCTCTAAACTGCCATCCAAACCACCTATCCGTTTCATCTCCCAGCACATTCCCAAACGCCGCCATTTCTCCATGCAGAGTAGGATTGCCAGAGTGATCATTATCATTCACTCCCGTACATATCAAGTCTCCAAGATCGGAATGATTGGAGAAGGATCTCGTATGATTTACTACAGCGGTTCCAAAGGGTGCAAATGGGCAGGCAGAAATGGCGAGGTTTGCTGAACTCGCTACGCGCAGCCAGTGGGCTCGTGTGGATGAGGGCAAGGCATCTGGGCTTGTGTCTGGTGTTTTTGGTTCTTGGAGGGCAAGTTGGTTGGAGAGGAGAGAGTGGTGAGCTGCGTCTTGTCGAGAACTCAC